GGGGGCGGGGGGGGGGGGGGGGGGGGGGGGGGGGGCAAAAAGACTTACGATGTTCCTCCGCACCAGCTGCGTCCTCAACCCGCGCATCAACCCCAGTATCCCCGCTTTCGACGCGCAGTACAGATGCAGCGGCGGCGTGTCGAGAAAGCTCGCCGCGGACCCCGTCAGGACGATCTGGCAGCGCACCTCCGTCTGCCGCTTGGCGAAGAAATGCACGGCACACTTGACCGCGTAGACGGCGCCGACGAGGTTGACGTCAAGCACTTTCAGGTCCGGCGGCAGCAGCTCGCCCGTCGCCGCGTCGAAGCTGTCGGCGAGGAAGTCCTCGCGGTTGATGCCGGCGTTGCTGAGCACGGCGTCGAGGGGGCCGAAGGTGTCGTGGGCGGCTTGGAAGAGGGAGAGGACGTCGGGCCAGGAGGAGACGTCGCATTTGCGGAAGAGGACGCGGCTGGTCAACGAGGGCTACTTTAGTATTGTTGTTTGGATGACTGGTGGGAAGATTGGGGGAGGGTAGAGGCCTGACTCTTTCAGCTCGGATGCCAGAGCTTGTCCTGCAGCGTCGTTCCAGTCGCCTATAGCTACTTTTGCACCGTTTCCTAGAAAGGTGGGGATTAGGAAACGTGCGACCGCTTGTGCGACCAACGGGGATTGTTGCTCACTATGCGCTAGCTTCACTGTCTCTAGGCCAATTCCGCTCGAAGCTCCAATTATCAAGATGGTCTTATCCTTGAGCTTCGCGAGCTCTGCATCATCGAATGCGTATGTCGTCATCTTTAGGCTCGGATCAGACAAGGTTGAATCTCAAAGATCTTTTAGCTTTCTCCGAACGTATGGTTTAAGTAGCACCCCCGCCTGCCGGATGTGGATCTTCCGTGCCCGCTGCCGTGTTTCCATGTAGTCGGATAGGCCCACTAAATGATAGTGCATTGCTTTCTATAATAGGAGGTCTGGTGTCCGCTAAGAGGATTGGTCCGACGAACTGCGGGGCCATCCCATGTCTCCTCTTTCTGCTTCGGTGCTAGTCTCCATGAGCTCAAATAGGACCCCGCAAAAGCCACAATGTTCTCCATATCGTTCCCCGCATTGATATCCCCACCACGTATGGATTATACAATAATACATGAGCAGCTAGAAGATACATACGAGCATAACGGCTTCTATGGACGTAGCAGGCGGTATTACAGACACCGTTCCGACCTTCAGCCCTCTATTCACTGTCGAAGGTGCTCTTAATCGAAGGCCTTGCTTAATGTTAATCACCGATACTGTGGAGGGTTATGCGACAGGTTCGAGTCCGATGGGAGAAGGTGAGGGCAGCTCGACGCTGTGTGAAGCAAGAAGGCCGACAATGAAGACGCGCTTATCAAGGCTCGCGTGCTCCGCGCGGAACCGCGTTCATTCCACGAATAACTTGGTGGCCAATCGGAGGCATGTGGCTGGCTGTGTCCGCGCGTATCGGCGCGCTTATACGGTCAGCCAGGCAGAGAGTCTCAGGTCGAGCGCGTTCACTCCGGAGCGCGTTTTAGGCTGCAGTCAGGCAGGCTGAGCGTGTTCGTCGAAGCGCATTGGCTGCTCCAGCGTGCGGCTGATCCGACAGCGTGTTCCTCTCGCGCACCCCTCGCGATCGAACGCGTCCTGTAGAGCGCGTCACCGTGGCTTTCTTTCCGGCCGAGCGCGTTCTTATCGAGCGCGTTTGACCGCTGCGGCTCTTCATCGTGCGGTCGGTAGGGCAGTGCGCACCGCTCAATCGCGTCATGGGATGGCACCACTGGAGGCCTTTCTCCGTATCCCGCACATTCTAGCAATTTTCGAGACGCAGCAGTGAGACTTCGAAACACAACATGCTACTTCGGTCTATTCTGCTCTCAATGTGGCCTCACTACTTAAACAGGTACTTTCCCGGTAGATGGCCCTATCAGCATATTTCCCTGTCCTACTACAATCACCTGTAAAACAACTCAATATGACTTTGTCATTCGAGAGAATTATTTCTATCTTAACCCTCCTTGTCCAGCTTGCGACGTTCTTATACGGTAACGATGGTGGAAATACCCAGCGCCTCCGAGGTAAGAGCAGCCCACCCCCTACCTTAAATCTAAAATTTTCTAACGCAATTGATAGATACTATTACGGTTATATGGAGTGGCATATGCCAGCTTGTTACCAATAGCCATCAGCAAGCCTGCAGAATGGTCCATGATTGCAGAAGATTGTGCGATAACACTTATCAAAATAGGTCAGTCGGTATCTCGATTATCTTATGAATTTCGTTTTCGAAACCACTGACAACGACGTAGCAACAATCAATTCATTATTTGGCGCCTCTCGCTGATCCGTTACTTTGTAAGAGTTCAGCGGGAACACGAGATACACGCCACGGCTTAGCCCAGCCATCACCCTTCACGACACCGCGGCAACCATTTTGAATTATGCCGTCGAGTTCCCGGACACCGAATGTGTACGGGTTCATAAGATGGGATATATTCAAACCTCGAATTAATGTGCATCGGTCTATTTGCGGCGTACACACTGCTTGCATAGGGTCTGATTATTGGGCTACATTACGACGACATGGGTTGAGCAGGGGCGTTAAGTGTTATGGAAATCAAGTCGAGTGGATTATATCGGGATATCGGGAGAATAATAAGATGGAAATAGGCTAATTATCACCTTTCTTTGCGCAACCAGCTGGCATGGAGAGGGAGCAGTAATCGGCGTTAACGGCGAAAGGATATATCGGGATTCGTGACTTGTTGTTCATCTCAATTGCATACTCTGGTTGGCCAAAGCTGCTTAATTAGTGAAGACCGCTCAGTGTGCGCCCGTCGAAGAGTTGGCTGATCCAGCGTGCATTCGGCCAGGCAGGGCACTCCCGCCCTCGCCGCGCTTGTTGGCTGCAGGTGCCCCAGCATAGACTTAGCCAAGCCCGGCACGCTGCCTTCGAACATGCTGCGCAGCAATCATTGTCTACTACGCAATCACCGCGCATGTTGAACGCCCTCACGAACGCGGTGTCTGCAGGCGTTTCGGTGGCTGCAGTCTTGTTAGTGCATGCCAGATGAGATACACGGCAGCACGACCTTAGAAAGATTTTTTATTGCTATGTTGAGAACAGGCAGCCATGGTGGTAGTGGAGATGAGGCAGAGTCAGAATCACGTTCTGAAGTTCTGGGGTGGGCGTCGGTGGGGCTGTGCTGAGAACGGGCTCCAATCGAATTCAAGGGCGTTTTCAATGTTGCATTGTAAGCCAGCCAGGAAAAGCGCTCTCGAAGAAATCCGTTGGCTAAGCCAGCATGCAGCTAGCCAAGAGGAGCGTTCTTGTTGAGGCACGGTGGTCCTGCCGCGCGGGGCCAGGCCATGCGCAATGGTTAAGGGGAAGATGGAGGATGAGAAAAAGGTCAGCTATTGTCAAAGCCAGGGTCGACTCGTCAGAGGGGCCAACCACGCAAGACCCCGGCCGGCCCCGACGTCATGGTCTAGTGACGCAGACAAGGCAGGAAATCACGCAGGCGGTCGTGCCCCGCTGCTGAAACCACTCACAGTAGGGTGGGTTTGCTCCGCGCTTCTTGGCACTTACGGCTGGGCTTGTTACGCGCTTCTTGGCGCCAGCGGCTGCGCCAGCGGCTCTGTACATTGTCTTAGAAGTGCAGAAGCATTCCTGATACGAACCTTCAATCGACCAGCATGTTCATCATGGCCTCACATATTTAAACAGGTCTTTTCCCGCTGTATAGCTCTAGCACCAGACTCACTCTGTGGTCAACTAAGAGCAACTAAAAATGACTCTATCTTTTGACAGGATCATCTCCACTCTTACACTTCTCATCCAAATTGCGGCCCTCTTCTATGGTAATGATCGTGGAAATGCCGAGCGCTTCTGGGGTGAGAACAGCCGATTATGATCATAAATAGCACACCATTTTGACGCATTTAATAGACACCATCACGATTATATGCGACAAATTATGCCACCTTGTTGCTGTCAGAATCGAGGCAGTTTGTGGAATCGTTCACGGTTGTAGAAGACTGTGTAACCATGCTTACCAGAATGGGTTAGTCCGTGTCTTTTCTTGCGGCTTTTCAGATGATCGTTGTCGAGCCACTGACAACAATGCAGCATTAATTCGTTCTTTTCTTTGCACCTCTCCTTAATGGGGTTCCTCATGAGGGGCCGGCAGGAACAGGAGAACGACGCCACAGTCTAGTTCGACTGTCCACCTTCACAGCATTGCATGGCAGTCACGCTAGACCCGCCGATGAATTGCAACGTAGCAAAGCGCAAATTCACCCCAATTTTGGAATCATCTGAAGGAAACAATCTGAACGCAACGGGGTAGCAGTACTCCATGAAAGGGGAGTGTAGATAATTACTTCAATCGGATATGGAGAAATAGAGCAGAATTTGAAAAAAAAAATATCTCAGAAGCGCTACCTGACGATGATGAAGGGTACATCACTTGGCCGCCACGCAACTGAGGCGCTGCGTCAGCTTTGCAAACGCTACACCAACGGATTGGCATTCACTCTTACAATAAAATAAATGTACTTCGCTACTTGTCATTACCAAGTTGGTCCGCTTGCGTTGCATCCGAAAATCGAGCGGGCAGAGAGCGTGGTACGAAGTGAACAACGGAGCGGCCGCTTGTAGAAAATAATAATACAGATTTATTCGTTGCTAAACTAGAATGCATGTCTGTCACCGGCAAGGATCCGGAGTGAGACATGATAGATATCCGGCGCTGGGGCGCGGCGAGTGGCAGAAACCGTCCGTTGCTGCACAAGCGATCGCTGCTGAGGTCAAGTGGTGCGAGAGAGAGCACTGTGGAGAGTTAGAATCGAAGGGTCGCCATCCTAGCCGGCTACTGGGCTGCTTGGAACGGGCTCAAGGCTTTGTGTCTAGTCGGTTCATGTGGTAGGTCGGCGGCATGGAGGCGTTCCAGCACGCCGTCTGCGGGGCCGGCCGGCTTGGTTTTGCGATGATGGCAGATGTGCAGGGTTGACCCCAGCGGCGGCAATCGCTTGCGCGGCGACAGCCGGTCTCTGCCGCCTGCCGCCGGGTATGAGCAAGCAACGGCCGCGGCTCCACCATCTTCTAAATATGGCTAGCCCTAGCCACACCATGGTGGCGCCCCTGCCAGTGTGTGCGCCTTATCCATCCTTGCGACAATCCTCTGAGATTGCTTTGGGGCCATCTATAGCATGAACATGTGTCCCGATATGGTTATTAACTGACCACGCCTAAATGACCACTAATTGTGTTCATTCCAGTCCTATTGTGCCCTCGAGTAGGTCTATACTGAGGCGTGGTGTGGTGGTTTAGGCCGATTCATAACAATATGTACGCCTTATCCGCCCTCATGCAAATCCTCTGAGATTGCTCTGGGGCCATCAGCCTGCGCTTAGTCTGCCTGATCTAGATCTTGCACGCGCTGTGACTCCGCCTCCTCTTGCTCCAGATAGAGCAGTACATTGGCTGTCAGACAAACAGTCGCGGCCGACGTCAGCTTCAACCCGCTTCCTTCGAACTTTATGGGTTCACGACAGCTGTCGGGCTGCTGACACGCCTTATACTCGCCACCCTTCCCTGACCGGTGCAATCTCCACTGACGTCTCTGGTCTTCATCATGCTAGTCTGCTGTCTATCGCTCTTAAGATACGGGGTCTCCAACATATCTGCGCTGGGCAGCCTACTCAGTTTCTTGAACTACCATCCCACTTCATAGTGATCGAAATGTCTCTTTCAACCGAGGTAATCATCGCACTCGTTTCCGTCGGGCTGCAATTCACCGCCATTATTATCCATCACTATAACCGCAACCGGCACCCAAGGCCAGCCGGTAGCCGACACAATAGGAGGATTGTTCTTTTTGAGGCTCCAAGTACCTCGTCCCCTTGTCAGCCATCCATCTCCATCGTTATATCTTCAGCTGCTGATACTCAATTAGTGCTGCCGATGTATAGGCCTACTCGTCGTATCTGATGATTCGAGACTTTGTGTCATGAGTAAAAGATCAGAGGAAAACATCTATCTGTGCAGTTCTTGAGCGATGGCGGTACTTTCAAAATCGGTAGGAGGTTCATCGTGGCTATCAAAGCAGCACTCGTGTTCGTTTCAATACATTCGGCTATATCTACCCTGGAAAATACCCTTGTCAATGTGTAGCAGGAATGGAATAGGACTGGTGTGACCCCACATTTTAACCCCTGTTCATCCCCAACCCACCTACCGAAACCGGGGCGGGCTCTATCTTTGATACGCAGAGCGCATGATCAAGAAAACGTTTCAGGCAGGCCGTGCGGGGATGAAAAGCTGGATCATACACGGGACTGTCTCCGTGCGATCCCCAATTCCCCCAACTGTTCCCCAGGAGTGACCCCATTGCACCTTCGCACTTCAGATCTGCCGCCGACTCTCATATTACATTGTTTTAGGTCATGGATATAGCTTTTGCATCTCTTTAGAGTTGACAAACAACGCTTCCGTCTTACAGCATATGCAACTGACACGACCGCTCGACCTTACCAGTTCATTTGTCCTATTCCTTTCCTTTACACAAGAAAATGGGCTTCCTCGGGATTCTGGAGGATAAGCATCTTCTTCATGTACCTGCAACGGTCGTCCTTGAAGAACAACAGGAGCAGGATGCCACCCTATTCAGAGGCGAAGGGTTGAAGCATGGAACCGGCAGGCATGCACACATCGTCCTTGTGCCTCAGCCGTGAGTACCATGCGAGGTTTTGTGCCTCTAGTTAGAGATCTGCGCTGACTGTTGCATAAGCTCGGATGATCCAAATGATCCACTGAATTTCTCGTCCACGAAGAAATTGATCATGATGCTCATTGTCGGCTTTGGCTCAATTTTGTATGCTGCAACTGTCGGTAAGTGTCCACATTCCCAAGATCAGGTCGCTGGTTAACTCTGTGAAGCTCCACTGCTCAGCCCTGGCCTCGTCGTGATTGCCACAGAATTCAATCGACCTATCGGAGACATCACTGTCATATCCGGCTATCGTGAGTGTGCCCAAACTGGCTGCGCGAGCGTCACTTATTCGTTCTAGTGCTCTTGGTCGTCGGAGCGACAGGTCCATTCGTCTCCGCCTTCTCGCGCAAATGGGGCAAACGGCCGGTATTGCTCCTTTCTTCACTATTCGGCCTCATCGGTACCATCATTGGCTCCTGCGCAAATACATATGATACACTTCTGGCGGCGCGCATTGTCCAAGGTTTCAGCATCTCGGCCTTTGAGAGCCTGATCATCTCGATGATCGGAGACCTTTACTTCGTTCACCAGCGCGGCCACTTCATGGCTATGATGCAGTTCATCATGGGAGCAGCGTCCAACTTCTCCGCCGTCATCTGTGGACCCGTCACTGCTAATCTGGGATGGAAATATCTCTTCCACATGTTTGTAAGTCGCAAACGATGAAACTTACCCCTATCATGCATCTTCGTTCAACTGATTTACGTTATACAGATACCCTTTGCCGCCATCGAATGCATCCTCCTCTTCCTCTTCGTCCCCGAGACGCAATACATCCGCGACCGTCGCTACGAGCTGGACGAAATCGCCGCCGACGACACAACCACCGTGACGACCCAAAAGCGCGAAGACAGCACACAAATCGAGTCCCTCAAGTCTCCCTCACAGGGAACCACAGCCCCCGTTCCCCCACCCAAAACCTTCTGGCAGCAAACAGCCATCTTCACCGGCACCTACTCGGCCGACAACTTCCTCCAACTGACCATCGCGCCCTTCGCCGTCTGCCTCAACCTCGCCGTCCTCTGGATCGTCATCGCCTCGGGCATGGCCGTCGCCTTCCTCGTCGCGCAATCGTACGTCATGGCGCAGCTCTTCTCCGCGCCGCCCTACCTGCTCTCCGCGTCGGGCGTCGGCTACCTGTCGATGGGCCCCTTCATCGGCGGGCTACTTGGAGCCCTCGCGGCGGGCGCCGCCAGCGACCCGCTCATCACATGGGCGGCGCGGCGCAACAACCGCAGTACTGGGGGCGCCGTCTACGAGCCCGAGTACCGGCTGCTGTTGGTCGCGCCGGGCCTGCTGATGGGGGCCGGGCTGATGCTGTTCGGCTACCTGGCGGAAAGGCAGGTGTCGTTCTACGCGACGGCGACGGCGCATGGGATCGACGTGTTTGGGATCCTGTTCGTTGCGATTGCGGCGGGCGCGTACGGGATCGACGCGTATCGCGACATGTCGTCCGAGATCTTCATCATCGGGATGGTGTTTAAGAACTTTGTGTTTTACGGGTTCAGCTATTTCGTCAATGATTGGACGGCCAGGGCGGGCCCGGCGCAGGTGTTTTATGTCATGGGCGGCGTGGGGTTTGCGCTGGTGTTGTCGGCGCCGCCGCTGTTTTTCTTTGGGAAGCGGTACCGGAGTTGGTGGCACAGGCACAATTTGTTGGAGAAGTTGCACGTTAAGACGCATGCTGAGCTCTGAGGGAGGGGAGTGCGGGGTAGCTGGGCCTTTTGCTGGCTTTTGACAATGATCCTCGCCCTCTGGCTTGATTAGGATAGGATATTCACACGTCCTCAGATGCTTTTGGTTTCCGTGATGATTCGAGTGGCGGTAACGTTAGACAACACTTTTCCCAGGTACTCGGGGTCCGGGAGTCGCCGGTATCGCTCGCTTGGGTCAGCTAAAACAAGCACTGCCGGCTGACAGGATGAGGGACAACCAACAACTAACATTTGTGGGGTAGGAATGCGGGGGCGGGTACGGTCGATCTGAGCAGGCTGTGGCTGAAACCAAGCGCCACCGTTGCGGCGCCACACGAGCGGGTCCTCTTCTTTTACGCCCGTAACCGTTGGCCGAAAATATCCAGACAGCTCCACGCGAAACACACCAAACGGGGGGGGCTCATAATTGCACCACCGCCCTGCCAGATTGCAGAGACAGCTCAGGGATCCCTCGATCTACGGGCTGACTTGAATAATAATCAGACCAACTAATCAGACCCGCTGAAGGATTAGCCCAACATCGAGTCACAGCCGAGGCATCCATGCACCAGTAATGCACGTCAATCAGCAGAGCTCCGCCGGAAGCTCCACTATCACGGCCATGCCGCCGTTATCCAGGCCCCCATTCTCCTCTCCCTCTTTTCTCTCTCCTCCTCACACTTCCATCCAAGAGTCTGAGGCCCGTTCGACATGCCTGGTATGCCTTCACTTCCGTCGCGCTGCACCTCAAACTTTTGAAATGCTATCCAATAACTAACATGGACGGATACTCACAGTCCCCATCGCCGCCGCAGCGGCCGCCGTAGCCGGGGCCGCCAGCGCCGCCGCGTACCTCAACGCCAAATACCACATCGCGCACGACCTGCGTGGCGAGCTGCAGATGCCCATGGCCATCGTGTACGCGCTGATCCGGGCGCGCAAGAAGCGGCTGCTCAACTACCACGTCCTCGAGGAGCAGGCAGCACGGCAGCCCGACCACCCCTTCCTGATCTTCGACGCCGCCAGCGGGCCCGACCGGCGCGAGTGGACCTACGCGCAGTTCCTGCGCGACGTGCGGCGGGCGGCGGCCTGGCTGAAGGACGACCTGGGCGTCGCCGTCAAGGAGATTGTCGCGCTCGACGGCCAGAATAGCCCGGAGTATATGATCTTGTGGTTTGCGCTCGATGCTATCGGCGCCGTGCCGAGCTTCATCAACAGCAATTTGACCAGCAAGGCGCTGGTGCACTGCGTGACGGTGAGTAATCCGATGGTTGGAAACGAGATCTCTTGGCTGACGATGTCCTTTTTTCTTTTGCGTACCTGCAGCTTTGCGAATGCCGGTATCTGCTGTGCGACGCCGAGACGAAGCCATTGGTTGAGCCGCATGAGGCTGAACTCAAAACTTCCGGAGTACGTCCCTCTCAACCACCCCTATCCCTGAGCAGAAGGACAAAAAAGAAAAAAACAATGACATCTCTCGATACCCCCCCGAAGACCTCCAAGCAACCCTCACTAACCCTCCCAGGTCCGCACCATCTACTACTCCCCCGACCTCACCACCACCTTCCTGCCCCCCACCGACCCCTCCAACCCGACGGGCCCCCTCATCCCACCCTCCCACACCGCCTCCCTCCTCCCCTCCGACCTCCGCGCCCTCATCTACACCTCCGGCACAACCGGCCTCCCCAAAGCGACCCAAATCTCGACCCTCCGCGACCTCATCGTCGGCCACGCCGTCTCGCGCAACCTGCGTCTCGGCCCCCACAGCCGCATGTACACGTGCATGCCGCTGTACCACGTCGCGGCGCACGCGCTGTGCACGCTCGCCCTCCTCCACGCGGGCGGCACCGTCGTGCTCGGCCGCCGCTTCTCGCACGCCCGCTTCTGGCCCGAGGTGCGCGCCGCGCGCGCGACGGCGATACAGTACGTCGGCGAGCTGTGTCGGTATCTGATGAACGCGCCGGCGTCGCCGCTGGATAGGGAGCATGAGGTCAGCATGGCCTGGGGCAACGGGATGCGGCCGGATATATGGGAGGCGTTTCGGGAGCGGTTCGGGGTCGAGACGATTGCGGAGTTGTACGGGGCGACGGATGGGATGGCGGGGATGACGAATTTGAATAAGGGCGAGTTTACGCGGAATGCGTTGGCGTTGAGGGGCGCGCTGTGGCGGGTCAGGAATAGGGGGAAGGTGGCGATTGTGCGGGTGGATGCGGAGGGGGAGGTGGTGAGGGGGGAGAGGGATGGGTGGGCGGTTAGGTGTGGGGTGGGGGAGCCGGGCGAGATGCTGCAGAGGATGGATCGGAGGCAGCCGAATGATGGGTTTGCGGGGTATTATAGGAATCCGGGCGCGGGGGATAAGAGGAAGTTGGGGGATGTGTTTGAGAAGGGGGATCTGTGAGTTGCTTTTTTCCCTTGGTTTCTTTTCCCAACTCCCACTCCCCCCCCCTTCCCTCTCTTGTCCTTCTGGACCACCCCCACTAACACACATTCCCCCCCCCCGCAGCTGGTTCCGCTCCGGCGACATGATCCGCCTCGACGCCGAAGGCCGCCTCTTCTTCGTCGACCGCCTCGGCGACACCTTCCGCTGGAAAGCCGAAAACGTCTCCACCAACGAAGTGTCCGACGTCGTCGGCGCCTTCGCGCAGGTGGCCGAGGCCAACGTGTACGGCGTGAGCGTCCCGCACGCCGACGGCCGATGCGGCGCCGCCGCCATCACCTTCGCCGACGGCGTGGCTTCTGAAGAAACTTTTGACTTCAAGGGCCTGGCCGAGCACGCCGTCCGCTCGCTGCCGCGCTACGCCGTGCCCATCTTCGTAAGGGTCACTCCGCGGATGGATTATACGGGGACGCTGAAGATGCAGAAGGGGAGGTTGAAGGAGGAGGGGATGGATGTGGCCAAGGTTGAGGCGGCGGGCGATCGGTTGTATTGGCTGCCGCCCGGTGGGGATCGGTATGTAAGGTTCAAGGAGGAGGATTACGCGCGGATTAAGAACGGGGAGGTGAAGCTGTGAGGGGAAAGATAGAGAAAGAGAGATGTAGCAGAGTGGCATACGGTAGGAAAAGTGAGCGAGCGGCGTTCAGCATACTAATCGACGGCGTCAGGGGTAACATTTAATGCAAAGACTCGAATAATTCATAACGCTCTATCTATCAATAAGGAGAGAAGAAAGGAAAACGATACGATGTGTCATGGCTGTCCTACTCCTCGTCGGGTCCCACCGGCCTCGTGCTGGCGGCCAAGTTGCACTGCCTAAACAGCCTGACCTCGTCCTCGGCGAAGGCGCCGACGACCGAGTGGATGACACCCTGGTTGTTGAACAGCACCAGGTCGCCCTCCTCCCAGTCGTGGGGGTAGACGTACTGCGGCGAAATGGCCGGGCGCTGCAGGCGATAGATGGTCTCACGCACCGTCTCGAGGTCGTCGATCACGCTGCCATCCGCGAGATGGATCTTGCGCACCGCACTGGGATGCACCTGCAGAGCCAGACGGCCGGTCACGGGGTTCTTCCAGCACATGGGCAGCACCATGATCTTGTCCTGCTCGACGGGCGGCAGCTCGGACTCGGGCAGCTCCTTGCCCTCGCTGATCATGCCGAGGCCGGTGGAGCGCGAGGCGGCCGTCGACATCCAGACGTAGGGGTGCGGCGCGTACTCGACCTTGTTGGAGCGCACGAACTCCTTGTCCTTTTCGGACAGCAGGTCGTACATGCGGTAGCCGCTGACGAAGGCGGTGGTGCCGAGCGGGACGTCGAGCTCGTCGCCGGTGCCGTCGTCGTAGCGGCACGTCTGACGGCGGCCCTTGGGCACCTTGACGGCCAGCAGCGACGTCACGCGCGGCGGGTTCAGCGCGTACAGCGCCGCGTCGATGTGCCAGCGGAAGAAGCGCGTGAAGTCGAGGTCCTCGGCGTCCGGCACGTGCGTCTTGTGGAACTTGCGGTGGTGCGGGTGCCGCAGCTGGATGTTGCTGAGCCCCTCGTACGACTCGATAAAGCCGTTGCCGATGACCTGCACCTGCGGCTGGTGCGGAATCGTCTTGAGGTCGGGATGCAGGACCGAGCGCTTCGCGTCGAGCGTCTTGCCGTGCCCGTAGTTGGACGACGCCGGGTCGAAGCGCTGCGTCAGCTCGTACTGGGCCTTGGGCGACAGCTGCGGCGTGGTCTTGATCACGACGACACTGTTGCGGTACAGGGCGTCGTGCAGGAACTCGAAGTCGGCATCTGCGGGGCTTGAAGTCAGCCTGCTGTCGTTGCGATAGCGGTTTGACATGTTTTACTTACCCAAGGTGGTTACCGATCCCCGGAGTGCACCCTTATTGCGTAGAACCCATTTTACCAAGTACCAGTCACGTTTGCGTTCACAACTTACCGCTCATGTTCTCTACATCAAGGCCGGTGACGACGGCGCCGAAGTCGACGTCAGAGCCGGGAGCCTTCGGGAGGGGCTGCACGGACGGAGATACGGAGTGGGGCATTTTGAAAGTTTTGGTGAGACAGCAGCTCTCTGTGTGTGTAATGTTCTTGGTTTGTATGGGTGATAGACGTCTTGGAAGTGAGCTTTATATAGGCGTGGGGATGGACGGGTCCGGAGGTCTCCTATCGCAGTGATCGTCGTTGCGTAAGGGTTTGGCTGACGGAGCGGAGGGGCAAAGCTCGGAGGCCACCGACGCCCTGCCGTCTCGGCCTTCGGACTATCGTCGTTTGCCGAATCGCTACCGGACTTCTTCTCCACGGCTGCGGTTAAGAGAACCTTAAAACCCAATATCTGCATTTTTGCATTTTGGTGACGATTGACCAGTAAGTCTGTGGGAAAGACCAAAGAAACCCGCGTTGTGCACCAAAGGGAAGCGCAATTGCCTGCTGGATTCTAGCCCGATAAGCAAAGTCACGTGATGGCGCGTCTACCTGGTGTTTTACAAAATGCTGACATACCTTCCTCCCACCTTCCTTCTTGTCCTCCACTGCATGAGAGTCGTTGCCTAATCCCAAACAGGCGGGATCCCCACATTCCGCCATCATGTCCGAAGGATTCGTAGTGTCGAATTGACCCCGCAGGCAGCAATTAGAAAATTGAAATCATCATTCTTCCTTCCCAAAACCATCTCTCGCATCTTTCGTCGCAAACATGTCCAGTCAAGACTCGGCCCTCCCACGCGGCTCCCTCGTCCTCGTCACCGGCGTCAACGGCTTCCTCGCCAGCCATGTGGCGGACCAGCTCCTCCAGTCAGGCTTCTGGGTCCGCGGAACCGTGCGGTCTCTGGAGAAGAACCAGTGGGTGCAGGACTTGTTCGACCAGAAGTACGGCGCGGGGAAGTTCTCCCTCGTCCATGTCCCCGACATGGCTGCCGACAACGCTTTCGACGAGGCTGTGAAAGGTTTGCGGTTTTCTTCGTATCACGGCTTGAGTGAATCATTGTGGGAACATACCACCTGACGTTAACGCATAGGCGTCTCTGGCATCGCCCACGTCGCCTCCGTCATGGGCGATTCGCCTGACCCGAACGTTGTGATACCGACCGTCATCACGGGCGCCCTCAACGCGCTGCGCTCCGCCGCCAAGGAACCAGGCGTGAAGCGCTTCGTGCTGACGTCTTCGTCGACTGCGGCCTACTCCCCCAAGCCTGGAGTGGCGTTCGACATCACGGAGAAGTCATGGAACGAGGAAGCCGTGGCCGAGGCGTGGGCGGACCCGCCGTATGATGAGAGCAGGGGATTGGCTGTCTATGCCGCGAGCAAGACTCAGTCGGAGCAGGCCGTGTGGAACTGGGTGAAAGAGGAGAAGCCGGACTTTGTGGTTAACACGAGTAGGTCTTGCGCAGTCCGCCCTCGTCAAGCTTGTATCCATGGAAGAGGGTCATATAAACGAGGATTCCCAAGCTGACCACTTTGATCATCAGTTTTGCCCAACTGCAACTTCGGGAAGAGCCTCGATTACAAGCATCAGGGACACCCGACGACGTCTGGCTGGATCACCGAGCTTTTCAAGGGCGCATCAACCGAGGCCAGGCTCAGCACATGGAAGCCTCGTACGTGGACTCTGTTTGCACTACTTGCAACATACGTAGGCTGACTAGCGTTCTTCCCAATCCTTTCATCGCCACAGAATACTTTGTCGACGTACAAGATACCGCACGCCTCCACCTCGCGCTCCTGACGCGCCCCGACATCCAAAACGAGCGCGTCTTCGCATTCGCAGCTCCCTGGAACTGGAACAGTCTGCTGCGCATTCTTCGCACCATGTTTCCTGGCCGGAAGTTCATGGATGATATTCCAGGTCTTGAGGATGACCCCAGCGTCATTCGACCGGCTGCGAGAGCAGAAGAAATTCTAAAGGGAATGGGGAGGCCGGGGTGGACGGGGTTGGAAGAAAGCCTGAGGGAAAATTTGGAGGAGTATTTGTAAGGGACAAGGGAGAAGATAGGGAGGGATAAATTCGAAGGAGAAGCATGTGTTCATTGGTCTGAGGTACGTCCGAAAATTAGATTCTAGAAATGATGGCAAGCACAGTCAGTAACGGGGCCAGTAACGGAGACAGAATGAACAAATCAAATCTCAAAGATGACGAATGCGCTGCATAGCCCACCTGCAGTACAAGGCACATCATTTGCTCTAATTGAATGCTGCAAAATGTGAAAACCTGCATATTTGCGGTCGATGTATGCATAGTGCCAAATTGAGAAGGAGCCCCGCTGTGGCGATGTCTGCAGGCTGACACTGCCTCGCAAGGCAGAAACGTAGCACGGTCTCACCCCACTAATGACTGTAAGTATTAGAAACAACCTCCTCCGCAGATGTCTCAGCCCATGCCTCAAAGATGTTCACAAGCCTTGCCATATCAAGACGTACGAACGTGCGATATCAGGAGCTATTATGCCAACATTGCAAACGATTATACCTACACCGCGAAAGCCTCACAGATATCTTCAAAAGGCACTCTCAAAAGATAATTAGTACACCATACAACAATCCGTCTGACTTCGCGACTACCCGGTTCGATAAGAAATGCCGTCTCTGCAGAGTTTTCCAGCAAGTCTATCCCACTTGCCTTCCTCCTGATTTGACGGGCTATGATGTCAAATTAGGAGTTCTCGACATAGCTAAAATATACGGCGATGATAGAGCTATGATCAGAGAACTCAAAAACATTGCTACGGGTATATTCTTTTGCGTAGAATATAGACCGAAATACACCAGGAAAGCATTCGTGCGGGATCCATTCACAGAAGCTGGCTGCATATTAGAGGTAAACGAACTACCTTATCTTCAGCTGCAGAAGCTTCGAAAACCCGAGATCGACTTCACCCAACTCAAAGCGTGGTTGGCTGAGTGTTGCGAATCACACACCAGCAGCTGTGCTAAGCCCACTGAGCCTGAACAAATAGCCGGAATGCAGGTCATCAATGTCCATTCCAGAGATGTAGTGCCTGCCACTCTAGACTTCGATTACGCCGCGTTATCCTACGTGTGGGGTCCGGAGGACAGAGGCACAGCACAACTCGGCTTACCCTACCCTGCACCTAGAACTATCGAAAATGCCTTAGAGGTGACAAGAAGGCTTGGAATTCGCTATCTCTGGGTCGACAGATACTGCATCCGACAAGATCGAAAAGACGAGAAACATGATCAGATCAGCAAGATGCATCTCATTTATCACAACGCACGCGTCACCATCATAGCGGCAGCAGGAAACGGATCAGAGTATGGCATTCCAGGGATCAGAGGGACTCCGAGGACTCCACAACCGTTTACGTACTCGGGTAAGGACATTGTTGTCACTGCGTTCCCTCATCCAACAAGTGTGATCAAGGGATCAAAGTGGGCTTCAAGAGGCTGGACATACCAAGAAGCTGCGCTTTCTAGACGGAGGCTTGCCTTTACCGCGTATGGTGCATATTTCGAATGCAATGGGCCTACTATCTCCGAAGGGATAGACGAACCCATTCGCCAGATAACGAGCAAGTCACCTCGCAAGCTTCAGTCACGCTTATGCGGCGGGATTAGCGCTTGGCCATCGCACAACATCTGGCAGCACATATCAGAATTCTCCAAACGAGATTTCTCCTTCCAAGAGGATCGGTTCAATGCTCTTCTCGGCATATTCGGGTCGTTGGAGAAATCAGGTGAACTGAAAGGACATTTATGGGGAATACCCATTGATGATTTTTCAACGCCAGCATTTCTCCAAAATTTGATGTGGGACACGAAAGAGGCTTCAAGCAGGAATGTGGGACTTCCTAGTTGGTCTTGGACTGGATGGAGAGGCGAAATTTGTAGTCGCCAGGACTCCCATTCCGAATGGGCAGTCGCACAGCAAGACCATCTCCGCGCCGGAGAATGTATATGGGTTGAGCTTTTAAGCGGAACTCTTATCCCGATTGAGGGTTACGGACTCTCAGACAGCACGATTAAGAGCCATTCGCTCTCTCAGTACATCCACATAAAAGCCCGCGCTTTCAGCTGCAAATTCAAGCTCCAACGATGGGAGTCCTACCAGGGTGTCCAGAACCACTGGTCACCCGTCATTCTTTTAGGAGAGCAGGAGTTTGAGTCCCCGTCTGTGTATTTACGTACACAAAGAACGATCAAGGGAACAGATTTTGAGCAAAGATTGGCCTCGGAAACATGGGACGTTATTTTTTGGCGAATAAGTGAGGACAAGACTTATTTCTTGGTGCTATGTCCATACAATGGCCATTCAGAGCGCTTTGGAAATTTTTGGGGTGGGCGTTACTTGAATCAGATTGTGAATTTAATTTCAAGGGACCGCATTTTTAGGCTAGGTTGAGATTTTGTTCTATTATCAATCACCCACCAAAGTCACCTTAGATGGAATTTGCGAGTAACTCTTGAAGTTCAATTGGAACATGACAATTCAACAACGTATCAACAGTCTCGCTTCCAAAATAATTCCCTAAGACCAACCTCATTCTACCCAAGAAAGACCTCCAACCTACTCATCCCCCACCCCCTTCCCCCCAAACCTCGGCAACCTCTCCACAAACGCCTCCCACGCTTCCTCCGACATCAACGGCACCCTCGCATACGCCTCGACCCCCAACCCCTCCACCAGCTCATCGAACCGCTCATACAGCGCCGACAACGCCTCTTCCTCCCTCTTCGCGATCCCTCTCCTCTTCCACCCCAGATTCTCTACAAACCAGCTCTCCGCCTGCCCCACGCACCCCGCCTCAAACACCGCCAACACATCCTCCGCCACGCCCGCGCTCCTCGCGGCGTCGTACGCGACGCTCCACCCCACCGCCTCGGCCACAGGCTTACACAGCGGCAGCACCCTTGCATTGAACGCTGTATCCGTCACATCCCTCGCCCCACCGCCCTCGGGCAGCGCATCGAACACCTCCCGCGCCTCATCCAGCAGTCCCGCCGCGAGCTTCGCCAGCGGTGCGTCCGGGAAGGCGAGCGGCGGGAGGGGGTGGTCCCTGTGCAGCAGCAGATCCGTGACGAGGCGGATGGCGATGACGACGACGTCGCCCTCGGCGAGCGAGTTGCCGCGCATGAGGTTCTGGCAGGACACGATGGCGTTGTGCTCGTACAGGCCCTGGGCGCCGCAGCGCTCGGCGAGGACGGTCAGGGTGGCCTGCGTCTGGGCCTGGATGGCCGTCTTGAAGGCGATGGCGAGGGCGGAGCGGAGGGCGAGCGGCGTGTCCGGCGAGGAGAAGGTGGCGGTGGTGCGCTGCGCCGCGGCGGCCCAGACGAGGGATTGGGCGAGGGCGTGGAGGATGGGGCGTTGTTGGGTGCGGTAGGCGAGGATGGGGAGTTGGGTGCGGCCGTCGGGCCCGGTGATGGTGCGGCGCGAAGAGTACTTGGCCGCGATGTAGGTGCTGAGTTTCAGGCAGGGCACGTTGACGGTGGAGAGGGAGAGGGTGCCGATGCTGGCGCGCGCGACGATGCTGGTGAAGTGCGCGACGGGGTCGGCGGGCTTGTCTAGGGTGCCCAGGAGGGAGTCTTTGGGGAGGCGCTTGTGGTTGAACAGTGTTACGGCGTGGTCGGTGGCTTGGGTTCCGGCGCGCTTCGGCAGGGCGTAGGAGATGACGCCTTCCTCCATCTTCTCGCTGTCGTGGAGGAGCACCCAGAAAGGTCGGACACCCCTGTCTTCTCCGTCGACGATGAGGCGTGCAAATACGATGCCACCGCGCGGCATTCCAGCATCGAGCGTGTTTGGTGACATGAACTTGGCGGCCCGTTGATAGGGAGTGTGGAGGTCGAAAGTACCATCGGGCTGCAGGGTTGCCGTTGTCTTCAGTTCATCGGCGTCGACTCCCCAGCCAACTTCGGTAAGAAGATACTGGCCATTGATCTCAAATTTCAGAAGCTTGTCAATAAGTGGTGCCAGATCCGGTCTGTCCTTCAAGTAAGTGCCCAAAGTTCCGACACAGAGATTCAGATGGGTAGTCAGAAGCACCAAACAGTTGTTGGCGACGGCGTGAATGGTGTCGAGGTGGAAATTCCAGAAATTGGGCGATAGAGTGAGGATATCCTGAAGGGTGAGGCCTGCACGTAATTAGCGTTGAAGAAGTAGTGATTGGGTGAAAGTTGGGTTATACCATGGCGCTGGCAAATCAAGCGAGCTCTGTCGTAGGCATTCTTGATATCTGCTGGCGAAGCGAAGCCTGTGGGAACGCCAGGCTGAAAAGGCTGAAGAGTCAACAGATCCTCCGAGTTAGACATGATGATAGTTAGTGAGAGCGAACAAGTAGGGTGGGCGGCGCTGTAAGGCTTATAAAGTGTCTTATTTTGCAACGCTAAAAATACAACAAAGCAAAGGAGTGTTGCGGCGCAGCGTTCAGTAGTAAGACGTCATTCTGGGTCATGGTCAGCAGCCGACACGGCAATTGGCGCTGAGCTGAAAAGATAATTCCCGATTGTGACTCGTTGGAGCGAAGGCTGACAGGTACCTCAGCCGCAGGGCCAATGGCAGGGCGCATGCAAGAGCCGCTGAGGCTCAGCAATGGGGCGCATAGGGCAAGCGAGATACCGACCACAGCCTAGGCGCAAGTCATATGATGCGGCGTGGACGATGAATGATGCTGCCTTGTATTGGAGGGTAAGCGGGGGCCAAAAGCCACGGAGTCGGTGTTCAGGCGCATGTCATGCCTGAGGGCTGAAGTCGAGTGGGACGATCAAAGGAGCATCGCATCGTCATGCATTTTGGATGTGTCTAGACGTGCAGTTGTACAACGGGTGGAGTCGAAGTGGCAGGCGCAGAAGGCCGAAGCGAGAGCAGGCAGAGTCGTATTTCCGAGCGTCTTATCGATAAGCGAGGCGCCGGCAGCGGCGGCTTGAATCCCAAGCCCGCGTTCTAGGCAACAGTCAGGCCAACACGATCGTCCATTGATCTTGCAGAGAAGCTAGGCTAAGCTCTGAGAACAAACGAGCGCCGCGACCGTCGGTAGATCAAGCAGGTGAGGGCTGTGCAGTCCGGGGTTGGTTGCGTGCTCGGAGTGCCGATGTGCGTGTAACGCGTCACCGCCACACCACCATTCTCTCGGTCTCCTCAACACCCCCCTCTGCCAGCACGTCTGGGTGTCTCTCCTAGCTGCTGCCATGATATCGCCTTCCGACGATGCGCTGCCCGTGGCGCATTGGCGGGCGTGCGGTGACAGCTGCGACCGCCCGTGGCTTCTCGCCTCTCCTGTTCTCGACCAGGTCCGCGCCGATCGCTACCTCCGCGCCATCCCCGCTGCTGTCGCAATAGCTGTGCTTTTGCTGCACGCAGTGCGCCCCCTTCTGAAACGAAGGCCACAGTGGTCCAAGCGGTTCGCTGCCGAGCCTCACTCTCACGCTAGTCGCAAGACATGGACACACTGGACTGCCATTCTTTTTGTGCTGTCTTCCATTGCTCTCGTACTAGCCGTCGCCGCCTCCATTCTTCCCCCTCACTCGCCGCTCGGAGCCCTGGATGTTGTGCCATGGGCAAGCCTCCCACCGCATACCAGTGAAACATTCACGCTGACTAAGCCTGCCAGGCAATCGCCCTTCTCATCGTGGCCATTGACCGCCCAAAATCTACTCCTCTGACTCTTTTGGGTCTCCTATTTACCGTATTCGTCTGCCGGCTAGCTGCGTTAATCTTAACGGCTTCTGCATCCAAGGCCTCAAAAGCATTGGCTATTTCGGAAACATGCATAACCGCCCTCACGGTTGTTGCCATTTTGGGCATGCCCATGCGAGACCCAAACATGCCCACCACTGACATCAGCAAGCCTTCCTCGTCTCCCACTTCTGAGCTGCGAAGCCCCGAGGACAACCTTACTCTCTGGCAGTTCCTTTCCGTCTCTTGGATGTCCCCCTTGATCGCTCTCGGTGCAAAGAGACAGCTGCACGACGAAGATGTGTGGTTCCTGCCTTATGATTTCCAGCATAACCGACTACACATTCTGTTCAGAGAGCTCAAGGGCAGTGTCGTCAAACGGCTACTGCTTGCCAATGGCTTGGATCTGATCATCACCACTACGCTTGCCATCTTGGAATCTGGAGCAAGTAAGCCCATCTGCATTCCTGATTGCGCTGCCCGGCTGCTAACATTTGCTCAGACCTCGTCGCCCCCGTACTCCTTCAACAACTTCTGCGCGCCATTGAACGCGGAGGCTCTGGACGGAAAGAAGCCGTCATTTTTGCCACTTCGATCCTTGCTGTTCGCATGGTTGCAGCCCAGTCTGCAGTCGTGTCCTTGTGGTTTTGCAGGCGATGCTACGAGAGGTCCAGAGGCGAGATGATCACCATGATTTACGAGAAAACCTTGACTCGCAAATCTTTTGGTGCGCCCGAAGAAGAAAAGAAGAAACAGGACGACAGTGATGAAAGCGAAATCGACCAGTCCTCGGCCGAATCGCCGAAAGGAAAGACCTTTTTCGCCCGTCTCTGGTCTCGTCTGAGCCGCGTTTTTCGTCGTACTCGGCAAGATGGCAAGGCCCACAAAGAAGCAGCAAAGCAACCCGCCTCCATGGGTAAAATTCTCAATCTGATGAGGAACGATGTGTATGAAGTAGCTCAGAGATTTTGGGAATTTCCAGACATTTTCACAAAGCCATTGCGGATGGTCATTTCTGTCATTCTTATCTGGAAGCTCCTAGGGTGGCCCTGCCTGTTCGGCGTCACCGTCGTCATCGCCGCTCAGCTCATCAACGCTGGATACGTTCGACTACTACTACGATGGGAGCGCGTGCGGCGTGTCGCCACAGACCAGAGACTGCATGCAACTTCACAGTTCATCGAGGCCATCCGCCATCTCCGGTGGTACGATTGGCAGGATCAATGGCTGGACAAGATCATGGATGCCAGGCAGCGCGAGCTGAACCTCAGAGTCATCACGACCACATTACAGATGCTTATCGGCTCAAACAATATCATGGCTGGCTGCCTGTTTCCGGTCTGTGCCTTCTTTGCATATACTCTTCTCGCCGGAAGGCCACTCTCCGTGGACATTGCTTTCCCTGCACTGCAACTCTTCAATATGTTGGCTGTTAGCCTTCGTGAGATTCCGGGCCTTATCACTACACTTCTCAATGCCTCTGTTGCCGTCGGTCGTATCAACGACTTTATGGCTGAGCCTGACAAGGAGGATGAGTATTCCGAGTTGCGTGGAACTGATATTGCCTTCCACGATGCCTCATTCGCCTGGCCGGGCTCCACGAATACCGTCCTAGACAATTTGAATCTTCAGTTCACCACTGGTCTGACGGTCATCGTCGGAAAAGTCGGAACAGGTAAGACGGCCCTCCTCCAGGCAGTCCTTGGAGAGCTTGATAAGCGAAATGGTGAGGTTGTTGTGCCGGATGAGATGATCGGCTACTGCGCCCAGACCCCTTGGCTGCAGCATATGAGCATTAGAGAGAACATTCTTTTCTCATCGCCGCTTGACGAGACCCGGTATAAGCAGGTCCTGGAAGCTTGTGCTCTGACTCCTGATATGGCAAATTTCAAGCACGGTGATCTCTCAGACCTGGGCGAGAACGGCGTCGGCCTTTCAGGCGGCCAAAGAGCCAGAGTGGCCCTCGCGAGAGCAATCTACAGCCCAGCGAGGACGCTTCTGCTTGATGACCCCCTGGCAGCTCTGGACCACAATACCGCCGAGACTATTGTCAACAGACTTTTGCGCGGCCCGCTTGTCGAAGGACGTACCATCCTACTCGTAACCCACAGGGTTGACCTGGTTTGCCATATAGCAGACCAGATTGTAGAGATACAAGATAACAAGGCTCAGATAATAGATGCCGAAGCGCTGACTGAAGAGCTACACGGACCGGACGGCGTCCAAGCAGGAGCCATTGCCCCTCTCGAGGACGATCCTACTGAAGAGGAAGATAAGCAAGCCGACTCGGAGCCAGACAAATTCATCGAAGAGGAAGGTAGGAAGCATGGTGAAGTTATGGCATCCGTCTACTGGGAATACATCAAGGCAGGCAAGATCAGATGGTGGATTACCCTCATCGTAATCTTCGCCTTGTTCCGACTTGCCAGATTATTCAACTACTGGTTCCTCAAGGCTTGGGGAGAGGCGTATGAAGAGGCTGGCGAACAGGCAATCTCGTTTGGCCTTTCAAGTTTCTTCGATAAGCTCCCACCCCCTGAAACCAATGTCCGGCCCTGGCTGCTATGGTTCTTCATTATCGCCATGCTTCTGACGGCCATGTACTTCCTTTCCGATGTGGCTCTTCTTATCATCGTATACACGGCAGGCAAACGCTTGTACAAAGAAGTCATGTGGAAGGTCAGCCGTGCCAACTTCCGCTTCTACGACGTCACTCCGGTTGGACGGTTGATGAATCGTGTCACGTCAGACATTGGGACGTTGGATGGTGGGATAAGTGACCAGCTTCAGAGTGTGGCATGGTACTTGATCGGCTGGATCGCAGCCATTGTCGTGATTGCTTCCGTCACGCCCCTATTCCTCATCGTCTCGCTGATCCTGACCGCGTGGTTTGTCTACATTTTCATGCGCTTCTTGCCAACATCGCAAAGCCTTCGTCGGCTTGAGGTATGTACTCACCTATCCCAATAGTGGCAGGCTAACTGAAAACCGTACAGATGGTCTCGTTGAGTCCGCTCATGTCCAACTTCGGTATACTTCTCAATGGACTGACCACCATCCGAGGTATGCCCACGCCTTTCCTATAGTCAGCACCTGCTAACAGTCAACCAGCGTTCCGCGCCCAACCTCGCTTCCAAGACCGCGTCATCGCCGTCACCGACGCCTTCCAGAAGATGGACCACTTCTACTGGAGCCTCCAAGCATGGCTAACCTACCGCTTCGACGCCCTCTCGGCCTTCTCCTCCTACGGCCTCACCCTCCTCGCCCTCTACGAAGACCTCACTCCCGGCCTAACCGCCTTCATGCTGACATCCGCCTCCAACTTCGTCCTCTTCACGCACTCGCTCTGCAAGCAATACGGAAAACTCCAAATGGACTTCGTCTCGGTCGAGCGCGTCGTCGAGCTCCTCCACCTGGACGAAGAGCCCGTCGGCACCGTCATACCCCCGGCCGCCTGGCCCTCCACCGACGCCGACATCGTCCTCGACAACGTCACGGTGCGCTACGCGCCGCACCTCGAGCCGTCGCTGGAAAACGTGTCGCTGCGCATCCCGGCCCGCGCTACCTGCGCCATCGTCGGCCGGACGGGGTCGGGCAAGAGCACGCTCGCGCTCGCGCTGCTGCGCACCGTGCGGCCTGAAGCGGAAGCAGAAGGTGGCGGAGGAGGCAGCATCACGGTCGGCGGCGTCGACCTCGCCGACGTCGACGTCCACGCCTGGCGCCAGCGCATCACGTTCGTCGCGCAGGACCCGGTCTTGTTTCCGGGGACGATGCGCGACAACCTCGACCCGGTGCGCGCGCACGGCGACGACGAGTGCGCGGCGGTGCTGGCGCGGGTGTTGAATGAGCATGGTAGTAATAGCAGCAGCAGTGGTGGTGGTGACGACAACAACGCGGATAACAGTAACAGCAACAACAACAACAACCAACAGTGGACGCTCGACTCGCGCGTCGAGGCGGGCGGCAAGAACCTGTCGCAGGGCCAGCGGCAGCTGGTCGGGCTGGGCCGCGCCATCCTGCGCCGCAGCCCCATCATCATCCTCGACGAGGCCACGGCCAGCATCGACAAGGAGACGTCCACCGCCATCCAGGAGGTCCTGCGCGAGGAGCTGCGCGACAGCACCGTCATCACCATCGCCCATCGCGTCGAGGCCGTCAAGGGCGCCGATTTTGCTGTCGTCTTGGACAAGGGGAGGGTTGTGAGGGCTGGGAAGCCGGAGGATGTGGTTGTGGGGTAGGGAGAATACATTTCGCTATTTGAAAGATTGAGAAAGATGGTAGAATAGGGAGAGAGGGCGGATCTTAGATTTATGATTGTGATGTGCCTAGGTAAGATGGATGGGGAACAAAGATTGGACAGATGGAAGAAAATAGCGGCGTTTGTCTTGGATCAACTGACTTCACTTGGCTCGAACGGCGGGATGAATGATGTAACTACATGAGTTCTAGTTGAATCCCGTAGGGGAATCACAAACCACCATGAGTGAAGATACGACTGGCTTCCCGTCATTATCCGTTTCGGCCGAGACCAGCCTTGGAGTCAACACATCCAGTCGTGCTCCTCACAGATCAAATCTCAGCAGCACCGTCCAACAGCTCAAATGGCGCATCCCTTCATTTATCACGGTCGGACTTAGATCATGCGGGAGAAAGAGGTGTTTCAATAATACAGTTGTTCGCCAATGACAGGCTTTTGTCGGGTTTCGCGGTGTAGTCGGACGCCGGGGATCGGACGGAATGATAGCAAACCCTCCGGGTATGTTAACCGTGCTCCTAGAGCCACGAGAGAACTTGGTCGAAAAATGATTGCGACGGCACCAGACCTCTTCTAAAAACAGTTTTAGTCTTCTTTTCCATTCTCTCTCGGTCCATGTCTGCTTGGGTTCGGACTTAGAGCTAGGTCGTGATTTTTTCCCACAGCCACGCCAAGGCCGCGTCATCGCTTTCGACAGCTCCCCGCGTCTCCCCCATTCGGTCCCTTCCGGTCACCGTGCACTGCTTCCGTGTTTGCCTCAGAGACACACGCGCAAACCGCCCCACTACCCGCCACCACGCCATCCGCACAAATCACTGCGCCTCCTCTTTAATGGTGCCATCAATAGGTACTTTAGCTGCTTTCAATCTAGCCTTCGTCGTCACCAGTTCAACCGTGCTTGCTTGCTGTCGTGTCTTCGTGACCGTATAGAAACCACCTTCTCTCCCATCTCAATCTATTCGCCTCCACAGTCACCACGCAAGCATTCCCTCGTTTTCTCAGCCCTGCGACTTATTTCGCGGTTGTTGACCAGCCCGGACCACCACCACGCCTCTCCCACCCTAACCCAATTAGGCAAAAAAGCCACACAACCACCGCAATGCCATCCACATCCACCACCACCGCCGCCAGGCTATCAACCCTCCTAGCCTCCGCTCTTCTTCCCTCCCTCGCCACTGCCCAAACCTACTCCTCATGTAACCCGACCAACTCGTCGCAATTCCCGTGCTCCGCCGACGCCGGCCTCTGCCAAAGCACCGTCTTCGAGTCGGACTTCACGACCGGAGACAACAGCAGCTGGCACTCGCTGGCAGGCACAGTGACGTACTCTGACGAGGGCGCGGCCTTCACCATCGCCGAGCGAGGCGACGCGCCGACCATCGAGACCGACTTCTACATCTTCTACGGCCGCGTCGAGGTGACGATGAAGGCCGCCCCGGGAACGGGCATCGTGAGTTCGATCGTGGTCGAGAGCAACGACCTGGACGAGATCGACTGGGTACGTCTTTTCCCCTCCCCTCTCCCGCCCCCCCTCTCAACCCCTTCCACTGACAAACCGAACCACAGGAATTCCTCGGCGGCGAAAACTCCATCGTCCAATCCAACTACTTCGGCAAGGGAAACACGACGACCTACGACCGCGAAGAGGAGCACGACGTGACGACGCCGCAAGACGTCTCGCACGTCTACGCCATCGACTGGACGGCCGAGCAGATCGTGTGGTCGATCGACAACACGACGGTGCGCACCCTCGCCTACGCCGACGCGCTGTCCGGCCAAAACTTCCCGCAGACGCCCTCGACCGTCCGCCTCGGCATCTGGGCCGGCGGCGACGAGGACAACTCGTACTGGACCCGCGTCTGGGCCGGCGGCAACACCACCTACTCCGCCGCCGCGGGCATGCCGTGGACCATGACGGTCGAGAAGGTCAGGATTACGAATTATAACCCTGCTAGTAGTTATAATTATACGGATACGACGGGCAATGCGGATAGTATTGCGTTGATTGGGACGGATTGCGAGGAGGCGAGCTCGAGTGAGAGTAGTTCCAGCAGTTCCAGCAGCAGCAGCACCACCACCACCACGAGTAGCAATGGGACCGCGAGTGTGAGCGCGTATGCGGAAACGACGCCGGGTAGCTCCAGCACCCCGACTCCCACCCCCAGCTCCAGTTATTCGAGTGGTGGCGTTGAGAGGTTGGGTGGAGGCCTGAGGGAGTTTTTGTTTGGCAGCTTTTTCGTTGCACTGCTTTTGCTTTGAGGAGTTAGCGGAGCACTGGGGGGTCTTGGCGATGACTTTTTGATGGGACCTTTTTTTAATGCGTTGATGTGGAGTGATATGACTTCATGACGAGGATTCAAATATTCGGGTTATCGATGGCTTGTTTACGTCAGTGCAAAATTACGCCTTTGGTGTATAACCTGGGATCTCACGCGGTGACAAACAATTTGGATTGCATAACAACTTCAAAAAAAAAAAAAAAGCTACTGCCTTGACGAGAATGGTAGATTGAAGCTCCAATTTGCTAAAAAAAAAAAAAAAAAAAAAAGGAAAGAAAGGGCCCGGGATAAAGGGAACGGACTAATAAGAGCGGGAGCAAAGTAATAGCCTCAATATCGCAAGGGAAAATATCAAACAGGTGAGACTTTACATTTGATTTGTGCACTCCTTTCCTCATGGCTGATACGAACGAAAGAAAGGCCAACAAGGAGTCAAATCCTCTAAAGCTTTTGGGATGTATATCCAAGAAAGAAATGTACTATTGATCGAAGCTCCCATTCCCAGAGTATTTTAGAACTTCTGCACAGATCCCATTTTGGCGTGGAAAGCTGTGTTTTCGGGCTCGGTATTTTGATCAATCAAAGAGAGACTGTTTTGCAACACCGAAGTCGGAATAGGCGTAGTTGTTCGATCCGTTATTCATTCAAATTCAGAGGCCTCCGTTGTGGTAGAGCCCGGTTTTTCGTCGTGCCCTAAGCCAATGATACGTCTGAAATCCACGCTTGAACGCCACTTTGCTTTCCCAAGCTTGAGTCTCAGCGAATTCGTTTGAACCTTCCCAACAACAATAGCACCGGTCTCTGAGTATGCATAACTCCCCTTTGGCGGCTGGTTTGACATCTCAAGTAAAGATTGATAACAAGGGGAATGGCCTTCTCTGCACAGATTTCTGATGGACCAACTGGTTGCATTACCAGGAACGCAGTAGAGATCGTTGTAGACCTTCAGAACGTCACCGCCACCGCATTGCTGGGACAGCTGTCGTACGCATGGCATGGAGGCTGTAAGAAAGTATTGCTGCTTAGGGATCTCGCTCCAAGTCAGACAGCAATCGGGTTCTTCTGATGTCGGTTGGATAGGGTCCACGAGACCGCTGCAGAATAAAACTGCAATATCGGGTCGTGAGGCGATAAGCTTTAGCCAACCAGCACTCTTTGCTGCGTCGATAGTGGCCCTTTTGGAAGCAATGTGCTCTTGAAATTCGCAAATTTCTTTGAACTCGTACCCGACCAGGTCTTTTGTCTCTCTACTTTTTGCTCCTATCTGCTGGTCCTTGATGTAGGTAATGCGTGCGAAGAACTCGACTAGCAAATGAGAGAAAGTGTTTGCCTCGTCTGTTTGGATGTGTGCTGGTAGTTCGGACCCCATTGCGGATTGGATGGCTTCGTAGGCTGCTTCTCCTCCATGGTGGTGCGGCATAGCGTACGGCATTTTCTCCAGAACATCTTCAGCTTGGTCTTGATAAGATGCCCATGCCAAAATCATATGCAGAACAACACTGAGCTCCGGTACAAGCCATGCTCGCTTTGTTCCAACATCATATATCAATGTAGATGCCTGTTTGGCGTTTCTGATCTTGTCATGGATGCGTTTGTGAGCCGCCATTATCCTTCGGTTTGCCGTCTGATGTATTTGGACCGTTGCAGAGACTTCTGCAGTAAAGAATCCCATACCAGACGTTCCGAATGTTCCTGTGATCTCATCTCCTAAGATGATTCTGTTCTTGTCATTGTACTGAGCTCCTGATAGCTCCACAGATCGAAATCCAGAAGTCCTCGTCCCAAGATGGATTTCTGCGTTTGGCCAATATCCGACGAACATCCTCTTTTCAGAGAGGTTCCTAATGTGAGACATATCCGTCATCACATCTCCAGATTTTTTGATCAAATCCCATAGTGATTCAGAGTCCCCTTCATCTGTCTGAACGAAGTGCCACTGGATGCAGTTGTCGCTGGTCGATGCTATTGGAAGCAGGGCCGTCTCATCTCCCTTGAGAAAAATTTTGTCGTCGTAGTGGCAAGGATGCCATATCAGACCGAGCAACTTCATTGCTTGAAACGGTAGCTCGACGCCTTTCTCGTCACTTCTTTCCGGAATTGGAAAGCCTACGGCCAAGTTGAATCCTTCGAACATCCGATGCCAACATGTTGCAACAGTTTCGGTAGCTCCTCGTTCCAGAGGAATCCTTTGTAGTATTTCGAAATAGCCGCGGTCATGGCCGGGCCGAATCAAAGAATCTGAAAACTGGAGATTTCCTTCCTTACATGGATTGAAGGTTGCGGTGAACCATCGGAGCAATTCGGCAACTTGGGCGGCAAAGTTTTTGCTCCCTTGGGCCACCACGATTGTCTCGATCCCTGTCCAAACCATGACGGAACCGCCATCAGGATGTCTGGAGGAGTTGTTCAAGGCCTGGAAGCGCGGGTGCGACTCTTGGATGTTCGATATAAACATGTCCAGCAATTTGGGGCCGACAGTTGGCCAAAAGGTTTCGACGTATTCTTTGCAGGTCGTAGAGAATGCTTTCTCTGGCGTTCCGCTAACTGTGAGCATGGAGCTTAAGGCTTGGTCCGTCGGTAGCTCACTCAGAACGAACCTCGGTAGATCCAAATCGACCCAGAAAACCGTACATGAGGTCTCCATTGCGCTATTCTCCTCGAGGACTTTGCGGGTCTCATTCTCGGCATCCGAGGCTCGGATGGAGGATTCCGGTGCTTGCCCGTCGATGGGCCTCTTCCTAAAGACCTCAGAAAAAGGGGTGGATAGATTGTCCATGGACGCAAGTTGACCAAGAAACCCAGTCGGGCGATCAGCCATGAACCACGGCGATCTTGCTGTGGAAATGAGCTGCGTAGTCTCTGGCTCCCATCTGTCCGTCCGAGCTCCAAAGTTGTGAATCAGCCGAGCTAGCAGTGTGTATCTTCCGCTTTTATGAATTCTCATGCCTGAGAAGCAGCATGTGGCTGTCAAAGTGGCCTCGTTGAAGTCCTTGAGGCAAAGATTTTGGCTGGTATCCTGGCAAACCCAAGTACCATCTATTGGCGGCAACAAGAATTCATCCTCATCCAAAAGGTCCAACAGCACTTTGTATCTGCCGGCTGCAAGGGTTCCAATATGCCAGGTAGGGAGATTGCATCGAATGGTAATGAGTGCCGGGGATTTGCTCCCAACAGGCACCGTCGGGGGCGGCCCAGTTTCGAAGTAAAAGTCGATTGTGTGCTCCGGTGTGCTCCCTCTCAGGCTAGGAAACGCGAAGCCATAGTCCTCTTCTCTTGCATCTTGATCATAAGGTACGGCTCTATTAGCAGATGGTGCTCTCGCTATTCCCTTGGAGAAGTGCTGATGAGTTTGGGGAAAATCCGTAGACATGTCCAAACCACGTCTTCCTTCATAAACGCCAACTCCCTTCTTTTGGATAGGATGGGCCCCTAGTGATACTCTTGCGGCAGTTCAAGTACTTTGGTGTTCTTAAGGGAAAAACCACGCTTGACTTTGACTTCTGATATCGCTGCAGGAGATTATATATAACTGGTTTCGCGCTCATATAAGCAAAGGATTAATAACATGCCGAAGTTCAGCTTCGTCTGTCACCTTTCAGTTTCACGACAGGCTTCATCATCGGCGGTATGCACGACTATCCAATTACGCTCTACTTATCCTTGCACCAGGATGGGGGCCAGCACCCTGGTCGAGCAAACCGAGTCCAATGGGCAACATTGAAAGCTCAGCCACCATTTCGCCCCCGTACCTTCGGGAGCCAACCGCATTATTGGGAAAGAAACGACGCTTGTCTTAGAAATCTACCGCGATGTCAGCCTTGCTCGACTCCAAAAATATGCAACAGGGTGGATAGCAAGAACACGAGAGGACAGACGAAATTAGCGACACATTCTAAAATCGGAACTCCTTGCTATCAGCTCGTTCTTGGAAAACTTTTCGAGAGACTTTTCTCCATTTCCTACTTCGTTATCTTCGTTTATATTTTGCAAGGAGAGAAAGAAGGGAGAGGACATGCTCTTATGTAAGACCTTGTGAGAGCAGCGCACATGTCCGCCCAAGAAAGGGCCCCACTTCCATTCTCCACCCTCGTCGTCATCAGTAGTATCTCGTTATCCGGCCATTTTCATTGATGTCTGATCTCTCCCCTTCCATGCAGTCCTTCTTCATCCCCACAACCCCCTCAAACCGCTCAGAGCAAGCTCTTAATCGTCTGTCCGGCCTCCCACGTCTCACCGCCCTCGAGCGTGGTCCACTGCTTGACGGCGCCGGCCTCGACGCACACCATGGTCTTGTAGCCGTCGTCGGGGCCGAAGTCGCTCATGGCGGCGGCCTTCTCCTTCCACGGGTTCCAGACGACCGTGTCGGGCAGGTTGTCGCGGACGACGTCGTAGCGGGGCTTGCCGTCGACGAGCACCGACGTCGTGCTCTGCGGGATGGCGCTGTAGACGCGGTCCGTCTCGCCGGCGATGGTCAGGTTGGCCTCGGCCTGCGTGTGCGTGCTGGCGTTGAGCACCTTGTCCGTGTACGAGACGCCGAGGAGGCCCGTGATGCTGGTCTTGGTGATGTCCTGCATTGTTGGGAAAAAAAATTACAGTCAGTTTTCACGATTTCATTCCCGGAATTAAGCTCAAACTTCCGGAATGCTGAAGGAGGGGGAGAAAAGCCATTGAACACTCACCGCAACGCTCAGGTACGTGTGCATCAGGACCTGGAACTCAAACGGCTGCTGGCCCTCGTTGCGAACGTTCATGACCGTCTGCAGGCTGCCGGGGCCTAGGGTGACGCTGTACACCAGGCCGAAGTCGTGCGGCCACGCCTTACGCGCCTCGGCGCTCAGGTTCGACGAGTACAGGCCGAAGTCGAGCTTGACGCAGTCGTCCGACGGCGCGCCAGACTTGGCCGCGCCCGACTCGGACGTGCTCTTGCCCAGGAACTCCCACCGCGACGAGCGCGCGAAGCCGTGCTGCGACAGCGCCGACGTCGCGTGGTCAGCGGGCGGAGGACCGAAGACCTGTTGCCATGAGCTTAGAGTCAGCTTCGCTTGCCCTCCACCTCAAAGATAAAAAGGCATGGAGTCCAGAAAAATAATAATAACGTACCGGGAAGACGACAGGAATTCCACCCCTCACGGGCTTAGAGCCGTCCAGCACGGCCTTCTCGCTCAACCACAGGTTGTCGCTGCCGTCGGCGTTTTTCCACGAGATGACGGTGGCGCCGTACAGCATGATCTCGACGCTCTCGCCCGTCGGCAGCCGGGCGGTGATGCGCGAGCTGTCGTCGCTGATCTCGACGACGGGCTGCGGCGCGGTCGACTTGGCTGCCGCCACGTTGGGCAGCTGAGGCTTGTGCGAACGCTCGACCATTGTTGTTCGTTGTTGTTGGAAAGGCAAGTGGTTGTGGTACTGGTGGTCTGCGGGATGCGGCGGTTTTGGTGGGGCAGATGTGAGAGGTTGAGGGAGGAAAGGTCCAGGTCTGATCGGCCGGAGGGAAGGCGCACGTCTATGTACAAAGGCCACGGGCTGGTAGCAAAGGGTGATTGGAGAGCCTGAGGCGCAGTTGGCGGTGAAGAAAGAGAGAGAGAGGGCGTCGGTTGGAGGTTGACGCGGTGGTGATGGTAGGTGCGGTGGTGGATGAAGCTGGATCGGCGAAGGAGGGGCAGCACGCCGTATCGCGTGCGGCGCCAGTGCCATCCCCGCGCCGCCAGGGTGAAGCACCAAGCATCGCACCCCGGTTTCAGTCTCACATGTCTTCTCGCTTGCTGACCGAGCCATTGCCCAAACTGGCCATCACTCAGCCCGGGCCGCACTCTGCTGGAGGCGCTTCATGCATGCTCTTTGTGCCTGACCTTGAGCTTCGCCGCGGGGGATAAATGATGTCATGCCTGATCGCCCTTCTCCTTTGCCATCACGCTTCGGCACATGGCAAGTCATGTGTGTGTACCAGTTCCAAATCCGTTGATTTATGAGGCCTGTCCATCGGCCAGTCTGTGCAACTACATCAAGTGGTCCCGCCGTCTATCATGCATGCTGTGTCCCTTTTTGTCCCCCGGTATGACTCCGTAAACAATGCAACCTAAGAACTCCCTGACGGCCCATCCCCCCGTTGAGCCGCCGCATTCACCTCGCGTTTGACCTCCAGCATGAGCTTGTCGATCTCCGTTAACTCCTCCTGGCCCAGTACTACCTTTTTGCAATCCGCCAACAGCCGTTTGAATCGTTGAATTATGCTCTGAGGCTGAACCTTCGGCCTCTGTGAAATCTCGTCTCCATGTGTTGTAGAACCTTGGCTTGCACCCGGGTGTAGCTCTTGCTGACCCGCCTGCGTTTCATGTCCTGCCGTGCCACCTGTGCTTTCCTTATCATCGTATGATCTTTTTCGCTTTTTCTCGGCCTTTGCCTGACCTCCTCCACTTCGTCGTCTTCCACGTGCGTCCTCTGTCGATTCTTCCGTCTGCACGAAGCTTGTTCGGGGTGAAGAGTGATTGCTCGCTGCAGCAAAGGACGGCGGGTTAGATGTCTGGCTCGACTTTCTCGAACCCCGGCCCTTTCTTCTCTTGCGTGCTGGTGCCTCTTCGATGACATCCGCCTTGTGGCCGGTCACATCTGTCGTCTCGTTCTCGTCCGGCTCCGTCGTTTGTGACTTGGAAAGTCTTGACTTCCTTGTACGTGATGGCGCAAGCGTCGGTTCAGGTGCTGCTCCTGACAATCTTGGGGAAGCCCTTGGAGACGGAGATGCCCGTTCTGTGGGCCTCGCACCCTTCCGGCGCTTTGGTTCCGAGTTTTGTTCTGGTGCTGCCTTTGTGGGCTGAGAGGGCTTATCGTCAACATCTTTAGGAGAGCTAGCCATGGCGTCGACCATCTGTTCGTCCATGCTGAAACTATCCACTTGAATGTTGCTGAGTACGCTCTCATCGCTGTCTGAATCAATCGTAGCGCGCTGGGCACCTTCGGGTGGTTGCTTGGAGGACGAAAAATCATCTTTCTTTAGCCGCTTCTTAGCCTTGATCTCGTCGAGAGTAGTCAGCGACTTGCGCTTAGTGTGGGACTTGGATTGTTTTTTGTTTGATTTTCCAGAAGCCTTCGGTGTTTGCTGTTTGGCCTGCGTTGACTTCTTCAAATCGTTATGCAGTCCAGCGAATGAATCCTCTACCATTGTCTCATCAACAGGAACCTTGGATAGAGCCGGCGGAGGCAGAGATCTGGTTTTACCAGGAGAACATCGAATTGGAAGCTCAATAGACGAGCTGTCCTTCTCAGTGGGAGACAGTTCGTCTTGAGCTTCATCCACGTGGATTTTATTGTGGACCGTTTCCGAGAACGAACCAGCAGTTCCTTGCGGGAGATCCGTGGTCATATCATCGAAAGAACCGATATCCTCGCCATACTCGGGTATGTCTTCGTCAACAGTCGTATCGTCGGGTAACACCTGCTTTCTGGTAGAAGACCAGGTTCGACTTTCACGAAGTGCTTGAGCAATCACCTCGTTTTCAAGCTGTTGAGATACCTCCTCATCGATTTCAGAGCTTGGTAGGTCTGATTCGTTGCCATCGTCAGATGCCGATGACGACGAAGTAGGTCGCTGCACCTTTTCAACGTGGGAGTCGGAGAGATTTGATACATCACCCACAAGCTGGGCGACTACATCTTCATCAAGCTCCTCCTCCAGACCACCATACCGCTGCCCCATGGCACTCTCGACATTCCGATTAGGCGCCACAAAACTGTCTTTGATGACACTGGGGTCGGGCGGCAGGTCGTTCTCATCGTCTACACTGGGCGGAGACGATGGTATGTTTGTGTCGAAAAGATGCTCTGCAGCCGAGGATGTTACATAAGGCGCCACCAGAACGTCGTCGGCGTGGCCTTGTTTTCGCGTTTTCGGAGTTGGTGATGAGCTGGGGACATCTTGCTGCGCTCCGTACTCTTGGAGATTGAACATAGGCGTAGACCTCAGCTCTTCGTCATCGACATTGTAGCCTTGGCTAGGCCTGCCGTACGCGGGCAGTTCTAAGCTTCTGCTCTTCAGCTGCCTTGGAGGGCTGGAGCTGATATCAGGGAACATAGCCGCAGTATCATGCTGCCTTTCCCTGACTTCTCTCTGGTGATCAGTCAGCAACTGAGAGTCCACAGAATCTCCTCCCGTCGGAGACGATTCAATCGGCGCAAAGTCGATCTGAGAGTTGTCGTGGCGAAGCTTCGCTCTCGCTGTCGTGTTCGATGCTGAAGATTCCCGCACCCGCCTTCTTGATGTCGGATCCACTTGAGCAGGAGACGAGCTCGCGGCATCCTGAAGTTGATGGATCAGGGAAGACCCGTGACTGTCGAAATGCAGAGGTTCCCGAACAATATCTTCTTGCGAATCCTCAAAGATCGGCACAGGTTCTGGTTCCTGCTTGATATCAGCGCCTGGCCGGAAGTAGCGTAAAATAAACTAGACTAATTTTGCTTACCTCATCACTTGGATCGTCGGGGAATTCAGGAAGCTCAAGGTCTACGATCGGCCTGAGCCTGCGCAAACCTTTCTCAACACTAGGTGGGTATTGGAGGTTAATTTGAGACCCGAAACTACCGTTCCACATCTCAATGGTTCTATTCACAATCCGCTGCCGCTCACTACGCAATCCAGCAGTGATCAGAGCCTCCAGGGCTTTCAGGAGCATGTTGTCATGTCGCGGTATTCTTTCCACCAGAGTCATGACGGTGTTCCACAGAGCGTATACCTAGACCTTGTCAGTGAGGAGTTCTTCCTTTCAAGCGTTGGACGATAAGAACTCACCGCCTCCCGTCCCCCCTTTGCTGCATCTGTGTCACCCGCCAGTTTTCGTTCGGCATCTCTTACCCACACCGCAATTCCGTCCTGGATCTTGCGCAGCAGCACAGCTGTGGACGAAATCGGCCATCTTTGGAGTAGAGCGCCAAGTGCGGCAGAAAATTCAATGACAAGATCGCCTCGGAGATTTTCCAAGCCTTCATAAGAACATTGTAATCGTGAAACAACCAACTTGTAGAATTGGTTGAACGGGTCAAAATCCGCTGGTCTCTGAGGGCCAGTGCTTACACCCCATAGAGCTCTGCGGGCTTGCTCTATCGTCTTACGATGTTTTGGATGTTCCGTGTGGTGGAGAAGTAAGGTTGAATAGCGTGTTACAGCGTCACCATTGGAATTGAAGGTAGGTGATTGCAGTCGCTCGGCTAGCGGCTCTGTAATGGCCAGCACAACAGCGGCGATACCAGCGCCGTCGCTAACCTCGCGTTGAATCCTGGCCACAAATGCTTCGTAGAGCGAAGCTGCAACATTAAGGTTTTCTTCCGTGCCGTAGTTCAAGCCCCCAGCAAGGATTTCAAAGACAGAGCTGTACTCTTCTCCGAGGGATTGGGAAGAGCGGTCAGTGGCTGTAGGAAGACCAGAATTCCGCAAACACAAGTCTGCGTGTTGAGCACAGTTACGCCAGACCCCTGATTTGAACACGTCGTTCGAAGATGAAGAGGATCTGTTTACATAATTCCGGAGGAGCTCGAGTTTGGACTTCCTTGATGGTTTTGCTTGGCAGCAGAGTCCAAGGAGCTGTTCTGAGAGCCATAGGCGATCGTTGGTTTCGATCCCAGCAGGAGCACTGTTGGTGAATAGGTGAAGGAGGTGTAGCAAGGGGGACTGCAGGGGTCCGCGGGAGTGAGATCTATGTGAGGGCGTTGGTGCGACTTCGAAGTCTCCGACAGGGTTACGCGATAATATAGGATCCGCGAAGGAGCCGGGTCCAAGCTGCTCCACCGCGGTAAGGACAACGAAAGCGAACTTTTCCATCCAAGTTTGACCAGAGTCATCATCTTGACGGAAGGACTTGGGATAATTCGCCCACAAGCGGTGAAGGAGGTTCATGATGTGTGCGCAAGCTTCCTTGAAATCCATGGATGCCGTGACCTCCTTGCTGCCTGCTTCTGCTACTGTACTCATAAGGGCTGTCCACATAGACTTTACTGGAGTCCCAGATGCGACCTCCTCAGAAGGAGAATTGCAGGTCCAGGGAGCCGATGCGAAGCAAAGCTCAAACGGCTGTAGAACGTTGCCTAATCTTTGGCGCGTCCACCTAGGATCCAGAGCGATGATATTGTCCAATGTGATCGTTGCGGATTCGACGGCCAAATTCTCCCTCCACAACTTGGCTCGGTTCCGCTTGAAGAGGGCCGTTAGAACCTTGCAGGCCATGACAGCACCCCTTCTGTCCTTTTTAATCATTGTCGGAAGGACCTCGACGACGAACTCTTGCCAATAGAGGTCTAATTGCTCAGCAGGCGCAGTTGGAGAGAGAGAGTAATATAGCAAATTGCAGTAGCTCGAGAACGCAGACCGCTTCATACGCTGTCCATCCTTGTCACCTCCACTTCTTCTGTCAAATTGGGCGACAAGCGCTTGTCGGAGAAGTTTCCTGAATGGCGGCGAGGTAGATTGGGTTGGTCGTATTGCGTAAACAAAACGATTCCACGCTCCATTGGCCTGAATGGCAACTTCCTTATTGCTGGAGTTGACGCATTTTTGGAAAACCTGCAGCCAACTCTTGAGCAGTTTCCAGCTTTCGAGCTTGTGGCGCCGGTTTTTCAAAAGTAATACCACGGTTGCCCAGATGTGCGGCACATGGTGGGCCGCCTCAGCGTCCGAGAGCATTTCCATGAGCTGGTTGGTAAAATAGTCTCCATAAGTTTGGCCATCCTCGATCGGTTTTGCCAAAATGTCCATTGTAGTGCGAGAAACCTTGGATTTATCGTCTTCCTTGCCGACGGAGATTCCTGTGGCAGTTCCCAGCTCAACAGCCCGCATGCGAATCTCCTTGTTGCTGCTCAAAAGCCCATGGAAAATGTGCTGGATCCAGTCCGAGGCTCTGTCGATCATAACGAGCTTGTGTTGGCTTAGAAGAGTCCGGTATGCCATCATCCTGCAGGTAACCACGTTGTTTCCAGAAACACGGTCCTCGATATCCTTCAGGGCAGTGACAGCACGGTTTGCGCGGTCCACGTTCATGCTCTTTCCAAACCGTTGCTGGGAAAAGGCGTGCAAAATGTGGTTAACCCATTGCTTTGGAGCGGTTGCATCGCCGAAGGTTTCAATCGCTTTGTCCAAGAAGAAAGTGCGAAATGTGTCCGGGATGCGCTCTGCGGCGGGCGCAATTTCCACGAGAGCCACAAGTAGTTTGAGCGCTTGAAGAGCAAGCTGAACGTCCAGTCCACCGGTCTGAGCATTTGTAGCAGTCATGTCCCGCTGCATGAATTGCGCCAAAAGTCCCATCTTGTCTGCTAGCGTTCTCGCATCTGGCTTGCCATCGTACGTTTTTAAAGTGTTGGCCAGAGCCAAATACGCATCAATTCTGTGGGGTCGCGACTGTCCCGCAAGCTGCTTGACCAACGTTTCCATCATGGTTGCGAAGCCGTTCGGGTTGTTTGAAAGCTGTCCGGAAGTGGGTGTCGAAGGTTGTGTGACGGGCGGGTCGTGCGCCTTCAAGATGCCCTTGATTGTCTTTGGGTCCCGCGGTTGAGGAAGCGGCCGGAGAGGGGAACCGGGAAGTCCACGGCGTGAGGGGGCAATGTCATTGACGCTGTGGTATGCGGTCCAAGGTGAGAAGTCGACCTTTTTGCGTCTTCCGGAATCATTGGCCCGGTCGGTGGAAGATGCTGGCGATTGGCGGGTTGGAGTATTGACACAGGTCGGGTCGGCGGAGACGGGAGCATCGCCGGTGGCCTCTTCCACCTCGAAGCTGTCGGAGAGGAACTGCAAAGCATCATCGATGTACTTATCAGCTTCTCGGGGCGGAGTCGGCGGCCGCGCAGGCAGGCTCTCGAACAGGTTCGGTGAAGCGGGCGCCATGGCTGCGCGGACAGGAAAATAAATTGGCGGGGAGAATCAGGTCATCGCAGGCGCGGACAGAGCGCGAGAGACCCAGCAGCAGAAGTTGCGAGCAGTTTGAGGCGTGCGTTGGGATGAGGCGTGGCGGCTGGACCTGAGCCAGCACAGGCAGTGAAGCAAACGCCGCGTCCGACGCGCCGACGCGAAGTCGCGTCGGGAGCCGCGCGCACTGCCGCAGCCTAATTGAAACCCTGGAGCGGGCGCGCGCCTGTCTCGCTGCCCTCGGCAAGGATCCCAGCTGCAGTCTCCCTCGCCCTTGGGCCCGGAGCAGCGCGCGTCGCGCTCGTCCAGCGCGGGTGCTCCCATGCGTCATTGACGATCGCTCCGTGCTGGCTGATCTCCTGTGCAATATTGCGGACGCATGAGGGCCACGGGTCCGCTCCGCCCACGCAGCGCATCACATGCCCCCTGCCCACCGCCGCTGCGTTGCTTCTTCTGGATGCATGCCGGCCAGTTGAGCAGCCCTGTGCAAGGCGGGCAAGGATGGCCGCAGGCTGACTTGCTCTCATGCCCGCCCCCAGGACACGCAACCAGACCTGATCACTACTCAGCAGCGACTCAATGCGGGGACCCACCATTTGCTCGCTGCCGCACCTAAGATTCAGCCCCGTGTGCCCGCCTTAATGTAAAGACCAGCTCGCCCGCTGCTCCGCCAGACACCACACTTCCCCTCCACCACCACCCCTCACCTCGATGCCACAATGGCCTCCAACTCAAATGGCGCCTACGCCGCCTCCATTGCGGGCGACAGTATGTCTTCCTCTCGCCATGCCCGGCCCGACTCCGCGCTGACGCTGCCCCAGACAAGCGAGCAGAAGTGTCCATGTTGATGGCGCAGCTTCGCGCCGACCTAGACGATTCGAGTCTCCTGCCGCACCGTGAGTCTGCCGGCACCCGCGTCCCCCACGCCGCCACGCGCTGACCCGCGCCGCCGCCAGAGCGCAATGCCGCCCTCGAACAGATCAAGATTTACGGCCGCGACGTCCGCGACGCCGACCCCATCTTCACGCCCGATGTACGCCGCTCCCCGCCACCCACTGGGCGCGCATGCTGAGATGTGACTCGTAGGGCATCGATACGCTGGCGCAACACGGCTTCTACAGCTCCTCCACCGTCACCTCGCGCGAAGCCATGCGCTGCCTGGCCAACGCGCTGCTCCTACAACCACAGTGCCGACAGATCCTGGTGGACAAGGGGCACGCGGAGAAGGTGGCCGAGAAGCTTAAGGTCTGTATGACATCGACCAAGAAGCTGGTCGGCGCGACTGAATCTGCGCAGAGCGACAACGCGGACGATGAGTTCCTTACGTCGCGCATTCTGTTCCTCCTAACCTACGACACAAATTTGGACTTTGATCCCTTGGTCAGGGAAAAGGGATTGGGTGACGCAATCACGCAGGTACGGCGCGGAATTATCGGCGCATGCAGGCCCTCGTTGACACTCGGCGCAGAGCATTTACCGGCACTCCAAGCGGTACTCGAAAAATGGCAAGAAGCAGAACTCGTCGCCAATGGATGACATGGCTCTTTCCGAAACCCTGAAGCTCGTATTCAATTTAACGCACTTCTATCCGGATTTCACCGACATTTTCTCCAAGTCCGTTCCCGACCTCCTCAAGATCCTCTCCCGAGCGCCCGTTCCCGATCCTCCGCTCCAGCAGCCGATTTGCTACCTCATCAATGCGCTTCTGAACCTTAATCTGGACGACAAGAAGTCCAACGTCTTTCCGAAATGGGACCAAAATACCAACGCCGCTCACCTCATCGAGCTCCTCGACAAGTCCATCATTGCGTACACGGAGACTGAGCTGGACCAAACAGCGGCTCCTTTGGTTACCCTTATCCGGCGCATCTACGAATTTGCTCCGGATAGCGTCAAAAAGTACATGCAATGGCTCCTTTTGCCGACGGAGGATGATCGGAAGAAGCCACTCGGACATACAGACACTCTGTCATCTCGCCTCCTGAATCTGTCGACAGCAGCCATGTTGCCCAATTTGCGGAGCCAAATCTCGTCAATGTTGTTCGAACTCTCAGATAAGGATGCATCGACGTTCGTTCACAATGTCGGTTACGGGTTTGCGTCGGGCTTTCTCCTCAGTCACAACATCGCTATTCCGGAGAATGCCATGGAGGCTTTCGCCAATGGGAACGGGACTACGGAAGATGCCGACGAGGAGGAGAAGGATAAAGCCAAGGAAAAGGCTAAAGCATTCAATCCCATCACGGGCCAAAGATGGGATGCCGAGGAGGTCAAGGACACGGGTCCTCCCATGACCGACGCAGAAAAGGAGAGGGAAGCCGAAAGGCTCTTCGTATTGTTTGAAAGGTACGCTCACTCCTCCAGCCCTGTAAATGCCTGACTCACAATCTTTGCAGACTCAAAGCCACGGGCGTTGTCAATGTCAAGAATCCGGTCGAAGAAGCCATCCAATCAGGACGGATCGAGGAGCTCTCCGATAGCGACGAGCCTCCGTCTCCTGACTAGACTTACCGCCTTCTCGAATTCTTCTTTTCAGCATACATAGCCTTTTAATGCGCATTAGCGAGGGATGCATTGGTAGGAGTTGGTCAAGCAACAAGAATGGGTAGCACTCTTCATTGCTCCACAAACGGTTGAAAATTCAGCGGGTCGAATTTGGGAATCGCATTGAAAGGGAAAAACACTGGTTTCACTACATACTGTATTACTATTGCTGGTATTTTATTGTAATCACATGCTTCAAGGCTTTCCATCTTAGCCTGGTGCAACGCCGAGGCCCCGCATCAAGGGCGAAGATCACAGGACGGGCAGCCCAATCTCGTGCCTTTTGCTTTTGGGAGGGGAAGAGATGTAGACTCGTCCAGCTGACAACTGTGTGCATCAGTAGGGGCGGTGGGGGGCTTTGGACCGCCGATCGACTGCCCTGCTCGAGGCATAAGCTGCGGTACGCGTGTGATTCTATCTTGCCGCGTGAGCATTTACCTGTCCAATGGCCTGATGGTCTGTCCACTTTCTTTTCCAAGCCCTCTGACGCCGTTGGTTGAACAGGATGTGAGCATGATAAGCCCCTGGAGCTTACCGAGGCTTCTTTAGTCTTGCAAGACGCCTCTTAGTAGCTCAAGTTAGGAACAGGCATAATGGCTTTCACGGGACTAACCTAGATCTACGACCATGCGCATGCTTACCAGCCCATGCTCTCCTTCTAAGTCAACGCCAACATGCAGCAACATGTGAAAGTAGTTTGATGGCGTCTTTTCTCGACAGACTCAGGGTTTAGCAGCGGCGTACAGACAATCGATGTTTTACCTTCAGGGCTAAGGAGAAGAGGCAGCCGCTAACTGAGAAAGCTTCATTTACTGAGTTTAAAATAGAAAAAAACAAGAGCCCAGGAGACTACAAGAGTCAGCTTGCTAAACAGGCAGATTTTCAGAGGTTTTAGGGTTGCTTTGATGGGTTGCATGAAGGAGCGGAAATACTATGCAAAATGACGTTGAAGAGACTTTGCGCTTAGTGTTGCGCCTACCGTGGATTATTGAGCTGTGGCCCACTTGCTACTGACGATTTAGGCAAAAATAGCCTCTCTGGCACGGCATTCCTTTCTTTTTAACAAGGTTAAATACTCTTATTTTGACTTATCCCTCGTACTACTAGAGACATTGGGCAGGAAAGAAAGGAATACTTGTCGTCGTGGCAACAAACATTTGAAGATACGAGGGTAATTAAAGGAAGAAGGAAAGGGGTCCAATCTAGACGGCAGAGGCTTGAATGCCAGATGCCAGTCATGCCAACCGAGTTTCGATGGCCACAGGGCTTGGCAGGTGCGACGGTGATGTGTTCATGGTGCATCAGGAGAAGGACGCACAGGACTCATCTTGGTGCTTACGGGTATCAAGCAAATGAACGGAAATCAAAAAGTCGCGAGCAAAGGGCAGAGCGTTGGTGGTTGGAGGGCGAGTGGCATCCAAAGCTGGCTGTTTATTTACGTTTTTGGTTGGGAAGGACGTGGATGGACCCTGAAGGAGGGCGAGCTTTCTGCCGTCTTCTGTGGAGCGGAGCTCCGTCATTCCCTCTGCCTTGTCATCAGCACACCAGCCACAGCGACATGCGTTGCGCGTGCCCGTCGCCAATGCCTCAGGCCTACTTCTGCGCCGCAAGCTGCTGCACGTCCGCCAGCTCCCGCCGCAACTCAATCCACCGCCTCCAACAACGACCGAAGCTCCAAGCACAACCTTTGAAACCTGTACGCCTTTGCGGACCATGTCGCTGGTGCCGCGGCTGAACCGCGGGGAAATCGTGCTGTAAGCTCTCCGCAAACTCGGCCCAGCTCTGTATCCCCATCTGCTGAACAATCGCCAGTCGCCACGGCTCTGCCGTCGTCGTCTACGATGAGCGCTCGCGCCAGCTTTCGTTGCGCGCTAGGTCGCAAGGCCCCTCGGACGTCGACTTCGCGAACCCGAACTGCCCGTACTGCCACCGGCCGCTGCGCGACGAGGCGCGAAGCCCCACTGACGACAGTCCTGACGACAACGAACATGGCTTCGTGAACCCAGAGTACTTTCGCATGCTGCATCACAGTCGCCCAAGCTCCGAAACCTCGTCGCGACAGCCTTCTCCACAGCCCAGAGCGCCGCCTCGAAGAGCGTTACGTCAGACGTCCGGAGGTTCAGACATCAGCACTCCGCCTCCGGGCGCCGAGTTCGTGGGCAGCGCGCCCGCCACTCCTGCGGCGCCTCATGGCATCTCGTCGAGCGCATTTAGTCAGAACTATTTCAAAACATTCTTCGTTGAAGAGGGTGAGCTTGGACGGGGTGGCAAGGGCGTGGTGCTACTGGTGAGGCATGTGCTTGATGGTGTGTCTCTGGGCCACTTCGCGTGCAAGCGCGTCCCCGTTGGAGATGACCACGAGTGGCTGGAGAAGGTCCTGGTCGAGGTACAGCTTCTCCAGAACTTGTCACATCAGAATCTCGTGTCGTACAGGCATGTCTGGTTGGAAGACTACCAGATCAGTGCTTTTGGACCGAGCGTGCCGTGCGCTTTCATTCTGCAGCAATACTGCAACGCCGGCGACCTGCACCATTACATCCTTAACCAGGCCAAGGCCTCTGTGACCACACAAGAGCTCAAAGAGAGGATGCGCCGTAGGTCCAAGGGGCATGCAGAGCCACCGATTGGACTCAATTCGCCACGCCGCATGCCCTTTGAGGAGATATATTCCTTTTTCAAAGACATCACCGCCGGTTTGCATCATTTGCATTCCCACGGCTACATTCATAGAGACCTGAAACCTCACAATTGTCTGCTTCACACGGTCGGTTCCAAGACAAGAGTTCTAGTCAGTGACTTTGGCGAAGTACAGATGGTCGACGTTGTGCGAAAGTCTACCGGCCACACTGGTACCATCTCCTACTGCGCTCCCGAGGTCCTCCGCCGAGAGGCTGACGGAGAGTTCGGCAATTTCACTACCAAGTCAGATATCTTTTCTCTGGGGATGATCGTCTATTTCATGTGCTTTGGCAGACTGCCTTATCAGAACGCGGATGACTTGCATGAGGAGAATGAGGACTTGGACCAGCTCAGAGCCGAGATTGCTAGCTGGCAAGGCTTCGACGATGTGCGTAAAGCGCGGTCAGATCTTCCAGACAAGCTCTATAGCTTCCTGAAGAGGCTGCTGTCCCTGAACCCAGCAGAGCGACCTACCACAGAGCAGATATTGCATGGAATCGGGGCTGGATCCGGTCTAGAAGACATCAACGGGTTCGGTCCCATGTTCGACGACATTGGCCCCCGAATCTCTTCAGCGGAATCGCCATCCCCCAGCCCGAGCAAGCTACAACGCCGCCAATCGACTCAGGCAGGCCTCCTGCGCGCTGCCCCGTCGAAGCTCCGCCAGCAAGCAAGCGCAGAGGATCACCGCTCTCCCAGCCCACCGATGAGCCGCAAGCCACCATCTTCGGCCAGCCGGACGCCCACTCCGCCCGACTCTGCCGGCCTGATCCTCCGCAAACGCAAGCTGGAGAACTACTCACCTCCTCCATCCAGCCCACACCACCACCACCACCACCCTCACCACCCTTCCTCACCCACCTCGCCCGCGCGCCTCATGCTCCCACCCTCGCCCTCATCCACCTTCATCCTCTACGTCCACAACTTCCTCACCACGCCCGCCGTCGTCAGCGCCATCAAACTCACCCTCTTCCTCGTCAAGATCCTCTCGCTCTCACGCCCCTGCGCCCCCTTCGCCGCCAACCCGTGGGTCGCGTACCCGCTGCTCTGCCTCGCCGCCCTCGACTTCGGCCCCTTCCTCGGCACCGTCGTCTCGTACTACCCGTACAGCTGGCGCAGCGGCGGCAGCGGCACGGCGCGCTTCTCGCAGGTCGGCCTGCTGGGCTCGCTGGTCATGCTCGTCGTGCACGTCGCCGTCACGGCGGTGGCGGCGCGGTGGGACTGCTTGTGCGCGGCGGGCGCGAATGGCGCGGGTGCAGCGCGGGGTGGTATGGCGGCGGTGGGGGTGGATTGGCGGGATTTTGAGGGAGAGGGGATCTGAGGGGTGAGTATGGTTGATATGGTCAGTATACCATTCCCCCCGCCGCTGCCGGCGGTAGAGACGATCGTTCGTTCTAGTGAATGGCCGTCCTTATACCGAGGTTCTTCTTTCTTTCCTTCTTTTTTTTTTCTGTCCACCTCGGTTTACGTTGTGGAAATTTCGGAGCTTTATGGCGTCATCGGATGGGAAAACCCGTTCGTGGTATCAACGACCGCGCGCGTTCGAGCATTGCTGTTCTCATCTCTAGTTCTATTCATTTTCCGTTTGTCAGGTTTTCCTCTTCGTGTGGAGGAACTTCCGCGGAAGAGTCTCCTTGTAAATAAAATCGATCGGACTTTTCGCTTTGTAATCGGGAGTGTGGGCTTTTAATGGCTGGTGATGAGGTTCTTTGGAAAGTTGGAAAAAGAAGAGTCTGGATAATCATTCCCTTTTTGTTCTCCCTGGTTTCTTCTGCATTCATCTTTTCTTGGAGTTGGAACAGGGCACAACCGGCCTTTCAGCCTTATCTCAATAGTCAAGCATGGTTTGTGGAGTACTTTGAAGATCGATACTAAAAAAGAAACATGGGATCAACATGCTGGGCAGCAGACAAGCAACTGCCGAGTGGTCCAAAAGCACAATCAAACAACTTTTCGGCATGTCGCGTTCATCCATTCATGATTGTGCGATCAATAGATAACGCGAGTCAAAGTGGCAGTATCACCGGAAAGGAGACGTAAGCTGGCGTCGGAGGCCACCGAGGAGGGGAGTCACATTGAGGACTCGACGTTGCTTCTACAGAGATGGTCGCTCTCCCATGGGGCACATGGGGCGGACAACTCCGTCCGCCCACTTTTCCCTCAGGCACTCCATGGCTCGTCGCTTATGCACATGCAGAGGTGATCCGGGCAGCCCCGTTCCCGTTACCCACCCCCATACACCGCCAGGAACAGCCTCGGTCTTGGGTCTTGTTTCTACGAAGCGTCTTTTGAGCGCTACAAGAAAGAAAATAATCGGAAAGAAGAAAGAAGAAGAGGACGCACCGAGATACTTAACAACAATTGCTCCAAGCTCGAGCAGGAGAAGAAGATCTTGCCTCGTAAAAGCGTGGGAGATATGTTTCCATCAAGTCTTGTTTTACATAAGACATTTCTTGGATGACGCGATAAGCACTTTTCCTCGCCTCGGTGCGGAGCGGGGATCGGCGAAGCAGAAGGACGCCTATCGGAGGATACTAACGGGTTCCATGTCACTGACCGCCATTGCGACTACTTTCCCTGCTCCTACGTATTGCTAGTGTGCCTTGAGCAAGCTCTGCAAACATGTCGTCTTATTCATGCGTGGCTTAGGGTGCCCGGGTGGCGATGCCGAAGATCGTCGGGTTCAGCTATTGCGAAAACGGACCTGAAGTTTTGTCCAACGTGAAGACGCTTTGGGCAGCACTCCCTATTTCAGACGGCGTTGTTTTTTTCGAGGGGAGGCGGAGATAGGTCTATTTCGGGTGGTGGTGCCCGTAATCGAGTTGCTGCGCAGCTGAGCAGCTGAGCAGAGACAGATGAACGGTTGGCTTGACCTTCGGCGGCCAGTCATCATTCGGCCGGGCGGCCATTATCTGTTATCGTGAGAACCCGATCTCCGCCAGCCCTCGACATCGGAGGGCCATTTCTCTAGGAAACGGGGCCTTCTCTGGAAGGTGCGCCGAAGAAAACCGCCAAGAATAGCGCCTGAGGGAATGATGAGTCGTCCCTCGGGCTTTTTGTGCAAGCTGTTGGTACGAAGAAGATGAGGTAATGGTAGTACCATGGCAGTAACTTTCTGGGCACTGCCACAATTTCGATCCTACTCTGCTGCGGCTCTTTGCTTTTGTCTCAAAGCGGCCTCCTTTACGGGTGCGAGGCGGCCTCGGCCCCCCGATTGTGGTAATCGGGCTGGTCAGGTACGGAGCCACTCGCCAATCCCGTCCACACAAGGCTGACAATACATCGTCATAAATTTCAGGTACCAGACTCTGGGCCCTCTGTCCTCCGGTCGTCTAATCCGCTGTGGCTCGAGCGTTGGCGAGACCGCGTCATTCGAGGAGAGTGCCGCGTCTGGCTGCAGAATCTCACGGCGGAGTCCCGCAATCCGTAGTGATCTGCTCCGCCCGCCTTGGCTTTCGTTGGTCAATGCTACTATCTATGCATGCACTTGTCTCATTCGGAGCCGCTGCTCTGCTCGGTGTTAAGCTAGTGGGTCTTTTAAAAGGAAACGAAATCCTCGTTCATATTTTGTATGCTAGGTAGAGAATCAACGGTCAAGTTTGGTTGACTTGCAAAGAGATCTACTCGACCAAGGCACAATTTGTCGGACATCGTTATTGGTCAAAAGGTGTACGAATTGACACTCCCACCAAGCAATGCGTCTTTCTACCCTTTCTTCCACCGCCGCGGCGGTGGTGGCCTTTTCCTCCTTCTTTCCCTCGGTTTTTGCTTCTCCCTCAGTCGCTCGAGCAAATGTCGCCCCTCGCAGCCAATACTACCACACCGAAGTCGCCTCCAGAGGCATTAGTTCAAGAGCGGAGGGAAAAATCAAGCCAAAGGTCTTCATCATTTCCATGTTCGACCCGGAGGCGGAGGTCTGGTGGGGGATCCCCGAATTCGACCTGCTAGCGCGCAACGTCAGCGTGACGGGCTTCTCGCCGTTGTTCCCAGAAGCCCACTGCACGGCTGACGGCGACATCTGCCAGCTCATCACTGGTGAAGGTGGTGAGTGAACTCTCCGATTTTGTTTCTTGCCGATTTCCCACTTTAGTCCTACTTCTCACATCATACGGTGGCTGCTTTGTCACCATTGCCTGTACCACAATATTTGGATTTCAAAATTTCCTGTTCGGGCATGCGTCCGAGCTTGCTCTGACTGCCATCACGTCACATGCTTGTCAGACGGCAAATCGCAAGAGGTCCAGACATGGCGGTCGAGAGCTCGGGACGAGGCTGTTCTGCAGTCGCCACGAGTCGATTGCCCATCAGCCAACTGGACGCCGCGATGAGTCTGACTGGAGCTGGGGTGAAGCGGGGCAGTCGAAAGGAAAGCTTGTTTTGAGCGTCAGAAGCTCCAGCTTGGCTCTCTCTCCTACTCCCGCATTGCAGCCATCTCCGAACAACACGAAAATAATGAACAAAAAAGAAATGCTTCTCCAGCATGTTGGTCAAAGTAGCAAAAGGTCTAACTTTTTCGTTTCACAGAGATCAATGCGGCCGTCACGGTGACGGCGCTCTTCACGTCCGGGCTGTTCGATCTGACCTCGACTTACTTCCTCGTGGCGGGCATCGCTGGCATTAGCCCAGAGGTTGGCACGCTTGGCGGCGTCACCTTCGCCCGCTTCGCCGTGCAAGTCGCGCTGCAGTACGAGTTCGACGCGCGCGAGGTGCCGCAGAACTGGTCGACGGGCTACATCCCCCAGGGCAGCAAGCTCCCCAACGAGTACCCCGGCGAAATCTACGGCACCGAGGCCTTCGAGGTCAACGTCGCCCTGCGCGACCTAGCCCTCAACTTCGCAAAGGACGTCGTCCTGAACGACAGCGACACGGCCGTCGCGTACCGCGCCAACTACGCCAAGAGCGAGAACGACCTGTACGCAGCGGGCGCGGCGCCGCCGGGCGTCGTGGCGTGCGACACGGCGACGAGCGACGTCTACTGGTCGGGCACGCTGCTGGGCGAGGCCTTTGCCGAGTACACGGCCGTCGTGACCAACGGCACGGGCGTCTACTGCACCACGCAGCAGGAAGACAACGCGACGCTCGAGGCCCTCGTGCGCGCCGCGCGCGCCGGCCTGCTCGACTTCGCCCGCATCATCATCATGCGCACCGCCTCCGACTTCGATCGCCCCTACCCCGGCCAGCCCTCGCTCGCCAACCTGCTGGAAGTCGACCAGGGCGCCTTCGCCCCCGCCATCCAGAACATCTACCGCGCCGGCGTCAAGGTCGTCGAGGGCATCGTCGGCGGCTGGAACAGCACGTTCGCGGCGGGCGTCAAGGCGGAGAACTACGTCGGCGACATCTTCGGCACCCTGGGCGGCGAGCCGGACTTTGGGCCTGGGAGTGAGTTTGATGGCAGCGCCGCTAAGAGGAGTGTGCGCAAGAGGAGTGATATGTCGAAGAAGAAGAGGACTGGTCCGAAGATGGCCATTTCTCTTCCCCTTAAGCGTTGATGATTTCTGTTTTTCGAGCGTTTTGCATGGAGTTCACGAATTGAAAGAGCGGCCCATAGAGTGTACGAATCTGGCGTAGTACCGCAGCTGTACAGACTCAAAAACATATTTGGCATTCGTAATTCCGTCCGACTGTGCTCCGTGGGTGTCCTGTTCTCCGTCGGTTTCCGATCGCCTGGGGATACAATGCCCGCTCATCCGTCGGAGAGGTTAGGAACCGATGCATCTTGGCCTGGTCAGGCGCGAAGATACGAAAGAGCTGAGGGTCAATATCCCGAGAAGTCGGCGTCGCCCCCACTCCAATATATTCTCGAGTTTAGCGCTGATACAACAACACATACCTAGGCAGCAAGCTGCCGGGGAATGAGAGACATTAGCGACGATCATGGGGCGACGTGACGTCGAGGAATGATGAATATATCTCGGTTAGCAGCATGAAAGCATGCGTCAGCGGGCAATGTATTCTCATGCAAGTGAGCGAGCAATAGACTGTTGAAGTAGTCTCTCCGCTGACAAAGGGCAGAGGCCGATGGCCTGACTGCTGCACAAAAATGTCGAGTAAAGGCGGAGACAAGGGCGCAGCTGAAACAGGTCGGGCGTGGGACGCGACAGCTACTTGGGCCCAGAGAATGTGATTGTGTTGATGACTAAGCGTTGTTTGCTTGGCATGTTTACCTCTTGCCTACTGTCAACACAGAGCTGCTTCTCCCCGCTGCGACGCGACTTCTCCACCAACACCGCGACATGGAATAAGCCTGTGCGCTGCACACATTCCCCAACCCGACCGAGCATATCTACCCCAATTGCTGCTTCCCATCTTACCTGGACACGCCGCAGTCATCGCATCGCGGTATTGACGCCGCACCGTCCATCCGCCTAGCATTCATGGCTCCATCACCCGACGGCAGCCCCAACGCATCCCGCTCCCGCTTGATCCGGGACATGTCCCAGAGCCTGAGGGAGTCACGAAGCTCGCCGCTTCCCCATCCTTCCTCATTCGCCCACAACGACGATACAAACACCCTCCCCAGCGCCGACCTCGAGCTGCACACCGACTCCAGTTTCAACCCGGCCCTAGACGACGCTCCCGAGTCGACCAATCACCGCGGATTGGACGACACCCAGCCCGTCACGAACATGCGCTCCAGTGCTGCGCGATTCAAGTACTGGCAACCTCCGAAGCCCGAGCAGCGCATCGACACCTCTCAGATTCAGCAGGAGTTCCACGACTTCTCCGACAGCAACGACGTTGAGGAGAGCAGATCCATCGAGGTTGGTCGCGGCCAGAACAGAAGCAACAAGAACACCCCCAACAAATTCCTTGGCGATATGTCGTTCAGCATCGCCAACGACAGCCTCTACAACATCTCGGAGAATGCGCGCGCCAGGTCACGCCCGACCCCGCGCAAGAGTGAGGGTGCTGACCGCGGCAACCTTCGGCGCGACGCCCAAATTCGACGCGCTTCCTCTCTGCCCCAGAAGGACCTCGAGAACATAGCCGCCCGCCTCGGCAAGAACAGCGAGCGTATTTCGCCGAAAAAGACTGCCAATCGTCCCAGTCTGGCCACATTCCACGCACAGCTGGCTGCCGAGGAAGATGAGACCTTCATGGAGAGGCCGCCGACGGAAACTTTCGCCGCAAAGAACCCGCGGTTCGGAAACCGCGCACGCCAAGCATCCGGTCTCGTGAACGATAGTCCACTCCAGACTCCGCAGAAGTCAGTCTACGCAACTCCTCGCTCTGCAACACATGGTGCAGGAAACGCCACACACCAGTCCTTCATGCTTCCCGATCTTCCCAACCTGACTGAGCTGGTCTCAGGCACCTATAAAGATGGAACGCCTATCTTTTCGCGCAACGCCAAGTCTCGCTCGCGCTTTGCCGCACCAATTCCGAGTCGTTTGAGGGAGGAGACGACCGTGAGGCACGTGCCCATTGAAAGCGTTCCCATCCCGTCTGAGGAGAAGGCCTTGTATACCTCTCTCCAGTTGCTCAAGGACAAGCTTGCCCAGATGGAGCAAGACAAGGCCGAGTCTGAGAAGAAGATGGAAGAGTATGAGGCACAAGTTGCTGAACTCCGGGCTGAACTTACTGCACGGGATGAGATCCGCCGCAGTGACAGCGCGCTGGGATCCACTGATGGTGAGGGGAATAAGAGGGATAGTGGGCGAGTCGAGAAGACCCGTAAGTACCCAAAAGGCCGTTCTTTAGCACGCTTCATTTTAACAATGGCCAGGTCTGAAATCTCAAGTCGACTCCCTTCGCAACCGCCTGGAGCGTGCAGAGCGCAAGGTTTCCGTGAACGAAATCGCAACCAAGCGGATCACCGAGGAGCGTGACAATGCTGTAACGCAACTCGGCGTTGCATTCTTTAACTCAGAGGAAATCAAGACGGAGCGCGATGAACTCTTGGCTGAAAATGAAAGCCTCCGGGGAGAGGTCGATGCTCTTCAGGCCGAGAACGATGAGCTGCGCGACCGCCTCGCCCAGTATGAAGAACAGGGCCAGCGCCCCCAGAAGAACTCTAGCCGAAAGGACAGCGCCATCAGGAAGGAGAACGAAACTCTTCACTTGGAGCTTAAGAAGGCCCAGGCAATCCAAGCCGAGCATGCCAAACTGAAAAAAGAGAGCGATGCTCTCAAGGCTCAGGTCGCGCAGATCAAGACGCATCGCCAGGAAGAGGTTAGGCAAAGGAACAACAGAGAGGCCGAACTTCGTACGAAACTCAACAGGAGAGATGAGACGATCCAATCGCTCAAGGGTCTGAGTGGAGAGGAGGCGAATGACAACCTGCGGAACGAGATAGAGGAGATGCGGGTCCTGTTGGCTGAACTGGAGAACCAGCGTGAAGAGGATGCGCAAGAATGGGCCCGCAAGGAGGCTCGCCTCCGCAAGAAGGTCGATAAGAGCCGCGAGGCCGCGAAGGAGGCGCAGGACATCACCAAGGAACTGCTCAACGTCAGGCGATCAAGCTCGCAACGTCGCTCTTCTCGCGAGGACCCTACAGAAAATGGAACGCGCACTTTCGACAGCAGGCAGAAGCGGCCTTCCGGCAGCCGCAGGACGCAGGAAACTTCGCTTCCTCGTTCAAGTTCCAAGACAAGGCCTGGCGCAGTCAGGCCTGAACGTCGCTCTGTGTCCGATCCTCAGCCGACTGTTCATGACGATGCGGACAGTGAGACCGAGTCCACGACTGACCTCGACGCCTTTACGCATTCCCGTAACTCTCGCGCTGCCGACCATTCGATGCATGGCGCCGTCCCTGGTCTGGCGAACAAGGCACAGGAGGTAACTGGTGACACCACTGAGTTGAGTTTCATGGGCCGAGATGAGATTGCACACCTAAGGAGGATGCTTGAAGAGGAGAGAGCAGCTGCCCGTAAGCAGTCGCGCTCTACGTCTCGGACACGAGCGGCACAGGATGATACCGCTCGCTCGGTACCTCGCAAGTCATCCATGAAGGATCTCACGAGCGCATCTCGTGCAATGGACCTCACTGAGGCAAATACTGGGCGCATCTTGAGTGCAAACTTGGAGCCGGCCAGCGCCGCAAAGGATGCTACGCAGCAGTCAGTTCAAAGCCAGTCGAACAGTCGCCGCCGCCGAAGCGCACCTGTGGATATGACTTCAGCATTCATCATCCCTGATATTACCGTCAACGCTCGGAGTGCTGAGCAGCATGATGATGCCAACTGCACCGTCTGCCGCAAGGCGTCGTGTTCCGGTGAACACACTGCGCCGGTAGAGATCCCGGAACCCGTTCCCGTCTCCGAGCGCATGCCCGACGACGTTGATGCAACTATGCGGCCTTCGCAGCCTGCACCGCTCGCTCTAGCTACCGTCATCAAGGAGCTGCAAGACGAGCTTACTCATCTCAACCTGCAGAAAGCGGCGTATGACTCTCTGCTCCGCAGCCACGATCCTGCGCTTAGCAAACGCAAGCGCAAGACCGTCGAGGCCAAGATTTCGGACCTCCTGCAGGCAATCAGCGCCAAGTCGGATCAGATTTATGCGTTGTACGACGTCGTCGAGGGACAGAAGGCCGCCGGTCAGCTGAGCGAAGCGGATCAGAAGGAGGTGGAGGAGACGCTGCTGAGCGTCGGCATCGACCCTGAGGAGATGCGCGAGAAGACGCAGAAGCCGAAGGGCAAGCGCGTCGTCATCAATGACAGGGAGAAGGACAGCGAGATCGGCGGCCTCACCGATGATGACGAGCTGCCGTGGGAGGGCATCAGCGACTCTGAGAGCTTTCCCGACTTGAACGCCAGCGCCGGCTGGAAGAGGAGAGCCGTTTATTGATTTTGGAGCAGCCTCTGAGTCGCGGTGTCATGATATGATTCTTCTTCTTTCTTCGTGTTTTATCGTCACATTTGTTTCGTCTAGGACCCAAAAAAAAGTCTGTGTGGGACGGCATCGGCGTTATTGGATAGCCTTGGGAGCTGGGCTTAATTATCCTTGGGTGGGATTCACGGTCCGGTTGGTGGTGTTGAAGCGGGGTTGCGAATTCTTTTTGATTCTTCTTGTGCGTGGATCTTGGCTATTCTGTTTCTTCTCTCTTCTGGATCACCCTCATCTTCAAGCCTGTTCTTGGCCTCGTACACATACATTCCTCGGTCTCGAATCGTGCAGGGCGGAAGATCTTGGACGGACATCCCTGCGGGCTGGTGGATTTGCTTTCGGCGTGCTTTCTCACTTGGCTGGAGTTCTCGTCGTTCTATCTTGTTGGACTTGGGGCTTTGACTCGCCCTTGTTGGGCTCGAGTTGGTCTCATCATCAATCAGGGTGGATGGCGGGTTGACTCGCCGGGGTGATCGGATGCTGTTGTTGTATATTGGCTGTGTAGGATGCGTACAAGGTTTTTGCCTCTGTTGGTCGGGCTTGAGGATCATCATATTGTACTAGAAGAGTCTGAATGGGCGGGGGGATGAGCGCGTTTATACTATTGGTAGTCACCACGCTCAATGATGAGACGTTATAACTTCACTTTCTTGCCATGTGCGATGTATGTATGTACATACATACGTGCGGGGTTGAAAGGTTTTTGATGACGGCTTGCTTGGATGACGATGTGGTTGTCGGTGTTGGAATAATATTATGTAAGGTATGTGTATTTCTAGTTTGTTGTGCTGAAAGGAAAAATCACATTGTGGGTAGCCCTGCTGGGCATTTTGCGATTTTGTATAGGCTTTCACTGGAGGCAGAACAACTAACTGAAGTTACAGCTAGGTATCGCAGCCGAAGGCTAGCGCGAAGAATAGCAGTGCCTTTGAACAGGGGACAATTACGGCTCTCCAAGATGGATGTTTTTTTTTAAAATATTTGTGATTAGTTATTCGACCTATGCGGGCAGTTGAATCTATCGTCCGAACGTGAATGTACAATTGTTAAGTCGACATTTGCGTCCGGACGTATCTTCGACTACTGATGATGTGTGCAAAGAACACTAACGCTAGCCTTCGTAGGTAGATCTCGTAACCCCAAAAGTCTAATTTTACTTTCACCAACTCTTCTTTCCACTTCATCTTTTCCCCTTCAAAGAAGATAAAGCATTCCCGGGGGTAGCTACCAATTAAGAGACTAACATGTACATAAAATTGTAATATTTTACTTCTATCTCTTTTTGTTTTCTTGCGGATGTCGAAAATGGACTACGGATTAGCTTTTATTTATTTGTAGGTATTTACGATAGATGAGGAGAAGAACGACTATTTAGATTATAATATCTAGATTACGATCTCATTAGAAATAAAAAGCAGAAGCAGGCTTATAGGATGTATACTCTAAAACAAGATAGAAATGTGACTAAAGGTTTAAATAGCTATAAATTAAGGTTATTGTAGAACTGAATGCTGTTATAATGTAAATATTAGATGGCTTGACGGCCGAGATAACTATTACTAGGGATAATGAATGGCTTCGGCGCGGTAAAGCTGCCTTGCTACTGTTTCTATGCTAGTGTGGTTTGAATATCAGCTCTACAGTCGAGGTGGTGATGATTAAGGATACTCTACTTCCGGTCCTCTAAAGCAACAAAAGAAATCCAATAAAGTTTACCAGATTATTACAGGACAAGCTACTATTACGGACTAAATTTAGTAGAGAAGCGTAACACTGAATACTCATGAGACTGGCGATCACTTGAATGAAAGTCTGGATCATCCTGGTACTCGGCTTTAACACTTGACCTGCATCCCATGAAGCCTCGGGTAGGAGTATGCACCGTTGTTTGAGGGTTTCATCTATATTGGGTCTACCATCTTTGTCCACATGGCCAAAAAGAAAAATCATTCGACCCAGAGTTAGCATGTAGAAGTTGAATGCCCGAAGGACTTGAGGCGTTAAGCTGGTGAGTACTAATTTGGAAGTCGATGACCTGAGCCTCTCTCGTATGGATCACCTCATGTTCGATGCACTGCTGACCGAAAGCAGTCATGCGGAGGGTCCGGATGCGCCACGGTCTAGACCTCTGGAGCCTGAAAGGGCGCCACGACTTCATGTGAAGATAGGATGCCGTCCTTACCGGATGGTGTATAGTTGTTCAGACGGCGGTGACGCGCAACCAAGCAGCGGTCAGATTATCAAGCGCCCATGAAGTCATGGCGGCGGCGCTTAGTTAGAGAAAGCCACCGGACACGCGGCCGGACTGGCGTTCGTGCAACGTCGGGAAGCGGAGACAGCAGAAGTAGACACCGTCATTTGCTATACAGTCAGAACGCAATCAAGATAGAATGAGCCTTTCTAGGCCAAGATGCTCACGTTCGCGTGTCGACTGCGGTATGGCGCAAAAGCCGCTGCCCCGTCTGACATCCCGTGCCCTTTCACATGTCAACAAGGATGCTGCCCCCCTCCTCTCCCAGTGATGAGTGGTCAATCCCTCAACACATGCACGGCGCACGTTCCCGTGAGCAGACGACCCTTTCGTCTGCCCCAGGGACCCTGACGATCCCCCTCAACGCTCCCGCAGGAAGCCAAAAAGCACCAAATCTCCCCAGCTGCCCACAGCATCGCGCCACCGCCGACCCATCTCCGCAAGGCAATATCATGCGGGGCGTCAAGTGGGCGTTCCAATAAAGACATCCCTTTCCGCACACCATCTGACCATTTGATGCGGCTCCGGAAGGGCACGGCCTCGACTGCAACGCAGCGATCGCCCTTGCCGTGCAGCTGTAGCTAAACAGTTCGGCGCAACCAAACCCCCCCTGCCTACCTCGAAATAAGCTGCCCTCTCGCCACTCAACAGGTGTTTGCGGGTGATGCTTGCTGCGTCTGCCTTTTGCGACCAAAGGCACGCGACTATGTTTATTGCCGTGCCCCCTTTCGATAACGGATCTGCCGCATATGCATGATGGCACACGTGCTCGTCATGTTGTTTAATTAGCTTTCCAGAGAGGCGGAACAAAAAACAACAAAGGGATATCCCAGCGGTTCGGGCGTAAGCCGCATCCTCATTTGTCCCCAGGGTTTGTCATCTGCCCTGCTTGTCTCAGTCAACGACAATAGTGAGGCAGCAACCGCGCCGGAAAGGCCCAATTCCAAACCCAACACATGTTCGCTATCTCTCATCTCCGTGTCTCTGATTGTGTGCACCCTAAACGTCGCCGGCAGCCCTCGTCCTCACCGCTTCGCCAACAAAAACTCTACCGGAGATGGTGTGCGCCGGAAATGAGAGACGAGACAAAGAAAACCAAATTTCCGACTCACCATTGGGCCAGAACCGGTTTTTTGACTTCTTTTGACTCATTGCTTTGCAGAAAGAGAGAAAGAGCCAGACCGGGCCGCGCTCACCTCACCCATCAACCAGACTTGCTTTCTCGCTGGTCTCGTCACTGGCGATCCCTCCCCCCATTGTTTTGCCGCATTCCAATCAACACGCAGTCCCAAGATCTAGCCCTCCATCATCATCGTCATCTTATTCCCCGGCAAGCCACCATCATTATCAACCCACTACCATCGTCCATCCGCGCGCCACACACCGCACCCCGCCACCCAACAGCATTCCACCCAAGACACACACCCCACTCCTCATCATCGATCACCATTCGCCAATCCCGCGTGCCGGTCGGAAGATTACTCACCGATGCTGTCAAACCACACCAAACGTCAAAGAACCAAAAAAAAGAAAAGAGAATTAAGATCAAAACTAGCGCATGACAGAAACAAAAAAAAAATAACGATCGGGCATAGTAGTAATAGCAGTAGGAACCAAAACAATAATCCGGATGGCGGGGGCGCGCGCGGCGGCGGTGGCGCCCGGCAGCGGGATGGGCGTTTTTACTTGAGGCAGAACCAGGGAATCGTGGTCAACGAAGCCACATAGGATCCAAGGGCTTACAGCCAAACGTGTGCTTGCTTGGCCTAAATCCTTACTAAGGCAATAGTTTCGTCTCATCTCTCTCTCCCTCTTGCTTAGAGGTTACGGGTACAATGATACATTTTAGCTTCCACCACCCGATCCAAAAGGGGAGTTCTGGTTGCTGGAAGGGGCGGGATTGAGCAGGCCGCGGGCGCGCGAGGGCGGCTCGGGGCGCAGATGGTGTGTGTGTATGCGTGCAGGTGTGGGTGTGGACGTTGTGTATGCGGGCCGGCGTGCGCGCGCGCGTGTTCGTGTGTGTGCACGCGGAGCCTAGAAATTGGGGTGGATGGGTGCGTGCGTGGTGCGATGGTGAGGGGGGCGGGTGCGGGACGGCGCGGTGCGGAGTGGGTGCAGTTGGATGATGAGGAGGGGCGGGCAAGGGCGGGCGGGCGGACGGGCGGTGCGACCGTTGGGATGGGCGAACAGGGTTTACGGACGGGCAGGCATTGATGAGGGGAGAGTACGTAGATTGGAGAACGGCAAGAAAAGACCAAGGGCGGGGTAGTCAGAAAATAATGCTTGTGGTGCAAAAGCTAAGGGCTGGGCCGTTCTGCCGCCGGTTTGCTTTCCCACGGGTCTTTCGCATCAGCGCTTGTTGATAGTACCTTCCTTTGGTGTTATGTGGGGACGAAACACTACGGGAAGTAGTAAATGGATTTGTCTTGGACAAGGATCTTTTGTGGAGAAGATGGCCTTAATTGTGCGCTAGAAACCACCACACCTCAGCCCTCGCTATCGCTATCGTGATTAAAACTCGACGAAAATGGTGGGCCTGAAGACGCATAAGGTTCCTTTCTCTGCGACCGTTTCGTCCGGAGGAAAAGGGGCGATGTGGCTGGCGCTAGTTTGTGCTGCCGCGCGAGGGGAAAGAGAAAAGCCAGAGTGCCAGATGACCTGCTGGGGCGGGGATAGGGCTGAGGTAAGGGCCATGCAAGGCATACAAGACAACAAAGAGAAAAAAAAATTAATAATCCAGGGAGCGCGCCAGAGTTGCGCAGACGGATAAAGGGTCCCCTGGCTCTTGTCCGCGGTTGAGCAGGCCGTTGTTGGTACCTCTTACCATTCATTTCCGTCTCGTTTGCATTCTTGTGTGTATCCGCGGCGGGAATGGTTGATTTCGCAGGCATGTTATTGGTGCGCCCGCACCCGTACAACGCGCGCGGACGGAAATGCGGTTGCGTGCGGAGATAGGGCTTGGAATGAATGAGGGGATGAGGAAAAGAGTTACATTCGAGTGACCAAGCGGACTCACCGGCGGCCACGCACGCGGCTTACTATGAGACGGGATATCCGGGGCAACGGCTGGGCACAGGGCGGAGGAGCCGAGTAAACGGAGACATAATCTGGGGGCGGTTCGCGGAGAAGGCGCCGGCTGACGGGGATCGTGCCAACAAAGCTGAGAGAGATGGCGCTGACACAACAACCTTCGGAGGAGTGCTTACGGCCCCAAGTACCAACTGCCCAACTTACCGTTCCATCGTGTCCTTCCATTTTGGAGCATGTGAGGATGGATGAGTGGTTCGATGGCCGGTCGGGCCAGGCTGAGGGCTGAGGGCTGAATGCGCACATGACTCAATCCTGCCAGGTCGACAGGTACGCTGCTGCAAGGCGCGGCCGTGACGACATGTGCCTGTAGCTTGTGGAGGGCGGCCGGTCAAGCGAAAGGGCGGTCGGGAAACAACGTGTCTCTGGTCGCATTATCTTGTTGCTATTTCCGTGTTGGTCTGCAGCGTCGTTGCGCCCAGGGGGAAATGGCCCGCGCCAGGTTTGGCGGACCTGCTTATCCCTTCCGCCGGTACTGTAGCTGAAAAGCAAGCTGCCGGCTGCTGAACGTGCGACGCAGGGGTGAGGGCGGTAATAGGCGTCCGCGTGAGCAGCAGGAGTGGCAAGTAAGAGTGTGTGTTGTACCGACTTCAATATATAGAAATCCTGGGGTCGGCAGACCCGCCGCGGCGGCTCGCCCTCTACTTCGACCAGTTGGTGAGCCTGACAGCTGATGAAACACGCTGCTGTGCCCCGGAGGCGCTTGCATGCCCGATTCCATCGTGCATTTGCCGCCGTCGTTGGAGGACGCAAGATGAAGGATCTGTCGTGCTGTCAATGCATAGGAGATTTTTCGATGCCCTGGTGGTGGCTTGTGGTGTTGCGGCCCGTGGACGTTATTTGGATTATCGCGGCGGCAAGTATTGGCCCATGTAGCGGTCAGGTCTGACCCGGCCTTCGTATTGGACCGTTCCGGCTATGTGCTCTTCCCGCAAAGGCCTGACGATCCCGGGGATTGACGTCGGGAAAACGACTTGCTGGTTCCGGCTCAGGGGAACCCGCCGATGTGCGAAGGCGAGCAGAAGATGCAATCTACAGCTGGGCGGCTTCCGAAATGAAGGAACGGCACAGCAGCACCTCAGGGGACCCGAGGGAGCGGAACGGCGTGTAGAGGAGCACGTGGGCTGGAGTCCGGCGGGCTCGGCGTGGGGGAGCTAGAGACGCAGGGTGATAGGGAGTGACGTCCGCGCAGAAGACACGTACGTGGGCGGATAAGCAGCGAGTAGTGAGCGCGGACGCAACTTACCAACTGTAGCAGGTCATACACACGAGCAGTGGTACACGATGAGAAGGTCTGCCGCTTATCGAGCCTTGCATTGATGGCTTGAAGTTCCTTTTGCCTTCCCCACGAGTCCGTGCGTGGCTGGAGCGGTTGCTCTTCACAACGCCGATGATGCCGGGCTGCAGGCGCGGTGCAGATGCCGCCGCAACGGCTGCGCGGCCCAGAGCCCAGGCGAGCGGTGTCGCGATGGTCGCAATGGCAGCAATTCGCGGAAATTGTTCGTCAATGCACTCTCCAATTTCCGCAATTGACCGGTGCGCCGGGAGCTGGGAGCGGAGCGCTGGGAGAGTTGCAAGCGCCGTGGAAAAAGGAGCCATGAGGCAGATGACCGCCGTGTTTTGGAAGCTCATGCGTGGGACGGCACGGCCGGCGGGAGGCGTCCCCCCGGGCGCTACCGTTGGCCGTACAGTTGCTTTTGGTGTTGCTGGATTCGCCCAGCGCATTGACGATGACTCTGGCCGTGGTACGTTCTCTCGGGCTGCCGTCGCAGCCCAAACGAGTCGAGACTGCTTCGCTTGGCTGGCCGACTGAAACGTGAAAAAGCCCGGGCGACGTAGCGGCACGGCGCGGCTCCGCCAGGGCCAGAGGATGTCGTCGGCAAAAGGCCGACAGCGACGGCTTCGAATCCCACGAGGCCCAACACCATCGCGCCCACGCTGATAAGGCTGTGGGTGTCGGCACTTGCGAAGGCTCCGCCAGCGTCAGCCAGGCCCATCCACGGGACCTGCGAAAGCCGGCAAGCCCGTCTTGGCCCGATCCGACTCCGGCCTAGCCGCAAGCCTGTCCCGGGTTGTCGGGTCCGATGGCGCTCTCCGGGGAACTGGTTTTGGTGTTCTGCTGCCTACCCCCACCTCCCGCCGGAGATACAAGAGCTTCTGAGACGAAATGACAGCGTCGTATCGTGAAGGAATGTGGTGCGCTCCCTGTTGCCATGTCTCGGTGCGGGACGTCAACACCACGGTGGTGGTGTGGTGAGCAGTCGTGGACAACGCTCACAGGCGAAGCTCGATGTCGCAATCGGGTCCGCTGCCGCTTCGGTCGGTGGTGTGGCAGCCCGCCAGCTGATGGGTGCCGCGATACCTGGAGCGTGGAAGGCATTGCTGTCTCAGTCGTTTGTGCCATCACATGGAGAGCTCATTCACCGCCTTCATGCGCGACGGGAATCAGCCTGTTTCACGGCAGCTGGCAGCGCCGCGCCGTCATGGCGAGCGTCGTCGCGGTCCCCTTGCCGCGAGCCCTCGCGTCAGCGTGTGCGACGTGCAGACGATACATCGCCAACTGCTGCATCGGCGAGGCGGGACGGAATCGCCGCGCCCTGCCTGAGTGGTCCAAGTGTCCGGGGAAGTCGTTTTGCGTCTATGCGGCGGGGCTTGCAATCCGGGGACTGCACAGCACATCGTGTCACTTGCTGGCACGCCCGCGACGCGACTGGCAGAAACCGCAGGCAAGTCGACGAGGCACGAGGCGGGCGATCACGGGGAGGCGCATGGGTGGTAAAGCTCCGACGAGATTACCTGATCTGCCTCTCGAGGGTACCGGCCGAGACTTTGGGGCCGGTGGCAAACCTGCCTGCGCTTGTGTACCCCCTGGTAGACTGCGGAGACGGGCGCCGGGGGCTGCAGCTCAGGGTCTGGTCACGCATACAGTCGCAACGGTCGAGAGGCCTGCCGTGCCACCCAGGTCAGCTGCGCTCTCCTGGACCTGGAGATCATGAAGCAGCGATCGCCGTGCTGAAAACAGCCTGTCGCACATGATGGGCTCGCCGCGCGCTGACACTCGTCAAATGACTGCCGCTCGACTGCCACTTCATCAAGCCCGGCGGCACAGCGCTTCGACAGCCTCGTCGAGAGCGTCAGAGTGAGGCCAGGGCAGCTCACCTCATTCTGCGCAACGCTGCCCGTCGCCGACTGCCGAGAAGGGAAGGTCAGCTGCAAGCGGAAAATTCCTCCCGCACATGTGATGCTCCAGCCACAGCAGCGACAACAGCGGCGTGGCGACCTGCGGTTCCTGGCCACAATCCCGCTGTCCCGCGTGCTCACCGGCCGGCGGATGGCAGGCGGCGGCGGCGGCGGCGGCGGTGCGGTGGGCGGGCGGCGTGCTGCAGCAGAAAGGACGGCGGAGAGGGCGCGGAGAGAAGTCCACTCGAGACGCGCGTGAATCATCCGCCGACGTTTGAGGCGTGTTTGCGGCCAAGCGCCGGCCGAGTTGGGCACGCCGTACCCGTGCCGGTATTTATCCTGCAACGAGCAGCCGGCCAGACCACGGGCCTCGGGCGCGTGCGGTCGCCAGGGCAGCAGCGGCGGTGGCAGGCGTGCTAGCGGCGCCTGTGCGCGTCGGCTGCTGCGGGCGCGTGGAGGAGGCAGTGGGCGAGAGCAGCTCCGGCGGTGTCGGGGCCTGACTCGGCGCGGCTTTGTTCTGCTGCGGTTCTGGAAGAGAGCTTCTTCAGGCCGCCGGAGCTGCTCAGCCGCGCGGCGCTCGATTGGGCTGGGCTGCCAGGGGACGTCGGCGCTACTCTGGGGAAGAGCGGAAGCGTCGCTGGCGCTGCAGCCGGCTCCACCGCGACTCGTACGCGCTGGCGGTGGCCTTGCACGTTTTGGGACGCACGCCGCAGGCTGAGGCAGATCCAGCGTGCGCTCTTGTGACTTGCATTCCGAGGGTGCCCCCCCCCGGCACGCGCACTCGCTGCCCGCGCTTCTCCGTGCCCACGCCCCCCGGGCGCGCCCCGGCGTGTGCGCCCCCCATGCTCTGCCGCTCCATGCCTCTGCCCATGCGCAAACGCCTCAAGTCCCACGGCGCCGGTTGGTGCTGGTGGTCGCAGGCACCGCGAGCTTGTGCGGTTGACTTGTCAGACAAAAGCACTGTCTCTCGCTCTCCCGGATTCTTATGATCCAGAGCCCCCAGCTTCCCATTCCGCAGGCCCACGCACGCACACCACCACCACCGCCGACTGCAAGGCCGCCACTCACACTCTCCCTCCGCACACAACGCAGACTGCTGTCTCACCCCGCCCAAGCTGCCACGCTGTCCGGGCATGCCGCATTACTTATGAACCCGCGCCGAACGCCTGCACTCAATCGCCAGCGCTGCGGTATTTGGGCCTGCCGATCTTGACGCAATCGTCTGCTCCGGAAACAGCCATCTCGCCCTTTGCACACACCCAACCCACCAACCTCATATAACCGCCACCACGACCGCGACCATCGCACCGGCCGCGCCGTCGCCCACCATGCCGTTCAAGCCCCAGGTCCCCATACTCCAAGTCGAGTCCAACGCCATCCACACCGTCGACACCCGCTCCGCCGAGCAATTGTTCGGTCTCTGGTCGGGTAAGCTCTGCCGCGCTTCCACCGCGCTCCCTCTCGCTGATCCGCTGTAGTATTCTCCAAATGCGCCGAGACCATGGAGGAGGGCCGCCGCCTCGAGAACCTGAGCTGGCGCCTATGGAACCGGGAGACCTTCTGCTGCGCTCCCGACCACACTAACCCCAACGCCTCTCTGTTCACCACCCCGCGTTGGTCCTACTCGCGCAAGACGTCCGACTCGGGCTCCTTGTCCATTCCCGCCCTGTCGTCGAGCGTTGAGTCCAACGACTCGGACGAACGCGTCGACAGCGCCTCCACCCTGCACTCGACCACCTCGTCAAGACCTCACATTAGGAGACACGACTCGACCGAAAGCCGGAACCGAGGAACAGAAAAGCACATTACGCCTGTTGACCTCGAGAGCTTAGTCATTTGCATCAAAGAGAAGAAGGACCTGGAGCCTCTCGCCCCCTTGCCGATGCCCGCTCCCGAGCAGCAGGTCCAGGAGAACGCGAAGGAGCGACGCGTCGAGGAATCCATTCCGCCACCTACCAACCCTAAGCCCCAAATGGTCCCCGAGTCGTCCACTTCCACCGTCGCCACCACCCTCGACAGCGATCTCTCGAAAATGAGCCCTCCTGTCATTGGCTCCGACACCAGCACCTCCACCGACAGCAGCTCCCACAGCGTCGTTCGCGGCTTCTCTCCCGGCCGCGTGTCCTCTTCCTACCGCTCGAGGACGAATCTCCAGCAGCAGGCCATGCCCACCCCTATCATCAGGCAGCCCCAGCACATCGCACCCCCGATGCAGAAGAAGAAGGGTGCCATGTTCACCCTCGGTGGCTCTTCCGACGAGGATGGTAACAGCTCTTTGGAAACTCACATGCAGATGAGCCAGATGAGCAACGCGCGCAGTTCGCTCTCGGACGGCCTCAGGAAGCCCCCGGCCGTGTCCCGCAAGCAGACATCTTTCAAGGATGAGATCTCCGCCAGGATGCCCGAGCGTAAGGCGTACGAGAGCGAGGAAGTCTTCGAGAGCGACAGCGACGAGGAGGTCTCCGAGAGTGCCATCGAGGACGACGACGAGAGCCAATGGGAGGATTCGGACGATGAGAGCGGCCCATCTAGCGTCAACGACAAGGTCTCGTTCCAGAGGGTCGACTCCAAGCCCAACCTCACCTCCCGCCGCTCGCTCCTGACCACCCTGATGCACGAGGGCGACCGGGCCCAGGCCCTCCAGAACGCTGCGTCCCGCTCGACTCCCGCCCTTCGCCGCTCGCGAGCCACTTCGCCCAATGGACCTTCCGTTGCGGCATCACCTAACACCCATACGTTGAGATACACCCCTGCCCAGCCTGCCCAGCCTGCGCCCAAGCCTGAGCAGGAAATCCCCAGGTCAAAGCCCATCATTATGACGACCTCTAACACACACGCCCCTCCGGCACTGTCCCCTCGGACCACCAGGCGGAACATGCTCACCACAGAGTTGACAGAGTCCCTCCGCAAGCATCTGCTGTGGGAGCGCCAACAGAAGAACTCGACCAACAACGCAGTTCTCAAGAGGAGACACACTTCGACAGATGTCAAGAACCTCAAGAACTACCCTGGCGAGGCTCAGCCATCGGCCCTTGCGACCGTAAAGGAGAACGCTGCCAAGGGCAACAACTCCTGGACCACCAACTACTTCGACTCGGGTCTTCAAGAGTACCACGAGCGCGGGTGGTGAAAAAAAAAAACAGTTTGAATTCTCCCTCCAGGACAGGCATCAGCCTCTCGGCCCGGACGACCCCGGGCAGTCATTGATTGCATTTCTTTTATTGCGAACATAGCGTGACGGTGTTTGGCGATTTTGCTTCTAGTCATTTTAATCTTTTTTCATGGTGTTCATGGACTCATGGGCTTCATGGCAGGAACGGCACGGGTCACATCTGACTGCTTCTGAATTTTTTTCGGGATACCATTTTGCACTTGTTCACAGCAGCACAACGATGCTACGAATCTTCTTCTTTTACTGCGGACTATTATTTCTTGGACGGCGGGAAGACATCGACACTGGCTCGCGCCTTGGTTGCATTGGAGGGGAATTCACATGCGAACGGAGCATACCGCCGCCGTCCATGCCCTGTAACACTATACGGAACTCTGTACTTGTAGGGGAAGCGTTTGGGTGGAGCCTCGTCGCATTCTGGCAGCCACCGACTCCACCGGGGCTGGAGAGCACAATTACCTCACGACTTGTAGATGGTAATCAGCTTAGGTAGCGTAATCACTGAAAAAGTGGATTTTGAAACAAGCCAATGGCGCGATGCACCGGGATGCTCAGTGGACTCGGGGTGGATTCACCGGTAAGAGGGCCCTGGGCGACAATCAGCAATTCGCATGAACGGATTTGCTCTCATGGAAGCGTCTGGCCGGGCGTGTTCCTGATGGATTCGAGAGGGGCAGAGCTGGGGGGGCGTGGCAGCCGCCCCTCACAGAGAGTGACCCGGTGCCGTCCGATTTTCTGCCAAAGTTCCCCACCGCCCCAATAAGCAAAATGCATGGAAGAAACGGTCGGTGACGGGCACATGCAAAGAAAAGCCTCAGCGTGGCTCCGGCACGGGCTCTGATCCATGAGCCGCCAGGAGAGAGTTGCATAAGCGCGTGCACACCCTCATCAGAAGAGCAAGAGGCGGTAAGAGCGATAAGAGGCAAAGAAGCGCAGCGGCACGGCACGACACTGGGGCATGTGCTTGTGTGCGTGGGCGGTGGCATCATGGGCACGCTTTTGCCGGCCGTGGCTCGGGCGCGCCGCCGCCCGCCGCCGTCTCGCGTGCCGAACAGTAGCAGCTATCTACGCGCCTCGGTTGGCCGCCGGCGCGTGGCAGGGCGCAGGACGGCGACGGGCCCAAGGAACATGTGGAAATAACAAGTCAGAAAAAAAAGTACATCCCGCCGTGTCACGGGCGGCGGCAGCGTGCAGGTGGTGGTGCTTTTTGGGCTGCGTGCCCGTGCAGCTGCCCCTTTGCGGGTGGTGGTGTCCTCGGGCCGACACAGAATGGCAAAAGACACTGCAAAGCATTGGCAGGGCGCCAGATCAGATGGGCGGGTGCATTGGCACAGAGGCACGATGGCCGCTGGGGGCGGCGATGCGCAGGTGGAACACCGAGGGCGATCGCGCACACGATGCAGCCTTATGAGTCACGGCGCGGCGCGGGCGTGGTCAACATGACTGAGTATGACGGCAAGATGAGTTTGGGTGATGCTGCGTTGGCAGCGCGGTAGACTCTGGCTCAACACCACAACCGGCCCCCAACTGCCCCCCCATATGAGGGCCTGCTGACCTCGCTCTGTGCAAACCCCCAGATCGCCGCTCCGCACCGCGATTGTCTCCCTAATCACAGTCTATTTCCAGCGCCTGCCTATCATCATGGCCGCGGAAGGGCGATCAAGCTTCCGCAGCGGCACGAGCAGCGCGGCCGGTACGTTCGTTCTGCCAACGCATCACTCTAGCCGCTGCACGTCCCGGTCATCTGCTCACTCCAATGCAAGCGTCCTCAGGGTCGCCCGCTGCCAGCGCATCAGAGGCAGCGCGTCCTCAGCCTCAACCCCAAGCCGCTGCGCCACGGCGCGGGAGGCCATGCCGCTTCTACGGCACCCCGTCCGGTAAAGCTTACGCGACCCTGTCTGTGCCTATCAACCCGCTCAACACCGTGTGGGGTTTCTGTTGATCACCAGACGCCGCATCCCTGATGGCTGCTGATATGAGTGATTCCAGGCTGCCGTGCCGGCCGCCAGTGCCCGTTTGCCCACGACGCCTCGGCCAGCGGCGGTCAGCCTGCTTCGAAGGCCCGACCTGCGCGTCAACGCCAAGCGGGCGAGGATCCGGAAGAACCTTCTCTTGCATCCACCACACCGACTCCGCGCGCTCGCGTGGTGCAGCGTCCCACTCCGCGCGCGCAACAGGAAGATCCCCGCGAGTTTCAGTTGGCGCAGATCCGCCGCAGATTCAGCCCGGAAGAATCGCTCGACGCGAGCGCCGCCACCATTCTGGCTTTCGGCATGAAACCCTCAGACCCCGACTTTCCCTTTGACATTGACGAGCTGGCCTGCCGCCTCCGCGTGCCTGCCACCTACCCAATGCAGGGCCGTCCGTCGCTGAGCGTCACCAACGCCGAGATGGACAGGGGCTTCCAGATCAACGTCGAGAAGGGCTTCGATGCCCTCGCCGCGAAGCAGCTTCCTAACCAGACGCTGCTGGCATTGATGAACGCGCTGGACCGCCGCTTGGAGCAATTGCTAACCGCACCGCCTGCTGAGACTTTCTCCATCAAAATAGTCCCGAACGCGGCGGCGAGGGCCGTGCCGAAGCATGCCGCCCAGGTCCCCACCCCGCCGCCGCCGCCGCCGTCGGTCGTTGTGCAACCATCCCAAGTGCCAGCGCAGCCGAGGGAAAGGCCACCGCCACCTCAACCTGCATACGGCCCTGAGCAGAGGGCGCAGGCCAAAGCGCGGCGTGACCAGGAAACGCGCCAGCTTGAGGCTCGGCTCGGCCGCCTGCCTCACTTCTCCACCCTGGCGGATGGCGCGTTTATCGTGCCTGTCGAGCCCAGGCGTAGGGCCGAGCTGCCCATTGCGCTGCAGGCCATCAAGACGGTGAGGCTGCTGGTGCCTGAGCTCTATCCGCTGCAGCCGTGCAGGATCGAGCTCATGGGCATCGACAGGCTGGATGCAATGCCCGCCGAGCAGGCCTTCGAGGACAGGGCGAGACAGTTTGCAAACATGTCACTGCTTAATCACGTTAACTACTTCTCCCAGAACATGCATTCAATGGCCCATGCGCCCCCGGCGACGTCGGATGACAGTCCGAGGGTCCTGGACCAGGTGAAGGAGCTCACCGTACAAGACAACGCAGCGGAAGCAAGCACCGCAGCGTCTGGTGCCGAGGCAGACTCGAAGACGGGGACTGGCCATGTAGACGATAGGAGTCACATCATCACCATCCCAAGACCGCCTGAGTGGCAAGTGCTAGCTTCTGATGACGATGACGAGGATTCCTACGACTCCTACTCTGATGAATCACACAGCGACGGAGAAGCGGAAGGGGGTGGCTCAGACCGCCCCGGAGGAAGCTCCCAGACGCCGGCTCTCGAACGCGGGGTTACGGTGTCGTTCCCGCACCTAGAGCTCTACGGCATCGAACTGCTCGAGCTTGTCAACCTGTGTCTGACCGTCAAGTGCACCCGGTGCAAGGATACGTTGGACGTCAACAACATTAAGAACAATGCTAACGCTGACTATACCGGCATCCGCAGCGAATCGTGCAAGAAGTGTGCGAATCCGCTGGGCATAGGTATATCCGTTGGGGAAAAGTCTTTTTGGATCATGGGACTAACGTGTGAAAAGGGTATCGAATGGACATGATGCATGCAAACTCCGTTCGGGCCGGCTACCTTGATCTCGACGGATGCACTCCCGTTGACATGCTCCCAAGGTGAGGCTGCGAAAATAGAAAATGAGGTGGCGCATGGGAACATTTGCGGCTTACAGTAGCGCGACTCGTACCCAAGCTTTCATTTCGCCCTAAGGGAAGAAGAATGTTGAGGGCTGACTGCAGGCTCGCTAGCAACTTTATCCCGACATGCTCGGGCTGCTCTACTCAGTATCCCAGCCCCGGCGTGGTGTCTGTTCGCGGAGACTCGTCAATGGCAATGTGCAGAGAATGCCACCAGAAAATGAGTAGGTGGCGCCTAAAGCTGGATGATTTACAAGGCTAACCGGTGCTTGTCGCTCCGTGCAGCGTTCAAGATCGCAGAAGTTAAATTTCTGTTGGTCAGCGCGTCGTCAGGTACGTTGCTAGCGGCGGGCGGAACAGGTCCCGGCGAGCCTACTACGCGCATCGACATGCTGATTGCTGCGTGACCACAGCACAAGCAACCCGCGCATTGCCGCGAAAGAAGGTTCGTCAGGCCGCCCACCGGTTGATGCACTCACAGCTGACGGCTTCTGAAGCCCAAGGAGAAGCTGGGAATCGTGGCGGGCCAGGAATTACCCAAACGAGGTCGCTGCAAGCATTACAGCAAGAGCAATCGGTGGTTCCGGTGCGCCGCAAGCCACAAACGTCTTTGCCGGCGTTTGGTCCCATCAGCCGGACATGTGCTGACTCCGCTCCAGGTTTTCGTGTTGTAGCAAAGTGTACCCATGTGACAGGTACCGTCATTGCCCGCCAGACGATCGTGAGATCTCCAGGCCCGATCGACGGACTGACAGAAGGATCGTAGGTGCCACGACGCTGAGGCTGATCACCCGAACGAGCACGCCAACAGAATGATTTGGTAAGTTCCTTGGTGTCTCGCGCCCACCGGTTGCTCTCGATCTGGCGCGAGGCTCCCCAGATCCCTGCTCCACAGTGACGTCGCGCCTGCATCCACCCCCGGCACAAGCTTTCCCCGCACGATTTACCTGTTGCGGCAGACCGTCGCGCTGTCTCGGTGCCCTGCCACCCTCGCGACATTCTTCGCCCGAGCCATCTGCAGCCCTACGACCTGCCGTCGATCATCGCAACCCACCCATTGAGCGCGATTTTGCTGACAGCACCATTCTGGTCGCGTGTATAGTGGATTTTGTACGTCGCCGTCGCCTCCTCCCATCCGCGCCTCGGCTACACGGACGACTAATTGCGATCACAGGCTCGCGCGAGCAAAATTACCGGCCGGAAGATTGCGGAATATGCCACGCGACGCTCGTCGGCAAGAAAGGGTCGGGCTTCTGGGAAGGTGGAAAAGGTACGTGAATAATGCCCCAGCTTGTGATTATTGTGATTGCGCAAGAGTTCTCGCCCCTTTCTTAATCGCGGCCAAACTTCCCTGCCCAGACCCCTTCACGACCAGAGACAGAGTTTTGCTGCCCCCGGCGGCGTAAGCTGGCCGTTAGCTCTGGCTGCGCTTCGATTCGCCGGCGATGGGTGAGGAGGCGGACACTAAGGGCTTTGGGTGTCTACACCCGCTTCCGGCACGCCGTTGTCAGAAGCCAAGGCCACAGCTCACCTGTGGTCGAGAGCAGCGGCACCAGGGCTTGAGCGACTCAATGCGGCGTCAGCACGCGCGTCGGCGCATCCAGCGTCGCACCTCAAAACAAAGACCGTAATTCGCGACGCCCGACGACGTCTTCAGCTGCCGCAGTGGGCCAGGCCCTGTTCACCAGCTGTCATGAGGACGGCGGTAGTGGGGCAATAGACCGTTTGCAGCACAGGCAGCCGCCGCCGCGACTCGAGGCATTGATGAATGGCTGGCGCATGGACGCTCCTCGGGCACACATGGCATTATTGCAATGGAACCAAGGTTCTTCATGCGGCGGTTGCGCTTGTTTCCTCTGCCCTCAGCGCCAACCTTGTCGCAAATGGCAGTCCCGCGCTTCCGACCGAGGTACGGTAGCCACCAGGCAGCTGCCGGCGGCTGAGCCGAGAGAGACGAATACGACAGGAAGAAGGTTTTGTGGCAGCCCATCTTGCAGGCCTCCCACGTGCGCGAGCCCCGCTCGGCCCTCGCAGCCCCACTTTCTGGTTGCTGGCTCGGCATTCTCCCCCAGGTTCTTGGGATTCGCAAATCTGGGGTTGGCTGTTCCTTGTCGATTCGACCACCCTCCCTCTCCTTCTCCTCCACCAAGCTCCAGGTATTTTCGTCGACCGGGGGAGGATCTGGCGGCCGCATCGCCGGATTTCGGATTCCTTCCAGCTTGGCGGGCAAGGCAACCCATGCCGGATCCTTTATCTCACGCTGCCGCTGGACCGTTTGCCCGCCATACTCATCGCGCTCGGATCTGGGGAAGGAACTGACCCTTTGCGTTCATCGCACGAGACTGCCCGCCTTGCAAAGCCTCGAAAAAAGCCTCAATGGGGCGCACGCGGTCACTCAAAAGACGCCAGTGTCCCTGCGTCTGAAGGGCCGAGCCTGCTGGGGCAATGCCGCAGCCAGCAACCGCAATGTTTTGACATTCTGGCCCGAAGCGGACTCATACGCGCAGTCATGCGATGCGCCCGGTGGTGTCGTGGGCTGGATCGAACTAGGTACATCCATCTGCTTAGCTTTCCGGTCGCGGCTCCGCCGGGGCTTGTTCCCCTCTTCTCGTCGAGAACCTCCACCGCGACTAGCCGCCTCGTCTCCGCAGGCCTAGACGCGCAACCTTTTTCAAGCTTCCGCTGCTTACCTTACATTTTACTGCTGCTGTTGAGGCTACCAGCAGTAGTTGCAGCGGAAGCAACAAGTAGTTGCGCGCCCGCGGCGAAATGCCGCCGTCTCTCTTTCTCCGTTTCAAGTCCAGGCCGCGTGACACGGGCACTACCTATCTCCTCAATATGAGGAGCGCGGAGAGACGGAGATTTCTCGCAGAAACTGTCAGAGCAGGAATGCTCCGCCGCGCCGACGCTATTTCATTACACAATTCGTACACAAGCACTACTATCCGAGCACATGCTTTTCCTAGGGGTTTGTTCGGACTTTGGGCTAACGCAGGCGGTTCCGCTGGTTGGAATGCAGGTACGCGTGACCGCGTGCGCATGTCGAGGAAAGGTACGTTTTATCTTTTTACTTTTGCCACCAATTAGAGCCCGCTCTGGTACTTGTTGCTTTTAGTGCGAGTACTTTTTTTTTCGTAGAGGGTGGCGATGGTGGTGTGATGCCATCCTTTCCAAAGAGTTTCGTTACCCTCCATCCTTCCACCCCGCCTCACGGTTGTGTTTCAGCCTCTATTCTTATTTTTCCGGCCAAAGATGAGCCGTTGTTTGAGAAGCGCTCGCGTTTGGGCAGCGGCACACCATTTACCCATGGATGCGTTCTTTGTTTTCTCGTCATTATGCGTTTTTCCACCCAATCATCGTCCAGCACTTGCGTCTTATTTTTTGCGATTTTTTGGTTTTTGGCACAACCCCCCTGCTTTTTGCTAGTCGCGTGGCCTTCCTTCCGCTGTGCCGCACACGCAACGCGTACCACACGCAACACGCCTCTCTATACCCCCACGGTCAGGAAAATAAACAACACAAACACAACACACGCGCACGACGCCGCCCACTCTTCCTTACGTCGATCTATCTCTCCTTCTTACCGGTGCGACGTACTCCGTCTCACGCACATTCCCTTTATCTCTGTTCTCCGCACGCCCGGTTTCTCCTCTTCGTGTTTTTGTCACCTCCGCAAGTGGGGGGGTGAGAGAAGTGCAGGGGTTAGCCGGGACGTTGTCTTTCGGCTGCATCGGCTGCATCTTCCGCCGGCGAAAGCGTTGTTGCCCGGTTCTCCACGTTCGCCGGCGGTCAGGTGTATATGTGCGACCGGAGGCACGTGCAACGGGGAAAGGGGAGGAGAGTAAAAAGCTTGGTGTCGCGACGTGTGTTTGGTCGTTGGTTGGGTTGTGCGTCGGCGTGCGTTATGCATGCAAAGGAGAAATGCGCCCCACGCATGATGATGCTCTTTGTCCTTTTTTTCCTTTTCCCTTTTTTGCTTCACGTTTTCCCCAGTCACACATCATTTGTTGTTGGTGCACGACCTCTATATTGAAGGGGGGATGAAAGAAGGCAAGATGCGCTAATTCGAGACCGCTCGTTGTCACACCGCTAGACCCGAGGAAGTACAAACGTCGCCCCGGCGGTGCCGCGAGCGGCAGCAAGGACAAATAAGGGAGCCTATCGGATCTTCGAGGAGGTTTCATGGCTGTGACGAGAGGTCGTCCACGTGGTTGAGAGAGTCAGGTTGGATTAGGTAAGTGTCAGAGGTGTGATGGTGATGTGGGATATTAAGGTTTTTGATTTGGTGTTGTTGTTTCGGATCATGTGGTTGGAAGTAGCAAGTCGGGTTGGCCCAAGCAGACCTTACCTTCTTTCTCTGTTCCACGATCTGTTCTTTTCGGTGGAGCCTATTCATCAATGGATCGCGTTACTCATCGTCAATTGACCACGCGGCGCCAGCGACGACTGATCTGCTACAAGCATTGAGAAAAGCCAGGTGATGATGAGCTACTGGGAGCGGGCGTACGTACGCGCAACGCACACATGCGTGCGTGCGTGCACACCGTATCTATTTTTTGTCCCCCTCTCACGATAGGGGCCCGAGCTGAGGGCTGGGGCTGACTTGACTGCGTTGGGCTCGATCTTTTCTACTATTACCTCCTTAAACTAATAAGCGACGGAGGAACACGCAGGAATCGAAGGTTCGGGCTGCAAATCGCAGATCCTCGCCCGTTGGTGTTGGTGTCCGCGTTGCTTCTGCCTTGATTTTCGAGGCGCTTGGGGACGTTCTAGATTGAGGACTGTGGATTGTGGGTGGAGGGACTAAGGTGGAGTTTAGGTGGAGTTTGGGCCAACGTTTCGGGATCCGTGTTTTAAGGTACTTTCCGTAGGGCTGCTACTGCTGCTGCCTTTTTGGCGCGTGCTGGATGGTGGTGCGTTCTCTCTCTGTCTCTGTTGCCCTTCTGACGAGACGAGAGGTGGTTGGTGCGGGTTGGTTACTGCGTAACAACCTTTTTTTTCTTGACGCGCATCGTAATTAGGAAGTGTTGGCCGCTCCGTGCGTTAGAAAAGGGAAGAGGCGGGAGGAATGGGCGGTGATGACGATGCCATCACTTCACCTGCACCGCCGTATTGCGGCTCTACTCTGTCCCAGACTTTTGGTTTTGTGGTCTTTTCTTTCTGCAGCAACACCTCAATCACCCAACTTCTCTCTATCGGCTCGCGACCGTGTCGTCTCCAAGGGGCGGGATCGGGATCGAATGACCACCACCCACGCGAGTCGGACACGAGCGAACATGCAGAGAGACGAGTCGGTCTTCACATCGATCGCGCGATGCGGACGGTTTCGAGGTTGTTTTACTACTCATTCACATGATGAAGATGGGCATTGCGGATTGGGTCGCCGTGTAACGCATATGAGGTTGTCTCAGCTGTTCCTCCCCCTCGGGGCGCTCCGTGACAATTGGACCCGGCTGCGATCCGGTTGGACCTTTTGCATACCAAGGCATCGTCGTCACCGACGCGATGGACCGATTTTCTCTTCTTATTAAGCTGGCCCAGATCTCTCGTCACTTCTTTGCCCCGACTCGGTACCCAGGCCGTTGGTTCGGATCGGCCCGAGACCGAAGGAACAAAAGAAGAAAAAAGGTATCGTGAAGGTTAGCTCTAGTGGTGTATCATCCTACCGAACGGCTCCAATAACGGCGCTTCTACGTCTTAGCTTGCCGTCCACTGACGATCTCGACGGGAATTCCCATTGATATTCGGAAGGATTTCTCCTCAACCAGCAGACTATTGTGTGTGGAAAAAGTTTTTCTGCCCTTCTGATTTCCATTGAAGGGCATTGGCGCAACCACGAAAAGAGGCAACGTGATAGTCGGCAAACCTGCCTCCTCAACCGAACGCCAGTGTATGTACAAAGAGAAAAAACTTTCTCCGAGCCCGCTTTCACGAAGATTGCTGCCCGACAACAACGCGCGGAACCGGGGAAACACGGGAAGGTGGGGATTACAATTGGAAGGACGGGTGGGCGGGCAATTAAAAAAGGCGACACATCCCAAAGGGCGGGCGTGCAGGCAGCCACCAGACGAGAAATGGCAAAACAGCGAACAAGAAAGTGAACCCCACTGCCAACCACGGGTTGCGGCTGGGCGGGGCGGGGCTGAACTGGGCGGCTCGTCGACAGAAAGAGGCGGGCTGGGGAGGGGCTCTCTTAGGGCCAGGCATATCCATGCAGGAAAACATCGGAGCCGCAGTTCAATTTGATACTCTCGCTTCGCAACCGCCCTGGTCCCTTTTTTTTTTTCTTTGCCTCCACACGCACATCTTTTGGGGGGGTCTCGTCTCACATTCTGCAAATCATTGGCGATGAAGAGTAATCATCGTCAGTCCTACACGCAAGGCACAAGTGGGCAGGTGCGCAGCTTTGGTTCCGGCGGAACGAACATCTTGTCTTTTTCGATGCCCTTTTGCCCCCGGTTGCCCATTGCTTTCGGAAGCCGCCGACACTGCGGAGCAATGAGCAGCCCACAGACAGAGCTCGGAGTGTCGGAGAAAGGGGGGCATCCAAATCACAGGCAGGAAAAAAAAGAGAAGAAGGCCCGACTGCGGGCCACTCACACTTGTGTATGTCTCTCGGTAAGCACAAGCAGATACTACAGTACATAGCTACTGTGCACACGCAACATAACTTACGACGCCGCCGAAGCGGAGGAACAACGTGGCAAAATCATCCGTGCTTCTTCCTCACTACTCTCTCTCATCCTGCTGCTGCCTCCCATCCCTAACGCTTTCCCCGTGCGGCGTCTGGCCGTGACCGCCGCCATCTCGTGGCGTGAGGGGTAAATGGAGGTGGGTTTGGATGGGGGCCAAAACACCGGAGCGGCGAGGCGGAGGGGCCCTCTGGCACACCGGGGGGACTGGAAGGGATGGAAGCGGAGCCGAGTTCTGGCTCTGGCTCTCTTGTTGTTGCTTTTAGAGAAGACGATCACATTCATTGGGACGGCTGCCAGCAGGATGCGACGTAGCCACGTAACTTGGCTTAGGCTTTCTTTTGCTAATTGTTACGGTTGCTTATGACTCCTGTTTGCTGGCTGGCTGGCTGGCTGATGATATGGTGGTGCTGCGCCTCAGGGCAACGGGATTGGCCGTAAAGGGCATTGTAGTGGCAAGCCAACTTTCTCTGACTTGTCGTCTACTACAATGCTACCTACCTATCTACAAGCCCAATCTCTTTCGGCCCCTGCATGATGGTGAGATGTGGTGACACTACTATCATCATGCGTGACCTCAATGTGCTTGCCGCGGCTGGTGCCTGTCGTCCTTGCTTCCTCGATCGCGAGGTATCGGTCGATGGTAAGCGTGCGTACGTAGGTGGTGGTGCGTAGTTCGAGACATTCTTTCGAGATAGCTCCATCGGGGACTCTCGCTTGCCGTCTGTCAGATCGGGGGCCGGATCGCCGGCACTTTTAGCGACGCACAGGCAGGCCGCCTCGTTGTTGCGTGACTTCTTCCCTTCGCCATCCCGCTCGGTTTTGCCGGCGTAATTAAAAAAGTGCTGTCTGCGGGCAACTACCGGTTCGGGTCGGATTTGAGCTCTGCAGGCAGGGGCAAGCGAGGACGACAGCGCGACATGCGTGCACGTGTGGGGAGCAGGGACGGCAGCGATGACGTAGGTGGTGGTCGAGTGTCAGCGTGATGCCTTCTCAACCACCCGCTTCAATGTGCTTACGTATCGCCCTTCGCTCTGCGAGTAATGCAGGGCAAGCTTTCGGTTGCATGAGTAGGGCTGCGTGGACGTCCCCTTGGCGGCACACATTTGGACGGTCTAGAATGCTTTGATCCGCGGTGCAGACAGCTGGTCACGATGAGCAGCTGGGTTTTTTCTGGAGAGATTGGCACCCATCCCTGTGATATTTCGCCCTCCCGGCGCGAGACACATCAAGGTACTGTCCTCATGACCGTCGATGAAGGGCAACTTGACCAGATTGTCAGTCGATTGACAAACGACATCGCCCGGGTTATCGCCGGCACTCGATGCCAACGAACACCCCCTCTCTCCCTTCTTCTCCGCACCGCGCTCCCCACATAGGTGGCGCTGGGGCAATGGGGCAAAGAAGGGTCTCATGAATCAGAACACGAGGTCGTTGTGGGCACAGCAGAGGGGCGAGTCGCCCGATATTGCCAATTGAACCGCCAATCACTTTCCGACTTTTCCCATTGTCCGGGGGCTCTTCTGGGGAAACCGGACTTACGCCATCCCGCCAGTTAGCGACCTCGAGAACGTGCTCAGATGCCCTTAGCTTTAACCTCGCCTCCGGGGAGTTCTCTTGTCACTTCCGTTGGCGTGACCCTCTAAGGGCCAGCGGATCGGATCTTCGTCGGGAATCATGTTTCCGGCGGAAGGGAGGAGCGGAGCGGAGTCGGGGCAAGGAAAAAATGGCGGAGGGGCGGGGTTTCTTCCAGGGCAGAGGGTGTGAAGGTGGCGCTATGCTAGACGACATTTGAGGGCATGCCATGACAAAAAACCAGTCTTTCGTTGCCTGCAATTGATGAGCCATTTTTCTGCTTCTCCTTAGCTGAAGCAGTGATGTCGCTGTGCGGCTGAAGTTGCGAGACATGTGACCACATTCTCTTGATACATCTCGATATTTACGGGCACGAGGGGGGTTGGCCTTAACACCTATGACGTCTGTGCTGGGGATGTGGTGGACCTGTCATCCCTCCCTTGGCCAGCTCCAAGAACGTTCAGATGACGCTTCAAAAATTGCACCTTAGATTCTTTTGAGATAGACGGGGAGACGGACATCGCTCCTGCACGCCTTGGTCGCGACGATCACTTAGACCGCCGCTGATGACGCCGAGGCCGCCAACTTGCGCCTCAAATTACCCCAACCAGACGCTGATTTCCTAACGGGGGAATCTCTTAGTGCCTTTGCCACTATGGTTTTCCCCATTGGCCAGTAAAAACGACTACAAGGAAAAGTTAATAGGCGGTTGTACGGAAGTGATGCCAACGGTCATAGCAGCATGTCGATCATATCGATGACGAAGTTTGGAGAACTCTTCTGCCCGTCGTAGATTTTCACTAGGAGAATCCTACAGTGGGTGCCGAAAGAACTGAGCTATCGTAGACTAATTTCTGTCAGAACCATCTAAGCTCGTCATGTGCGTAGCTGAAGCTACTATCCGGACGTAGATGTAGAATTGGTCGGATTCCCTTGCTCACGAAGATAATTGCGGACCGTCATTTCTTCTGGTACCTACTTGAATGCTTCACCTATCTCTGATTCGAGAACATTCTCGAATCTCATTCGTTACCCTCCCTTCCATACCATAACCAATACGGCCCTTTCCAAGAGTCCAGGCCTACATCACTACTACTACTACCACAAGCTGAATTCTCAAACACCTACACATGCAACCTCAAAGTACGGTAGTCTGATTCTTCGCGAGTCTCGCCGTCACACCAGCCCCGCCAACCAGAAGCAAGGCAGCCCAGTACCTCCACCAAGTATTTTCCTCGTGGCACAAAACCCCGCACCTCTTACTCCACCCCTTTCGTCCTCCAAATCCCTTGCTGCTAGACTGCCCGAGACCCCCTTTCCACGACAGCGAGATACGACGTCCAGGTGGCGATACGGTGCACCGCGCGGAAGTGGTATCCGGGCATACGACAGCAGCAGCAGCGAAGGGAGTGCGCGAGGGAAAAACGTGTGGGAATGCGGGGGAATACATTCACTCCGTAGATTTGAAAATTAATATATTCTCCGTATGTGCGAATCGAAGGACACAAGAGCAGAGGAAAATCAAATAAATGTCCGTTCTTCTTTTACTGCCCTTCCCCCCACTCACCCTTTCTCTCTGCACGTCCGCCCGTCGCCGGCAGGTGGCTGAGAGCGACAGGAACAAAGCCTAATGCATGTACAAGACAAGCTGCATGTACCGCGTTGCTGTGGTGTAATAGCCGTCATGTACAGTATTTCGAATACTCTACATGTACTCCACATCTGTAAACACTTTTGCTTTTTTTCTCCAGACATCTACACAAAGTACAGGGAAAAAAAAATTCTGTGGTGTCACACCTACCACATGTGCAGCGACATTAAGGTCAACAAAAACAAAAGACATGTCTTCTAGAAACTCGCACGACAGATTCAAAACGCACGCAGTAAATGAAGCACGCGGACAGCAAGGGATGCATGTCTTTGTCCCGCAGATGCAAAGACAACGCGCACAGTATGTAAGAGACGCGACGCGTACTGTAGCACATCCACGGAAAATTTTTGTCTTCGTCTTTTTCTTTTTTCTATTGAATAAGTATGTTCCGCTGCTACATTACTTACTTTTCCATCCGACTCGGCAGCGTCCGCCACGACGTCATTGCTGTTCCTTTATCATGCCAAAAGAGGCCAAAAAGGGAGGATTGGAAGACAAACGTCCCCTGAGTGCTACATCATACATGCATTTCTTCCAACCCACGACTGGCGGGGCGATTATCATCTCCCATAATACGTCGGCTTGCATCTCTTCCCCCAATGCCTTGTTTTCTTTTTTCCTTCATCCGTGGGGAACATGACGCTTGTCTCAGAAATCGTTCTCGTCGCTTCCTGCAATAATGACATTGTTGACCTGTCGCAAGGGTGAAGACACACGCGTTAGCCAAGACTCTCATTCAGATAAGCGGTGAAGGGGCGTTCGCGAATCGGGTTCAGAACCCAGACTCCGATGGCCTAGAAGCCTGGACGGGATCCCTGTCGAAGCGGGCGGTTGTGATGTGCACGGCGGGAACGGGGAAGCGGGGAAGATGCGAGACGATATGTTCTCACTGGCCAGCGACACAATCCCAGCAGATCGGAGGTCAGGGGCGCCGCGGCGAGAAGCGAGAGACATGGGGTGTGGGGATGCAGCCATCAAGGGCAGTCAGAAGAGGTCATGGGGGGATGGGCGTTATTTGTAACACCAATGGCTGCAGTGCAGAACAGGGGTTCAATGCGATTTGCAACTCGCCTCCGCCGGCCAGAAGCCATGTCGTGTAACCGTGGCTTGAGGGGGGACGTCGGGATGGCGCACCTGCACTGCAGCCAGAGGTGATAACCCAACGGAGACGCCGTTGGGGCCCGAAATAAATGTGACTGGGGGGAAAGGGCTGCAGCTGAAGCACAACCGGGAAATTGTGAGGCGACCAAAGAAATCTGCAGACTCACCTTCAGGACCATGCGGCACAATTGCGTCGCAAGCAGGAGCTGCTGCCTCTTGGAGATGAGCGGGTCGATGACAAAGTGCTCGCGCATGTCTGTCACAATCTACGTTAGCCCTTGCATCACGCTTTTGTGTGGAGTGTGACGGCTCAAGTGATGCGAGTAGTAATTGGTGGTGAAATAGGTTAACGGAAGAAGGTACGAGCCGCTGCACATGCGACCGGGATCTCGATTCTGTGTATCCGGGATGTGCGACATCTCGTTGCGTAACCGCATCTGACTGGCAGCCACATGCAGTGCCGGTAACAGCTGGCAGTTGTGGCTGCAGATTGCGGGCAGGGAGCGCGCAAAACAGCGTTTGCAGGGAATCAAGCTCGGGATGTGATGATGCAAAGGGGAGCTTACCGTTGGTTCCTGTTTGCATGCAATCAACACCCAGGCGCGAGTTCTCCTCCTTGACCTGTCTCGACTTGATGGACGCAAGGGTCTCAATAGGGCTCAAGCCCGAGTTCTCAGCGAGGGCCATAGGCACTGCATCGAGCGCCTCGGCGAAAGCCCGCATGGCGTATTGTTCGAGACCGGGGCTCTGATAACGGCGTCAGCCACCAAAATATTGAATGCGCAGATGATTGACACGTTGTCACACGTACCTTGACAGCTGCGTCCTCGACAGCCAGAGAGCAAGCAACCTCTGCCGCTCCACCTCCGTAGACAACGCGGTTGTCCCGAACCAGGTTGCGAACAACGCACAGAGCGTCGTGGAGGGACCTCTTGGCCTCGTCGATGATCTGTCATGCGTCAGTTCTAGGCTTCGAAAAAGCTGGGGAAAGGGCCAATGTACCATCTTGTTGCTTCCTCTCAGGAAAGCGGTGACGGCTCTTGTGTTGGCGCACTCCTCGATCACCAGCATTTTGTCTCTTGTGGTGCCGAAAGTCATCTCCCTCACAATACCAGCAGTACCAAGCTTCTCCGCGCTGAGGTCCTCGAACCTGGGCACTATCCTACCGTTGGTGGCGATGGCGATGAGCTCAATTTCGGGACCACCGACCCACCTGACAGCGGGCAGGTTGTTGGTCAGGAGAAGGTGGTTGGCCTCGTCGTCGAAACCCCACTGGCAAATGGCGACATTGGCGCCAGTGTCCTTGATCTGCGTGATCATCTCGTTGAACTTGTCAGACTCGTACTGCTGGAGGCGCTTGAATTCCTCGACGTTGGTGATGTCCAGCTTGTGCTTGGTCTTGGGCTTCGGGGGCTCAAAGGCGCAGGTGAGGATGGCAATCTTTGCGTCGCGGACTTCGGACGGCATCTGGGGGTGGGAGAAATCCTTGTCGATGATAACACCCTTGACGAGCAGGGAATCCTCGAGAGAGCCGCCGACCTTGGTGTCCACCTTGATGAGTTCGAAGTCAACGTCCTTGCGCTCGAGATCGGCAACGGACAGAACGGCGTCGACAGCCATGCGGGCAAAGTGGTCGTGAGCCTTGGAGACAATCTTGCTGCCCAGACTGGTCTTGGCGACCTTGAAGAGGTTCTCAGTGTCTTCCTTGGAGAAGGGGATCTCGTCGCTGATTTTGTCCAGCTGTGCCACGGCAACCTCGCACGCAGCATCGTAACCGTCGGCTATCCTGATGGGGTGGATTCCCTTGTCGATCAAGTCGGCGGCCTGCTCGAGCAGGGCGCCAGCCAAAACGACGACACCGGTGGTGCCGTCTCCAATCTCGTCATCCTGGGACTGAGAGAGCTCGACCAGCAGCTTGGCAACGTGGTTGGTGATTTCCATCTGGCCAAGAATGGTAGCGCCATCGTTGGTCACGGTGATGTCTCCATCAGGAGAAATCAGAATCTTGTCCAGACCTCGGGGACCCTGTCCACATGTATCAGTCCCTCCGCCTATTGACGCCATTCCAGTGTCTCATACCAGCGAGGTCTTGACGAGGTTGGCAACGGTCCTGGCGGCGAGGATATGTTGCTTCACCGCCTCGGTACCGTGAGTCCTTTGCTTCTTGCCCTGACTTGATGTCCGTCAATGTCCGCTCTCTTGCGCAGCTCCGGTGGATGTGTACGCACTCTCTGACAATGATGAAGGGGCGCCCGGACTCATCCTTCATCACCTGGGCTGTTCGGCGAGGTCAGCGGGGCTCGGGGGCGGAAAGGTGCGGTCGGCGCCGTGGGCGTGCATACCATTAGACATGTCAAGCTCTGTGTGGAGGAATGGTAGTTAGCATGAGCTCTTCGAGGGGCAGTGGACAGCTGGTTGCAGGGGGTCGGGGCTGCACGGGGGAGCTCAGGACGACGTACGCATAGCCATGATTGCGCGGGGGGTCCTTTGCAAAGGACCAGACTACAAGCTCGGCGGAGGGGTTGGGCGCGTCGCTGCGGGCGCTGACGGGCGTTGATCGGGAGAAGGGGCTGCGGCGGGGGGATGAGTGGTGCTGCTGCGGGACAAAATTCTGGAGTACGTGAAGTCGGCCAGCGCCCGCCGTCGCCCGCCTACCGCCTGCGCTCGGGCCACGTCCCTTGTCGCGGCCCGTCTTCGCGCTTCTATGTCCGCACGCGCATCCGCCGTCCGCCCACCACGAGCTCTTGCGCGTCGCGACAACCCAATTCGCTCACTGCGCACTGAACGTCTGCGCAAAGCTTTCGCACGCCATCCCTCCGCTGCCTCCGACGCGTCCAATTGACCACATTACGCGTCTCATCTCGCATCACCATGCCGCGTATGTAGAGCTCCAATACGCGCAGCTCTCGAGCTACCCAGCTAACTATTTCAACACAGCCGCAATCAGCGACGACGAAGGCTCGGCCTCTGGCTCTGAGGCTGAGATCCCCTACAAGAAAGCGGAGAAACCCGCGTCCAAGGTTGTCGAGGAAGAGGAAGAGGAAGATGACGACGAAGAGGAAGAAGACGACGAAGAGGAAGAAGAGTACGACACCGCAGCTTACCAGCATTGGCTCTCCGCTGACCTGCGCCAGGTACGTCGTTGAGAAAGTCATGAACCACATTTTCGATGATGACGTACGACCCGCGCAACCAACTGCGAACTCAGCGACCTTCACTGACGCCGTTCCAGGGCACCATCAAGTACGAGATAAAATGGCAAGGATACGAGAAGAAGCAGGACAGAACGTGGGAACCTGAGGAGAATCTGTAAGACTGCGCGAGCTACCTGCGGGTCATGAAGCTGATTCGCGCAAAGTGACGGCGCAAGGGAAGCGCTTGAGGAATACTTCCAGAAGATCGGCGGACGACCGACCGTCGGCGGAAAGAAGAGGAAGGCTTCTCAGACTCCAGCTGGCACTCCATCTGGCAAGGGCCGCGGACGCGGTCGTAGATCTCTCAAAGATGAGCAGAGTGCATCAGCCGAGCCGGAAACGAAGCCTGTCAAGAAGGAGAAGGAGCCGAGCTTTCCCAAGGGCAGCTGGGAGGACCATATTCAGAGCATCGACACCCTCGAGGAAACGCCAAACCCGAAGACTGGCAACAGGGAACGTGCCGCTCTGGTAGTCTGGACTGATGGCCGCAAGACGCGCCATCCGCTACCAGTTCTCAATCAGAAGTGTCCGCAGAAGGTAAGAGGGTTGGCCTGAAGCTTGCGGAATGCCATGCTGACTGTTCTCGCAGATGCTCGCGTATTATGAACAGCATCTGTACTTCAATTACAACTAACCCCCTCCCGGTAAAGCCGCTAATAATTCGTTTTCCAAGGAAATTCTTTACGTCCGATGGTGAGGAGATCACAGCCAGCAACGGTGCTGACGACAGCTAAGCACCCATCCGGCTCAATCGCTAGGAAGCAGCAGAACCACCGCCCGGCGGGACGATGAGCGGGTTGAAGGGGGGTGGAAAGTCTACATTTGAAGGCGTTGGAAATGATTCACCAGGGTCGGGTGCTTATCCGTGGCGTTCTTCAAGCGCCTTTGAAAATAGCGTGGAGTGAAAGCTTTTGCTATAGTTGCAAGGTGCCCTGCCCGACGGAATTGTCAGGTCATCAACCCTGACCAATAGGACTATCTCAGTTCTCATCAGGATCTACGGGGCAGGAGTTTTGGGGTATTTGCGGATTTTGATTGTTGTTGGGGTTGCATGGTAGGTGAATAGCGTCTGTTTGAAAGGAAAATAGCCTTTATCCAGCTTCTGCAACGATAGTGGTAGTCAAAACTATTTCGCCGTCTCCGGAATGCTACCCGGCGAAATATTTGGCCGTATGGCGTTCGGGCCGATGACAAACGAGAGTGCTCGGCGCGTCATCGACACTTCTGGCTGCCTCCGCCTGATTTCAACTGTCGCCCGCGTCGACGCACTCGTTGAGGACGCGCTACATATTGGATGTGCTTCACCAGCCCGATATTTATTCCGAGCATGCTCATTACTCGATTCCCTTTTGCAAAGAAGAAGCGCGCGTCCCACAGCCATGGATGAGGACCTAGCCGGACTTGAGGTATGCACGCCCGACCTCCCTTGCTTGATTGTGTTAATCGTTTACAGAGGGAATTCTGCCCACCTCTGGACACTGCACTCGTCATTTCTATCTATTCAGACTACAAGGGCGAACCCGACGGCGTTGAACAAGCACGTGCTGTCCTCGCGCATTTCAAAGAAGCTGCTGCCGTCGAGCAGCTCACCGACTTTGATCCTTCTGGATGCAGCACTCAAGCCGGCGAGCCCAGCTCGTCCCCCGAACAGGGCGACCAAAACTCTCGCGACCGCAAAACTTCGACCGAGACGGACGCCACGAGCTTGACAAATGGCGTCTCCTCGCTCGCTCTCTCAAGCTCGGGCGTTTCCACGCCCTCGGAGCCAGGCGCCAGCATGGCCTGGCTCCAAAACTTGGATATGTCGGCTAAAGAAGCCCAGCTTATTGAAACCTTTCCAACGTTGAGCGCTGCCACGGTTGCTTTTGTTTTCAAGAAAAACAAGGGCGATTTCGAAAAGTGTACCGACGAACTACTGAATCATGTTCTGTTTGAAGAGATGGACGGCCAGGATGGCGAAGAGAAAATCTTACGAAAGGGAATCGACACGTTCGCCGCCGCCGACGTGGCAGCTCCCCGCGGACGTAAAGCCAAGGCCAAGAGGAAGAACAAAAAGGCGAACTACATGAACCTGGATGAATATGCCAGGTCTAGCTCGGAGCCAGCGGCTCCATCGCCAAATAAGTGGAAGACCATCTCCGATGACGTCGACTTCATCGCGACCAAGGTCAACGTCTCGTACAAGACCGTCAAGTCTTCCTATCACAAGTGCGGTGGATCCGTCGCGGCAACCATCACCGCGCTCATGGAATCCGATTTCGAGACGAACAAGAAGTCACTGGAGGAAGAAAACGACATTACCGTCCAGAACGTTCTTGATCTTACCAACGAATTCCGGCTCGAACTCCAACAAGCCCACGCCCTCATCCGCCTCACTCACCCTTCCTCAGCCGCCGCCCACGAGCTCGCAAAAGCCCTCACGCGTCCCTCCAACGCCAGTTCCCCCACGAGCCCCGGCGGCGTCGGCAGCAGCAGCATCCAGATCGTCCCCCACTACGCCCCGCTCAACATCCCCGACCCGGACGAGGACGACGACCTCCTCCACGCCGCCGCCAGCCCCGTCTCGCCATCGTCCAGCCAGTCCGCCGCGGCGCTCGGCTTCGCGCGCCACACGGCCTTCACCAAGGCGTCCGAGTACCACCGCAAGGGCAAGTCGGACCCGCTGATGAAGGCGGCGGCGGGCTACTACGGGCAGCTCGGCCGCGACAGCCACCGCGCGTACCAGACGGCCGCGGCCGCCGAGGCCGACGCCCTCGTCGCGGCGCAGTCGTCGCCCGCCCAGCTCGACCTGCACGGCGTCAGCGTCAGTGATGCGAAGCGCATCGCCCGCCAGCGCGTCGCCGAGTGGTGGGCCGCCCTGGGCGAGGACCGCATCAGGGGCTACGCCGGCGCCAAGGGCAGGGCGACCGAGTATAGGATTGTTACGGGGGTGGGCAGGCATAGTGATGGCGGGAAGGCGAAGATTGGGCCCGCGGTGATGAAGATGCTCGTGGCTGAGGGGTGGAAGATTGAGGTGGGGAGTGGGTTTTTGACGGTGTCGGGGGTGAGGAAGGTGTGAGGGAGAAGGGGGGAGAAGAAGAGGAGGAGGAGGGTTGTGCCTTGTTGTACTGGATTGTTGGCATATTAGCGATGGAGTTGGCGGCAGCATATCGGATGATGTCGGGCTATTTTGGGAGGCTTTGGACGGGGATTTCAATGGAAGTACTCTTCAGCATTCGACACCCCTTTAGCACTGAGTTCAACTAATGTAAATGATGACCTGAGACTATTGGTCTGGCTTTGCTCCGCATGTCGGCAAAGCATCAGCTTGTGGTATCTATTCGCGAGGCATACTGACTACCTATACAAAGAAATTTGATGCTCTGGCCCCAGAAAGTATAGGTGCACAGAGTAATGGAGCCTTTTTAGGATGAAAGGAAAACCGAAGAAGGGGAGGAAAATAAGCGGGCTGTGAATCTAGAAATCCGTTCCGTAATGCCTGACACCATTACCGACCCATCGTCTTTATGTTCATCATCAATCATTTGTACAAGGAAAAAACAACGTCAACTTCCCACCGCATTTACATCTCATGCCGTACTCGCGGTCGTGTTAATAACACCCAGCCGCTCAAACGTCGGCTTCTGACCGGTAACCCGCTGCCACTCGACCAGCTGCGGGTTGCCATCGGTCCCGTTTTCGAAGGCGTACACGCGGCCCAGCTGGTTCGCGGCGATGGGAGAAAGCGGGAGCACGTCTTCCATGCCGTCGATCGAGTTGTCGGTGGCCCACGCGTCGCCGTACATGTACGCCATCTTGACGCCGCCGGCGGCCTTGGTCATCAGGATCTGCACGTTGAAGTCGTCCAGTCTGTACTGCGAGGTCGCCGCCATCTTTGCTCCGGTGTCCACGGAAACCTTGCTGCCGCTGACTGAAAAAAGGGGGGGTGGAAATGTCAGCACGATGCGGAATGGAATTCTCGCAGGTGGAAAGAAAGTACTCACTGGTAAGCTGGTTATTCGTCCAGTCAATATTCGATCCTCCATACAGCTCGACCAGACTATCATCCTGGACCAAATACAGCGCTACGACCGGATAACCCATGTCCCTCTTCTCAATCTTCGGGATCGGAGCGGCGGCCATGGCGGAGCCGTCGTCGGGTGCCACGTCGCCATTTTGCGCGTACAGCAGGCCGCTGCTGCCGCCGCTGGCAAACCATTGCACCCTCATGCTGGAGCTGTTGGACGACTGGAAGCCGACGAAGTCGGCAGAATTGCAGGTCGTGGTTTTGTTGCACATGGGCAGGTAGTGGACAAGCGACGAGTTGGCGTCAATGGAGAGGAAGTTGTCGTACTGGTTCAGCACGCTCCAGCCTGACGTGTTGTAGGCCTCGTAGAGCGTGAAGACGGAGCGGATTCGGTCGTTCTCGTCGGCCCAGATGACGCGGAAGTCGCTCAACTGGTTGCGATTAGTCTGTGGAGAAAAGGGAAGAGAAGAGGCAAGGATTTACGCACTTCTGTTTCATTTCTCCAGTAATTGCCGGCAGCGATGGGGGAGCCCATGCGGGGGGTCATGTCGGAATTGTTGTTTTGGGCAACGACCTCGCTGAGATACCACTCTTCGGTCGCATTGTTGAAGTCGGCCATCCATATTGATTTCGAGTTGTCCTGGTAGTAGACCTGCGAATGCACCACGCCGTCTGCGTCCGTGTAGTTGTTTGCTGCCAGCTGGGAGTATGAGGCCACGCCCTGCTTATACGGTGTTGTTGTCGATTCGGAGCTTGACGAGTTGTTCTTTTTTGAGACGCCGACGCCTACGCCCACGCCAACGGCTACGCCGATGATAATGACGAGAGCTACCACTAGTAGTATCCAGAAGGTCTTTTTGCGCATGCCGCATATTGTTGCTGATTTGTAGGGCGGTGGTGGAGCGACGGCTTCTTTCCAAGGAGTGTGGATTGCCTCAGGCGGATCACTGTTGATAACCTCAGGCAACGTTGTGCGGTCCCGCACGTCAACCTCTGGCAGCGTGCTGTACTCGGGCTTCGGTTGAGTCATTTTGGAATGAAGAGCTGACGGCCGGCGCTGCAAAGGAAACGCAGGCGGTGGGAGTACATGAGTGTTGTCTTGCTTTGGGGGCCCAGTGTCCACTCATCAACGTGTTGGTATATTAGGAAGCGCCAAGTTCCGGTAGGATGCGTGCGTTCGGATTTGCACGCTCAATTTGGGGTTGATTTACTACAAAGGATTCATCGGCACTGATCCCTGCCTGAAAAGAGCGGTGCGGTCGCATAATTGTGGACCGCGTCTTAGCCCCCACCACCATGCTGCGCCCACAAAAAGGGCAAGACTAAGGTCCAGAGACATTAATTCTTAGGGTTGGGCCAAATTGACGTCAGAGGCATGCGGCTTGGGGTCTTCGTGCGTGACTAGCAATCTGTTTGCCTTGCATCCGAGCGGTACCTATAAATACTCCCGAAGCCTGTGCTCCTTAGTGTGTTTGTGCCCGGATTTTCCCACTCCACCAACACTGATGTCTCCGTGATTTGTAAAGACGGAAGTCGTTTGCCTCTCTCCCGGCCGCTACGGTACACGAGAAACGGATACTAGTCCCTTTCGCTTGTTTGCGCAGCACAGCTACTAATTAATTCGAGGTCGGGTGCGTCTTCGCGCGTGGTCGCTGAATCGTGATACTCTTGTCGCCACATCATGATGCGAGGTATGGAAGTCGGGAAGCATGAATTCTACGGCGCGAATGCCGTCGTGTGAAGCTGGTGCTTTAGGCGCGGTGATGCAGGGTGCAACCCCTTGACATTTCTGGTGAGGTGACTTCCGTCAACGACGTAGAATGTGGCTGGGCGCTCTTTCCTTTCCATTCTGCTTTATAGCGACCACAGCCATCTCGTTATCTTTCTTTCTCCCCAACTCATCATCCAGAAGCGTATCTCAGCTCAAAAAAATCTATCATCATGCACGCTTTCGGACTCAAAGATCAATTTTGCCAGCTTTTGACCAGCGCATTGCTCGTTGGCCTATGCAGAGGACGTAAGTTAGCATGAAGGCTCTGTATGCCGGTTTCCGTGCTAATAAGACCTTATACGTAGTGCCCTCTCATATCCCTCCCGACATACCAACGTATGTGGCCACTTTCATCGATGGCTCGTCCACTCAGGTGCCGGTTCCGGAAACACTAACAAGCATTCTCCGGTGCAATGAGGAGTATTGGTCGTACTCGGAGTCAAAAAAAGCCTGGAGCAGGGAACATTCGGCTACCTGGATACCAACAAGCTCAACCACGACCGTGACATTGTACTCCACATCTACCAGTACCATCGAAGCTGCACCCACTATCACACTCTGTGATGGTGTGAGGCGCGCCGGGAACGATTTGATATCGACAATCACATGGACCAACTCCGTGTTCGTGTCCACGCGAACTTTCGAGTCTCTTTCTCACCCGGAATTCCCAAACCCGAAGCCTGGCTGCACTGCGGAAACCGGTCTGTGTTCGGAGGCATCTTCATATGTGCACAGTCACGCAAGCGACTTCCTGGAGGACTGGAACCTGCCCTGTGATTCCAATACGGCTCAGACGTGCACGGCCTGCGTCATCACTGCTAGACAGGTGAAGCTTTACCACTGGCCGCTTCCAACCACCATTGACTGCAGTCCAACGCCTGCATCACCGCTCACATTCCCCAGGACCGACGACGACGGTGCCTCTCCACCACAGCCAACTGGCAGTACGAGTGATGGCATCGTGACGTCTGATGGAATAACCTTCACCTCGCCGCTTCTGTACCTCTCTTTTTACGACATCAACGCCACTGACATTGGGAACGCAATCACTTGCGGTGGACCCTTGCCTACCGGAGCGCAAGCGATAGTGCATTTTCATCCTTCGGAAGTGAGTAGCGTCCGCTACGGCACGCAGCAGGGGATGTACTCCTTCAACGCCAATGATCTTGCACACACGACGGCGTCCGGCAGCAATACCTCCATTCCTCTCGTCTCCTCAGCTGCGTATTACGGCCAGTACCGCTGCAACTTCGGCGGTAGCCTGTGCCCACTCGTTCGCGACGACTATCGGCCCACAATTGCCATACCAACCGACGACCCTCAATTGAAGACGATGGATGAGGCATGGGCGAATTGCAATGCGTTTGATGCCGGATATGGTCTACAGGTAGTCGCCGTGGAAGAGATTGGAAAAGGAGAGGTGGGATTGCCAACAGCCACAGAAAGGACGGACATAAAGACGCCGCGAGCAGCGTTGGCAGGAAGGATAACTTTTGTTCCGTGAACTGGGAACGAGACGGGAAACGAATGGAGGTGAGGCTCCTCGCTCTGTCGTGCTTGCCGTGACTTTTCAGCCTCCGGTCGTGGTGGAAGATAAAAAGATTGCGAGGGAGAGAGGTTCGCTTATCATCCCGATTGTTTCAGCCTCTGAGAGAACTTTCCAATGCAAACGCTTTCTTTACATTGACTTGTGGAACCGTATCAGCGTCGAGTCGGTAGATTGCAACTCTCAAAGTAATTGGTCATGTTGAACAAGCTTCGCTTAAGAGAAGAAACCCTGCAGCACAGGCCGCAGCGCAAAAGACATGATTTCCATTCAGCCTGTCTGCTTCTTCACAGAGTATTTGGCCCCCACTCAATAGTCAACTCCACAATTACCCCGCCCGGCTATCTCGATAGTAATCTAAATGGCAAAAAGCTTTGTTAGCTGACGTGATCCCCTGTCAAAGTTCTCCACAGCTGGCCTGAATATGTGTCAATTGACCTTGTATTTCCACGCGTCCTTCGAATTCTGCACGAACGCCCCCAATATCTGCCACGCTACTGTAGATCATTGCAGATAAGCGTGGGTCCCTTTTCTTGCCAGTGAGCTATATAACACCCTCCCAGCACCTTGCAACAACCTAGAACTAATCCTTGAGCACTCCCCTTCTAATTTTTTACCCTTTATTTACGTGTCAACGGCCTGAACACTATCTCATTCAAGAGATTCGGACTCCTAGGAAAAATGACGGAGCTTACAATTGAAGACCAGCAATTTGCAGGGTTTAAGGACAGTGTCGTCCTGATTACGGGTCAGTTTTGCTTCTGAGCATGAAGTGAGCATCACGATTCCTGATATATGCAAATAGGTGGCAGCTCTGGTATCGGCCTCGCCACGGCCCAGCTTGCAGAAAAGCACGGCGCCAAAGTGGTCGTTGGAGACATCAACCCACTTCCTACCGACGCCGGCAAGGATATCCTCTACGTACCGCTCGACGTGACATCCTGGGACTCGCAATCCAACTTTTTCAAGAAATCGTACGAGAAGCACGGCCGTATCGATCACGTCTTTGCCAATGCTGGTAAGAACGCTCGCGGAATTTTCCGGCAGAACCGGGCCAGACGACTGACATCTCCGTAGGCCAGGCGCCGAAGTTCAACTTCCTCGACGAGGTCCTGAACGAGAGCGGCGAGCTCCAGGAGCCGAACTATGACAGCTTCGCCATCAACCAGCGCGGAATCATGAACACGACGATTCTGGCGCTGCACTACATGAAGAAGCAGCCGTCCGGCGGCAGCATCGTCGTAGCATCGTCCATTGCAGGCATCATCGGCTTTCCCGAACTCGACTACAGTACGTATAAACTTTTCCCAGCCCCCACCCAATACCCACGTCCCCTCCCCCCCACCTTCCCGAAAGGGAAAATGCCCCTCCAAAAATTTAGCCCTCCTCTAACCACATCCCCCCCTCACACAGGCGTCGCCAAACACGCCCTCTTCGGCTTCGCGCGCGCCGTCGCCCACAACCTCCGCGCCATCCCAGCTCACCGCAACCCCGCGATCCGGATCAACACGCTGGCGCCGTCGTGGACAGTCACCAACATGGTCCCCGCGGCGCTGGCGCAGCTGGGCGCCAACATGCAGGAACCGGACGTCGTGGCGCGCGCCGCGGGCTTGCTGCTCGTCGACAGCGCCCGCCACAACCAGGTCGTGCTCGTGCACGGCGGGCGCAGCTGGGAGCTCAGCGGAGCGTTCGACCGCGCGGTGGAGGATAGCGTGCCGTTGATCAAGCCCGAGGTGTTGGGCGTGTTTGGGGAGATGCGGGATTGGGCGACGTATGATAAGAAGGAGGAGAAGTAGGTAGAGTTTGAGGGCATTAATGGAGGGGAAAGCGTCGCGGAAAGAGTGAAATATTCTTTTTGGTAGTTCTTTTGTTCTGCGGAAGGAGCGTTTGGAACGGCGTGAAGAATGGTATACAGCTGTCAGTCAGATTCAAACTTAATAAGATTTTTGTGAGCATCACTCCCTCGGTCTTCTGTATGGTTGAATGGCCATACGTGGAAAAGTGCGGGCTAATATAAAATGCATGCGTGTAGGCAGCTGACTTTTAACGTCCTTGTGCATTGCATGGCGAGGTTTGAGTCCCAATAAGCTGGCTAAGCTTTATATATTAGTTCCTTTTAAGAAGTTAAAATGGGCCAATCCTTCGACAGCGCAAATTTCTCCAGTCTTCATTGGTAGGTAGCCATGAGCATGCTTGATAAAATAAAGCTGAATATAACCTTTTGAAGTGCCAACAGACACATGAGAAACAGCTGAAGTATCAAGATGCCTACGGGATATCTGTCTCAAAAACTAATTAAACACACTCCTAAACCAGGCGCCCGCCACCATTGATTAGGCGCCGACTGTTGATGCATATGCATACTACTCGTACAAGTAACTCCATAACGCTAAAATGCTTCAAGGCTCACTCAACTGTGGTATCAACCCATCTAGCAAACGAAAACCCATCCGCCTTGCTCCACGCCCACTCACCCAAGCTCCCATTAGCCACGAGACCATACACCCGCCCCGCCTGATTCGCCGCCAACGACGACCCGGCGGCAATCATCTCCAATCCAGTGCCGCCACTGCTACTCGTCTCAACTGTATTTCGCGCCCACTCCGCATCCGCATCCCCGTCCCACGCCGCCACCTCAACACCACCGCCCCCAGCCGTACTCACAACGCGCGCGGCAAAGCTCTCCGTATCATTGTACCCCACCTCAAACGCCGCCAGCCTCGGCGCACCCGCATCCACCTCAACCGGCAGCACGCCCGCGCCGAGCTCCGCATCGCTCAACCAATCACTCCCATCCCACAGCAAGCGCGTCGCATTCCCGCTCTCCCCGCCCGCAACATACAAGCTCACATACTTGGTCGCACTCTCCGACCACACGCCACCGACCACGATATCGCTACCATTCACCACCGCGCCGCCCGTCGCGCTCTCCGCTATCGCCGTCTTCTTCCACCCCTGATTCCGCAGCACGACCTGCACCGCATCACTGCTGTCCTGGAACAGCACGAGGTTCGTGTTCGCGCAGTCCGCGCACGCGCGGCCGTACGACGCGATGCTTGAGTTCGTCCCCGCGACGAAGTTTTCGTCCGTGATGCTGCTGGTCGAGTAGGGGCCGAACGGCTCGTTACTCGATATAACGCCGACGACGGTGTTGTCCGGCGCGAGCCAGTAGACACGGAAGTCGCGGCGCGAGGATGACCACCAGTAGATGGAGGCGGACAGCGGCGTGTTGTTGCGGATGTTGGAGGCCTCGGTGCTGACGGCGAAGGTGCGCCAGGTTGTCGGTGCGGATGAGTTCCAGGCGGAGCCGTAGATGTGCTTGTTGGTGAGCTGGTAGTAGACGTGGTGGTTTTCGGTGCCGTCGGCGTCGGTGTAGTTGATGGAGGCGAGGCGGGTGGTGGGGAGGAGGGAGTGGGAGGATGAGGATGGTGATGAGGATGAGGACGAATCGTCGTCGCCGGATGACGACGAGGATTTCGAGTCGCCAGATGTACTATCGTTCGTGTTGTTGGACTTCTTCGTGGCCATGGCTCCTCCCACTCCGCCTCCGACTGCGGCTGCTATGATGATGACGAGGAGTACGACGGCTAATACTATCCAGAACGTCTTTCTCCGAAGACCGCAGATCGTCCGCTCTGTGGAGGTGCCTGCGATTTCTTTCTGGTCCCGTATAGATGGAGGTACGACCTCTGGTGATGATGTGTCGATGTGTTCCGGGAAGCTTTCCGGAGTCACCTCAGGATAGCTATGTTGATAAACTTCTGGTAGATTGCTTCCGTCCGAAACAACGTGCTTGTGAGAATCCAACTTGGCGGTATCTACTTGTGGAGCATCGTGACCACTCTCCTGCTGCCCTCTAGACATCTTGTAGGTATTCTTCGGTTCGGCGAGATCGATTGTATGGCTGTGTATTTTTTTTTTTAAAAAAAAACAGAAGTGTTTGTTTAGCACTTCAGTGACTTTGTATGCTCAAGTAACACCTATTCGGCGGAGGCTGGCGATAGGTTTCGGCACCTGCTCCGAAGGGAGGCACGGTAGTAGCAGCAGGAGCAACATCAGTCGCGACAGAAGTGCAGGGAGACCTTTAGACATTTATCAGCACCCGTGCCGAAATCCCAGGTAGCCCCACAGCCGCCAGCCAAGAAGGGGGCCAATGCCTTTATCGCAGCAGGCTGAACTCCTCCCGCAAGCTGAACCCATCAAGAAGCGAGAAATTAGCCATTAGATGGTGGCTGTGGCTTGGCTGCAACCCGCCCCCAAAGCCTTCCCCCTCTTCATGGTTCGCTCCATGGCTCTGCTTTGCCGATTGGCTGATCTTTTCCCAACATTGGACACGATGGGGCACCACTTTCGGTTCTGACTGCGTATCCATGCGCCTTTCCGGTGGTGGGGGCCAAATTCCAATATATTTGTGTGACTGGGCCCCCGACCTTTTGCCAAGTCGGCATTGTGCCTATCGCGGAAGACGGCCGATGCTTTGAATTCTCAGAATGGAACGCGATACAGCTGGGGCGAAGTAGAGCCTGATACTAATTATCAGTGCTGCTCTCTGGAGGTTTCTTTTTTAAATTTCTTGGACAACACGTACCCCAAGGAAGGATCATGCTGCTCTATATCGAGGACGCCGTGTCGCCTAAATACGAGGTCGGCTACGCGCATCACGGATCTACTTCATAGCCAGCCTTGTAATCTCACAGGATGTCAATACATATGAAAAGCCTAGGGTCTAGTTACCTACCTGTTAGCACTTGATACCTCATAGAAACCACACCTAGACAACCAATTCATGGACAGACGTGCCAGTCACAGATCCCTTCGCAATAAAAACTACTACTTCTGTTCTGTATAATCATGATTGGGAGAATGTCCTCTTGCGCCCAACCACAGTAATGAGAAAAGCGAAAGAGTTCCCCGTGATACCAGCTTCTCCTTCCCCCCACCCTCGGCATATTAGTTGACCGTGCAATTTAAACGCGCAGAGAGAACCGTCTGCTCTACATGAAGGAGTAAGCACGGGGACAATTGTTCAAAAAGGAAAGGACAGAAATGTGTGAAACTCCAGTCGCCCGTGAGCCAGCCAACCAGTAGGAAAAAGGGACAACAGCGGATGGGATAAGATAATCTGATCATGGATATGAGTCGCCGAAAGGGGTTGTCGAAGAGAGAACATCTACGCCCTGATGAGAAATGCCCCCTCGTCGCAAAAGCAAATGCCCATAGATCCCCCATAAGTACCCATATTACGAGAATGAAGAACTGTCTGTTTTGTGATGCCCGCGCCACCCTAAGCAAGCAAGCAAGCAAACCCCATTGCCCTCCCTACCATTTCTAACCATTACAATGCCAGAGAGAAGAACGACTCGACTCAAGAAAGGTGGAAAGCACCCTGTCCTTCTTTGATAGCAACGAAAAGCTTCTCCTTGAGGATGTCAAGGCTGCTGTAGTCGGGCATCTTGAGATAGTTGACGCAAGTCATGACGCTGGGGAGATAGTCATCCGACGTGTAAGGAGGCTCGCTTGGCTTGCACACCACCGTGAACATCGGCGTAAGAGCCTTGAAACCTATTCGACTTGTTAGCACATGTATTCGACCATGGGGACAGAGTTACTTACCACCAATGGGAAGCTTGGGACTGCCCGTGACGAACTGCAGGAAGTCACGACGCTGAGACGCGTCGAGCTCGCTCATGACTTGCAGCAGGTTGCGAACGCTCTTGCTGTCAAGGTTGTAGCCATGGTCGGCCTTGATCGAGTCCATGAGCGTTTCCAAGGTCCAATCTTCCTCAGTGCGACCAAAGAGCATGACGAGTTCATCTGAGGTAAACGCGCGCAATGCAGAGTAGGGGAAGACCTGCGAAAATCCGGTGCGGAATGCGTCCACCTGCTTCTGTACACCGCTTCCCAATGTAATGTCCAACACCTTGTCAACGTACGAACCGACGTTCTCAATGGTTACCGACGTGTTTGCCCCGTCTTCGACGAGCTCGATGTTAGGATAGCCTGGGAGAGTGAAGTCGAGACCCAAGTCCTCCACATGGGCGCCATCGACCTCAATTGCCTCAATCGCAGACACCTTTTCAGCCGGTGGCATGTTGGGGTCCTCGTCGATCTTCTTTTTCTCCTTGGCAAACTTCTTCAGCAAGACAAGCGCCCTGGCAAGGTCGGAATCAACAGTCTTGACGGCGCCCAGAGACGGCTTGACGGCCGTGTTGTCTCCAATGCGGAAGAAAGTGGGATTAAAGGACACGTCGATAATGCGCGAGTCGAGCATGGAGCGAGCAACGAACTTGCCGAGAATCTTGAAGAGATGGAGCACCTTCTTACCATCCTCTGTCTCTGCCTGCTCAGCGCTCATGGGAGCAGGGAAGAGTCCACGCTTGCCAAAGGCGAACTCGTCTTTCTCGTTTGACTCGTTCTCCCGCCAGAGCTTGAGCTTCTTCTTGGAAAATTCCTTGGAAACCGTCGAATAGAATTCCAGCGTCGGTCCAAGACCAGTTCCAACCTCCTCGAAGTACTCAACCTCGAGAACACTCGGTGAGGAGCCGTAGAGTTCCATGACCTTGACGGCCGACTCGAGAATCTTGTTACGCGAAATGCGCACCTTCTGGCGCTGCACCCTTCCCAAGAATGGCCTCTCGTCGCGGTGGCGGTCGTGACGGGAGTCAGTGGAAGACTGCGCGTTCTGCCACCTCGCCATGGACCTAGAATAGCCAAATGATGTTGACTGAAGGAACAGATGGCGCGTCTCGAATGGGAACAAGAAGGGGTGAAGCCTGGCCAAATCCTCACTCCAGTTGGGAAGGCAGTTGCTGGCCACGATGAGCGGCTCCTCAAGCTGCCGATTAAGCTTCGCAGTGAGCTTGGTGTTCACGAACTGAGACAATGGCTCGGCGTTGACCTTGATGGTATCCTTCTTCTCAGAAAGAACGTCATCAAGGTTGGCATTCAGCTCATGAAGAATGCTGAGCAGGCGCAAGATGGACGATGTCGTTGGGTTCTTGTTCAAGGACTGAGGGATACCGTTCACGTCGGACGCCGACTCCGGAGGAGGGGTCAGTGAGCTGGACTCCGCAGGAGGCGGTCCTGTCGCCTTCTTGAACTTGATCGTGTGCGTCGGAGACCAGATGTTCCGAGAGGCGTCGGCTCCATCAGCCTGGCTCATGTGGACAGCACGGTAGATGGTAGTCTCGTTGGAGATGGGTTGGTCATTGACGCTGAACTCGATGTGCCAGTCTTGGGGAACAGCCTGGATGGCAGCAGCGTAAGACATGGGTCTGGCAGAAGCCGGGTTTCCGCCAAGCAGATTGCGTTGATAGGCAAGGCTGGCAAGCTGCTCGGTAGCCATCCTCTCAGCAAGAGAACGATCAGCCTGAGCCGCGCGTGCTGAAGATGGCGTAGATCCACCCAACGGCGTTGCAACCCTGGTTCCATCTTCCTTGTGTGCCGTAGCTCTGCCGTTCGAAGCGACTTCTACGCTGACTGCGGACGGATCAGGAAGATCCTCATCCATCTCGTCCTCAAGGTCGTCCACGATCGCATCCAATCCATCGCCGTCTCCCAAGTCATCTTCGTCAGACAATTGGGCCTCGTCAGCGCACTCGAGAGGGTCTCTAATATCATCAAGTGAGGATGGAGCAGGCGGCGGTGGTGGAGGCGGCGGGTTCGCCTCGCCCTGGCGCTTCCGGCTAGAACGTCTAGGGGCAGAACCGGGCTGCTTAGCCGGCGGCGTGCTAGCTTCGGGATTTGCGCTTGAGCCTGCTGCCGCCTTCGACCTCGTTGTCCTCTTTGATGAAGATGCGCGGTTCGTGCCATCTGCTGGGGCCGGCAAAGGTGGTGTTGATGGGGCATCTCGGCCTCCAAGACCAGCGCTGCGACCCGCAATAGCCGCGGCGTATGCGGCGATTGCACCAGAAACTCCATCACGGGCCCTGCCAGAGGGTCTGGGTCTCTCGGCAAGGGCGATTCGAGGCCGGAGATAATCGTCCAGGGCCTTGAAGGTGGCAATGGCGTGGATGGAGACCATGATGTTCCTGTAAGCTCGAGGAATACCAGAATCGTCATCGGCAACCAGTTTCAACCTGAGCTGCTTTGCGAGCATAGAAGCAGCGGAACTGCGATTGCTGTCAAAGGTATTCTGATGAACCGTGATGACCTCGAAGTGCTCCGCGCGGCTAAGCAAGTCCTGGAGCTTGCTCACCAAGATGCTGAAAGGGGTGATCGGAGAGGCAGTGCTTGCAGTCTTTTGCTTGCTCTGGTTGGTAGTACCCATGAAAGCTTCCAGAAACGCAGTTCTCGCCTCCAGCTTACTGGATACGTTCGAGTCGGCGAAGAGTTCGAGGAGCACATCGCCAATTCCAGACGTCAGGAGCTCATAGCTCGTGATGCTCTCGAGGGCATCTCCATCAAAGTACTCGGCCAGACGGACGAAAAGGTCCTCGCCTCTGTCGCAGGCAGTGCTGGAGTAGCAGGTTTTGATCTCCTGAGCCAAAGACTTGAGATCTTCCAGGATTGTCAAAGCCTTTTCACGCATTTCCTTGCCCTGATCAGTCTCATGGACCTCCATGAACTTCTTGGCGCGGAGAGTTATGATGTCGTCAATGTTAGGCATAGGCGCCCGGTCATAACGTCCGCCGGATGAGGAAGACGAATTGGAGTCATCATCATCGTCCTCGTCGTCATGGTGGTCATCATGTTCGTTTTCCTCGTCATCGTCCGAATGCATGTCATCCTCCGGGCCATCGTCCATTTCACGGTCGAGATCCTCATCGCCAGCTTCACTGCTGGCTTTGCTAGAAGAACCATACGGCTCGGCCTCCAAAGCAGGCTTGTTAGGCTTCTGCTTTTCCAGGTCCTTCGTAGGCCGATCGGCCAGACGAGAAATTTCCGAAATCACACCCTCGCGGTAGAACTGATAACGGTAGATAGACTCGAGGCGCTTCAAAAGAAGTTCCGCAGCCTGCAGTGCAAATGTGACCAATGACGGGTGGTCTTGCTGCGAAAGGATGGATGCCAGATAAGATGCATAAGGGACGGCCCGAAGAGCCTCCTTCAGAATATCCTCATCCAAATTGGACAGCATTTTCAGCTGGGCAGTCAAGACCTTTTGGCGAACACTGAGATTGACCGTGCTGGAGTAAGCATCCGTCAAGGTGGGTAAGAGAATGATGGCAAAGCGCCTGACTTCCTCTTTGCAGCCATCCAGAAGTTCCAGCCTCTTGTCATTCGGAGACTTCCTCGACCTGGTTGACATCGGAAGGTACTCGTCCGTGGGATATCCAGCGTCGAAAATGTCGTCAAGATAGGTAAGGCCATCCTTCTGGACATTTGGTAAAAGCTCGCAAATCACGTTGAGAGTCTCAAAGACTTGCTCACGAGGGCGGTGGATCAAGGCCTGCATGATGACAACGCTGTCGATCTTGGTTGCGATGTCCTCAGTACCATCGGGTGGAGACACACCGGTGAGAATCTGGTAGAGAGTATCGACGACCTTCATCTTGAAGAGCTCCACGGAAAGGCGAGGCGAGGCGCGTGCCGTGATCGATAAAACGCGGAGGAAAAGAGTGTGGATGTTCTGCCCAATAAGATTCGTGGTGCCTGGCAATAGCAAACGGAGGATTGCCTGGAGCAATTCAGGGCTAACCAACTCTTCTAGCTTGCCGTCTTGGTACTTGAAGCTTTCTACAATCCGGGAAACGCAGTAGCAGCCTTGCTCTACCACACGCTGGTCACTGCTGTTGAGCACGTTAAGGAGAATCGGCATGACATCGCGGACCGTGGGGAAGCAATCCTCTGGGATGTTACGGCAGCAATTAGCAGCCGTAGTCACCGCCGTTCGCTGCGTGCTAGTGGGGAAGAAGTCGAGATACGTCAGGCAGGCGTTTAAGCCTCCCTCTCGAACGATCGACGCGGGGAATTCGACGGAAATCTTCTCGAGCGTCTGGACATCGTTAGCAAGATACTGGGGGATCTGCAGGAGGACTTACGCTGAGAGCTTGTTCAGCCAAGTCGATGAAGTGGATTTCAAGCAGCTTCTGGCACAGGATCGGGACCGCGCCGCCGTAGACGACGTTGGCGGTGGCAGCTGGAAGAGCTTCCATGAGGTTGGCTATGCAACGGCACGCGAGGAGCATGATTTCCGGGTTCTCTTCACCGAAATCGTTGGGTTGCATGAGCGAAACAAGCTCTTTGACATACTGATCAGGTGGGAAGTGACCCGCGAGGTTATCTTCAGTCGACACAAGCAAGATCTCGGAGAGCTCCTGCAGGGCGATCAACTGCACCGACGGGTCGTCTTTCTGTCTTAAGTTTTCCAAGATGTTGCGCAGGCGTGAGGACATGCCTGACATCATGCCACTCAGTGCTCGCAGCGTATTCGACAGGCCAGAAGGTCCTCCAGGACGGCCGAGGAAACCACCTCCAAACGGATCATCGTCGTCATCATCCTCGTCGTACCGCGGAGGCATTCCGCCCTCTCCAGTGCTGTCGTCGCTCATGCCATGCCGACCTCTGTCTGCGCCCTCATCTTGTCCGTCCTCGATGTCATCGTCATCCCTCATTGTAACATCCTCGTCAGGCTTCGCTGATTGTTTCTTCGAGCGGCGGGTGGAAGGTGAGGTGGGAGCGAGCGGGTCTGTGAAGGGATTTAGCATTGGAAGATCTGGAGCGTGGTGCGCTGACGTAGCGTGGTGGTGCGCACCTTGAGGGTTTTTGCGGCTGGTCTTGCGCCTCGATGACGACTGGGCTGCTGCGGGGTTCGACTTTTCCTCTGAGGGTCCCGACGATGGTCTGGACACGTCAGCGCGATGCATTGATGGGCTTTCGGGACCAGAACTGTACCCCGCGCTGGACATGGCCGTATCTGCTCGGCTGCCCTTCCTCGGGCGAGAGGTGGCGGACGGGGCGGGTGCGGGGGGTTCCGCAGCGTCAACCTTGACCCGCTTGCTAGTGCGCCTCGAAGCTGAAGCGCGTGCGGGCTCAGGCTCCTGGAGCTTTTGCTGCTCCGGACTCGTCTCGCGAGCGGCGGCTTTCCGTTTCCGTGTCGAGGGCGGCGCCCGGGCCGGTGTGGTGTTGGTGTTGGGCTGGGCGGGCGACTGACTGGAGGAACCTGCTGCTGAGAGCCTCGCAGAAGAGCGAGTGACTCTGGAAGACATGAGAACTTGACTTGTGCTGGCGGTGGTGCGGTGGACGATCCTGACTGTGGTGCGGCGTAGAGGGCGTCGCAGCGTCGTGGATCAAGGAAGGCGGGAGAGTGGAGCCCGTTTGCGTTGGTCACGACCGTGGCCGCTTCGCAGAGCAGGGCAAAGAAAGGTTGGCGGGGCTGTACCTGGAAGAGAAAGGCGTCGACGTCGAAGATGCGTGCAGCTGTCCAGGTGGTGAATGTGCTGGTGAATGACACTCCCGGTCCATGCCACAAATCTACGACCTGGCGGCCATAGGCGGGGCGTGCAGGCGGTGGTCAAAAGCGGAGGCGGTGTGATGCGAGCTGCGTACGAGCCGTTCGGAAGGACCAGATGCCGCCAGGATGGAAAAGGAGGATGGGGGAGGCGTGCGGTGGGTGTAGTTGAGATAGACGTAGATGGGGTTCGCTTTCGGCGATTAACGCACTGGCGACGGAGCCAGTGCTCGCGCTTAATCAGAGCTGTGTCGCAACGGCCCAGCCCATTTCGACCCGCGCGCCCTACCCACCCAGCGTCCGCTTGCCACTCCACGCCTATCGCCGCCGTCCGGCGGAGCTTAGACCACGGCGAGCACGCGAGCAAGCAGGAATTGGCCGCGCCGTCGCGCTCGGCGGCCCGTTCGCTCTGTCTCAGAAGCAGTGCTGAAGCAGCAAATTCCGCCGCGCATGGCTCAAAATCGGCAGGACTTATGGCGCAATGCCACCCAGGGACCGATTGCCCTGCTGGGCCAACCCACGCATGACGTGGATCCGCCCGTAATAGCCGGAGCATGGTCGCAGCCTGAAGCATCTAGCTACGCTCGGCCGTGGGGTCACGATGGCACCAGCGATATCGGGAAATGGAATTCGCCTATGGAACGGCGCCGCCGCCCTTTGAGCGCCTAGGTGCTTTCACGCTTTATAATGCGGCTGCCTGCGACGACTGCCAGCTTATAAACAGTCCGGCCCGCCGCTTGCAGTCAGGGTCTTCGTTGCTTTTTTCGCCTTTTGAGCGCGCATGCTAAGCCGCATATTGCGTAGCCCGAGCTGCACCGCCGTGACCCCTCATCGTTAGTTAGCCTCAATCGTTTTCCGACCCCGCTAGCCTGCTCGACCGTACCGCGAAACCGTTCCTGGCCCTTGTCCGTCAACAGACTGTTCCCTCGAGCCGGCGCCAGCCCGCCTACTTGAACCGCTCGTCCGCCCAGCCTTATCTTACACCTGCGCGCTTTCGCTGCCTGCTGTCGCGCCAGCCTTCCACACCGACGTCCCTCTCCGGCCGATCCGCCTCCGCCGCTTTGCGCACAGCCGAGGACGTCATCCACTCGACTCATACCGTCGCCGACCGCCATCGCGCACCTCTACCAAACAACCGCCTTTCCCCTCACCAGCGCCGCCATGTCCCAACAAGAGCCCGCCACCCAGAACGGGGTCTCCCTCGCCACCTATGAGTTCCCGACCCAACGCCTCAAGAAGGTGTTGAGCGACAGCAGCAGGACACCCTTGGTCCTCGTCGCTTGCGGCTCCTTCAGCCCGATTACGTACCTGCACTTGCGCATATTCGAAATGGCCCTTGACTGGGTCAGGTACAACACGGAATTTGAAGTCGTTGGTATGTTACAATACCCTGGCTACTGCGTAGTTTGGATGCTGACTGGTCTTCTATAGGCGGGTACTTGTCGCCTGGTAAGTCCCTTGGAGTCCGCCAGGTCTTGCGTGCTGCTAACATGGCTTCCGCATAGTCGGCGACGCCTATAAGGTACGTCATTTTTCTCCGCCTTGCGACATATCCCAAATATCCCTCAAATTACGATTCTTCTTCCGCTTTTCCGCTGGCGTGTATGCGCTGGGATAATCTTTCCCAATCTGCTCCGCATCGGCAGTCTGTCGGATTCGTCAGCCGAGCTGACTCAACAGTCGCAAATTGCGACGATCAATTTTTCGAGCGTTGCTAACAGTTGCTCAGAAAGCCGGTTTGGCCTCGGCAGAACACCGTATCAACATGTGCAATTTGGCAGTCGCAGACTCTTCATGGATTTCAGTCGACCAATGGGGTAAGTAGGAGTGCCGACGCAGGGCATATGCACGTTGAGCTAATGTCACGTGACCAGAACCGTTGCACAAGGAGTACCTGCCCACCGCCAAAGTGCTGGATCACTTTGACCACGAGCTGAACGAGGTCCGCGGTGGAATCGAAGATTACACTGGTCAGAAGAGGAAGGTCAGGGTTGCGCTGCTTGCTGGAGGTGAGTTTGCCACAATGGGATGATTGATTACCTAACAAAGTGCTAACGGTATAATCCACAGCCGATTTGATCCAGACCATGTCTACGCCAAGTAAGGCTTGGAAACCTGTCCCACGTAGCCGAAACGAGCTAATTGGAAATCAGACCTCTGGGCCCCCAAGGATCTGGACCACATTTTGGGCCACTGTAAGTCTGCCCAATGGAAAAGGTTGCACTGGACTGTTCTGACGCCTTGCAGATGGTGCATTTATTGTTGAGCGTGAAGGTAAAATATCCAAAACCTTTCGACTCCAGCTTGACCTAACCGGAAATTAGGCACGGACATTGATGATGCGCTTGCTAGTCTCCAGCAGTGGCGGGACAACATCTAGTAAGTAGTTCCCGTGTAACGCGTAGTACTCACATCTAACGACTGTAGTGTGATCCACCAATTGGTGAAGAATGATGTCTCCAGCACAAGAATTAGGCTTTTCTTGAAGAGAGACATGTCCATCCGCTACTTGGTACCCGAAGGAGTCATCAAGTAAGCATCCGTCCTTCACTGATATAGAGTAATGTGCTGACACCAATCCAGGTATATTGAGGCCAACCGCCTGTACAGCGATGAAGGCGAGAAGAAGGAAGACAATGGTAAGGTGGCATCGGCCTCCAGCTCTTCATAGAAGACCTGCGAATCGGTTCGCACACTCAAACCAAAACAATTTGTCAGCTCGCACGGTCGAGGACCCGCACGCAGCAAAACAGGGCCCGCCACGAGAGCTACAAGATTCACGAGACTCTCACGCTTGGCGTGATGGCATGATTTACGGGAGGATACCACATAAAGGCCCGAACCGGGGCCGGGGTGGCTTCGCAATAATGAGACTTGGGCATTTTCGGAGATTAGAGAGAGAGAGAGAGAGTGACGAGAAGCCGTCACCGGCATTGGAGAACGCCTGCGCCATCATGCTTCTCACTTTGTAGGAATAGTTGCAGATACTACATGATACCACTGAGAATTTGCATCAACCAGATGACGCACGTCCTCGGATGATCACACCCCATGGCCCCTCAGAACGTGCAAAACTCAAGAGCTTGGTATATTTAAGACAATCATTATTCCTTTTATGTTCGCCAACCACATAATGTTTGCATCGTAATAGGATGGCGAGCAGCAAGTTCGTCCGGCCGGAGGCCAGTTTGTCGGCAGCTCAAAGCCAGGGGCAGAACACGCAAGAAGTATAGAATGCATTCGCCCATGAACTTGTCGTTCTCCAAGACTCCATCACATTAGATTCTTCAGCCTCAAGGGGCGAAACCAGGAAGACGCGGCTGATCGACGTCATCGACGCATTGACGCAAGGATCCCCCAGACTTGAGCGTCGAGCGCGGATGGTGTTTGATCGGTGAGTTGCTATAGCAACACCGCCGCGCCGCCCAGCTGGTGCCCAGATCGCGCCTAGGATGAGCCACCAGCCACTCGTTCGGAGGTGAACGCGCGCGCGTGGAAACGTTACGCTGTCTCCTCCAGTACCTCTAGCACAGCATCGTCACCTTCTTTCTTTTCTTTTTCTTCGAGTGTGCCTTTTTGTTGCATCCATTCCGCACTCTGCTCCCTCGTTTGACGAAATCAAGTTTTCTTTTTCTTAAAGCTGTGCGGCGACGAACGATCCCCGCATTCGCAGCCAGCATTCCACGGTTGATCTTACCGCTCTCTGAAAAAAAAGCTCCAATGCCACGGGACTACCACTACGAATCGCCCCGCGAGCGCGACTACTCCCGCGACCGGCAGGACGGCGAGGGCTACCGCTCCGAGCGCGAACGCGAACGACGACGTCAACGACGCGAGAGCCGCGGCGACACGGACGATGAAGAACGCCGCCGCCGCCGACGCGAGCGTGCCGCGCGCCACGCTGCCGCCGCCGCTCCTGGAGAACATACTCCGTCCAGCGACCGCGAACACTACGAGCGCGCGCAGCAGGAACGGCAAGAGCGCCGTCGCCGCCGCGGCCACCGTGCCACCGACTCGACCGGCGAACCCATCCTGAGGCAGCCGGAGCGCTCGTACGACTCGCCGTATCGCACCGGCGGCGATGGCTCGCCCAGTCCGACGAAGGCGAGACAGCAGCGCAGGCCGAGGAGAGATAGTAGTGGCCATCGAGCCAGTGGCGGCGGTGGTGGTGGCTGGGACACGCCGGCGAGCAGGGATTCGGGCGCCAGCGCGCGCCCGCTGCTGCATGCGGATGCGCTGGCGCAGCTGGACGCTTCGAACGCCAAGAGTGGGTGGAAGGCACATCGGTACGATGAGGCCTACGTGAAACGGGTGCGCGACCAGGAAAAGAATTTGGAGAAAGAGAGGCAGCGCGAGGAGCGGAGGGAGAAGAGGAGGGCGAAGGAGGAAGCGGCCGCGGCGGCTGCGGCGGAGAAGGAGCGTGAGAAGAGGAGGAGGCATGAGGAGGAGATGGGGTTTAGGAGGAGCAGGCACGTCGATGCGGAGTTGGAGGATGACGATGAAGAGGAGGAGGTTCCGCGGCATTATCCCAGCGGTAATGACGGGATCAGGGTGAGGGGGTATGACGAGTACCCCGAGCCGTATACTGATGACCCGTATACGGACGATGCCGCGGAACCGAGGAGGAGACGGAGAGAATACACGGACGATGAGAGAGACGAAAGAAGGCAGAGAAGAAAAGAAAGAGCGCTTGCGGCCACAGCGATTGCTGGAAAACAGAGAAAGAGTCGAGTTGTCAGCGGGCCGCTGCTTGAAGAGGGCGGTAAGGAAGACTACGAGTACCGCATGGCGGCTAATCGCGGTGGTGGCGGTACCAAGGACGAGTACTACGATGAAGAGTTGAAGAAGAAGAAACGGAAGAAGATCTTCATCGGCGTCGGCATCGTTGTTCTTCTCCTAGCAATCATCATTCCCGTTGCTGTTGTGGTATCGGGAAAGAAGAACAGCGATAGTGGTGGTGATACCTCCTCTTCTTCAAGCTCATCGGACTCGAGCAAACCGGACAACAGTAACCTGAACAGCATCTCCGAGGATGACATCCCTGATTGGGCAAAGGGTGGGCTTCTGGACCCATTCTCATGGTATGACACGGAAGACTTCAATGTCACCTTCACCAACGACACGGTCGGGGGCCTATCAATCATGGGCCTCAACATGACCTGGGATGACAGTGTCCAGGCGAACGAGCACGTTCCTGCTCTGGATAAGGAGTTTAAATATGGCGAAATGTCCATCCGTGGTGTCAACGTCGGCGGATGGTTCAACCTGGAACCCTGGATTACGCCATCTTTCTTTGAATCCTACAATACCCGAGATAGTGTCATTGATGAATGGACACTCACCAAAAGCATGGGAAGCACGAAAGCCAAATCAAATCTGGAGCAACATTACTCGTCTTGGATCACTAAGCAATCCTTTGCTGATATTCGGGACGCGGGATTTGACCACGTCCGCATTCCATTCAACTATTGGGCTGTGACCACCTATGACGGTGATCCATATGTTCCTAAAGTTTCCTGGCGGTATCTCCTCCGTGGAATAGAGTATGCCCGACAGCAAGGACTTCGAGTCAACCTTGATCTCCATGGGTTGCCGGGCAGTCAAAACGGCTGGAACCACAGCGGAAAGCAGGGTGTCATCGGGTGGTTAAACGGGACTGATGGCGACCTCAACAGACAGCGTAGTCTCGACATCCATGACCAGCTCTCCAAATTCTTCGCCCAGCCCCGCTATAAGAATGTTGTCACCATGTACGGCCTCGCCAATGAGCCTCGTATGGTGGAACTCGACACCGATGCTGTTATCCAGTGGTACGACGATGTCATTCCTCTCGTTCGCAACAACAACATCACCGCCATTCTCGTCTTCGGTGATGGCTTCATGGGCTTGGACAACTGGCAAGGCAAGCTGCAAGACTACGAAGATCTCCTTCTCGACGTGCACCAATACGTCATCTTCAACGTGGACCTGATCAAATTCTCGCACGCCGAGAAGGTCAATTACGCGTGCAAAGGCTGGACGCAGCAGTCGCTCCGTTCGATGAACAAGAAGACGGGCTTCGGGCCAACCATGTGCGGCGAATGGTCGCAGGCCGATACAGACTGCACCCAGTACATCAACAACGTCGGCTGGGGCACGCGTTGGGAGGGTACATATAACACAGGAGATACGGGCACCTCGGTTCTCACGCCCACCTGCCCCACTGATAACAACCCGATTTGCTCCTGCAACAATGCTAACGCCGATCCTTCCGACTACAGCGATACGTACAAGCAGTTTCTCCTTCATTTCGCACTTGCGCAGATTTACAGTTTCGAGCAGGCCTGGGGCTGGTTCTACTGGACGTGGAAGACGGAGAAGGCTGTCCAGTGGAGTTGGGAGAGCGGGATGAAGGCGGGGATCTTGCCGGAGAAGGTGTGGGATCGCAGTGCGTTCTCGTGTAACACGAGTGACATTCCGGATTATTCGGGTCTGGGATTGGCGGAGAACTACTAAGACTCTGGCACATGTGCTGGAATCATTTTTCATGCTTCTATGGATGTGGGAGGGGTTGTTTTTGTGTTTTCGTGTCTTGCACTGGCATGAGCGATGATAGCGTGTTTATTGGAGAATTCGCATTAATGCACTAGATTTGGGTTTTCGGACTTCAAATTCCCATTCACGACCCCTTACGATAATCTACGATGTCAGCTATCTTCTCATTCTGACAAGTGCTCATGAGTATCTTGATGCTCTATAATACTGAAAATCGTGGAGAAGAAATGATGAGCTGTGAAGTTATCCACTGACGACTAAACCAAAATGATTACGACAAAATGCACTTCATCCAGCTCTTCGATCTCACGAATTTGAAGCCTGTATCATGTGCTTTATCAGTACACAACAACAGTCAGTAGACGCCCCAGAAGAGTGAAACCAGATCAGATCACTGAATGGTTTTAAGACTACGTTACGAAATGGCTGAAAGTTCAAGGTCATATAATATTGAGCTCATTTCCTTGTCTTTGTCCCACGTGTATGCCATCTTATGGACCTGTTCGTAGAGATTGGATGGCTTCTACGACACCTGATCGCTAGGCTATTTAAAAACGACCCCGAGCTTAGTGATAGGGCTGTGGTAAGATTTCTCATTGCAATGTCTCAGTCATGCAGCCAGCTCTACATGTCAGAGTCCGAGGACAAATAGAAACGTTCAATAGCTATTACGTACCTTCACGAACTATTTGTCTACGCCTGGTGAAGACTATCGAGTGCGACAGTATGGTAAGCGTTGAAAACATGAGAAATGACATGCCACAATCCTACGAATTTTGCAGTAATGTATCTCAAACCCCGCTTTATGTATATGGAAGTAGAGTCGCGGGCGGGATCGTGTGCCGGTGCGGACGACGGATCGCGATGGGGAAAAGATGTAGATAGAGATTGGCTTCACTTACTTCTCCTTATGCCGAACATAGATTGTTTGAAGCTAAATGCTATTCAGCCCTTCACTGTCTCGAGTTTCTTTGATCTTCTTGATTGTACGCACTTTTATGTCTTGTTTTCTACTCTTGTGAGATTCGAAAGGTAGGCTGTAGACGCTAGATTGCTCCCAAATGACAGGAAATTGCTGCGTGTCCGCGCGGCACTCTGCAGCGCATGTGAGACCGAGTCATCGCCAGGCTGCTTCAGTCCAGAACCCGTTCACCGGTAATGTGTGCGTCACGAACGAGAAGCGAAGAGGCCACTGCAGCACCGTCTTCCGGGCAACGCATCTCGCCAACGCGCCTGACCAGCCACCGGAAACACGGCAGCTTCGCGAAGCTTTGGAAGTACCACGAAAAACGCAAGTGCGTGCGGGTAAAAATAGGGGAGGCTGGGAGCCGGATTGCACATGCGACCGAATGAGAGGAGACGTGTTCAGGGCGTCCAGTTAGAGGATAGCTTTGGCGATGACCTGGCAAATGGGAATATCTGCCCGTAGGTGCAGGACATGAGTGGTCTGTCCGGTGACGATGCTGACGGAGCGCGCGCGCATGCAGTTGCTGCGGATGGCCCGCAGCGGGAGGAGATGTCGAGCCGTTTCCGGCCTCAGGCACAGAAAAAGGACGAAGGCTAGCCGGAAGGAGCGATGATCTCTGCAACACCGCGTCGCGCGTCGGCGTCGCGACAAGGACTGCCTTTCATGATTCGGCCATGTTTCTTTTAAGCTCGCCATCCGGCAAGAAGGTGGTTTCAGCTCGTCGCACGGCTCGCCGCAAGCCGTCACATCTGCACGGCCAGGCCAGTCAGGCTCGAGCGGATGCGTCCTGTTCACCAGGACAGGGTTGAAACGGGGCTGGGAGCTAATGCATGCACTTTGGCGAGCGATAGGCTGGCAGCGCGCGATACGGCGGCTACATGCACCTTAGTCTTGCGACTCGCCCCCGCTACCTAGACGCGTCCAGGGCACCAGTCAACAAACATGTGCCAAATAAACCCCTCTCCCGCCGCTCCCCATTCGGCCTCGTCGCCCTATGCCATCGCTGCGACCGCTTGAGCGACCGCTGTGAGCATGGCGCATCACGAGCAGCGCGACACCCCCGTCGGGGACTCTGTTCTGGCCATCGTTGGCGCTTTCACCAGCGGACTCGACGTCTTCAAGCGCCTACGAGAGAGACGTCGCCGTCGGAGGTCCAGCAAGAAGTCTCACCGCGCGACGCCCGCCCAACTCGAGCCGTCGGGCGACGAGCTACAACTCAGCAACTCGCTCAGGCAAAACCCACTCGACATCCAGCGCCACTATGAGAGCAACTATGCCGCCGTTGGCGAGAAATTCGCACAGGGCGATGGTACGATCCTTGTCCAGCTAGATGTCCAAGGCTGTACTGACCATGCCACAGCAATTGCCCACGCATCGCTCACCGAAGTCCTACTCAAGCTCAACAGCGGCCTCGTAGCCATCATCGGAGCCTTCTTATCCCCGGGCAAGAATGACCACCATCCCGACTACAAGTCGCTCACAAGTCTCTCCGACACGTCGAGGGCCGAGGCCATTGACGCTCTGGGCCAACTCTACCAACGTCTCTCTCAGTCACAGCTTGTCCTGGATCGGGTCCGACACAAATGCCCAAGCTGCGGCAGCCACCACCACCATGATTGTGGATCATCAGCGAATCCGAGGCAGCGTGGTGGTTGTGCCAACGCCAAACGGATACCCGGCGCTAAGCCTAAACCGAGACGATCCCAGACGGAGCTTGTCATCGTTCGGAGGCCTCGCAACAGTGCCAAGTATCCTCCTATGAAGAAGCCTTCTTCCGCGGCTTTAGCATCGAGATCGCAACGGCAAAGCAATAATGCCTCCTCTGGTTCATCCGCCTCGACGCCTGTCACCACGTCGTTCCCACCCGTAGACCTTCCACCCAGGCCTCAGCTTCCTCGTTCCCAGTCAACCTCCACCAGCAGGTCCGACCCCCCGCCCAGTTACAGCAAAGCCACAGCCATGTCTCAACCCCCCTCGCGTGAAATGTCTCTCACCAGGAAACCCGTCAAGGCTCCAGTAGCTGCTGCTCCAACGACCGCAAAACCCCAGGTCAAGGCCCCAGCAGCTGCTGCTCCAGTAACCGCAAAAGCTCAGGTGCCTGCCATCACCGCACCTCCCCTCCAGCGCCCAGAGACCTGGCCCCACGGACCTCGACCCTTGCGTGAAGCCAACGCCCTGCCCATCATCCCTCCACAGGAGCCGCCACAGCCGCAGCGTCAACAGGAGCATCAGAACCCTCTGGCTCATCTTCAACCCGCTCCCCTTGTCATCCCGCAACGCCCGCCCCGCCAACAAGCCACCGCTGCCGCTGCCGCCGCCCCTCCTTTATTCCAACCAGCCCGCCCACCCAAATTCCCCGTCTCGACCGCCGCCCTCGCCGAACTCCCCGGCAGTAGCATCGCACCAGCCCCGCCGCCACCACCACCACCAAACCCCAACGTCCTCCACCGCCGCCAGCCGCCCGCCCCACCGCCAAAGAAGCAGCACCTGCAAGCACCGCAGCGCCCACGCCCGCTCAACTCAGAGCAACAGCAACCCCGCACCAGCACCAGCGGCTCCGTCAACCTGCACCTCCACCCGTCCGCCCAACTCTCGGCCGGCTCCACCTCCTCTCGCAGTAGAGCCACCACCACCGCCGCCGCCGCAGCCGCCCTGACCACCACGCCGTCGACGTACAGCTTCTCGTCCGACAGCACCAAGCTGGGCGAGATCCCCATGCGCAAGTGGACGGTCCCGTGGGACTACGCGGCCATGGAGCGCGCGAACGCCGAGGCGGCGGCGCTGAGGGGCAATTTGCCGGCGATGGAGGTGGGACAGATTCCGGGCGATGGGGGCAGGCGGAGAGGGGGGTTGTTGAGGTTTTTGAGGAGGGGGGAGTGATTATAAGGGGGGGATTTGGATGCGGTGGGTTTAGGGGGTTTTCTTGGGTTTTGGGATGTTCGCTCATTTTGATGGGGTTGTGCAGGGTTCCGGTAATCCTGTGTGTAGTGGGATTGGTTTGACTTCGTTCATTCGTTCTCTACCCTTTTTTTGGTTTGTTTCTGGGATTTGGTGGAGTGGGACGGCAGAGCTTGGTGTTTTTTTGTCTTTTGGTTGTACTGGGTGTGTGGGTGATGCGATGACATGAGAAACGACCCTTACGAATTATGACATGAGATCACGACTGTCATGAGATTGTCTTCTTGTAAGATGGGTTGAAAGACGAGAGATGGCTTTGGTATATACATAAAGTTTCATGGACGCTGGGATTTGATTTCTCTTAGTGTGAGTAACAGAACACCGACGCTTTGCAGCTTCTTATACATTGGAGATTACGGGGGGAGCTGTATGGTCAAGTGATTTCTAGTTCCATGATCTCGATAGCAGTAGGACTTCTTCACTAGTACTGCCAGTAGAGAAAAGGGATTTGCGCATAGCAGCTAGTTGACGCCAGAAGTGAACGGAGCAATATCCAGAAGAAAAAAGCCATAATATCTTTAATCTACATCACACTTAGAGCTTCGCAACAGGGGATGGTTGCCGTAATGGCGGAATTCAGTCTTGTCATGCACGGCTAGCTTGTCAAAGCTGCTCTGTTCAGCTTAGCCCTCGGTGTGTAGTGGGTCGAGTTCCATCGTACTGGGACATCACGTGTGGCAACGGTGCATGGGCCTCTAGGTATATTCAGTGTTTCGTTCACTACCTCAACTTTTTGTTCGCGTCCAGGCCTCACTCGACCAAAGTAACGCTCCGTTTGAAGAGTGGTAAGTCTCATCCCTTCATCCGCATCGGGTAAGCATTTAGAAATGACATTTTCCCGAACAGCACTAACTCATTCACGAACCATCAAGCTACATCTCGGTCGGCCACGACTTCTGCCATGCCCTCTATTCAGATCCCGTCCCCGACCTCTATCCACCCACGCGCCCAGCTTCAAGATAGCAGTAGCTCGGAGTGGTCTATAGAGGCTAAATTAGCCTTGCTTAGTCTGCTTGCTATGTTGTTTCTTCCACTTATTACCTTTTTCGTCCGTCGAAATCTACCGCGCATCCTCAATCTTTGGACAACAATATTTCATGGCCGGATACATATGGGTGCGTAGGATATCGAACGGGCACGGGGGCCGAAGGAATCTGACCGCATGAACAGATTCCAATGAAGAGGATATCGAGCTCTACATTGCATTGTAGTCCCAGGTCACAGCCTGTCTGGTGTGAGCTTCGTTTTCTGGCTTCCTATACATACTGCGCTACATAGAACATGGAGTTTGGTTGTGTGCTATACAAATAAGTCAGTAACATACTCGGAGGGACAAAGTCACAAGTTATAGAACATTATTTGGCAGGTAATCTCTGGTATTCTTTCGATATAGCTGGTTAAGCAGCTTCTGCCTGTCTCGCGGCATCCTCATGGATCCTTTCGCGTAAATTGTTAAAGAAAAACGCCAAACCCAAGCCTTTTGCCCATCGTAAATACTCCATGAAACGGTCGTTGAAGCCTCCAATACCACTTTTTTCCATCTGTTGAACCGGTTGCCGCCAGCTTTTTAACCCAAACGCTCTCTATGCGTGCAAGAAAAAAAGCTCTGAAACAAGACAATGCAAGAAAGTAACACCACCTGTCATCTTCTCATACCCCTCTGAGTGTGCATTTACACGGGCAGGGGGAAGGTGCCAGCCCAGGCGGCGATCTCCTTCTTGAGGCTGTTGATCTCATCAACGGTGCCGGAAGCGACCTTGGCCTTGAAGTCCTTGAGCTTGTTGGCCTCCTTGGGCAGCTCACCCTGGACCTTCTTGCAGAGCTTGATGCAGACGTCGATGTAGTTGGCAATCTTGGCGAAGTCCTGCTCGCCGAGACCACGCGAGGTCATGGCGGGGGCACCAATGCGGATACCCATGGGGGTGAGGGCAGACTTGTCACCAGGGGTGGTGTTCTTGTTGCAGGCAATGTTGACCTGCTCGAGGACGGCCTCGACACGGGCACCGTCGAGAGCGAGGGGCTTCAGGTCGAGCAGAACCATGTGGTTGTCGGTACCACCGGTGACGAGGGTGTAGCCGAGCTCCTTGAAGGTGACCTCGAGCGCCTTGGCGTTCTTGATGACCTGCTGCTGGTACTGCTTGAACTCGTCGGTCTGAGCCTGCTTGAGAGCAACAGCCAGAGCGGTGATGGTGTGGTTGTGGGGACCACCCTGGTGACCAGGGAAGACGGAGAAGTTGATGGGACCCTCAAGGTCGTAGAGGATCTCCTTGCCGGTCTTAGCGTCGGTCTTGCGGACGCCCTTGCGGAAGAAGATCATGGCACCACGGGGGCCACGGAGAGACTTGTGGGTGGTGGTGGTGACGATATCGGCGTACTCGAAGGGAGAGGCGTTGACACCAGCGGCGATGAGACCAGAGATGTGGGCCATGTCCATCATCAGGTAGCAGCCGACCTTGTCGGCGATCTCACGCATGCGCTTGTAGTCGATCTCACGGCAGTAGGCAGAGGTACCGGCGACGAGGACCTTGGGGCGGTACATGAGAGCGTTCTGCTCGAGCTGGTCGTAGTCGATCAGACCGGTCTCAATGTTGACACGGTAAGGGAAGGTCTCGAAGTAGGTAGAGACGGCAGAGATCCTAGCGGCCAAATTAGCATGCTGAAATTTACGCACGAGTGGCGAATTGACCTACTTCTTCTGGGGAGTCTGGTAACCGTGGGACAAGTGACCACCGTGAGGAAGGTCAAGACCCATCAGCCTGTCGTGAGGCCTCATGATGGCCTGGTAGACCTGGAGGTTGGCAGGGCTGCCGGACAAGCACTGGACGTTGACGCCCCATTTCTCCGAGTCGAGACCAAAGGTCTGGAGGGCGCGCCTCTGGCAGGTGAGCTCAATCTCGTCGATGTGCTCGTTGCCACCGTAGTAGCGGGCACCAGGGTAACCCTCAGAGTACTTGTTGGACATGGGCGAGCCAAGGGCATCGAAGACGGCGCGGGAGGTAACATTCTCGGAGGCGATGAGGAGGATGGACTCGCGCTGGCGCTGGATCTCCTTTTTCTACGGGTTGTTAGAGGACTCCATCGAGGCATTGAGCAAGAGATGCGTACCATGATCTCAGCGATCTCAGGGTCAGTCTCAACAAGAGACTTCTCCATGAGCTGTAGAATTGAGTCAGCGAATGCGCCGCGGCGATGTCGGCGAGTTCACTTACGTCCTGGTGGGACTTGGGGAGAGCGTAGGAAGACATGGCGAGGGTATCCGAAGAGTAGGGTCGGAATGTAGAGAGTAGGAAGTTTGGGGGGTGTGGAAGAGGAGAAGAATTGGAGAACGGGCGTTGGAGAATTTGAAGCTTTGGCTCGGTGGTTCAATCTTTCGCGTTGCCCCGCGCAAAAAATCGAGCAGGGACCAGCGCCGATCACGGGCCAAAGCGGAGCTTTCGCGGAGCGCCTCGGAGACAATTGCTGCTTGCAGACATGGGCTGCGCTGCCTCTTTCAACCTCTACAAGCAACATTTGTTGCTATTGTTCCTCTGATTGATCCATCTTGCCCGGCAGCATCGGGTTCCTGAGTCAATCTGGTTGGAGCTGCGCTGCTTCCCCGCAGTGAGATCGCCGAATGTCGCGAGAGAAGGCTTCATCTTCATCCGACTGCAACCCGGCCCGCTGCCACAAGAATTTCCTCTCGCAATCTCACCGATTTCCCCGCCGCGGTCCTCATGACGGCAGCATGCGAGTTATAAAGTCCGGCGCTTGCGAGGTCAGACAGTCACGCACCGGCGATAAACGCGCCGAAAGACGCCGACGATTTGTGTACCTGCGGCACAAGACCAAGCCAGCACGGGACGGGCTAGAAAGAAGGGTCTGAATACAAAAGTTTAGCACGGGCCATTCCAAGTCGCCGCTGGAGCGCCGTGCTAGCGGGCGTCAGCCACACTCTGCCAGCTGATATGGCCCCAATTGAGGCGATGCAAAACTTCGCACCAGGCCGCCAGGCGACAAATGCGGTACCCATGGCAGCTGGATTTGACGTCGCTTCTGCAGTGCAGAGCGCGCTGTCGGCCGTAGATTGGCTGCAAGCGCCACAGGGCGCTCCCGTGCGTTCAGCTTGCCTTGCACAACACACCCTTGCCGCACCATCTCGGCGCCCGCACAGCTCAAAGCGGGAACCGCATGATTGAAGGCTCGGAGTTGCCGCTCGCTTGCGCTGGTGTGGAGCGGTGAATCTGGGGCATGGCGAATGCATGTGGCCGCTGTCAGACTGGAGACGGCTCTTGAGCGAATGCACGTCAGCGGACCGTAGGCGCGGGTGATGAGCAGATCACGGCCTCCGTGGAGCGGGACTGGCTCGCGACGGACGCGGACGGGGGCGCGGGATGGGGTGTTCGCGCTGATTGCGGGCGTTGAAGCCAACGGCGGCTGCCTCCGCCTGCTGGGCACCGCGCGGCATCACAGCTGGACGGGGGCGCCAAAAAAATGCGGGACCGGTCGCGTCATCCCCTTTCCCTGCAGCCCCGTCACACAGAGCCTAGAGAATTCAGATAATAATAAACAGGGCGCCGTGGCGAGTGCAGAACCTGTGTTTTGTGTTGTGGCCTGCAACTTCGCGGAAATCGGCTCGGCCGGCAGATCTCTCCCGGATCCTCGTCGTCAGCGTCCTCAGCCCTACCATCCATCTCCCGACGCGGCGGGGTGTTCACAGGCCTCCTCCCTCCAGTCGTGCCCTCTAACCACCTTCTCACTCTCGCGAACTCTCGTCGTCGCTTCGCACGCCCCCTCAGATTCGCGCGACCTCGCCCCACTCGCCTAGCTCACCGAGCTTTGAACTCTTTGCGACATCTCCACCACCCACGCCGACACTCGGTGCGAACACAACATCAAGATGTCCTACTACCCAGGCCAAGGATACCACGGCGGCGGCGGCGGATACGGTGGCCCTCCCCCGCCCCAGAACTATGGGCAAGGCTATCCTCCGCCTCAACAGTACGGACCGTATGTACCGCCCCCACCCCGCCGTTTGTGCCCAAGCTCACAACAACAGCCCCCAAGGTCAATACGGCTATCCGCCTCCAGCACACTCTCCCCAGCCTCCCTACGGCTATGGCACTCCGCCGCCTGGCCAGTACGGCGGCTATCAACAGGTATATCGACATGTCGGCATTCGTGAGGAGCTGTGCTTACGCCCAAAGTAGACGCCTCCGCCGCAGCAAGGATATGGCTATGGCGCGCCCAATGGAGCCCCGCCCCAGCACCAGCAGTATAGCCATCGTGCGTTCAACGGTTACTCAGTATGTTCTCAGAAACGCAAGCTGATCAGTTATAGCCACGGTTAACAAGGCCTCTCAGGGTGGTCATTCGGCGCCTCCTCCTCCCCCACAGCAAGCCCAGGCCTTCGGTCATGGCGCTCCCTCCGGCTATTCTTTCCAATACTCGAACTGCACCGGTCAACGCAAGGCCCTGCTCATTGGCATCAACTACTTCGGGCAGAGGGGCCAGCTGCGCGGATGTATCAATGATGTCAAGAACATGAGCGCCTACCTCAACCAGCACTTTGGCTACAAGCGCGAAGACATGGTTCTTCTCACCGACGATCAACAGAACCCCATGAGCCAGCCGACCAAGGCGAACATCCTGAGGGCCATGCACTGGCTGGTAAAAGATGCGCGCCCCAACGACTCGCTCTTCTTCCACTACTCAGGTACGCTAAACCCCACAATCACGGCTTGGACCACATTCTCACATTTGAATAGGTCACGGTGGCCAGACAAAGGATCTCGATGGTGATGAGGAGGATGGATACGATGAAGTCATTTATCCTGTTGATTTCCGCCAAGCCGGCCACATTGTCGACGACGAAATGCACCGCATCATGGTGCAATCGCTTCAGCCAGGTGTCCGTCTAACAGCCATCTTCGACTCTTGCCACTCCGGTTCCGCTCTGGATCTTCCGTACATCTACTCCACCTCCGGTGTTCTCAAGGAGCCCAACCTTGCCAAGGAAGCCGGTCAAGGTCTTCTTGGCATCGTGTCATCGTACGCGCGCGGAGATTTGGGTGGCATGGCAAGCACCGCCATGGGCTTCCTCAAGAAGGCTACGTCTGGCGATGATACGTACAAGAGGAACCTCAGGACGAAGACAAGCCCGGCAGACGTCATCATGTGGAGTGGAAGCAAGGATACCCAGACTTCGTACGTCGTGGCAAAAACACATTACCCTGCACTCGATGAGAGTAAAGTCAGCAAGCTAACAAATACCCTAGGTCTGATGCGACCATCGGCGGTCAGGCTACTGGTGCCATGAGCTGGGCCTTCATCACCTCTCTCAAGAAGAACCCGCAGCAGAGCTATGTTCAGCTGCTCAACAGCATTCGTGATGAGCTGGAAGGCAAATACTCGCAGAAGCCACAGCTTAGCTGCAGCCATCCGTTGGGTACGTGAAATCCCCGTCTATTTTCTAAAGTCGTTGCTAACATGGTTCTAGACACGAATTTGCTGTATGTGATGTAAAAAAGGTTCGTTGTTATGACAACGGACTAATCGCATGGTTTCCTTAGGTTTGTTATGTGATTACGAGGCAACATTGAACGAGTGATCTGTACATAACGAAAGGACGTTGGTATACCAGAGTTTGCGGTTGGCTGGCGTCGATACTCCGTTCGGGTTCCTATGATATTTTCTTTCCACGCATGGATTATTGGAGTTGGTATGTACTACTTGCAAGTGATATGTTCCTATTTTTGCTGACGCTCAGATAGGAACCTTATGCTTTATCTTGTGAATGACTTAATGACCTATACCTCTTTTCTTTCCGTGTGCGTGCCTCATTCCTGAACAAGAAATGTCAGTGAAAAACGCCTGAACAAACGAGTATTCTATACGTTTTCCCTTGCAAATTGATGCAAACTGTTCATGGCTCGCACTATTTGCTATCGAAACAAATTTTGAGTCAGGTAATTGCCTGGAGTATTGCATTTCCTGGCCGGATGAGTTTTGACTTCAATAGGGCCAGACGGAAAAAGAAATGATGCTCTGACATACCTATGGACCGGCGCCTTATCGAGTCATGATCAGGTAATTATGTGCTATTGGATGTGGGAGTGGTGTGAAACGTTACCATGAGTGCTCAGCTTGCTGCATGTAAGCAAGGCCGAACGCAAAGTTATAAAGCTTCACAATTCCGACCCGCAATCAACGTTCGGCAATGGATCAACGCCTACCGCCTCTACAATGGAAAACAACTTACAGCTCCTGTCGCGGAGGAGTTCCTCGATGCCAGACAATGATCCTATCGGAAAAGAAATATCCAATGTACCTTCCGACAGGTTTGTTCCCCAAGATGATTTCATGTTCAAGAGACTGATGAAGCTAAAGTCCAGCAACTGTTCCTTTTCTCGCCCGCTTGAAGCCGAGCGACTATGTACGGAATCGCAAAAGTTTATTCATCAAGAAGCATTCGGCGCGTGATATCTCGTCCAAAACTCGCTGGTGGCATGATATACTAAACGGATGGCGAGCAGGGCTTTTCGTTGGCCTTATCGCCTCTACCATTGTTCTAGTGGTAAATATCATGTTATTCTCCTTCGGTGCTCTTGCACCCAGTGGTCATCAAACCGGAGTTAGAACAGTCGCGGCAGGTGACAGCACCACCCGAACAAGTCGGCATAGCACATCGCATTCTTGTCAATACTTTGAGTACTGTATTGCTCACTGCAAGCAATTAACGCCTGCAAGTCCTTTGCGCCCCGAGCAGAGTCGAAATCGACATGGCTCATGCACGTGGGAAATGGCTTGACGTCGGTATTACATCTAAGATACATCGGTCGAAGCCGTGCTCTTAACTTCTTGCCCCTTGCAATGTCTTCTCTTCCGCTCCACCTCTTGTAAGTCGCTGCAGCCCCTCTTCTCTTTAGTCAGGATATCACTAATCCCCACTACAGCTACAATTCTGTTGAAGTAACGATGGGGCGGCATTACACAGTGCACTTCATCAACGGAACGGACGACAATCAGCTATTGTATGTGTGGGAAGGCCGCTACTTACCACCCCCAGCCTTGTTTGTCTGATGCTGGGTGATATAATAATAAATTGTCACTTCACTATCCATCAATAAGAGCCGATGGTGTAATGGCTAGCATTAATGCTTCTACGATCACTTAGCCAAACATTCATTGTAAGCTAGTAGACACTCGTTAGCATTAGATTCAGGTTCGATTCCTGATCGGCTCAGCTTTCTTTTTGTCTATTGCTTCCTCTGACTGTTTAACTTTTTGCTGCAACCAACTATGGAGCCGAAGGAACCAACGGAACCCGCCCCTCCAACCCCTTTCTTTCCCCACAAGGCGGCCCGTGATCCACATTAGCCTCAGTTCCAATCAGTCATCTAGCGCAATTTTTTTTATTATGAGTAATTTCAGCTTGGGCGCAACTACTGGGAAAGAGCAACCGGGTTCAGATCAGTCTACACTTCATGGCCATTGTCATTGCCTGCAACTTATGCAAAGTTTTTGTAGTGATCCAGACACCGAGAGCAAATCATCTCATCGTTATCTCACTCAGTTTCTCCTCTTGATCCCCACTATGCCAATTGACAAATATCAGTGGGGGACAAGCTCTACGTCTTTGGATCACGCAGCAAAAATTCGATACCGCCGGCATATTGACCAACGCTTTCCTTGCCAATGTATCTCAAGCAGTCCTCTCCTAGACGTACTTTGCCATCAACCGGCTCTGCACTTCGATGTGCTTTTCTAGAGAATGGAACGAATACGGGACATGGCGAAAGAGTCTTCGAGTCACGTCCCCGGTAGGTGGGCAACGAAAAACATTCTTCCTCTAGCTGCCATACTGCTGGACAATCCCGCTGATGGTCACTTCCGGCTTGCTTCATTGGCTGGCCTCGCAAACGGTATTTCTCAGTCGTATGGAACTTGAAGATGTTGATAGAAAAACACGACAGGCTTCTCGGCTCTCAGTGCCTCGATTCTCTGCGTCGTTCTTCTGGTTTTGGGGATCGTCATCATGGTGCTTGGTTTTCGGAAGATTGCGATACACGTGCCGCCGGCTTTGCATTGCAGCATGATGATTGCTGCAGCATGCCATCCGTCGCCAGACGAAGCCGAGCCGCATTTGAAGAAGGTTCGGTGGGAGCGTTGATCATTATACGTTCACAGGGGAGCCAGTGTCACAACCCGAAGTTGGCAAGGAATATGCGTAGCGTTCAGCAAAGTCTAGTACGTTTGAATCCATCCAGGCTCTTCCTGTAGTCCACTTCAGCGCCTATCTCACAAGTAGAGCAGGCAGGCAGTTTATTTGCAAATGCACTCAAATACATGTAGCTTTTTACCTACATGGATACGTTAGCCTGAGGTACGATAGTCATGTGAATAAGGTTGAAACCGTTTCGCATGTGCTGAAGCCCAGCCTTTTCCCACTTCGGCATGACGCAACCCTTCCAGCCCTGGAGCAAAGATCACCCCTGCTCACGCCCAGCTTCGTTGGAAAGATATCGTGAGACACTTTGGTCTCCCACTTTTGATGTCGACATGCCGGCGTCGCTCCAACAAATGTCAGCTCAGGATGGCATTGCGTCATCGCGCCCAGGGTTTTGCGTGCTCAGCGCACGATAGGCCCGCTCCACCAATGCCCGTCTCCGGCATCGCATAAGAGAAAGCCGGGGCGGTAGCGTCGATAATAAAGGCGGGCATTTTCCCCTCTAATGCAAGACATTGTCCGACGCAACTAAAGCTTAATCAAGCTTATCTCCTTTTGCTTATCTCGCATACTTGGACGACAACAACCATGGCTTCTACAACACATGCGGACGACACTCTTCACGTCGCCATCGCCGGCGCCGGTATCGCGGGCCTGGCGGCTGCCGTTGCGCTCACACGAAACTTCGGCTCGCGCGTCGACGTGCAGCTGTACGACAAGGCCACGGCGCTGCGCGAGATTGGCGCGTCCATCGCCCTGGGCCCGAATGGGCTCCGTACGCTTGAGAAGCTGGGCGTGGAGAATGCGCTGGATGATGATGTTGCGTTTAGGGGCCCGAGTGGGCTGCCAATGATTTATCGGTATGCTTGTCTCTCTCCATGTATATTCTTAATTGGACTTCCGTCTTGGACTCTTTTCTGTCTTTTTCATTCCGGCATTGCAGGGGCTTTGCGCGACGAGCTGTGAACAGAGACTGAGATCTTTTTGTCAGGCACTGGAAGACCAATGAGATTGTATCATACGACGAATTTGTGAATGTGCCCGAGAGACGTCACCAGACAGCGCGGTTCGCGCGGGCACATCTGCATCAGAGCTTGCTGGAGCACGTCGATCCAGCGCGGATCCATCTGGGGAAGAAGATCGTTTCCGTTAAGGAGGAGGCTGGTAATGAGGGGCCTTTGGTGCTGAAGTTTGCAGATGGCTCCGAGACTAAGGCGGATTTTGTGGTGGGCGCAGATGGAATCAACTCTGTAAGTTTTTGCTTTTGTTTGTTTGCTTTGATTGCCGCTGTTGAAGGTTCTTTGCATGAAAGGAGGTAATACGTGGTTATTGGAGCCGTGGTGGACGCCAAAGGTTACGGAAGACCTGGAATTGCTGACGAGTGATAACAGGGCGTGAGGAAGTTCTTTGTTCCTGAGCAGAAGCTGGGCTGGACCACTCAAGTTGCATACAGAGCGGTGTTCGACGCATCGTTGGTGGAAGGAACACCGGACCTACCTGAAGACTCGACACACTGGGTAAGTTCGTGTAGCGTACTCATCGAACACCCACTGACTGCTGAGACAGTGGGGCCCAACCGGCAGCTTCTTCGCGTCAAGACTCGGTATGAAGCCTCCCCACATCACGCCTTCCTACACCGTTCTGACACAGCACCACCATCGCAGGCAAGGGCCAATTCACCACCGTCGGCATCATCTCGCTCGACCCCTCAGACCCAAAGAACGCCGCCATCGTCGACAACGCCCGCTGGGACAACCTCGCCGACATCAACTTCGTCCGCGAGCTGTACAAGGCAAGCAACACCATCACCAATCAAAAAGAACCTCAAACGTTGACAGCTGCTGGAAATCAGGACTGGCACCCCCTCATCCGCACCCTCTTCGCCCGCACCCCGGCGTCCAGCATCCGCGTCTACCCCAACCTCGCCATCACCGCGCCGCTGCCCGCCCACACCTTCCTCGGCGGCCGCGCCGTGCTGATCGGCGACGCCGCGCACCCGCACGGCGGCGCCTTCGCCACGGGCGGCTCGCTGGCCCTCGACGATGCGTACGCGCTGGCGCAGGCGCTGCGGGCCGTCTGGCCGGGGCCGTCGTCCGGAACCGCGGCTACTGCTGCTGCCGGTGGCGGTGGAAAACCTGCGAAGGACCGCTTGGCGCAGGCGACGCGCATCTACGAGAAGGCGAGGAAGCCGCATACGACGAGGCTGTTGACGGTCGTGCATGCGTTGACGGAGAAGAGTAAGGAGCGGTTAAGGCGGAGTGATGGAGGGGTGGAGACGGATGAGGAGCTCAGGAAGAGGATGAAGGCGAGGGCGGAGACGAGTTGGTTGCACGAGCATGATGTGGATGAGGCGGTGAGGAGGGCTGTGGAGGCCGAGCTGGGTGCTGTAGGTGGTGCAGGGAGCGTGGAGGCGAGGTTGTAGGGGGCCTGATGAGGAGAATGCGAATGCGGAATTGATGGGATAGTAGACGGGTTCGGCTATCTCGTGTCCCCGGGTTTCACGGTTTGAACTGTGCCGGAACAGGTTGTTTATGAGGTGCATCTACACGGCAACTTCGGGGAGCTTAGCCTACTGACACGAGTAAGTGTGTCAGGCACGATTCAGGGGCCCGGTTTACATACGTCACAGGTACAGCGAGATACTTGAAACGTGGTCGCGATCAAACGCTGGTGCAATAACAATACGAGAAACGTGCGCCTTGGCAGATGCTCAGCCTAAACATGTCCTTCCCATTACTGTACAAGGAGGTCGAGAATGAGCAGGGATACGCCAGAACGACACGACGACACCATTGGCTGTGCTCGCTACCCGTGTTCGGACGTGTTTCCTTCCTACTTACAAATACATGCGGGGGATGGCTTTACGGTGCTCAAGCCTTGGCCCGGCGCGCACCCAAGCCTCGAAACGACCGTCATGCCAAGACTGGAGTCATGCAACAAGTAGCTGGGGCTACCGTGCACCACCGTGCTATGTAGGGAAGGAAGGAACAGCTTCTCCGTGTCTGGTCAGGCAACCTGAGTCTCGAATCAGGTATTGCTTGCACTACACCGTATTTATCTCACTATTGCAACTCCTTTACATATAAAGCCCTTGCCCTCTACAGCCTCTTCCAACAAGCCACGCTTCATACCCACGTCCAGCCACCTATATACCCCGACCTTTTGAGGCCAATTCTCTCTTTCAAAAAACTTCCAACCTCTCCAAACAAATATAATCATGAAGACTACCGCCGCCCTCGTCATCCTCTCCGCCGCCGCCGCCCAGGCCGCCATCACCTTTGAGCAATTCCCCGCCAAGGGCGTGACCTGCCCCAACAGCGATGCCAGCGGCCAGCTGACCAGCGACACGGCCGCCCTCAAGGCCGCTGCCGAGGCGGCAAAGGACGGCAAGCCGTACGAGCAGTCAGCCTCGAACATCTCATCCGGCGCGTGCTCGTCGCTGAAGCTGCCTTACTTCATCGTAAGTTACATGAGCTGCTAGATCTTGTTACCGGAAAGAGAAAGCTGACCATGGCCCGCAAATGTAGACCACCACCAACCAGGCCAATGGCGAGCCGGCGGCTAACTTGAGCTTTGCCTGGGATGAGGCGAACGAGACCATTTACTACTGCGGCGCGCAAGGGCTGTTCAGCACGAACGGAAGTGGCTACCCGGATAGCTGCGACCAGCTCTGAGGGGATGGATGGCACGAGTATGGTGTTACGAGGAAATGTTGAGTATTAGTGGCTGGAATCAGCATAGTATATACAATGTATGTTTTGTGGCCTTCTATATATTTTGAGTGAAGTAGGGAAAGTGCTCCTTTGTTCTATTCGTCAGTAAAGTCGGCACAGCAGGTCTGATTACTTAACCCGTGATTGTGTTTGAATGAACAATGCATTGTCCTACCTTTACAAGGTTCAGCCTTGATATTTCATTATCACCTGTCAGACAAGAGATTAGTTACAATACAACAAATATCGCATAGTGTTTATCAGATAACTGTGCACGAGATAGGCCAATAAGGCACTCTTAGATAGGAAAAAGCAAAACTCCATTTTAACTAATTTGATCGGCAATGAGGACAATTCGCAACATGCATGTCAGTAAGTATCATCGCGGGAACTCCTTTTCCGCATCAAGCGTATCCCGGGTATTCCAAAAACAGATCGTAGAAGTACATCAAGCTCGTGCGTCTCGTAAGTTCGTAACTCATCTCCAACTCCTTGAAAACTCCCAAGATTTTCCAACTCCAATGAGCGCCAAACAAGAAATGCCAACAAGATGTTGTCAGGGGGGGACATCGCACTGTAGAAGCCACCAACCACCTCTTCAAGCCTCCGCAGCAACAACGCCCTGGAACCCGTCGTTGTTGTCGCCGACCACAAGGATCGCTCCAACAATCATCCTCGCATAGCGGTCGACCTCCATCAGCGTCCTATCCACCATCACCATATCATCCCCCGGCATTCCGCCGGGGGCCAGCATGGCCTCCAGCGCAACCTGCGTGAGGCGCTGCCAGCCCGACACAATGCCGCCAGGCAGCTCGCCCGCGCCGGGCACGTCGATGCCGTAGCGCTCGAGGTAGAGCTCGAACAGCTTAGTCAAGATCAACCTCCGCAGCTCCGTCGCCGTCGTCGTGACGGCAACGTGCCACAAGCCGCCAAACGGCTGGTCCGGCAGCGCCGGGTCCCCCTCAGCGACAGCGCCGAGCTGCCTCACGACACCGAGCGCGGCGATCGGCAGCGCCGAAGCGAAGCGCAGGAAGCGCGGCGAGCCGTAGGTCGGCAGGCGCACGGGCAACAAGCCGGCCTGCTGCTGCGGCGGCGGCGGCGGCGGGAAGTTGTTGATGGCGTCGCTCATGAGGCTGAGCACGCCGCCGCCCGCGCTGTAGATCTGTTCAGCCCGGAAGCGCATCGTCGGCGGCTGGAGGTTGTTGGTGCGGGCGTAGGCGATGGTGATGGATGCGGTGATGTAGGCGGTGCCGAAGCGCGTCATGCGGTGGTTGGCGCGGGCGTAGGCGGCGGCGTTTTCCTGAAGCCAGATGTAGGCGTCTGCCTTGTGGCCGATGTGGGTGCGGCACATGGGGCAGGAGATGGCGTGGGTGGGGGATTGGCGGATCCAGTCCTTGAGGCAGGCCGTGCAGAAGGTGTGGGTGCAGGCTTGCAAGGTGATGGGGTCGGCGCAGGAGTTGTTCTCGTTGGGCTCCGCGTCAGTGAGGAGGTCGGCGAAGGGGAGGAGACAGATCGGGCAGTCGATCTTGTCCTCGTCCCGAAGCTTCTGGAGGGTGGCTGCCGTGGCAGGCTCCGTGGCAGCGTCCGGGCAGAGCTGCTGGATCGTGGCCATGTTGTTTGGTCTTTTTTTAAGGAATGAATGAAGGGAAGAGATAGCCAAAAGAATGGACTGGTAGGTATGAGAATCCCGGAGGCAGTGGACTTGATAGCGGTGCTAGCAGCAGGATGCTCGAGGTTGTGAGAGTCGTCTGGCGAAAAAGTAAAACTCGTCCATAACTGCGAGGTCTTAAATAGAAGAGGGAGAGAGAAGACAATGTATCTGTTTGTGAATGAAGTGTTGTAACTTGGGAAGTGTTTACCCAGACAATGTAATCACTTTCGTGGTGAATGCAGTTCGAGACTGTAGGGCCTCCGACAGCTTACAAGCTCCATCTCAGGTCAGATTCTGCCGAGACTGCCACTTTCAACCTCGAGCATACTTGCAGCTTCTCGGAAAGTGCCCATGACACCATGTTGTTCCAATCTCTATCTCGTATATATGGTACAGATGTAGTGTATAATACTATACTCACTACTAATTTAGTATACTGAATAGAAAGACCATTGCGAGCCAATAGGCTTCACATAATTTCCTGATAAATTTGGGCATGATGATTGATGGTGCATGTACCTGCTGATGGCAGAGGTTATATACACTGCCTGGCGGTTGATTGAAAAACAACAAGCCAGAAGCACACAGCAAACAGCAAACGGGAAGAGAAATTGGTTAATCTCGCTCATTTACTGCACACCCAGGACACTCATGCCTCAGGGTATGATGTTTCAAAGATCTGCTCATACATAGCGTCGGTAATTTCAGCCCACTTCTGTTCATCGCGTCCCTTGAGAAGACCGATTGTCACCTGAAAAAATATCACAAGATCCCCCCACACTTTCTTCTGTTGTAAAGAATGCGCAAACTCCTGGTACTCACGCTCGCTCATCAGCTTACAGTCGTCCGCCGAGAAGCCCCTGCTATCCTCCAAGTTCTTGCGGAATAGAGAAATGGCCATACAGGACTTGATAATGTTGATCAACGCATCCATCCTGACCAAGGACCTCTCTGGCTCAAAAGGACAGGGGCGAACGAGAGTTGCCTCCACCCAATCAAGCACTTTGGGATAGATGCAGATCCAAGCCGTGAGCAGCTCGTTGAGAGCTATGTGGCAAAAGGTTTGGTCGTCGAAGTCGTGCAAGACCTCGCGCAAATGGTATATGCTGATCATGGCGACCCCGCTGACGAATCGGAAACGCGCCCGGTCGAAAGGGGTGTAACGGTGGTGACGGTCCTCAGGGGTAATAATGCCATCTTCCTTGGTCTCTCGCAATTCCTCAATTTTTTCCCATGCACAAAATGGCCGCCTTTGTGATGCTATTGCTTTGTTGAAGAAGCTCAGAGCCAGCCGAACCGAGAAGCGGTAGTGGTATGTTTTCGTTTTTATAACCTCGGTGCGGCAAATAGGGCAGGGGGTGGCCAGTTTCTTGGGCTCCTCGTGGTAGCATGCAGCCATCCAGTTTATAATGCAGGCTTTGCAGAATGTATGGCCGCAATGCGTGGTGAGGGGTTCCCTGTGCCAGTTTTTCTCCTCTCTCCCGTCGGACATTCTGCTGATACGAGGCATGGGCTTTCCATTACCTAGGTGTGCAGGCATTTGCACGCTGGGCGCAACTATCGGCGGCTCGAAATTCTTAACTCCTTGGAGGGGTATGTAGCATATGGGACAATTCGTTTCGTTTCGTTCGATAAGTCGTATTATCGTAGATTCAGAGGTGGTCCGAACGACGCCGAAATAGACGCTTTTGAAGGGTTCCATCGTAAGAGTGACCAGTGCGTCGTAACATAGGAAATGGAGGAAGATTTAATGAAGCGAAATGCGGAAGGCATGCTTCTCTATATTATTGCATTGTCGTAGTCAAAACTTTCACGATCTCATTTTCACCATGGGTCAGGCAGATCAAAAGTTTTAAATCTGTGGTTGCCTTCCCTCGATTCTTTTACCTTGGTTCTCTCAGTATTTCCTGTGAAGGCTATTGAATAGTCTGTGTTGTAATTCCCATCCATATCTGGCCGGCAGATCAGACACCGGAACGCCTCTGCTTTCTCCGTCCCGTCGCGAAACCATTTCACAACACACGAGAAGCGGACTGTATCCACATTCAGCAATCTTGATGAAGGAATGGTACTTATTGATTGCTGATAGAGTTGTGTCGCACTGTTGGCGACTGGTTTGGTGTAGACTGACTGGGCTATGGAATTTGCTGTTTGATTCTTCTTTGAGTTTCGCGGGGTCTAGATTCGTACAGTTGTGGGGAGACTTCGAGGAGAGGGGGGCTTTCATATTGCTGGCGGGATTGCTTTCATCGATGAGGATGCTCATGGAGGCAGTTTCTTTGGTGAAGGGATCCTTTGTTATACAGTTAAAAGTCACGTGCAAAGTACCGGACAAGGGCATCACTGAAGTATGAGAAAAGACTCATATTTGGTGTCCGCACGTCAATGCTTGGCCAGCCGCTTATACTTTTAAGTGACAGCAGGTCACGGTGGCCAAACACCTTATGCAGACGGCTACCTAATAAAGCACAGAAATCCAACTTCAACTCTTGGGGTATCCAACAAAACAAACAAATAGACAAACAACAGCTCAAAACACCGACCAGTTACTCCGATAGCTCCATGAGGTCGATTTCTTCATCGTCCTCCTCATACTCCTCCTCGACCTCCTCCTCCTTTTCAGGCTCAAAATCCCCGTCTTCCTCGTCGTCTTCATCATCCTCGTCTTCCCACTCATAATCCCTCATCTCCTCATCCTCCTCTATCCTCTCCCCCTCTACCCTCTCCTCATCTCCCTCAATCTCCTCCTCTCTCCCACCGGCCTCAGCCACCCCGAATATATCTTCGCTAATAAAGGCCAAGATATCTCCTCTGTCTTCTTCTTCTTCTCCTCCTCCCGCCCTCACTCCCTCGACCATAAAATCCCCCAGCTCTTCGAGATCATCAACGTCGACCTCGACGTCGCTGAGCGTGTCATTGGCGACGGCGGTTTGGGGATAGCACGGCTGGCGGCACATGGGGCAGGGCGGGGCGAGACCCTGATGGTGGCCGTTCAGGTGGGCCATGATGCACACGCGGCAGAAGACGTGTCCGCACAGTGCGAGTTTGACGGGAGGACGGCAGGGCACGGCCTGCTCCATTGGTGCTGTGGTGGTGGTGGTGGTGGTGGTGGTGGTGGTGGTGGTGGTGGTCTCCTTGTTGGCTGGAGACGGAGAAAATTCGAAATAGCAGATGCTGCAGTCGATGATCTCGTTGCCGTTGTTGTGGAGATCGGCGGGCGTGGCGGGGACGATATACGCCGCGAGGTGGTTGGGCACGCTCCGGGCGAAGTCGTGTTCGTTGTTCATTTTTCTGTGTAGTGCGAGTTGTCTGGTGCTGATTTAAAATGTATGCGAGTCGTTGTAAGATATGGAGGACACGCTGGGAGGCTGTGGTGGATGTGGTGGATGTGGTGGTTGTGGTGGTTGTTGCAGTGGTTGTCGAGAGTTATGCAGAAAGTCGAGTCTTCAGGAGAAAATTTGCATCAGAGCGAACTAGGACGCGGAAAATCTCAAGCAGCAGGAAGGTGCAGGCTGGGGAGGGAAAGAGCCTCTGAATTGATTCGCTTCTATCTCAGGGTCCGTACCACTGGTCGACTTCTGACCGAGCCGGCAGCGACGTAATGCAACCTGTCCTCCACTTTATCACCTCATGCGGTGCCTGGCTAATAGCGCAACGCGATACGGTAGCTATTTAGTATCGGCGAGAGTCATACCCCGGTGCCAGAGTTGCTCTTCGATGACCTTGCCAATGACGGTCTTCGTGAAGGCTGTGTGTGATTCAATGTCTTTTTCGATCGCGGACGGAAACTTCTTCAGAAATGCCTCAGCCAATCGGTCGAATGCAGCCTTTGGATCGACAGCATCCTTGTTTCTGTGGATGATATCGCGACCCCGGATTCGTTTGCGGGCCTCGAACAAGAGAACGGCTGTGGGATCCAAGGTCCTGAAGATTTGTGCAGTCATTGCTCCAGAAATCCAATTCATCCTCCGACCTTCAGCAAGTACGTTTAAGAAAGAAACAGCCAGGGACGGCGTCTTTGATGTTTCGAACTGTAATACGGAAGCTTCGTAGAGTGCCGTGTAAGCCTCAGTGGCTTTACGGTTCCATCTGACTGGCTGCCGGCAGTATGCGCACAAGAGCTGCCTCCGTCGCTGTGCTTTGAAATCTCCAAGGAGACACGTGGCGCCGAAGATGTGACCGCATTGCAAGGTCACCGGCTGTCCCAGACACGTCGGCGTCTCGGCAAGCATCCGAGCCAGCTCCTGGAAGGTGGGTTCATCATTCTTTTTCTTAGGACCGAAAATGCGTCGCATGGCTTTCAATATCCTCGTCCTCCGTCTGACGGTCTTCTCGACGTTCTTGTTTGTGGATAGGATCATCTTTATCATGTCGCAGCGACGGTCCAGTGGGTTGCTGCTGGATGCATCCGGAACCAAGCTCAAGTCATAATCCATGCGGCAAATTGGACAAGAATGGTCGTTCCGTCGTTCCAGTTCTTGACGCGTAGTCAAGGATATGAAAGGCATATGGCTGTAAGAATAGCAGGGACGCGATGGCAACGGGGAATGATCTAGAGCTGATATGAGCATGAAGCATTTTATTTGATTATCAAGTGAACATACTATTGAGCTCAGCATCTTGAGGGCTACAGTGAAGACTGGCCATTTTGACAGACTTGACCGAAGGAGGGGGTTAGAGGGGAGACCGGGTATTTATCCATCCAACAGGAATTTTGCAACGTATCTACGAGAGAAAAATTGTTGCGCGATTATCGCTTGAACCCGCAATGTGCCTGCGGCTACCATGGTTCAGCCAGGGTCCTTCCCATAATATTTCGAGACCCTGGAGAAAAAGCTGCATTAAGGACGCTAAAAGGGAATCAACGGTAGAACGGGGTACCAATCAGTTCGTGTATACGTGGGCCTTGTCCCGTCCTGCAAACATGCAAACATGAAATTTTTGTAGACGTACATTATATGCCGACCAGTAGGTAATTATCGTACTGTTCTAGATCATACGAGAAGCGAGTCAAGAGGCAGTACTCTGTAGTTGCGGAAAGCCAGAAGAAGCGAAGCTACGTCATGCGCCTCCACGCCCCACGTCTTTTCCTTCAATACCCGCTCCGCCAGCTGGAGCTTGCAACCTCTAGGACATAGCATGCCATCATTTCCTCTCAAAGAAGAATACACACGCACACAAGTCCACTCATCCTGTTGCCCGACATGCCTGGGACCAGCCTTTTCCCCGTCGTTTGCACCGCCGAAGTCCCTACCTCCGTGCGCATCACTCTCCCCTTCAAAATGTGCAGCGCCGCTGACCAGAAAAAAACCAAAGGTCATCGACAAGCTTTTGAGCGAAGCCCACGCCGCAAGCGAGCGGCTGGTGCCCGGTAGCGAACCCTGCCTCGCCGTCATCACCACCACCGCCGCTGCCGCCGACGGCGCCTTGCTCCTCCCATCCAGCCCATCGCAGCCGCCGCTCGAGCCCTTCGCATCGGCTTTCCTTGGCCAGCCCGTCGAAGCCGTCGCGCAGCGCCTCAGCAGCACAGACGCGTCCTTCTTCGCCGTGCTTGACGAGCGCTCCGCCGCCGACGAAACGGCGCTGGTCGTCGTCGCCAGCAGAGGAACCGGCGGCGGCGTTCAGGACGTCCGCGTTACCTTCGACGAGGTGCAGCGCCTGCTCACGGCTCTGGACGTCGGGTCGCTCGGGATCGAGGAGGTCCGGTCCATTGCGGAATCGAATGGTCGCGTCTATGGGCCTGCTCGTGAGAGTGCGCAGAAGGGCCAGCCGGCTCCGAGGAAGAGGCTCGGGGCGTGATTGGTTCATCTGCCTTGTCAGGGGCTTGTAGCAAAAAGTTGTGTGGAAAAGAGGCATCTTCTTGGCGCTGGCTACAGAACCTTCTCAGAAGAAAATTGTATTAACTCTACCGTGGATCTTAGAGCCTTAAGTGGATGTTCTGCTGAATCTGTCCAAAATCCGGAAACCCCACATCCCATTTGCTCCTCCCATTACATCCACCTGACAACGTGACACGCATCCTCTAGAAGCTTCTAAGCTCTCTGTATCCATTATCTTAGCCGTTACAGTTCGTATCCTCATGCCCATGACAAAATGACTTCCACACAGCACCGTCCCGCCCTGGAATGTATTGTGTCAGCAACGTCCATCTGAGCCGTCTCCCGGTCTGCCACCCAGAAGGCCTTACACACTTGCCTCATGCTCTTCGACATGATGGTACATTGTTACTTCGACATCTTTGCACTGGATTGTTCCATATTCACATCTCCACTTCCATGTCACCCTTCTTGTCGATATTGAGGGAGTACAAAGCTGAGTCGGTTACGCCGGCTGCAAACTCCTCCGCGTCGTTGTTCCTGACGGCCTGCATCATACGCAACATCGAATCCACAAGCACCGGATCAGTCTTGGCAACACCCAAGCTTCCGTACATGAACTCCCACCACTCCGCCCATTTGTTTGCAAGCTCAGTGGTCGGAGCGATTCGCGTGAATGTTGTTCCGCCGAGGCTGGGAGTCTCTGAGCAGGAGCTGGTTGTGGACATGACCAAGGTGCTTGTTCCCGCTGTGGTGCTGTCAGAGGTTGCGGCACCGCCTTCGGACTCGACTTCAGCTACATGGAAAAGGGCTTTGTCGGTGTTAGCTGGTACGGACCTCTGGGGGTTTGGGTCGGGCTTGACCCGCTTTGGGTCTCGACCTTTGCCAATGTCCGCCTGCTGCTCGCTGTCCGCCGACCTTCTCCTCTTCTCATGCTTCGCCAAGTCCGCCTTCTCGTCAGCGCTGCCGGTATTGTCCGTGGTGTCCTTGATGATGACACCCCAATCCTTCCACTTCTCTTCCACATCCGCCGAGTAGCCCAGACTGCTTGTGAACGCCCGACCTTCCAATACAGGTACCGAGTTGGCAGCTTGCACGATTTCGTCCAAGCTGGCTGCCCTGTGCATCGGAATGAACAACCTCAGGCGCTCCGCACGCGACAGCGAACGCATGCGGCTGATGCGCTTTTGCGCCTCGACGTCGGCAACACGCCAGACGTCTGGAGTTTGGACCTGGAAGAGCAGCACTTCTGGGGGGTGGTGTACCATGAAGACGAGCTCCTTAAAGCCATCGCTCCCAAAACTGTCCAGCTGACTGATGATGAATTCTGGCGTTTGGCTGAGTTTGGAAGGTTGCTGCTTGTAATTGATGGCGCGGTGATGGGAACGTGTGACGATGGGTCCGAGGTATTGCGCGCGGAAATTAGCCGTTATACCGAAGGACTGTTCTGCGTTGTCGAGAGGAACGTGGAGGTTGAGACAAATGTGGTGGACGGAGCCTTCGTCACGATCGCGGCTGAAGGATACAGAGAGGTAGCTGGGGCGCCCTTTGCGACAGTGTCCCAGATGTTGACTCAGGCCGGTGTCTGGGTCATTCCATAATGCTATGGTGGATATGGGCCCAGGCGAGATAACCATGTCCATGGTCGTTTGATGTCAAGCAGAGTCGCACGGCTGGAATGCCGCGTCTGGGCAAAGACGTGGTAGCTGAGGGGAAAAAGCGAGACTGTCTGTTCGAGAGCGTTGGCAAGCTCAGTGGCGGGGTTTGCAGAGGTTGGTGGTGCGGGAGATAGCGAAAGACAGAGAGGGCAAGAGCGAGGAAGGCACGTCCGTCCGACACCTGGAGAGCCCAAAATCCACTAACCAGATCTAGAAACACAAACGCACTCAAACTCATCAAAATTCGAGAAACTGGGAAGGATTTCAATTCTAATGCAGGTGATGTAGACTCAAACAAGGCAAGCGGCTTGCTGCAGGCGGGTCAAACACGCGCCGTTGGAAGCAAACCCAGAAGACGACCCTACGAAATAACCCCGCAAAGCGCGGGAATCTATCGCCACAGCAAAGCAGAGTTGACACCAAAGTGATGAGAATATGAATGGAGGATGCTTCGCGCATTGATGGGGCGACGGAGCATCCAAAAGCCCTGCATGTTAGCCAGCGGTATGGATATGCCACCATACTGTTGATGAGCACTCCCTGACTACTGGTGCTCATCCGCATTTGCCAAGATTCTTAGTTTCGGTGTCCATAGTCATCTTCTGGTCCGTATAGCTATCCTCGACTTCCATCGTGTCGCAGAGATCATTCGAGAGCTCGGTAGGCGACTGCGACACTTCAGACTCGGATCCAGGCTGAAGTTCGGGCATGAGAGCGTCATGCATCTCAGTATCATCCGTGGACGTAGTTTCGTAGCCATCCGTGTGAGTAGCTGCACTAGCGGGCTGTGCCAACTGACGCAAGGTTTCCTCATAGCGTTGAGCGAGGGAGATCGAGGCGGGCCAATTTGGGTATGTCTTCTCATACAGGTCTAGGAAGTCGATGGCCTTCTTTCTGGTGCGCGGCCAAGGAAGCGTCGTGCTGTTCACCCTGTCCTTCGGCATCTTTTCCAGCAAACGCGCAATGAACAGCGACTGCGGGTCAGCTTGCTCCGGCCGACATTCTGTGAAGTGAGGCAGGAGCTTGTGGCGAGTAGTAGGCGGGCCCATGTCGGAGGGTGCCATGGTGGTTAGGGTTCCGAAATTTGGTGTGGAAGTGCGAAGGTGGCCGAGGCGAAAGCGACGCGAAGAAACAAGAAAGAGGTGCGCTCTTACCAGGTGGGCCAGCCGCACTCTTCCCGGTTAGGAAGTCATGAGTGATTGGGGAAGTTCCATCATTACACACGGTCTAGAACTTGACTTCTGAACAAAGGAGGATTTGAAACTCCCCGTTAAACATAGACAACGCACTTTTGTGAATCGAAAGTACATCCATCCATCCATAGGCAATAACACTTTTCTTTAGTTTAACGTGGTCGAATACTTGAACTTACGCTGCTCTCTCTTTTCACTAACATAAGGTCTTGCTCTTATCTCCTTACACTTTTCATATTAACTTACTTGACTTGACGCACTTCTAGAACCGTTACCGCGATGTCATCATTTGCCGATCTCTACCGAGGTATTGCTGTGGAGCCTGCTACAACATCTACTATACAAGCGCTCAAGGAGGAAGGAAAGCTCGACTGCCCGATTTGCCATCTCCCTTTTGTCGAGTTGCAGCAGTTCTTTCCAAAGCGTCCCATAAACACCGCCCACGTTGGCTTGATCGCTACAGGGCTCATCGTCCCCTTCATAGACCAACCCAAGGAGCCAACTCCTCAGGATCCCATCAACGTGCTAGCGGTCATGCACCGCTGCACCGCACGCACCAACCCGATCACCCTAAAGGCCTGCAACCATACCTTCTGCTCTTCCTGCCTAACCGACTGGCTCTACTTCAACTTGCTCGTTGGCCGAAACACCTGCCCGTGCTGCCACGCCTCCCTGACTATCCCGAAACCCGGAGGCATTCGGGAGCTTGCCAATTCCACCGGGCATGAACATGGCTCATTTACTGCAACTAGAGCCTCGGGCCCGTGCTCTCGTCGCAAGGGGACCTACCATCGACAGATCGCCACCCTCTGCTGCGCAGGAGACGCATCAGGAAGAAACCTCATCGCAAAGGGAACAGGCCAACTTCATGACCTCCACGCAGGGCGATTATTCTGACAGCATCCCGAACTATTACGTCACGGCAGTCGTCACACACTGGGTGAAAGCCAAGATGGACACCGAGTTTGTCTGCAACAAGCCGCCGCCGACGACACAGACCCTTACGTCCACTTCAACCTCTTGCTCCTCCAGTTGGCCTGTACGCACGCCGTGACGATCAGCGACACGATTCGTACCCCTGTCCCCAATCACCAAAGGAAACGCGCCCTGGCGGACTCCGACATGCATCTGGGTCAACATGAAGCACATATACTTCAAGCGAGCGACGGAGAACGTCAGCCTCCCGCTCCACCGCGACGAGCCGCTCCCCTACTCGCGCGAGGCCTGGCTGCCGTGCAACCGCACGCCCGGCTGCTACGGCACCGTCGCGCCGGCGGCGGAGCTGCGCCGCGCGCTGCTGCTGGAGCTGTACGAGCAGGAGCTGCTGCACTCGATGCGTTTGACACCGTCGAAGCACGTGGTTGCGGCAGAGGTTCTGAGAAGGGTGCAGCAGGTGCGCGGTGCTGATGGGTTCCGGTTGGTTGAAGAGGAGGTGCGGACGAATGCAGAGTGGGCGCGGGTGGAGCAGTGCGTGCGGATGATGATCGGGTGGCTTGTTCTACAGACTAGGAACGCAATGGCTTGATATGTTGCATCACTTCCGCTTTTGGCCCTACTTTTTGCATTGCTTCAGCTTTTGAACTTTCCTTTTCTTTGTCAATATGGCTACAATCCGGATTTGGATGAGGTCTGGGTTTGATTGCTTTATATAGGGGCAAATGTTGCTGTTGCGGGTAGCGTCTTTGTATCTCTCCGTGGAAAATTGAGTATCAGCATGTGGAAAGGTGTTGTAAAATGATATATTACCATCCAGACGATAGCTTCACGTACCCATGGATGTCGCTTCTTGTAAAAAAAAAATAATAAAAACAGCTGAGGTAGATTTACCCCTCGGCTGCAGTACCGCTCTGTACAACTATCAACAGTAAACAATGCGCTTTGTTAGCCAAAGTTTGTTTGCAAGTAGTAGGAAAAACAAACCATGATTGGACTGTCAATTGTGCCATCTTGTCTTTAGGCTGAGGTGGCGCCCTGTTGTATAACCCGTACACATGGGGTGGTGTTTCTGTTCAGCCTCTCGTCACACCAATTCCGCCCAAACGGCTTCCACATGGCTCTGGCTGAGACAACGGGTAATTGAGAAAGTCTGGAAGTTTTATTCTATACATATTGTGGGTATCTCAACGAAAATACGCACTCCTTAAGATGGCGCTGAAATGGCAACATCAAAAATCAAAAAAAGAAGAGACGCCGATAGCACCAACCAACCAGCCCAAAAAAGGAAAGGTAAATGGCCTCACGACCGCCACTCCCCTCTACCCAGCAACCTCTCCTCCTCTTCACCAACTTCAACAACATCTTCCTTCTCCTCGTCCAACAGCTTCTGATACGCGATCTTATCCAGTCGTGAACGCCAGGCCAAGACGATGGTGACACCCGACATCACGAGAGCTGCACAGACCATGAAGGCGAGGACAGTCGCGTCGCCATCCTTCAAGCGGTGGCCAAGAATAATGGTCTACAAGCGCAAAACGTCAGCACAAAGCCTCTCAAACCACAACCCCGGGGGGGGGGGGGGGGGGGGGGGGGGGAATGCCACTCACCGAGTTCCTGATCTCATCATCAATCGAGGTGCCACCAGGCTCACTCGCGCCGAGCACCCTGCCCTCCTTATCGAGCGCCAGCACGCGGACGTACCTCTTCGTGCTAACGCCGAAGCGCAACTCCGTCTCGAAGCCCGTCTTCTCGACCGTCTGCACGGGGTGCCACGACTCGCCGACCTCATCTTCAAACCCCTCCTCGCCGCTCTCGGCGCCGTCCATCTCGGCGTAGTCGGCGTCCTGCAGCACCCAGCGGTGCACCTCGGTCGCGCCGTTCCAGCTGACCCACACGCTGCTGCCCTCGACCTTAATGTCGGGCTTGGTTGCGGGCCGCCCCACCCACTTGGCCTTCTGCACGCGGTAAGTCTGCACGTCGCCGCTCTCGAAGCGCGCCGAGGGCTCGAGCCGCGTGTCGCACAGCACGCGGCCCTCGGCGTCGAATTCGGTGAAGACGCCGTTGTACCCGTAGCCGAGAAGCACGTTGCCGTTGTCCAGCACCTGCACCGATCCCTGCGACGACGAGATGATCTGCGTGTTCGGGTTCGTGTATTCGTGGGTCAGCGTCGCCGTCATGGCGATCTGGTCGACGGCAATGCGCATGCCGCGCGATTGTTCCGACGAATAGACGCCCGATTCGGCACCATTATCAAAGAGCGTGATGGCCGTGTTGTTGTCGTGCCAGCGCGCGTCGTGCTGCCACATGAAGTCGGTGGCGTGGCCGTCGGAGAGGTCGACGAAGTTGTTGCGCTTGCCACCGAGTTGCCAGATGACGTCGCCCGTCTGGCCATCAATATACGTAACGCTGTGCGTGTAGCGGGCAGAGATGAGGTAGTTGCCCTTCTCGTCCTTGTCGACGCTGTTGATGTGGAAGTAGTCGAACGGGCTCGACGCTGAGTCGCCGCCGCCTGAGTAGCGGTGGTACGTGTCATTGGCGATATAGTGGTCGCTCGACCGCCACGTAAAGAGCAAGTTGCCTGTCGCCAGGTCGATCTCCTGGAAAGCCCCGTCCCACACCCATCCGCTAGACGGGCCGCCGATCGAGCTCAGGTCCATTGGCGTGATTTCGTACACACTGAGCAGGGCTGTACCGTTGCGCGTGAAGCGGAACTCGTGTAGGTCGCCCTTAATGGGCCCGACGGCCGAGATTTGCCGCACTTGTGTGTAAGACGAGTCGAACTGATTGCAGCAAGGATGTCGGTCAGTATCGAAGTAACTCGAAAGAGTAATGCGGGGGTAGGAGTAGGCTGGAGACTGCCGATTTGGGTTGATGATGTGATTGTTAGGCACCGATGGCGTGCTCTCGGATCTGCAACACGGCGGGTAGACCCGTCGTAATGGCGCACAATGCCCATACCAACCCCGCATTAAAGAGCAACTCACCATGTAGTAGTAACCCTGGCCGTGTCCTCCTACTGTGTCATCTCCGCCCCAGAAGGTCAAATACTGCTCGCCATTCCATTCCTGGACGTTTAGGTTGTACGTCTCCCCGTACGGCCTCCCGTCCAAGGTCCAGACCAAATTCCCTGCCTGGTCCAGAATCATTGGATTGGGGCCCGGCACCACTTGCCTTCCACGCGGGTTGAGAAAGATAAGATCATCGTTGCTGGTGCAACTGTCATTGGTGGCGACAATATTGACGCGGGGTCCTTTCAGAGGCGACGTCTGATATACCTGGTAGGGGTATGGACCGAAATCGCCACGATCGTAGGCCTCGTCGGCGAGAAAAGGTATTAGGTCGGCATGGGAAGTTGCGGAGAGTAATAATAATGACGATAGCGTCCAGCGGACGGATTGTAGAAGAGACATTGGAAGAATATTTTGGAGGAAAAGGAAAGAAGCAGAAGAGAATCAAGAGTGTTGGAGATGTAAGGAATGCGAAAATTTGCTGAGCCTGTTGCTGATCATGTACTCGTCGGCTGTTGACGTGGGTTACGTGGACAGATGCGTGTGCAAAGCAGATTGTGGTGTGCGGGCACGCTTTCGGCCTGCAACGTCGTCGAAGAAAAGGGGAGGAGAGAGAGGACGGAGATAGATTCCAAGAAGCTTGAGAGGAAAAGTATCATGGCCGTGCGAAGGAGGCGAGAAGGAGAAGAAAGTTATTAAGCAGCGCTCAGCAAACGCCAGCGCTCTCTCGAGGGTTGCGTCGGTTCTGGTTGATGTGCAGGCATGTGGAGGGGGGACGTCGGCGCACACGCATCGCGGAGGGGCGCCTATCGAAATAAGGCTACTGTCCGCCCGCGGCGTCGTCAGCCGCCTTAGCCCGCACCCCTGCCACCAACCCCAGGCTCTCCTCCAACTGCAGTGATACTTAGCATGGCTGAAGTAGACGCAGCTTCAAACGGCCTTGGCCAGGGTGCCGACTTCCGCTGACACCTGTCTTGGGCGCGCCAAGGTGCGGTTGCACAAGTCGATTCCCCGGCCTTAACTCCGCGCCATCCGCGTAACAGCGAGCGCATGAAGTCTGGAGTTTGAAAGGGCCCCGGCTCGGTCCCGTCGGCGGCAGCGTGCAGCCTCAGGGCTTACGCACGGCGCCACACGTTCTGCACCAGGTCGGGCGATGGGCGTCCAGTGCTACCGTCTGCGGCTCTAGAGAGGTGGAGCTTGCCGCGCGGACGCGACGAAACACAAGTCTTGGCGCGTCTTGCCAAGCTTCTCCTGGATGATGTGCCGCCCAATCGCGGGCTCCTCTCCGCGCGGGATTGGCTGGACGGCGCCGATGCGAATGACGAAGCTTTTCGAACTCGATCATCGACGCAGGCACTGCGGCCGCCTTCGTTCCTCCGGCCGCTATTTCCGTGCTCTTCTCGTCATCTTGAAGTCGCGTAGATGTTCGGTCTGCGGCAGCGGGGTAGAGTAGCGGCCAAGCGCAGGACGCCTGAGTCCAAGGTTAGCAGGTGGGTGGACTGCAGCTTTAAGGGATGGCCGGCGTGAGAATATTGCTTTGCAAGGGCATTCGTCGGTTGCTGAGGTGCACGGCGACTGATGATTGCGAGCAGCGTTTGAGATTTGTGGAAACAGGAGACGACGGCAGGCAAAGGGTCTTGGGCGGTCGCGCTTGCCAAAGCCCCAACCGACAACACAAACAATGCCCCGCGCCGACCCTCCGCTGCATTCTTGTTCGCTCGCCAATGACAGCGTCGCTGTTTGCTGCTTTTCCGCAAGGCCTGCCTCTGTCTCAGATCTAGCGGCCCGGTGACCTGGGTGAGCTTTCAGCAAAAACCCTGCTTTCCAGTTGTGCCATGCAGCGGCCCGTCCTGCTGGTGACGAGATACAACGTAGTACCCCACTATGCACCCCGAATCTCTCGATAGGCTCGGTCAAATAACTGACAACCGGGAATTCGGTCGGCTAAGGTATGTGGTGGACTGTCGCACCCCGGGGAGCGTGTGCAAATCACGTGCCGTCACACAACGTTCCGCCCTCGTCACTTCCACCACTGTCCGTCGTCTTTGACAGCTCAGATATCGCCATGCGCATCATACAACTGTAGCCAAGAAGGATTCAGCCTGCTTTCCTGCCACAGCGAGTGAAAGCAACGACGACCTGTCTGGTATACGCGTGCACTAGACATAACTGATTCGCTCTGGCCACGTCCCTCCTCCAGCTCACCTACTTGGCAATCTCTTCTCGCTCTTCCTTCGGATATTTGCGGTGTCGTTCTCGATGTAGGCATCAGCATTACCGCCAATCACGTGTGACCGAGGCATCCGTCATCTCCCGTCAGCTTTCGTCCGAATTGAAAGTCGATGACGGTAGATCTAGCCAGTCATATCGTCTCCTTCGAGCTGATAGCTGAGCCAAAACCTCAACGAAAAGATATCTCTCCAGTCATCTATCAGATTGGACGAGACCTCATGGACATCGTCTGCTTTTGTCTGCTATGTTTCAAGGATCAGGCCATTCCAGGCTATCTGGCCGGAAAGTGTCAAGTTTCTGCGCTCGCAAAGCTCGAGAATGACGGCGCTTTCTGCATCGAAACGCGTTGGTGATGATTTTTGGCTGCTTTATCGCTAGCGTCCAAGCGTTGCGAAAGGTTCAGAGTGGCGTCCTTATGGTGTGACCCCGCAAAAGTCGTTGGGGTCAAGTGGCCTGACCGCGCACCTGCCAGCCCCAATGTTTGCCAGCTTCCACCAGTCTGACTCCACAGGATTCTCCAACACGTCAAGCCGGCCGCCATCCGTCAACGACTTTTGTTGGGCGAATCGCGAGACAATCGTTCGTGATGTCGCTTTCAGGCAACATCAATTGCGAAAGAAAGACGGCCAAAGGGCGATGCGAGATTATATCTTTAAAGGCCCTGGCGGCCCACCGCGTCGGCTTGGGAATGCTGTGAAGAAGAGGCCTGCCCTGACGCAACCTTCCTTTTTGGCCGCTCTTCCCATTTTCCGTCTTTCCCTTTTCTCTCTGGTGCGAAAGATTACTCATCCGTCGCGTCCATTCTCTTACCCTCTCGGGTAAAGAAATAACCTCACCAACGATGGCTGCACACCCGCACGTCACCGAGACGCGCATGACAGCGTGGAACTGGCCGTTGCACGTCAACTGGCTTAATGTCTTCTTGACTGTACTCATCCCGCTGTCTGGTTGCGTCGCGGCTTTCTACGTCCCCTTGAAATTGACGACAGGCGTATTCGCTTTCGTATACTGTACGTCCTTCTCAATATTTCTCCCTCGCCGTGACTTTACCCTGTTACAAATGTTCTCGATGATCAGTATTACCTGACTAAGTTATACACGCGCAGACTTTTTTACCGGTCTCTGTAAGTTCTTATTCACTTCCACAACAAGCGAACGCGCACGGAATCATACGAAGGATCGGTCCAAAGCGGCTCCGCTACCGCATCTTCAAACGCCGCAAACACACTTCCTGCGGTACCGCAGGCTCCGCATGGCTTTTTACCCATCATGCGGGGAAAGATAGCATCCGCACGGCAGCGGCTCCGCTTCTTCGATCAGCATTTCCCAAACGAGAACTCCCCGCATTTTGATATCCGCACCGAATGACGCCATGGCCCCTGGCCTTGCCCATACCCACGTGTGCAAATGCTAACGACGATGTTTCCTCACAATAGCCATCACCGCCGGCTACCACCGCTTATGGTCGCACACGTCGTACTCGGCGACGCTGCCGCTCCGCGTCTTCCTGGCCGCTTTCGGCGCGGGCGCCATCGAGGGCTCCATCCGCTGGTGGAGCCGCGACCACCGAGCCCACCACCGGTACACGGACACGGAAAGGGATCCTTACTCGGTGCGGAAGGGCCTGTGGTATAGCCACGTAAGTTCTGTCGGATTCTCCATTCCGCACTTGTTATTTTCCCTTTCAGGGGTTGATGTATTCGGGGCATTCTGCACCGAGGGGAATGAGTGGGACTTGTCTGGCTGTGCTTTTCCGCCTCGTAACCGCTAGGTCCGACCGAGCAAAGCTTAATCCGGGTCGCGGGAGGCATCCCCTGGAGTCTAGATGGATGAGCGGTGTTCGGGCGAGTCGAATGAAGAACAAACATCAAGACAACTACACCAATTACGATGGAACCAGCACTAACGCTGAAGCTAGATGGGATGGATTCTGATGAAGCAGAACCCGCGCCGGATCGGACGCACCGACATCTCGGACCTGAACGAGGACCCGATCGTCATCTTCCAGCACCGGCACTACGTCAAGTGCGCTCTGTTCATGGGCGTCATCTTCCCCGGTTTGGCAGCGTGGCTGCTGTGGGATGATCTTGTTGGCGGCATCGTTTACGCGGGCATCCTGCGCGTCTTCTTCGTCCAGCAGGCGACCTTCTGCATCAACAGCATCGCGCACTGGCTCGGCGAGCAGCCCTTCGACGACAGGAACAGCCCCAGGGACCACTGGATCACGGCGTTGGTCACGCTCGGCGAGGGCTACCACAACTTCCACCACGAGTTCCCCAGCGACTACCGCAATGCGATTGGTGAGTGTCGGAGTCTATCGGGAAAGGCAGGAATGTAAGCTGACGAGGGGTAACCTGCAGAGTGGTGGCAGTACGACCCCACCAAGTGGTTCATCTGGCTATGGAAGCAAGTCGGCCTGGCCTACGACCTGAAGCAATTCAGTGAGTCTCTCTCCCCCATTTCTCCCCACCCCGCCCCGCCACGACTCGAAATCCCCGCTAACCACACCCGCGAAACTCCAGGGGCCAACGAAATCGAAAAGGGCCGCCTCCAAATGGACCAGAAGAAGCTGGACCGCAAGCGCTCGCAGCTCGACTGGGGCGTGCCGCTGGACAAGCTGCCCGTCATCTCGTGGGACGACTACGTGGCGCAGGCCAAAGAGGGCGGCCGCGCCTGGATCGCCGTCGCCGGCGTCATCCACGACGTCTCCGACTTCATCTCCGAGCATCCCGGTGGCCGCGCCCTCATCCGCGGCGCCATCGGCAAGGACGCTACCGCCATGTTCAACGGCGGCGTGTACGACCACAGCAATGCTGCGCATAACTTGCTGAGCACGATGCGTGTGGGTGTTATTAGGGGAGGTATGTTTGGACTCCTTTTTTGCTGTTGCTGTTGGAGTGGTGTGGTGCTGACTTTTGCCCCCTGCAGGTATGGAGGTCGAGCTGTGGAAGCGCCAGCACAAGGACGTCGGCGCCGAGTATGTCAAGGATACCTACGGAAATCGCGTCGTGCGTGCCGACGACCAGGTTACCAGGGTGCGGGCGCCGCAGGTGGTTGCCGCTGCGTAGTGGTGGATGAGAGAGAGAGAAACTGAAATTGTACTTGATTGTGTATTCTGTGACATATAAAATTGAAAACACTCTCTTTGACATGAGTTCTCAATGCCGGTGATGATGTGCACGAAAACGGTCTGGTTTCGCCGCCTTTGGGTCACAGTACCAGGGCTATATGATGTCGTTCTGTCAAATCGCGACGATGCCGGTCGAGATGGCAGGGACATCTTCTGTCATCCGAATGCAAATGTTTAGTGTCAGGTGTCAGGCGAAAGCGCGACGCGAGACTAGACAGGGGTGTTTGCGGGGTTCCCGAGGCTGAGTCCAACCTCACTCGTTACTCCAACATGACAAAATTGTCAACAACGACATTACCAAGGACCGTTCTGCCTTAAATTTGCCTTGTATCACTTCCGTGTCACGTCGCAATTCTCTATTTGAAGTTTTCTTGCTCGCTTGATGATGGCGGCGCCCCTCCGGTGGCTTTCACGGTATTTGAGAGCCTCAAGAATCGGTGACTAAGCGGTGAGAAGCGCTACAGCATAGTGGAACTCCTGGACAATGATCTCTAGAGCCTCAATACAGCATATTCACAGCCCGGTGGCACGGGTGGTGGCGAAATGGGCGCCCGCTTCCTTCCGTCGAAGCTCCTCAGACTGATCTTGCTACTGCAACTCCATGCGATCGCCGCTAAAGCGTGCGGGCGCCCGCCGCCGCGCGATATAACTGCCTTTTGTGCTGGATTCTCTGGTTGGCAAATCAGATGTGAGTTGGCGGTCATTCGCTACCCTGCCTTCCTCTCCAAAATATATGCGGCCAGATGCGCGGCAGTTGCTGTTTGTACGCAGTTTCTCTCATTTTGTCTTGGCTCCGACAGGTTCGATGCGTGCGCGCGAGCGTGGCTATAACGAGGTCGAGGTCGAATGACATCAAGGTGTGCACGACGCGGAGCGGAGTTTTGTGGGAGGGGAGAAAGGGGTCGTGGCGTGGTGCGGCTGTTGACGAGCGTGGGGCGCTGTCGGCGGCATTGGACGAGATGGATGTGAGGTGGTGGGCACGGCGAGGAAGACGAATGGTGTGCGGAGTTGCTGGAACGTCGGAAGTGGTGGCGGGCGCAAAGTGACGATGCGAGCAGGCGACGGCAGTGCGGGCGGGTGGGCGAACAACAAGAAAGAGCAAGGACGATAGGTGTGGGATCGTGGATTCAGCGGACGGGGGATCGGATGCGCGGAACGGCGGTGCGGACGATGGTGCGAAGAAACAACAAGAGCAAGGGCGGTGATAATCAGGTAAAGGGTGCGGGCGGGGGATGGGCGCGGGTGCGCAAGCCCGCGGGGCTGCGTGGAGCCCAACCACCAAGCCTGGGATAACGAGAGCAACAATATGAGCGGCGAGCACAGCTTGTCGCCGAGCAGGTGCGGATCGATATGCTGCGCTGCCCGGATCTCTGCCAGATGCGCGAAGCCATATGTTTACTATATATATTAAGGACTCCGTCCTCCCTTCATCGCGCCACATCACCGGGCATCGTGGGGACGGACCCGTGCCCCGAAGGACTGTTCGAGTCAGTTGGTGTAGTGGTATAGGCTGGTAGCAAAAATCCACTACGTGGTGGGTTTTTCTCGATTCCACCAATCGAGCGGCGAGAGCCTACGGGTTCAAGCCTGCCGGGGTGCGAGGAGAGTTTTTGCTCCCTTGAATTTCATTTTTTTGCCATTGTAATGTGCAGGTATGAGTCTCAGGTACCGAGTCGACTGCTTGTTCTACTCTGTGGTGGCTTGTTGGTTGCGTCTCTATACTTAGTCCGTGGTGAACATTGCACGGACATTGCTCACCACCGTCACCCACCCGCACCGCGCTTTAGCGTACGCTCGCCTGCCATTGATTGCAGCACCGGGCACTTTTCGGTATGGCTGAGACAAGTCACCTCGCTCTCAAGATGACGGAAGAGGCAATCTGCGAAGCACTTATCGCCTACCGTCCAAGCGGACGTTCACGACTACAGCCGTTGTCTATGAAGGATTCTCATTTCTTGTGACTGCAATTCTCTCAATTTCATTCCCAGGGTTTGGGCCTAAGCAAAGGGATGCTTTTGTCAGACCGGTCGTGGTTCGGACGCCCGTGCGCCTTGACTCAATGCACCACTCGAGGAAAGACTTCTGCAGAGCTCCACCACCCCGTCCCTTGAGAACCACAGCTTACTCGCCAATCGCATAGAATCAAATTCTGAAGCGAAAAAATTGCGTTCCAATGATTCCATCTACCGAGAAGTCTGCGAGGTGTGAAGTTTTTAGTATGGGTTCGCCCATCATTTGCAACGGCTGTGAATCGGAGGAATCGCAAGCGCTTCTTCGATCCTTAAGGACATGATTTCCGGTAAAGATATGTCTCTTAAGACTGTGTTTTAATTTGGAAATTATCGGAATAGATGGGATTGGTCATTGCACACCCGAATCCGCCTCTCGACGGTGATCGTCTGATGGTCACCTCCCCCCTCTACAGCACAGTTATGATATTGCGGAGATCCATTGAGGATATGTTCCTCAAATACAATCTTCTGAGTCCATTGCTAGGCTTTATTGCAAACAATTGGGTCGGACCGAGCTTCACTTCCGTGTTCCGTGAGAGTCCTTTGGAAGCCGGTTAGCGGCTACTATAGATACCGTCGTTTGCAGAGTCTTCCTCATTGACCTCAGATTCACGGTAGTACACATAATAGTGATAAATTTTCGATAACAAGGCTATATGATGCGGGTGGGGCAGCTCTGTTAAACGCAATGCGGAGAAACCATGCCCATCGGCGATCGATGATTGACTACCAGATGACAATGCATACGTTACTTACAATTTCCTTCCCACGGAACGCTCTAAACTTACCTGGTTTGGCTGGGCTTCCACTAACTTGGAGATGTGAGTGCGATCACATGAGCTGGCCCACATGACGTCCGCCTCCTAATTCCAGGTTGTGCTAAGCCCAGGGTCTCCTGCAGCTGCGCCGGCAGGGCAGCCTGCCTTCCTGGTCCGGGACGGAAAAACCACTCTCGCTTACCTGTTACTTAAGCCCGCCGTCTCCGCCTCCAGATCCTCTTCCTTTCTCTCTTAACTTGCCATATGCTATTTGGACATATATCCGCCATATGTTATTTGACCATTTATCTGCCATATGTTATTTGACCATATTCTGCCACATACATGATGTTCATGGTATTCCATCCTGCTTTCCTTTCCTTTTGTGTTCCCTCACATCCTCAGTCTTCTTCTTTTCGTTTTCTCCTTCTCTTGCTGTCTCATTTCGTTTCCCTCACGGCATTCTCTTCTTTTCGCTTGTTGGTCTTGTCTTTCCCGTGTCTCCTTCCTAATTTTCTCTATGTTTCTCTTATTTCCTTTGTTTTTCTTTTCGTTGCACGCTTCGCCTTGCGCGGACATGCGAGGAAGAGAATCTGCAACAGTGAAAGCTCAGCTGAATGGCCACGCTCGTTAAAGCATATGTGGCCATGGCGCCCTCCGTTATCGTTACTTGTAAAGGCTCCCCGTTTGCTCATGTTATTCTCCAGAAAGACAATGGAATCCTCTCCAGCACGCCTTCAGGCTTGAACGCATCCCCGTCGCGAAATGCCATTTTCCTCATCGTCCCCATGAAAAACTGTTCCCAAACCTCAATTAGAGCAGTTTTTGCGGTGGTAAAACAGATCGGTTTGGTCTCTGTGTGGACAATACGGCAGGAAGGCGAACTGCTTGATGTAAGAGAGGCGGGAGGTATTGTTGGTGTAGTCGTTCCCATCTCGATGGTGGCCTAGCAGATTCAGATGTACTCACCGTTCACAAACTTCGCGCGTTGTACCCAGAAGTCCCGACACCAGACATTTGATAGCCGCACCCTATGCCAACGATGTTAATGGTGCGTCGCAGCCCATCACATTTCCTGCCTAACCGCTCATACTTCATGTTCCTGTCCATGATGTTTGCTTCTCCTATTTGCTGTTTGCTAGTAGTTACTCACCTAGCAGCGTTTCTACGCTGCCATAATATCGTTTCCATCATCTTCACTGACAATTGTTCTGAAACAAACATAGGTTGAATATAGGAATAATTCCTCTTCTATCAATTGGAAGCATGTGTGTTTTGTGGGAGCAGAAAATGACGAGTATCTCAATCATCTCAGCTGCTCTGTTATTATGCCGGTGATTAGCGGCATATTGGTGCCCTACCGCTACAACAAGCGCCAAGATTTGAGAATAGCTGTCCGAGAAAGTTGATCAAGAGGATTCTACGCCTAGCGCTCGTGAATGTAAGGTGGTGGTTTCATGGCCAGGTGTCGAGCTCAGTTACAGCACGTTGGCCACTCGTTAACACAAAATTTTCTCTTCCACCTTAACACCTTTACATTCACCTTCGCTCAGCGCCCTCAAATATCTCTGCAATTTTCATCTCCAAAAACAAGCACCAACTCGAATCCTCGCCGCTTCCCTCACAAGGTCCTGCAAACGCCGTCCACGGTCATTTTATTTTGCGATACTCAGCATCGCACTCAACAACCTTCAAACTTATCGGGCCATCTACAGAGCGCAACTTGTTATGGCAGTTCACGGCTTCCCCATCAATCTACCCGCAATGGCGCAGTGGCGCGACAACGACCATGGCAAGTCGTATACTCTGGGTACTTTGGGAGATGCCAACACTACATGCCCGTTGACGATTCAGCTCAATTTCATGACCGGCCACCGAGAAGGCCCGATCATGAAGTTGTCGTTTACTCCATTGACTGCCAATATCGATGGCTCTTTCACACGCGACGTCGGCACCACCATACCGCTTATCTATGGCACAGAACACGTTCTCAGGTGCTCCGACGTCATCCATCCGAGCCGACTTACGGACTTTCCATGGGAGATTCGGTCTGAAGTCCGTCGGATGAGGAACTCTGCCAAGGGCAGGGACTACAGTCTGATCTCCCTGGATATCAGCGTCAAGAAACAGCCAATCGTCCTCATGCCTCGAGCCCCGAAGCATCCTGTTGATGAGCACGAACTTAAGCAAGTTCTCCTTCTCAAGAACCTCTCACGTGCAAAGCGGTTCTCTCTCTTCATGTCCCTCAACGGCTCGGACGAGGAGATCTGCCATTTCAAAGATAGTCTCCAGTTCGGAAGTGGCGGTAATAGTGCCCTCATGTTCGATAGTGATAGTCACGCGACAGTGCAAAGCCCCAATGACGGAGACTGGAACTGCATCTACATTAAAGCAGCTGGAGGGAGCATTGTCACCTTGTCCGACTTGGAGCGCCTCCAGATCAAGCTTCCGGGTGCGAGCACATTCCGCCTTCGTGGCGAGGGTCAACTGAGGATTGAGAATCAGAATTTTGCCCTTGACTACGATGATCCAATCGAGCAGAAGAGAAGCGAGAGTCCGCCCGAAAGAGAAAAGACGTCAGAGCAGCGGACGGCCTCTCTTCGAAAGAAGGTTCAGGAGCAAACTGGTGCATTGAAGCAGGACAAGGACAAAGTTTCCGTGAAGAACGACCAGGAGTACATGCCTCAGCCTAAGGAAGAGACGGAAGCCATGCAGCAGGAGGTGATCGAACGCCCCAAGAAGCGCGTCAGGTTTGCCGATGAATTCGATAATTCCAGGACGCTGGCGGATGACTTCTTGAACCAACTCGGACAGGAGATGTCCATGTCCGCGAGTCCCTCACAAGGTATGATCCAGCGCGACATGACCGACAACGTCATGGAGCAACAGTCTGAGAGCGGAGCCGAGGTCAAAGACAATACGGCTCCTCAGACCACCGTTCACGGTACTACTGTCACCGCTATCCTGAATGTTCCTGTGCCCGAGCTGGCTCAAACTCCCACATCGGATAGCAGTCTTGGACTCCGAGCCCGCTGGCGACGCTGGGCTGGCTGGGTCATCATGCAACCACAAACAGAGCCGGCGGTCATCGGATCCTTGCTGCGGGAGGCATATCAAGCTGCGACAGGCGATGATGCGGAGGGTTTTGTAGGAAAGATTTTGAACATTCTGGAGAGTTTGGGAAACAACGGTGGAGGCGGCGATGGTCCTGTCTAGGCGCCGCGCTTAGCAGTGGAGGAATGGTATATGAAGGGGGCTGATGTCGGATGGAGAGGGCGAAACGGAACGAAGTGGTATTCTGGTTTTGCGTTGAGCAATCTGCGCTCGTGCATGCGTCTATTGTCGGACGAGGTATTGAATTCGAGATATTGTGGAGACTTTGATGAAGGGAAGGGTGACCATAGCGAGGTAGTGTAGAATATTCAGGTAAAACAAAGCCCATTGGCACTGAGAGTTTAAAACGCACGCTAGCCCAAAGTCCGAAGACAGGATGACGTAAGGTGCTCAGTTGTAAAGAGCGGAGAATCTTCTACAATCACTTTCTGGCCTGCCTGGATTAGCTGTTTCTCCGCCTGCCGTGCGCGTGCTTTGGGGCGCGACACAAAACTGCGACTGCCTTCACCGACCCACCGTTCCATTGCAACTCCTTCCACCGCACTGCTTCTCTGACACTGTGCCACCATGGCGTCCAGCACGACCATGCCTTACACGTGCTTGACGATCGCCGAGTGGCGTCCCGATGGCTGGAGCGGCCCCACGCCCTTCCTTGGTAGGTTCGTAGAGAAACCTGTCTGCGATCACCTTTCAGCAAAGTTCAAATTCGAAAACCATTCCACGGGCCCATATGCGGCCATCCATTTGGAAGTGGTTCCAAACACCGTCTCGGATAAGTACGACCGCGTTTCCCCCGACCAGACTATCAGTGTCGTCATCACTGCCGATAATATCAACTCGATCTCTCAGGATGATCCGGGCGTGGAGTATTTGTCGCCCTGGGTCACGTCGCAGTACAGCAAGTACGAGGCGCGCATGAACAAGCAGGGAATCTCCAGCACCCACTTGAAGCAGGCGATCCGCCTGCGCCTCACTCTGAAGAGAGCGCCCATTGTTCTCATGCCTCTGCATGTGCGCTCCCTTACTTGTTCCAAGGATATGAGACGTCTACAGATACTGAAGTCGTTCTCCACAATGACCTCATTCGTACTTTTCTTCGTCAGGTCAGACCGAATGATCAACAATCTGCGCCAATTTCGCACTGGAAGCAAGGAAAACATCCTCCATGGTGGCCCTGCTGCTGTGTTCAACAACCGAACTCACTTCAGCTTCAGCGGACCTGATGAGGCTCATTGGAACCGGTACCGCGTCCGGCAAGATGCCATCGCGCCTTTAGGACAGAAAAGGTCACTTCAGGACAATCATGGCAACTCACCGACGAGTGAAGGTAGTCATGGCGTCAAGCGTACCAAGCATGATAGTACACCTGCATATGGTCCTGGCTTGCTCTGGACCCGCCAGTCTGAGCCGCCGATGCCAAATCCTCACTTTGGTCAGACTGTCCCTCAGTCTGTCTTCACCTCTGGTACAGCAACTCTGGAGAACACGCAAGCCAAAACTTCTGATGTGCCGAATACAGACTCAAATTCTGAGAGTGCACCCAACATCTTCAACCGCAACCAAGCTTCTTTTATGTCTTCCGGAGTTCTTCCTTTCCGTAGTCGAGCCTCGAGTGTCACGGATCACATTACTCGTAGAGACAAGCAAGTCTCCACTTCCGCCAGTATGGAGCCCTTCGAAACGCCGATCACGAAGCTACAGATCAAAGGTGATCCCGCAAGCTCCAGCGACAGCCCAAAGCCGCCTACGGCCGCAAACAACTATCCAGCATCATTGGTCCCTGGTAGCACCTCTAGTGGACTTGAGGATGATCGCTGGAAGCAGTATCAAGTTGAAACCAGCGGTATCACCGACTCGGAGCAAGCCCCGACAGTCTCAAAGAAGAAGAAGAAGAAGTCGCATCCGCCTCGAAGGAGATATCGGCCTGGACATGGCGAGGACGGAAATGACCCCAAGCGTACTGGAGAGGATGGCTTCGCTAACGGTAGTTCGACTGTGGTATCGCACGTTGAAGCTGGACACGTCCTCCCTAGCCACACCAGCTTTTGCCCAGTCCTCCACTCTAGCAGCGCTGCAAACAGCTCCTCAGTCATTGCCACTGGCACTCAAGCTCAGTCTACGCTTGCCTTAACCTATCCGCACATTGGTCCCGACGAGATGGTCAAGCGCTGGCGTGCATACCATGACTGGACTCTGCTCAGCTGTGCGAACTTCGGGCTTGACACTATGCTTGATATTCAAGGACTTCTCAGCAGCAGCCTGCGTGCGGCGAGGGCGGGAGATGTGACCACGTTCGCAGACAAGTTGGCGGACATCTTCATGCTAGTTGATGAAAACAAAGACGAACATCAGGGCTGACTGGTGTGTCGCGGCTTGATCTGAAAAAACTGGTCCAGTACGGATTCTGGTTTTAAGAGAAGTCACGGTCAGAGATTAGCTAAAGCCTGCTCCTCTGATGTAAACAAAAGATTTCACCTGAATTGGTAGTGCTTAGAAAAGAAAAACAAAAAAAAAATTGAAAACAGCCTCGATGACCATGTGTTGACAGAAATTAGGCTACATGAAGGTACATCTCAGTCGAAGACTAACATGGACCTGTTTGTTCGCTCACGATATGACCAGTGGAAGCTATCGTCCGGACTTGTACGCATAATTATTGTTACACTTACATCGGACGATAGCTTCAACTACCCAAATATGCTGTTTTTTGCGACGAATATGTGTTTGAAGGCCCCGCTATTCTTTGCGCTGACCTTTTGCTGCGGTGTCACACAGTCATACGTGTTGAGGTTTTCATTTGCGTGACGTTGGAAATTTCCCTTTTGGTGCAAGTTCAAGTTTCCCCGCTCGGTTAGTGCGACTCGTGCTCTCGACCCCCACGTTCTACCTATCCCTGCACTACCATTTCCCCCCATAGAACCTTACTTACAGAGGGGTGCTGCAGCCGATGGCTAGTGCGAAGAATAGCAGGATTCTAGAACATAGCGTAAATATGCCCCAGCTCTTCCTTAGAAAAAGAACATATGTGGGTAGATGAAGCTATCGTCCGGACGAGAATGTAGAATTTTTAACCCATGACATGAGCAAAGAACCAAATCCACGCTAGCTGTCGGCTGTGAGAGGGGACTGTACAGCCGTCTGTCCCGGTCATGGATCTGTAGATTACTGTACAATGTCGCTCGACTATGATCTTTCTGTTACGTCATCGCTCGCTCAGTTTTCAGGGAGCCGCGCTGCATCATCGCATGTCCGCGAAGTTTGGTCAATGAACACTACTCTTTTTTTTTTCAGGTGCAATGGTGCCATACTCGTGAAGGTTGACTGACTGCTCATGTTAGTATATACATGTGCAGAGACCGTGATGCTTGTCCGCCATCTATATACGCGAGGCGCATCTCCGCGGTCCTGATCATGGATTCACGAAATCGGCACAGGTCGCAATTGGTGAAGTAAATGAGAAACGAAGATCGGCGAGTTCAGGTGAAATTAAGTGTTGCAAGTTGGGCCATATTTGCGGAGTGGTCTGTCGTCCACGATGGAGGGTGACCTTCATACGTGGAAACACTGAGGAAAAAAGTGGCGCAACGAATGCGCTTCAATTCGCAGGTGAGAGCGGACGACCGATTGCGATGACCTAATTTACCTCCCCGCTCTCCACTCATCTGTGACTTCACTCGCGCGGAGCTCTTGCTCACTTCTGCCCTGGACGCCCGATCAGCGATAGGCAGGCGAAGTTGGTACTCGATGAGACAGTGAGGTTGCGGAGGTGACAGATGTCGGTTTTACTGTCGATCAGGGCGCGCGGTAGCAGTGAGGATGAGGGTGAGATGGAGCGTAATGGATTGGCATGCGGCTTCTCGTACGAACGGATTCCCCCTTCAAAGTGACGACAGACAACATAATCTGTTCAAGTATTTGAGAAAGAATCTTCCTCAGAATCCCGAACTTGGCGAGATTTCCAACGAAAAAAAAAATAGTTCAAAGAATCCGGAGCGGGTCATGAATGACCCACCAAACGCAAGAGCCCCCGTCGCCTGTTCCGAAACACCCTCTCCCGCTGATCCCAACGGCGACTGCTCGCGGGCGGACCCGGAAATTAGAAAGGTTGCAGCGTCGGGCACATTGGGAGAAGCTGAACCGGGGCTTTATGGGATGTTGGCTCGACAAAGAGCACCCGTCGCCTCTTCCAGTACAGGTTCTCCCTCTGATCCCAATGGCGACTGCTCACGGGCGGACCCGGAAATTAGACAGGTAGCAGCGTCGGGCACATTGGGAGAACCTGTGCCGGGGCCTTATGGGATGTTGTCAACTTGGCTCGAAGCGCAGGGCAGACTCCAGAATTCTTGACCAGGACGGCACAGGTCTTGTAGGTTTGGCAATGACAAGACCTGATCACGCTGGGTTATCGGTGGCCAGCCAAGCGTGGTACACACCCGTAGCCTGTTCTCGAGATCTCGGAAAACTTCCGACCTGCACCGGTGCAAATCGGACGACATCGTGATCAAGAGGGGCTTTGTGGGGTTCGCATCGCCTAAGGAGGGAAATTCGCCTCCAGCCTCCCATCCACCACTAACCAGTATATCATTGTGAAGAGAGTCGTTTCCGAAGGAGCGTCGGTCGTCGGAGGAGTGTTGTCGGAGGAGTGTTGTCGAAGGAGGGGTTTCGAAGATGCGGGTGAGGCGGGTTGCTAGGAAGTGACCGTTCAGCTGGTGTCTGGGAATGGATGGGTGGGTGGACGAGGGACAGGGATGAGGGACAGGGACGAGGGACAGGGACGAGGGACAGGGACGAGGGATAGGGACGAGGGAGAGGAGGGAGGAGGGTGAGGAAGAAGGAAGAGGAAGGAAACAGAGGGACGAGATTTTATAGACAGCAGCAGCAGGTGTGAGGTCCGTGCTCAGCGGCTGCGCGCCGCTTCGCGAAGTGCTGATGACATCATTGGTCTGGAGAGCGGACGGATTTCGCTACATCCGACCGCGTGGCACGACACACGGCCGATTCCAAGTCGGTTTAGCGCACACAGGTCCACGTTTATGCTATTTCCAACACCGTTCGGGGCCATTCTTAACTATTATTTCACTCATATTCAGATGCTCGCTGCGCATGGCTCATCCGCTCAAATTCCCACGAATACGACAGCTCTTTGGGCACGACATAGGAGGTATTGAATGGAGAATGACAACGATGTTGCAAGTATGTAAGATAGTGCGCTGTATCCAGCCATGAACATGTAGCTAAGAAGGAAGTCAATGATGGTGGTTGCCAAAGCGCCTGCATCATGCGACTGTGGTTGGGGCCGGAAGAGGCGCCTGCTCCGCCGAGACACAAGAGTGATTGTATCAAAACCACTTTGTCACAGATTATTCCTAGACATCCGTTTTGAGTTTGAAGCTGGCTGTTGCTCCGTAGATGACCTCGACTATGTGTTCAATCCCGGGCACATTCCCTCCGAAGCCAATTGCAATCCTGCTAAAACAGCCTGTAAATAACTGGCCGCTGTTACCATCACCATTGCAGTGTCGCTCATGCGCTCGACTCCCACGTATGAATGCTTACCAAGTTTTATATACACCTTCGTGCCGATACAAGTGGACTATTGAAGATCCCGCGGGCTACCTATTACGTATTCAAACACTTCAACATAAAACCTCGGTGCCTGCGATGACTTTGTCGAAACTGGGAATCTTTCATCTGGGGTGTCCCGCCGACCCTCTCTTATCATGTTTGTAAGCTAAATTTTCAAACCTGTGCCAGGGCTGCTGGTTGCTCAACACCAAGTCAGCATGCCATTGTTCATGTTTCTCGTTCTCAGCTATGTTCTACTTTGCCATTCATTGAAATTGTACACAATAAGTCTAGAAGAAGTTCATAAACAATGTAGTCATTTGGACAAAAGTGTTATCACATTGTACGCCTGGGTATGGCCGTAGAGCCTTCGCTGCCAAGACCCACATGGAACAAGTTGAATCTGTTTATAAAATTTGTCCCTCTCGGGTCCGACTTTCTCTCTTCTTCTTTCCTCAGCGCTGCGACCCTTCAAACCCAGCCGTTCGCTCAACCCGAGTCAAGGCTTGCCGCATCCTCCACCCATCTGGCTAACAGCTACCTCGACTCTTCCTCTGCAGCTTAGACCGACCATCCCTGCGCTCCATCGATAAGCTTACTGCTCATCAAGCCATCGGCTCGAGCTGCGCCGCCAACAACCCTCGAGATCTTCCACCCACAGATCTAGCGAAGCATCTCAACGACAGCACATTCTTACTACTTCTTCTTGAGTCGCCTCCAAATACTTAAGAAGCTTCCGCCTGTAACCATGAAAAGGCACGAACCCGCCACCCCGCACTCGCCGTGGCGCCCGCTCGCCTTGCAACAGATACACGCGCCCCCGCCGCCCTACTCTATGGAGCAGGCCATGCAGGCCGACGCCAGGATCAACAAGAAGGCCGCGCAGCGCGGCAGCGCTGACGCGGCGGCCGCGGCGGAGCACACGACGGCCTGCATCGTCGAGTTCTCTTCGTTGTCCGGCATCAAGCCGGGCGCTTCCTTCCTGGGATGGTTCCCTCCGGTCGACAAGCGCAACCGCATGGAAGAGGCGCCGTACGAATGCCTGCAGCTGCGCCTGGGCATGGACATGGACGTCAAGGCGGCTAGGAAGAAGGCCGACTCGTCGGACGATGAAGATGACGACGAGGACGACAATGACGAGAGCGGCATCTGGAACGACTGGTACGAGGACGAGGACGACAACCGCGTCGACCTGGACCACCCGAAGCGCCCGGCGCCGCTGCTCTGGCTGCGCTTCCCGCTGCACACCATCCCGCCAATGGGCATGCCGCACGACGTCGGCGACAACGAGCTGGTCCACCTGCTCATGCCCGCCTACGTCTTCCTGCCCGAGAAGAAGCCCGCCGACGACGACAACAACAAGTCCAACGCGGCCATTGCCGGCGCCGCTGCCACCAAGCCCGCCTCCCGCTCCAGCAGCTTCGCTTCTTCCAGCAGCAGCAACAACAGTGTCGGCTCCACCGCATCCAAGAACTTCTACCCCACCCCCACCAGTGCTCCCGACTCCGACTCCGCCGACGCCGACGCCGACGCCGACCACGGCATCGCCGCCGGCAGCGTCAAGCTGACCCGCTACACGACCGCCTACACCCGCACCGGCTGGCAGCCGCCCCTCTACATCCGCCAGGCCGCCGCCGAATCCGGCATCGACCCGCACGCGCTGTGCTACATCGACATCGCCCTGGGCTCGACGCGCCCCGGCGCCGTCGCCGTCGTGCCCGCGCGCAACATGCATCTGCGCTCGGCCGTCGAGAACGTGCTCACGAACGACCTGTACGACATCGGCGAGTGCCTCCACCTGCGCGTGCACGCCGTGTGGAGCAGGAAGCTGGCGGACGCGGTCGAGCAGTTCGGACGCAGGGTCGAGAGCAGGGCGGAGAAGGCGGTTCGCGAGGGCGGCGTTGGTGGTGGCAAGATGCAGGAGAAGAGGGAGACGGATAGGTTGAGGAGGGCCTGTATGCTGGCCTTGCCTGGCGAGGAGCGCTTCGGGATCGAGGGATGGGACAACTTTATCAAGTGGAAGGCCCTTAAGAGAGGCATGAAGAGGATGAAGTGCGATCACAAGCTCAGCACGACCGTGGAGAAGATGGGACTGGTTGAGAAGAGCGGTTTGGAGAGCTCGGATGAGAGTGAGGTTGATGAGATCGTGATGGAGAACAAGAAGAAGGCCAAGACGAAGAAGGCCGATGTGGGACCTGGAGCTAAGAAGCAGAAGGTCAGCCATGGCGATGGTGCCGATTCTGTGATCAAGTTCTCCGGCGGCAAGGCTCCATCTAAGGGCAAGGGCAACAAGGCCTAAATGCGGGCCATGGCAGCGATTTCTAAGCGGATGTTGAAGGATTCTAACGATGATGATGTTCATGGATCACGATAATGACGATATGGCGGAACCAGCAAGATCAATAATGGATACGATCTGCGGTAGGTTTCTCAAGGCTCTGGACTGGAGCTACAGTTTACCGGTTGGTTTATTGTAAGATAATTAGAAGAGCAATACAAGACTGGGTCGATACTCTTCTCAACATGAATGGAAAGTGATAAGCTGAAAGTGCCTCCTGTCCAACAAACCCGCCAGAGACTCCATGTCCATGTTCTCCGGTCTCAATGCCAGCGTTTCCGAGTCTCTTCTGAACAGCCGAATCACGCCTCCATTCAGCCCAAAGGGTTCACACCCCAGGCCGACCAGTTCTGCACCATCTCCAACACCTGCGCCACGACCAGGCAATCCACAATCATCTCCAAGCAAATCTCCACCTCGTCAAAGCACTTCTTCATGCTGTTGTGCGGCGACATCCGCATTCCCGCTTCCAGGCGCCGGCGGAACTCCTGGTAGCCCTCGCAGCTCGTGCTCGGGAAGAGGGCGCCGCTCTGCACGTAGTCGCGGCCGTAGCGGAGCGCTCTGATCAGCATGGCGGCTTCGCCCATCGAGCGGATGAACTGCTTCGTACGGGATTCGGTGCCGGCGAAAGGGTCGGCTAGGAAGTCGGGAGCGGGGATGGTGGGCTGGGCGGTGGGTTGGGAGGTTGGGGCAGCCTGCTCGTTGGACTGGGTGTCAGTTGGAGAGGGTTGAGGGTGGACCGGCTCCTCTTCCTGCTGCTCCTCGTTCTGTTGCTGGTGCTGCTCCTCAGGATTCTTGTTGGACTTAGCGGCAGTCGGAGAGTGTTGTGGGCGGGAGGGTTGCGGGCGGACGGGCTCTTCGTCCTGCTGCTCTTCCTGTTGTTGCTGGTGCTGCTCCTTAGCATGCTCGTTGGGCTGAGAGGCAGTCGGAGAGGGTTGCGGGTGGAAGGACTGCTGCTCATCCAGCTGCTCTTGCTGGTGCTGTTCCTCTTCGACGTGCTGCTGTTCCTCAGCATTCTGCTGCTCCTCGGCATGCTGCTGCTCTCCAGGGCGTTGCTGCTGATCTTCAGATTGCTGCTGCTGCTGCTCCTCGCCATCAATATCCATCTCGATTTCCATCAGCTCGTACTGCTCCTGCTCCTCCGTCTGATGAACGCTGCTTGCTTCAAGATTGGCATCTCCACTGCCTTCTCCGCTGCCATTATCACTGTGGCTGTTGCTGACGACATCCACATCCATGCGGTCATCATATTCCACTACAGTCTGCCATTGTTCTATTGTCCGTGTTATTATGTTCTTTACGCGCGGCCGATTCCGGGTTCCCAGCACTTACCGAAGCTGGGCATGGTGCCCGTCCAGTCGCAGTTGGTGTAGACAGGTCCTGGTACATAAGTGTTTGTGTAAGAGCCCAGGAAGACGCCAGGTACCAAGCGCGTTGCCCGTGGCAGTTCTTGCATGGGCGACCTCGGAGCAACCATTGTAACGCTGCTCCACTCGCTGCGGGGGGAGCTGCTGTTCGTGTCGGAAGCGGCTTCGCGGATCTCGGGCTCCACTGGGAGGCAAATTGGTCAGTTAATCTGGGTTGCGGAGCAGAGGGACAATAGAAGGGAAGGGCTTACTGCTGAGAAGAAGCTGGACGATGCTTTCGTATGTGCCGGGCGTGGCGCGAATAGTATCGCGGATGCAATTGATGAACTGGGCTGCGGGTTAGCGGCGAGGACGAAGTGGAGCACGGTGGAGCGTTGTCAGACTCACGGCGCTGTTCGGGCCCGTCAGCTTCCTCTGTTCTTCAGTGACGTCTGTCGGGGTCGCCTGGTGCCTCCGAAGGCGCGCGCGCTGGTGGGAGTCCATGGCGAAAAGGAATAGAATCTGTAGGTTGGCTCGGAGAGAGGCTGCGGCAGAAGGTGGCCGACGAGGGAAGTGGGAGGAGGGAGGGAAGGTGGATAAGTTTGCAGCGAAGACGCGCCACGGACACAGAAGTGCGCCGATGCTGCTGGAAGCCTACACCGCGCGCCCAAGCAAGAGACACACATCGACATCATATTCCAGGCATATCAATCAAGCCACCACATTTCATTTGTGCATGAAGCTATCGGGTCTGCAGTTCTGTATGCTTGCATTCTTCTCAAGTGTTCTGCAGATGCTACAGGTCTGTGGGAAAGCAAGAATAGAAAATGGGCCACCGTTTCTCATTTATCCCAAAAACACCTCCAAGTCCTCCGCAATTAAGACAGTTGAATCGTGAACAAGACCCGGCAAGCCAGAAGGAACCGAATCTAGATCTTCCCCGATCCTATCACTGCTGCATCTGAGACTTGACGATGCAGGGAACTTCGTCATCGTCATCCACAAAAGTCTAACCACTCATCAGTCAAGTAGCTCATTCGACTGAGTGGCCTAAGTAGTTACGTGAATGCGTCCCAAGACATTGAAGAGGGCTGTCCAAGGGCGTGCGCCGCATGACTGGCAGCCAACGGAGCTTTCGTAGAACCACTTTACGATGCTGGTGCATACAGGGCGGCTTTTAAGGGAACCTTTTCGTTAGTCAAGTAGACTTTCACTTGAAAGAAACCGGGTATGACTTGCCCTTGATCATCTTTGCAGCAACTTTGTTCGCTTCATTGACAGCCGTCATGTCGGGCAGGGAGCGACGTTGCTCCTTGTAGATGGTTGCGTCGATGAGGGGCGAAGAGTGATTCGTCTTGGGCTCCTCCCCGGCGTGCGGATCCACTACGTGTCGCGAAAGTCAGTAAGATGCAGTCCAGAAGACCCGTAGGAGCAATATATTACTGGTAGCAACAAGGATCTTGACTTTGTCGTAGAATCCGGGAAACTGGTCGCGAATTCCTTCAAGGTTCTTCTTGATCTGGAGGCGGGAATGAGTGGTCAGCAACGCGATCTCATATGATAAGGTAGGCACAACTTCCTGGGATGGTATGCTTACTTGGACGAAGAGAGCGTCAACGTCTTCATGCGTCTCCTGCAGGGGAGCGCCGGGCTTGGTGGCGTCCATGATGGTTTGGATTCGCAATGGAGCCAAAGGCGGGACGTGTTGTTGTGGGTTGGGACGCGGACGTGATGGGACGCGGCGTGGACACAGGCGTCGACGCGTCTGCTAAATATGGCAGGCACCTTAGGGCCCATCGCAAGAATACTCGGCGATTCAAAGCTCCGTCCCGCTGCTGATGCAGACGCCGGATTATATGTCAAGGTCTTTTCCAACCGGGCCGGCCCTGATTGCATTTAAGTAGTGCTCTCTTGGATATAGAATAGACAGGATAGACAGCCATCTTCCCTTACACATATTTATCACCATTAATGAGTTACTTTCTTCTCTCAACTTCCTCCGCCAACCTTCTTCCGAATCCGCTTCGAGAATGCGTATCGTGTGGCATCAGTGAGACAAAACCGGAGGCACAGTCATGCAAGATCATCAATCACATTTGTGCGACCCTGACTATGAAGCTGTCTAACCAATGCCACCTGTCACGCTACAGCGTCCGCCAGCGTCAATGGGGCGTGCAAACTCAGAAGTATTCACCTCCTTAGAACCCGACTGGGGGCCGAAGCACAAGTCTATGATGTCTTGCGCTGAACGGAAGCGTCTCTGCATCTGCAGTAGACTAATGAGGCTCGCACTTCTTCATGCACGGGATCTCCTCGTCGTCCTCGAAGTCGGTATCCCTACCATCATTGGCAGGCTCCTCGTAGTCGTCCTCGACATTGACTTGCTCCTGATGGTCATCCGCGTCGTCGACGTAATCGCCGTCCTGATCATCATCCTCATCCTCACTATCCTCCACATCTACATCGCTTTCCTCGATCTTCGTGTCATCTTCTTCGAAACTCCAGTCCTTGGAATCCTCCTTGCCATCTTGAGCATAGTCGATGTTGCTTGCAGCAGCACGCTTCTCACGCACGTTCTGCCTCTTCAACCACTCGTCGCCTTCTTGGCTGACCATAGCAGCGTCGATCTTCAACTCTTCGATTTCGTTGGATTTGTTTTTGGCCTGGTTCGCCCGGACTCGCTGCATGGCCTGCTTGGCTGGAGCAAGGCGCTCGTACTTCTCTCGCGCTCTAGGGTTGCTAACGTGCGGCTCGTGGATTTGGTGCCAACAAATAGCACCGGGCTTCAAGTGGCACTTGCAGATAGTACCAGTGGGTGAGACTTAAGTATCAAGATACATTAGTGACATGATTTAAGTGCAGAGAGAGTTGCTGGTAAATACTTACTAACGACCTTTCCAGGAGTGACATCATGGGACTCCGTAACGAGAGAGCGCTCAGAGGCATTGTCGACTTTGCCCAGGTGTCAGCTCTTATGATCGCTTTATCCAAACGCTAGTGAGAGCAACTTACTAGCAGTCTTCTTCCGCAGAGGCTGAGGGGTTGTCAAGTCCTCATGGTTCTGCGCACGCCTCTTCCTGGGCGCAGTAGGTTCCGCCGCCACCAGCTGCTAATGCGGAGGAGTCTTGGGCCTCTCATTTTTCTTGTGTTTGGCGCTCTGTGACAATTTTGGTTAGCAGCTGCGGCTGCTATAGGGTGAAGCGTAAAGCAGAAGAATCCTACGCATGGAGCCATGATGTGCTTGTCCGGCGCCTTGGAAGCAGGCTTGCGGCGCGGCATCTTGACAGCGTCGGGTAGGAGTAGTGGCGAGAGTGCGAGATGAAACGTGGAACAGCGAAAGCCTGGTGTTGAGCAGGAACACGTCTAATATAAAGAGCGTGGGCACGTGAAAGATCTGATCCAGCACATGGTTCCTTTGGCTAATTCCTAAAGCGTTAGCATGGCTCAATATGAATGCTGCCACCTCACTTCAATGTTCCAAGGCTCCCCATATCTCAATTGGAAAGTGACATGAAAATTTGCTCCTTGACTTTCAGGCATGATCGACCATGTTCCGCCTGTACCTTGATATCACGAAACATGGGAATTATCGACTGACTCCAGGCCTATTCTGAAGGAGAAACCAGTGTAATGAAGCTCAATTGGGTTTCATATCAAAGAGAAAGCTGGTCCGAGTTCTAATCGGAATGGGAAAGAAGAAAGAGCAAAGGCCAACAGAGCTGAGACAAGCGGTAAAATCATCCTCCAAAGTGAGCCGCCTGGGCTGCCCATTTCATTGAAGCACAGAAAATTTGTGCAGTCCAGCTGCAGGGTCCAGTGCACGTGCAAGCGTCAGCGGCGGGCGGGCGGGCAGTCTTGCCCGCTCATGTGCCTTCCCGTTTAAGCTACCTACCCAAGCAACACCTCATCCTCCATCCCCGATCCCCCGCATCCTCCACCCGCGCGCATCTTCCCACACGTCTACTTTTCTCCCATTCAAGCGAAGTACACCGTTCACAAGCAACTTGCCTTGCCTTAGCCATGGCCAAAAGCCTCCGCAAGATTAATCACCGACATCCTCTTGATGCACGTCAAAGCAGCCATCTGAAAATTGATGAATCATCATTTTGCCAAAAGCGATCAACTGAATTAATCGGGTATATCCGCACGCTGCACCATAATCTACTACTGCGCCAGGTCTCCAATCTACGCTGCCCTCCCGCTCAACCCCTCCACCACCCAATCCAGCCTCACGGCGCTGACGCCACGCGCATAACTTCTATTCGTGAAGACAAACTCGGAAAACACAATCGCCTCGACCTTCTTCCCGAACAGCACGCTGCTGGGATGAATCTGCACCGTCTGATTGCCGACCATCGTCCTATAGCTACCATCCGGCATCAACCTCGCCGTATTCGGCGCAAAGCCGCTCAACAGCGACAACAAGACATTATTCGCGACAGCCTCAGACACAGCCTCAGCCTCACCATGCTGGACAGCCGCGGCATCGAACAAACCGAGCTGAGCGCACAGGGCGCGCAGCTGCTTGCGGATGTCCATGACGTTCTGCATGGCGCGGTGCGAGACGAAGCGGCGCTCGCACCAGGCCTTGCGGTCGGCGTGCTCGGCGGCGTAGGCCTGCACCGTCGCCAGCAGCGTGAGGTGGTCGCCCTCGCGGCGGAAGAGCTCACGGCGCGCCAGCTCCGCCTCCTCGCGCTTCTCCTCGGTGATGACGTTGAGGAAGACGTTCTCGACGCTGAGCGCCGCCACGATGTCGATGACGTGCTCGACGCAGCGGCCGCGCTCTTCCGTCGCGGCTTCGACGATGCATCGGCCGAGAGTGGGAGTGAGGGGCAGCTTGGCGATTTGCAGGCCGACTTCGCTGATGTCGCCCGTGTCGGTCAGCGCGCCGAGCTGGAAGAGGAGGAGCAGGGCTTTCTCAAGGGCTTCGCGGGGCGGGGGGTCGAGGAATGGGAAGTTGAGGACGTTCTCGACGCCGCGTGCCTTCATGGTAAGCAATGCTGCACTCAGATCGCAGCGTAGGATTTCAGGCGTGGTATCCTTTTGCAGGCTGAGGTAGTCCTTCTCCGTATAGAGGCGGAAGCAGTTACCAGCGGCTTCACGGCCGGCACGACCCTTTCGCTGGATAGATGCAGACTGTGAAATCGGCTTGACCAGGAGAGAGTCGAGGTTCAACTGTGGTCTGAATTGTTTGATCTTCGATTTGCCACAATCGATGACATGACGTACACCAGGAACAGTGACCGAAGTCTCAGCAATGTTGGTACTGAGAATGACTTTCCGTGTTCTTGGCGGAGCCGGCTGGAAGACGCGTTGCTGAAGATTCTGAGGAAGCGCTGCGAAAAGAGGAAGGGTGAGGATTTTCGGGAGTTCAGGTCCCAACCCGGCTGCGTATTCGTTGACCAACTTCTCAAGCGCTTCAACGGTATCCTGGCCTGTCAAGAATACCAGAATATCTCCCGGAAGAGGCTCTTTATGGTGCACTTGGAAAATTGTCTTGAGCGCAGCCTCGACGAAATCCTGAGTAGGCTCCGGCAGGTAGTTGACCTTGACCGGGTACATGCGTCCTTCGATGTAGCAGGTCGTTATCGAGTCGTGGTATTTGATTATTTCTTCCGAGTCCTTGGTACCATTGGCAGTTGACTGAGTAGACTTTTGCGGCAGCGCATTCTTCTTGTCTTTCTTTTTCTCGTCTTTTGATGGATCGGGAGTCGGTTGGCTCGCCGAGGCGGTCTTTCCTTCTGCCTCATTGAATCCCTCATCAAAAAATTTGAGTAGCCTCTTGGTGTCAGCCGTGGCACTCATGACGACGATCTTCAGCCTCCTTCCATTCCTATGTTTTTTCCAGTCTCCGCAGACAATCCTTCTCAGGAAACCCAGCACAAGATCCACGTTCACACTCCGCTCGTGCACTTCATCCACAACGACAGACCCGTACGCCTTCAACCACGGATCCCGCAGCAGCTCCTGCAGCAGCATACCCTCGGTCAAGAACTTTATCCTCGTACTCGGCGACGTCGACACATCGAAACGCACGCTGTAGCCGACCTTACTCGCCGGCGATGACGCACCCAGCGGAGTCCCCATCTCCTCGGCGACACGGCGGGCCAGCGATATGGCGGCGACACGGCGGGGCTGGGTGATGGCGATCATGGACTTGTTGTCGGCGAGCCAGGACTCGCCGAGCAGGAACTGCGGGACCTGCGTCGACTTTCCGGAACCCGTCTCACCGACCAGTATCAGGACGTCCTTGTCGCCGCGCAGCGACGCCCGGATCTCGTCTTGGTGCGCCCAGATGGGGAGCGACTTGCGCACCGGCAGCAGCTGTTCGCGTTTCTTCGCCAGGGGCCCGAATGCTCGTTTTTCGCCGCCATCGTGCGCTGGCTTGCTGCTTCCATTGAAGCCCTCGCGATCGTGTTTCTTGTGGTGGTGAGGGCCGGGAGCGTTCGGGTGTTTGGAGGGCTTCTTCGAATCGTGGGAGGGTTTTAGGCCGTTGATGTGCGGTTTCTCGTCGCGGTCGCGCTTGCGCTTCTTGCCGGGGTTGAGGGATTCATTGCCGTGCTTGTTCGAATGTTTGGAGGCTTTGACGGCATTGCCGCCGTTGTCGAAGGTGGTGCGCACGCGTTCGGGCATTTTGTGTGGCAGAATCTGTCGGAGGAGAAGCTGCGGAGGTGAGGCTTGAAGGCCGCACCAGAAATTTTGACAGGGGTCATGATAAGATTAGATCGGACCATCTCCGCCCACTTCGAAAGCACCAGTTCAACTGCAGGCAGCAAGAAAGATGGTCATTCCATTACGTATCGATCTGTTGGAATGTTTGCTTATGGCAGCCATAACTCTTAGCACTTTCCCGATTCGTGATCTTCAATTCTGATGTGGCTTCAGGCGCTAATATTTGTGGGACTAACGTCGTACTGTGCGACACCACTTCCATCATCGATCCGCCGCCTAACAAGCACTTCCTCCGCTCGCAAATGCATTCAGATACTCGTTCCACAGCGTCGCATCAGGCCAGACCTGATAATCCGAGTCATTCGTGAACCACAGCGTGTTGACGCCGACATTGCCCTTGAAATCATCCACCAGCGCCGACAAATCCGCGCACGCGATCGTCGCCGGCACGTCGTGCAGCATCACCGCCAGCGAGCCGTTGTCCACATCCAGCCCCCAGATCAGATCCTTGACCGTGTCTTGGTCAGTCGTCCACGTGCTGTACGCCTCCTCGTACACGAGCGACAGGTCCGGCACGAGCGAGTCGTCGTTGGCGTTGTAGAGGTAGGCGCGCGCCGGGGGGTAGCCTGGGTTGGTGACGACGTAAGGGGAGGCGCTCAGGCCCGCATTGGCGAAGGAGCGTGTGTAGGTCGTGACGGATTGCATGAAGGTGATTTTGGCCGCGTCATTGTCGGTGGGGGCTTCATCGAAGAAGATGCCATCGACGGAGAGGGCGGCGTTGCCCGAGGCGGAAGGCCAGCTGCGCGAGGGTATTAGCTATCTATGTGGAATCTTGAGGTTGTCTTTGCATCTTTTCTCCCCAATCCCCTGTCCGTCTTCTTTCCTAAATGCACTCGCGGATTTTGACAGGCTCTAGGTGAGGAACGCCGTGAACTTACCCTGCGTATTTGGCGACCTCGGCCTCAACAGTGGACTGGGCCTTGTTCGTCCAGTTCACGGCAACATAACCGACAAGGCGAACGTTGTCGTAATCATGGAGCTTGAGAATCTCACGCTGGTAAGCGGCATCGGGCAGCGAGTTGGCACCGGGGCCACTGTCAGGATTGACGATGATGGTGAACTGAACACTGGGATGGCCTTCAATCCTGTAATGTCGTCAGTGTCACAATTCGACATCGGAAAAACAGTTTCATGAGACCCACTGGTCATAGAGAGGTTGCCATGTCGTCTCCGTCTCGGGCCAAATGTAGGCTGGCACGAGCGCTGCAGCAGCAACGTTCACTTGAGCCTGAACGAGCTGGGCGCCCAAAGCGAGCAGGCCGAATGCACGTTTAAACATGATTGTTGTGCTTGTAAGAGGCAAGTGAAATCAGTCAGGAGCTCCCACTCGTGTAGTGCGATGCTGAAGTCGAAATGCTCGGTGTGCTGACGGGCGTTTATATACCTTCCTGCTGCAGAAAGCCGAAACAACCGCTCCTTGTATACAGACATCTATTTCTGGTGCTCGAGACCGTGATGCGGGCCGTGCAATGCTAGACATACGAGCCATAAGTTCGCTTCATTAAGTGGAACTGGTTAGCACCGTTCCTTAGTGTGGGGGCTGAATTGATCCGCCTCGTGCCAGGGTCTTACCGAAAGCGACAATCAGGATTCGAATGCGGGGGGCTGCTTTTTCATTGTGGTCTGATCCAGTCCTTGATTTGTACGGTAGAAACAAATTCGCCATCTCGGCTAGAGCTTCATTCATGGCTGGCACACTTCTGACTGGTCTGCACCATCGCTACTACACCTGCATGCGATACCAACTTCAATGCTTTCAATCCTTCTGCCCACATTGTTTGATCCTTCATGACAGTGTAAAACATTCATTGTCATTAGTGAAGAAGAAAGCAACAAATGGCTTTTTCCAGTGGCTGATGACTACAGTGGCAAAGAGACAATGACGTAAAGATTATATTAAATCCAGCTCCCAGGCTGCGCCAATACCCAGGTCCATTAGGGTAACTCTTTGAGATTTAGGCCTCCGACGGTTCACACTTTCCCAATACGGAATCTCCAGTGGTGCCCAGTCTTTCAAACGCTGGGCAGTATTACCTTCACACCGCCATAGTTCAACCTTTAGCACAAGATCATAAAAGAACCTCGCAAAAGTAACATTGTCAGCAAACTCAGGTCCTGGGCCAAAAGATCTTGACCCAAATATCACTGCCCTCCATCTTTGTACGGCAGCAGTTTCACTTTGCTTTTTCATATTGATTGTTCTCGCAGAAAAATCCGAAGGGAAGCATCTTCTATCGTCATCAGCTCTCACAGCAGTTGTTCCTGAGCTTTGTCAAACTACACTTGGGAATACCCGTGTTGAGCGTGAGCCGATGAAGAATGTATATATCCTTAGTGAAAAGTGGAAAAGTGAATCTCTCAAATACCTCTATGATAGTTTAATTGCAATTGAAAGACTTTCGGTTTCATGCGTGGGGGTAAAGAGGAGGCTTATACGGCCGTTCTCTACTCCGCTGTTATCTCCGCGTTTAGAGGTGGCGAGATGACTGCCCACGTATGCGCTGCTAGCCCCGGCCTCGGAAAGACGACCCACTTCGCGTGATCATCGGTTCCTGACTGTGGAATAGTCAGCAGTACGCGAATCATTTAGCGACGCCACGCCGCTTAGCTTTTTCGTCTGATGAGTTGTCACAGCTGGGGCCGAGAATCCTGAAGCGGGAATATTCCTCTCGCTTCAAGATTCACGTTCCACATTATCCGCAGCGCCCTTGGTCCACCCCCTATTTCTTGCGAAGCTTGGCAATCATCTAAGGATCCAACGCTACCGTGTAAGCTTCTTAAGAAGTATTTCTTCCCGCCAATGTCTCTGGAAAAAGCCATCCTGCGTCCATATTCCTCTTCACCGCCCGACTGGCGGATCCAAAGTTTTTCCACTCTATATTCAGGGAACGAAACGGCCAGCGTATGCACCGAATGCCGCAATAAATTGATTAAGTTCATTCCACTTGACCAATGGACCTTTCCAGATGCACATCGCTCAGTAGATCATGTTTCCGATGCTGAGTCAAGCTGTGCCATCTGTTTTATGGTTCAACTAATCGATTATATGTGGCCCTACTGGGACCTCATAGATCTTCGGCCTCAATGTAACGCCAATTTGACAATATCAACGTTACGCTATTTTCCTGAAACAGGAGAGTTGAAAAACAACCGGACATATTCCATTGACCGGAGTGAAGTCTCATTGCACAGAGTCTGTGGATCCATCAACAATCAACTTCGAAAGTTTGAAGCAGAAGTTGCATCTTTGCCTGGACGACCACACTGAGTGTTGTGGGAACCAGGACGTAGAAGATGTTCCTGGACTACGAGTTATCGACTGCAATACCAGGAAAATTGACCCAGTCGTGCCTGGCACGAGATACGTAGCGCTCAGTTATGTATGGGGAAACTGTGGAACTTCTGCGGATGGTTCTGAGGCACCCCTGACAGAAATGCCAGGTACAATGGAGCGAACCATCGAAGATGCACTGGTGGTCGTCCTGAGCATGGGCTATCGTTACCTTTGGGTCGATAGGTACTGTATTGACCAGAACGACTCTGAAAGCAAGAAGCGTCAGATTCGGCACATGGACTCCATTTATAAGAATGCCGCCTTCACAATAATCGCTGCCGCGGGGGTCGATGCCAGCTATGGACTTCCTGGAGTTACATCCCGGCGTGGAACACGGCTCAGGGTTCCAAAAACATACTGCACGATCGGGGACTTTCTAATTCGCCGCAGTGAGGATTATCCTAGGGTCTTGGGAGGTCCTCAGAGCAAACTGCTCAGGAATTCGAAATGGAACACGCGGGGTTGGACGTACCAGGAAGGCCTGCTTTCGAGAAGATGTCTAGTATTCACAGACGAACAAGTTTCGTTTGCGTGTCGTGTTATATCCGTCGATGAAGGCTCCGAGTCGCGACCAACTACACATATGATCACGGACCATTACGACGGCGACTATAGCTTTACTCCTTGCCGCGGAGCTGGAAAGGATGCTGCTCATATCTGGCCACGGATTTCCGCGTACTCTGAACGGCGTTTGACAAATCCTGGAGATTCCCTAAACGCATTCTCTGGGATCCTACGAGCTTTCCGAAAACATGATCCCCCGGTCCACCACTTGTGGGGAGTTCCTGTATTTCCTTTCATTGGTATTGATAGGAACAGGTCGGAACTTGGTGATGAAGAATTCAACAAGATCTCATCTAATGGTTTCTCCCTGGGCCTATCGTGGACCATGAAAGGAGTAGTCGAACGTCGTCATGGATTCCCCAGTTGGTCTTGGACTGGTTGGACCGGCAAAGTATCGTTTAAGGGCACCATCAGTGATAATGCAGAGAACAGTTGGAGGATCATAGATGCTCTTTCAGACGATGAACCTTTGTTTCGGGTATATGTGGAATTGGAAAACCAGACCGAACTGTCACGATCCGACCTTAGATCCTCATCCAGCCCTGAGTCCTCATCCTCACCCGATTGCCGCTTTTACTGCGACCGTTCCGGAACTTTCTCCTCCATCTCTCCCCGATACCACCGTGATGACAGCAGCAGCGGCTGGTCATATCTTCGCTGGCTTGGCATGGCCTGGCAACGCCTTCGCCGCCGCCACGATCTTCACTCCTCCACTCCTTGTCCATTTCACCCGCCTGCAGCCCGTCTCGTGGAAAAACTCTCCTGGGTAGATCTCGAAGAGAAGGGCTACCTGACCTGGGTAGACCTTGAAGACAGGGGTTACCTGATCGGTGACCACAACAGCCTTTCCCGGTACCTATGGCTAGATACATGGGAACTGAAAGTTAAGGTGTAGTGGCGTCCTTCGGAACAACGCAGTCACGGAAACGAAACTGAACTGTTTGCCAGGCTGGAGGGTGATTACGGCGAAAATCAAAGCACACCATTGAATTGGAGCTGTCCCCAATTCGCAAACCATGTTATGAGAGCAGCACCGGCTGGTGTGATAGCCACGGTCATTTCATTAGGCACCATCAACACTTGGTATTCTACGGGCGCAATTATTGAATCTGTTGAAGATCAGGATCAAGGCAAAGGGTATCCACACTTCGAATGCCGAGCATCCCTTAGCTTTGACATGCTTTTTGATTTCAACGATTACACGGATTCCAATATTCTTAAACAATATATCTCCCGGCGTTTGGTCAGATTGGGCTAGCCAGAGGATCATGGTAGCGGTGGAAGGTTCAACAGGACACATGTGTACTATAAAGCTTCTCTACTCATATTCCCATCACTTGGGACTTTAATGCCAATTTCGTAATGTGCGTCGCTCTTTGCACAATCGCCGATTCATGCACTCTCGTTTCGTCTACTTCGACTGCAAGAGCTTCTTCAAAGCAGCTTTCGTAGCCGCACCATCCCTCAAGAACTGCCGCATCATATCTGTCATCTTGTCATGCGCTGCGTAATCATTAAAGAGATCTGTTCTGAAAGCAGCCTCGTCATTCACGTAGGACTTGACCTTAGCAGATCCATTCTGCTTAGAAACTGTAATCATGTCAGTACACAAGGATGGAAAAGCTGAGCAAAAATCACTTACCTTTCTCTGCAATCAACACCGGCTTGATATCGACATCTGCCTCCTTTAACTCCTGCAGCAACCCGACGTTTATCGTCATCAAGTCCAGGCCCGCCAGCTCCTTGCACTCGTCAATACTCCGCATACTCGCGCCCATGATCTCCGTCTTGATCCCATTCGCCTTGTAGTACTCCCAGATCTCCTTCGTCATGATCACGCCAGGATCCTTCTTCCCAGAGTAATCGACGGCGGGATGGTTCTTGTGCCACCAATCCAGCGTCCTGCCAACGAACGGGCTGATCAGCGTGGCGCCCACCTCCGCCGCGCGCACCGCCTGCGGCAGACAGAACAGCAAGGTCAGATTGCACTTAATGCCCTCCTTCTCGAGCACCTCGCATGCAGCGAAGCCCTCCCAGGTGCTCGCGATCTTGACGAGCACGCGCTCTCTGGGCACGCCGCGCGCAGCGTACAGGGCGATGATGCGGCGGGCGTAGGCGACGGTGGCGGCGGCGTCGAACGAGTGGACGGGGTCGACCTCGGTCGACACCCGGCCCGGCACGTGCTTGAGGATCTCGCAGCCGAACGAGACGAGCAGGTGCAGCAGCGCCTCGTCGACTTGGGCGTCCGGGTCGGATGATGCGGCGGCCGCCGCGCGCGCGTGGTCGGCGGCGGCGGTCAGGATCCAGGCGTATTCGGGCTTTTGGCTGGCGGTGAGGATGTGGGAGGGGTTGGTGGTGGCGTCTTGGGATTTGTAGAGGGAGAGGACGTTGAAGTCGCCTGTGTCGGCGACGATGGTCGTGTGTTGGCGGAGTTGCTCGAGGGATGAGGTCATGTTGGGTTATGCTTTTCTCTTTTTTTTCAGGGTATCTGCTGAAAAATTGGTTTTTGGAACTTTCCTGGATCTTTCAATAGACTATTAGGCACATCTCTTGAAGCCCGTCGCCAATATATATTGTTACTGGTGCATCCAATTGCGTGATCCTATCCGGCGCCGAAGCGGCCGGTGGAAGTCGTGGCCGCTCTTTTCCGGAGCCGGAAGCGCCGGAAGATGTCGTGCTGCACAGACCCTGAAGCTTAGCCATCTTTGGCTGCTGAAGGGTGAGGATGTGGACCCCGCCCTGACTCTCATCTTCTCTTGTGAGACTTTGCATCTCGCCCGCCGACTTTGTGCGACAGTTTTGCAATCACAACCGCCTCAGATGTTCAATCCTGCTGATGATAACGCCCCCCGCGTTTACAGTCCTGAGCCGGAAACTTCTCCGGCAAAGACTTTCAAAGCATGTCGACATTGCCGGCGATTGAAAATGCGTTGTGAGGGGAACGGCATTCCGCCCTGTCAGAGGTGCACAGCTTCTGGAGCCGAGTGCGTTTACGATGCCATCGAATCATCTAAAAAGCGGAAGCGTGCAGAAGAGGAAATTTTGCGTGAGGAGATTCGGACGTTGCAGCGTCACGTTGCTTCGCTGAATGAAGCACGCCTCAGACCCATTACCTCCTATCTCCAGACGGTGGTCGACACTTACACCGCCAATACTCCTGAACAATCCGGTAATGACCCGGATTCGAGGGCGGAGAGTGAGCTCTCTCCAGAACAACTCAGCGCTCCAGTCAGCACAGTCCACGATCTGGCTTCAACACCAAGAGCATCGTCAGGGAATCTTCATTATATCCACTCCGGCGACCACTCAACAGAACACCTCAGAAATACGCAGGAAGCAGAGCTGGCCCCATCCACAGATGTGGTGACTAAATTCTCGATTAAGGAAGATGAAGCTCGCCGGCTTTTCCACATGTTCGTACATCACTTCCGTTTAGGCTTCGTACGAGATGGACCATTCTGATGAGTAGTAGATACATGACAGGAAGTAATCCCTACCTTCCCTTTTTTGAGCCGACCCTGGACACATTTGATAGGATCCGCCGTTCTTCACCTTTTCTCTTCGCATCAATCCTCTCGGTTGCGACCAGAACCGATGGAACTGGAGATTTGTCAAGAATATGTCATGAAGAAGCGAACCGCCTGGCCGCAGAAAGTCTCTTTATTAATCCGGCTACACTCGAAACTGCCCAGGCGCTGCTTATCCTGGCTGCTTGGTCCGAAAAATCGTGGTTTGCTTTGAGTCACGCCGTCAATGTGGCTTTGGATCTCGGCATTGATGATGCTTTGCACAGACTGGCAGCAGATTCAACCTTGCCTGTCGCGGAACAGAACAGGCTAAGCCGTGAGACTCGAACCTGGCTGATAATCTACCATTTGGAACGTGAAATTGCATTTGGCACCGCTCGGAAATCCCGATTAGTCCGCATTGACGAAGAGAAGCTTCGTTTTTTCCATGGAAGCTCTCGCTTCCGCCACTTGGATCTTCGATTTCTGTCTATTCTTGATCTGGTTCAGCTACGAGGTGAGTGTCCATGTTTGCTTCATGGACTACTTCCTCACAACTTAACAGAAAAATGGCAAATGATCGTCAGGGATCGTACAAATATTGCTACGGATGTGACATCTCTAGTAAAGGATGCAAAAGAGTCTTTTGATTCATGGGAAAAATACTGGGCCCAGCAACATGAGGGTGGGGATCGGGATTCTCATCATTCAAGCATCCCACCATGTCTGACCAAAGTCACAGACCACGAATACGACATAGACTCCTTCCAGCGAGCTAGCCTCAACGTGCAGAGGAACTATGCTACCATTCTTGTCTATTGCGCCATCCTTAGCGAATTACAAAGACAGAAATCCGGAGGCGGCCGTCACGTCCTGGATGCTTTCCGCCAACTGAGCCAAATAACGCTTGAATCAGTTGCCGACCATCTAAAGTTTATCACGAATTCGAGCTCGTATAAATGGCAACTCAGATTTTCGCCAACGTACTCCGCATTAACAATTGCTTTTTCAGGTATGCGCTTTATAAGCTGTGTATCGTATCCCCACTAAGAATTCCGTAGCCGCATTGGCACTCACTCTTGCCAAAAATCACCCAAACATATCCCGCGAAAAACACCTGGTCAGCATCTCCCAGAAGATATCAAGATTGCTTGCAGAATACCCGAACCAGAAATTCCATTTGATGGTCGAATCGTTCTTGAAAAGAATGGCGAGAGCCTCTCAAACTCAGTCCGGGAGAGCCACAGCCGAGGGATCGGCCGCCCCAACCACGTCGACATCGGTACAGGCCTACGACGAGAACTTCACTGAGGTAACTAGTGTTGCTTCTCTTGAATTCCCGGGGCGCCAGAGCTTGAATGTTCAATCAAACGGGGCTATTGGCGACCTCGACAGCACTGGCTTGTTTAGCCCTCCAGATTCTTTTCAGGATAAGGAGTTGGAGGCCATTCTGGGACTGTCAGCTGAAAGTTGGTTTCTCGATCCGTTCTCGGTAGAAGGATTCAACTTCAATAGTGCTTGAATGGTGGCGATGAAGCCGTATTATTGAAAAAGGGCGACAGTGCTTTGCACCATCAGATGTTTCTACTTGTCAACAGGGTTTCTTCTCCCTTTCCCGCCTCCCGGCCGTCCGGAATCCCCGTCGTAAACCCTCTGTTGGCTGCACTTCCTCAACAAAACGCGAGAAGTATACCGTCTATCTCCGCAACACGTGGGCTTACCGATAGAGACAAGAGCTGAAGCCCGGTGCTTTTGTCTTCAACCTGTTTATGGAAAGTTGGGATCGCCTTTTGGTCAACAAATCAGCCACAATCGCAAGACAAAGTCAACGATGCGAGTACCACTGGGTAGCAAATAAGAAAATTTCCACAACCTACGGTTGCAGGGTCTCGCCTGTCCCACATAGCGTCAACGCCGCTTATCAGACCGCCCCAACACTCCTGATCAACCAGATAATCATCCACAGCAAAACTTTAGCAGTTTTCGACATCAAACCTTCAGTATAAAAGCCCCAGCGGCCGCTCGCACTTCCATAACACCTCCATCAGCTCCTCCAAGGAGCTCAACATCTTCGATGGTCTAGTGGTGATGATTTCCGCTTGTCAAAGCATCTGCTCTAGCAAGCGCGGGAGACCGGGGTTCGATTCCCCGTCGGAGAGTTCTTCTTTTGCTTCGTCGTAGTCTGAGCCTGGGATGGCTCGGGGCGGGCGTGGTGTTGAATTTTTTTTTTTTAGGGGCGGCGTCCCGTCAGGGCACTCCGCGGCCCGGGCCGAGATGGTCCGTGCCCCGGCGAATCGGACCCGATCGGCTCGGTGATTCGGAGATACGCGGTGCCCACGAGGAGAGAAGGTACAGTCCCCTCTTAATGGTTGGCGTGGATTTGTTTTTCGGCTTTTAAATGAGCCGGATCTCCTGAGTGCGGAATTCCTGGAAAAGTTGTCGTCCACCTTTCTCCCAATCCAATGTCTGGAAGACACCAATTCGATAATACTCATTCCTCTTTCCCGTAGGATGCAATAACAGCCCGCACTGCTGCTCCCAAGGGCATTCAACGCTTTCCCACAGACCGCTGCAATATTCTTTGAAGCCTTCATCATTCATTGAGGCATCCTCATCGGCGGCGGTGCAGGTTGCCAGAAGAAGCATGGCTATTCCTGAATCCTCCCAGGATACCGTTATCTTCCGATCAGTCATATTCTCTGTTGGTGTCCAATCAAGGCGGAATATTGCGAAGAATTGGTTTGAGGTTTTTGCCAGCCAATACCCCGCTTGGACGAGCTCGGAAAGAGTCAACTCATGCACCTTGCACAGCTTTCCGAAGACTTTGAGGTGAGCCGCCTTGATTCGCCCATACGGATTCAAGCCGTCTACCTCAGCATCGGCTTCGAATATTTGACACTCCCATGTGTCACGCAGTTTCGGCAGCCAATCCCACTCGACGGGGTCTTGTCTGCATGCCCAACTCCATGAGGGTGCAACGAAATGTTGAGCGTCGTCGAGGTCGTCAAGAAGCTTTCTGAGGCTTCGAGGGGCAGGTATAGGGTAGCCCCTGTGCCAAAGTAGCCCATTGTGGAGATCATGCCTCCACAACCCGGCAATGTATTCGTCTCCTGTTCTTGCGGCAATCACTGCGGCTAAGGATGACACAGCTGGAAGGCGATCGTCATAAAACGTAAAGGATCTGTTTGAGTACAAAGCAAGCTTCTGATACCAAGTTTGGTAGCAACCGTCAATGTCTGCCTCACTCAGAGCTCCTATAGTGTCTCCGGAATAAGATTCTTGCTGCCAAAATTCGTCCTCAGAACAGAAAGTTGTGGCACAATCGTAATAGATCAGTCTTTTGCAGCATATCAGTTTTCGCGTGGAGAACTCGGCTTCTTGAAAGGTCCAGCCTCTGGTGTTCCACTTGCTGATCAGCATATCGTACCATGGTGGTTCTCTTTCAGCGTCGGTTCCGTAGCTTAACGGTCCTCTGGCGGCCCAATTTTTTCGAAGAAAGTATGCTCCATGCACTGTAGAATCAGTTGAAGAACGGAATTTAATCTCAATGCCTGGTGCATTGCGTTCTTGAAAGAGCCCTTGGTAGCAAGAGTCAACCAATGCACACAGCGTGACGTAGGCATTCCGATACACATGGGACATTGTTGCCGATTCCCTTTCCCAATCATCCTTGTCGTCTTGTATAATGCATAGGGAGTCGATCCAGATGTATTTGAGGCCCAAGGAGCGAGTCAAGAGCACAGCATCTCGATAGGTTGCTGGTAAAATGTCAAGCGGAATGCTCCTTGTTCTTTCGGAAAGTGAGCAGCTCTCCGTCTTCAGAGGCGGTGCACCCCGTCCCCAGCAGTGGCTCAGAGCCACGTACTGTATCCTGTCGCCATCCGGGTCTGTAGACGGGGTAGTAAGGTATGGTTCGTCGCCGTCGAACTTTCCGCCGACTGAGAGAAGTCGAGTCGGGAGCCTATTGGTGGTCTGTTCTGATCGACAGTCCTCATGAAGACTGTGGCAATCGGACAGCCATGCTTTGATTTTGGCCGTACTTTTGTCTGAAAGAGGATCCAGTTCCAGCGGCTTTCGTTGTATATTCATCCATGGAGCGCAATTCCCTAAGCCAAGCTGAGTTAATATACTTGTTCGTGTTCAACGCGGGAATGAGACATGCCTTGTGAACATTCAACCTCAAATATGAGCTCCATCTGGTAAGTCGCATCATCATTCCTAAACTGCACTTGCATTACGAGGAGCGATAGGCCACGAGAATATGTCCAAACATAATGGGCACCAGGTATACTAAGTTGTTGCATTCGGCTACTCTCGATGTGAATCTGATATTCGGGGCTGCGGAATCCTTGCTGAGCTGCAGAAATCAACACGCTACAAAACTTGCAGCCATTCTCGGAAGATGCTGTCAGGTTGGGAAGCTTTGGTAAAGAATCCTCCAGGCTGAATGCCACAGGAATCATCTTTTCATCCTCGGGAATTTCAGAGTACTCATTCAGGAAAGGAGGATCTTGGCCATCCAATCTCAAGGCCTGGCAACGGTGGCACAGCGTATCATGGCGTCTCATCTCCGGTTCCGGCCGTTCTTCTGTAGATGTAGAGAGAATTCCCTCGGGGAGAGTTTTTCCGGCCTGCTGCATGTTGTGTATGTTGCCCTGCGCAGACTGCCCCGAATATGAACGCTTCTGTGAAGCTTTAGTTGGCTTGATCTTGCTTGGCCGAGATGATGCAAGAGGAATGATGATACATGGTAAAAGAAGTCAGCGGGTCTTGAGCCTGGAGAAAAGGAATCCCCAGGTGTTTTGGTCAGATAAGCATTTGGGGGCCGCGTACCCCACCATTGGCGTTTATGCGGGGCACACATCCAAATCTGGAATCGTGGAAACTACGTGACATCGAGACGGTGCAGAAGGCGTGAAATTTCCATCTTCGATACGAAATGGCACCGCCGACAATCATCCAAGCAGTTTGTAAGTTATAGCTTTCAGGACATTAAAAGCGTAATACCTACATGATTCCGGCGAAAGATTAGTAGACGGGATGGCGTCGAATGCCGAAACCTACCACACGGACAAAAGGAGATGGCGAAGGGGGATACTTCCGAGATCAAAGATGCTTCATTTGCGGTCGGTATTGCTCTTTCTGCGCAATCCAAAAGTGCGGCGCAAAAACTTTACTTAGCATCCATAGACAATGCAGCAGCTTGTATGCAAAATTGTGGTGATTGATGCTTTTCATCAACAAAAGAACGAAATGGACGTCACGCTGGTCGGGCAATGGAAACAAATTTGGTTCGGACGTGATAGTGAAAGCTGTCTGGATGCTGGTCCTTTGAAAATCAAAACGAAGGAATGCTAGATGAAGCCCTGCCTGATACTTTAAGGAGTGGTAATATGAAAGGGTACGTAATGGAGAATTGTTTAATATGAACACGAACTTTTTTTTTTTCCTCGCATACCACCGCCAGCGCCTCTCTAAAAGCCTGCGAGGACACTTTAACGCTTGCTGCTCACTCCGCCAGCTCCATCCAATGAGAGAAGTGATGAGCTAGGCTGCAGGCCCGGAAAGAAAGTAGTCGGCACTGGTGGGATAGTGAAAGACGTTGTGGAAGGGAAGGCGGAAGTATGATCATTAGGCATAGTGGTAGGAATGGAGTAATCACTGCCATGACCGGCATCAGTACTGTTGTCGGAGATCTCGAAGGGTGGAACAACTCACGGAGTTTGGGTGACCGTCTGGGCAGTGGAGTAGGATGCGAGGTTCTCAACGTCGTCTCCAGCATCCTGCAAGCACGCGCCCTCGCCATAAGCGCTCTGGCAGGACCAAGTCACGTAGTCACCATCCTCTGTCCAGAGGTTGACGTTGTCAAGGGTGATGTCGTAGCAAGGCACTTCGTCAGCACATTCAATGCGGATGGTAGGACGAGAGTTGTCGGTGTTGAATCCATTCCAGTCCTAGATATGAATCAGTGCCTGCTTTCATCTCGGTATGTATGTGATGCTGAAAAACATACCTTGAACGTCAAGTTGCTGATCTGCACTCCATCGCCTGAATCTTCATCTCGTGACTCCCAGTTTTCGTTCACAGCCAGCACATACGCGCCTCCGTGAATCAGTACGTTTTCCCACATGATGTCGCTCACTGTTCCATTACCACCATTGGACTTGAGGTAGCAAGCGTCGGCCTGGTTCATGTACAGGTTACGGTAATGAACGTTTGAGATATTCGTGTTTGTTCCGAGAGATCCGATGGCAGTGCCGCCGCTGAGATTGCAATGGATGCTCTCGATCAAGAAGTTCTTCGCGGGGCTCTTGACCGTGACACACTCATCTCCGTTCGACACCTCCACATCATGCACCCAGAGGTTCTCACCCCAGACATCCACGCCGTCGGTAGCGCCGATCTGGATGCCGCGAATGATGATGTTGTAAATCTCGCCATTCGAGCACGAGTCGAACACCGAGTAGTAGCTCGCCGAGTCGACCATGGCAAAGCCGTGCACAGAGAAATTGCTCACGTCGGTGAACCGCAGGAACCGCGCGCCGTACTCGCCGTTCTGCAGCAGCTTGTATCCGTAGCCCTGCAGCGCGCCCTGGGAATTGCCGCTGAAAAACTCGAAGTCGGTGCAGTCGCGGAAGGAGATCATGTGGCCGCCGTCATCACCGTCACGGTAGATGGTGCCGTCGAGCTGGACGGCCGACGCGTTGCCGTGCGTCAGGCTCACCCATGTCGCCATGGCATACGTGCCCGGCGGCACGTAGACCAGCCCGCCTTCTTTGCAGTCATCCCATGCGGCGGCGAGGGCTGGACCGACGTCTTCGGTGCTGTTTGCGACCGCACCGTAGTCGGTTATGTCGCAGACCTTGTTGCTTGCTTTGGTTGCAAAGCTTGTGAGAGGGCCAACCGAGCCGGACAGTTGCGCACTGGTTGAACCTGCGAGGAAGAGGAGGGAGAGAAAGGAGGGAATGCAAGCCAACATCTTGGCAGATAGCGGGAAGAAGCGAGTGGGGTATGATCTTGGAAGGTGTCTTGGCTAGGTGTTATAGAGCATTTATAGCTGATTTACAGGAAGTTGAACTACTGCATGTGGGGTGATCTAAGGAGGCGCTCGAATACTTCCCGAAACGTTCTTCTATATTTACTGAAGATCTCCTTTCAGCGCCACAAGAAGACGCAACCAATGGGCCGATCGGACCTGTGGAACTCATGTATACACAATGTGGATCTTCGAAACGTCCTTGTCGTCGTCAGTTCTGCATTTGGAGCGGGGGGAAATTAAAGGAGGCAGGGATCTTCGGGACCAACACTCGCGGGCACGCGTGTCGGCTCGGGATCCTCGGCGCATCAAGTCCCATCGGGAGAAGGATCTGTCGACACATCCGTTGTCGTGTGTCGCACAGCAAATTCAATTGACGGAACATTCCAAGAGAGATGAGGAGACGGTCGAATTGAAGATACTGAGGACGACGCGTCTTCAACTCCCATTTTCGCCCGAGCTCCCGGTGGTCCGACAGATGTATTTTATCCAGCTGGTAGGTGAGGTGAATAAGCCTTCGGTTTGAGGTGCTATACCTGAAGGATCTCCCAGCAAACATATGCCGTTGGTCAAGAAAAATCTGTTTCGGGTCCCACATAGATGAGTAGAGCTTTGTATACTTGTCACTTGCCGTAAACATGAATCAGAAGTAAGGTTGAACAGTGAAACGTCAAACCTTTCAATTTCTTAAAATCCCTGCTTTCATCCGGGCTAGCGTTACCTCCTTCTGCCCGCTCCACCAGTAGCCACATCTGCCCTATCGGCCAGACTGACGACCTCGCTGATACCCGCCTGTTCCTGCTCATCCTCCAGGGCCCGAATCTCCTCACGGCAATCCCACCATTTTTCCTCGGCTCGCTCAAATGCCATCGTCTTGATCTCCTTCGGCAATTTCGTATCACCGCCATATTTCCGTGACAGCTCGTCGATGATAACATTTTGCCACTCGTTCGTCGATCGTGCGTAGAAATCGCGCAGTGACTCGAAAGGCCGGGGGTGCGGGAGACCATCTTCCGAAAGCGCAGAAGCGGATGTGTGCTTCTCATTTGCCGTAGCGCTCTCATCCGCATCCTTCTCCTTCGCAGACGGAGCAGCAGAGACCGAAGTAGCAGCGGTGCTCGCAACATCGTCTTCATCGCTGCCGATAGCCTCGTCTTCCTCGTCCTCCTCATCCTCATCTTCATCCTCGTCCTCGTCCTCACTCTCCTCGCCCAGCCAGTCCTCAAGGTCACGGCGGAAGATCTCCTTGACACCGTCCAGCTTGCCCAGGTCAATCGCCCACATCTCGTCAAACGTGAACTCGCGATCTGCCTTCTCGAATGTGCCGCCAAACATGTACAGCACGTCGTCCTGCACCGCGAGCGCGGTGTTGAATCGCGGGTGCGGCATCTCGAACATGACTGTCTTCTCCGGGCGGTCGGGCTTGTCCTCCTCCTCACCACTACCAGGCGTTCCCGTGCCATCCAGCTGCGCCGGAAGGTCGCCATCCTCATCCGCACCTGCTAGCGTACCTCTCATCTCCAGGGCCTTCAGGTTCCGCAGCAGCTCCTCCTCATCCGCCTTCCCGCGACCCCTCCTTCCACCACGTTCCCCAGCGTTTGCCTTCTTCGGCTGCGCGCGTGGCTTGCGTAGCGCGAGCGGGAAGTAGCGGTTGCGGTCGATGTTCCAGACGAACAGCTGGTTGAAGAACTCGCTGTCGATTCCCTCTTCGCTCTCCTCAACATCGTGCACTCCACCAAACATGATACCACGCCCCTTGTGGAAGGCCATGGTTGCACCCGCGCGCGGCGGGTTCGGCGCGTTGGTTGAGCGCTTGCGCTTTTCCCAATGCACCTTGGGGAGAGCATTTTCGACTGGTACGATGCGCAAGAACCACGTGTCCTGGTGGACAACGGGCTTGAGCACGTTGCGGTTGGCGGGACCACCCTTGCCGCTGCCGCCGCCTTTGGCGGCCTGTTTGACGCGCGAGTAGCCGCCGAAGAGGACAGCGCCGCTGTCGCTGGGCAGGAAGGAGAAGGAGGAGCGCGGGTCAGGGCGTTGGCCCACAGCCGGCAGCTTGGGCTCGTGCCACTGGTAGTTGGCCGTGTCGTAGATCCACACGTCGTTGAGGTACTTGGTCTGCTGGCTGGTGTCCTGGAAGCCGCCGAAGAGGATGATGTAGTTCTTGAAGTAGGTCATACGGTGCCCACTGCGGGCCGGCGGCCCTTTGCCCTTGGTTTCCAGACGCGTCCACTCGCGCGAGGAGGGTTCAAGGCGCCAGAAGTCATTGTAGTGGTAAAAAGTCCCTTGCTTGGGCGAGGAGAACTCGCCACCAAAGAGGTAGATAGCTTTGTCGTTGCCGCCACGCGTCCAGGCGTGACCGGAACGTGGCAGTGGAGAGTTGGGTGAGGTGACTTTGCGCCATTCGTCGCGGTTGATGTTGTAGACGAAGAGGTCGTTGAAGAAATGGGCGAGGGCGCCATTGAAGTACTCGCCGCCGAAGAGGAACAGCTCGTTGTCGTTGGTGGGTGAGCCGATCAGTGTCGATGAGCCTCTGGCTTTTGGCGGTTCGCTGACAGTCTCAGTGACTTTGAGAAATTGCTCCTGTTGACGGGCGTATTCGGCGAGCACGGCGTCAAGGTCAACGTCCTCGGCATCGCTGTCATCGGCGTCCTTGCCACGCTTTTGATGCTTCTGCTCTTTCTTGCCGGCCTTCTTCTCTTGTTTGGCGGCAGTGCGGGCCTTCTTTTCGGCCTTCTTGGCTTTGTTGTCCTTCTTGGCCATTATGGGCGGAGAAGACAAGAAATAGCGAAATATGGAGATCAAGAGGTGAAAAACAGCAATTTGAAGCACGCTTTCCAGCGAAGTATGACGGAGTTCAGATGAGAGGAGCGCGGTCCTGCCCCAAGACTGGAGTAAATATCCAACCAAAATTGGGCAGATCAGCGAAGGGGTGTGGAGGGAGGAGCCTCACGGACGAAGCCGGGCAAGTAAAGGCGGAAGTGTGGTGGGCGTCGAATTGCCCCGCGATGTCCAAATTTTTAGCGTCCGCCCCGCCGCCCCTCGCCTTCCGCTCTTGGCATCCCGCCCCATGTCGCACTGATCTGACGCCCCAACGCCGGCAACCCCACCTCTTCCAACCACCACCAACGACCGCCCGCCAGCTAAGACCTTCTTCGGCAGACCCACCAGACACCAAACGCTTGCCAACTCACGTGCCGCACTTCAAACGCCGCTCTCAATCGCGTGTTCGGACTGGTACCAACTCCGAAATAAAGTGCACATCCCCGCCAATACCTCCACTCACCATCTCCTCCATTCTCAGCCTCGTCAGTTTTCTCGCAACGCATCTTCAATATGATCAAGATATCCCCCGCCAAGATCCTTGAGCAGCGCTCACATATCGTGTCCGGTAAGCCACACCCATCATCAGCCAAGCCGCGCATCGACCACAACACTAACCCCAAGTTCTTATCAGGCAAACTCAAAATCACCGAGTACTTTTTCGAAGTTCCCACGCATTGGCACAAGCCCGACTCGCGTCCGCTCCGGCTCTTCGCGCGCTCCGCCCGCAAGGCCGAAAAGCCCGCGGACCCCACCAGCTCCAGCGAGGAAGACGAGTCCAAGAAGCAGCTCCCCTGGCTCGTCTACCTCCAGGGCGGGCCCGGCTTCGGGTGCCGCTCGCCGCAGGACGTCGGCTGGACCCAGCAGGTGCTCGACCGCGGCTACCAGGTGCTGATGCTCGACCAGCGCGGTACTGGACTCAGCTCGCCCGTGTCGGCCAGCACCCTCGGTCTGCGCGGCGACGACGACACCCAGGCTAACTACCTGAAGTCATTCCGCGCGGATTCGATTGTTAGGGATGCGGAGGCTGTGAGGCTGGCGCTGACGGAGGGGTGGCCTGAGGAGAAGAGGAAGTGGAGTGTCGTGGGCCAGAGCTTCGGCGGGTTTTGCATCACGACGTATTTGAGCTTTTATCCCGAGGGTCTGAGGGAGGCGTTTTACTTTGGAGGCTTGCCGCCGTTGGTGAGCGATCCGGATGAGGTGTATGCGCGGACGTTCCGGAAGTTGAAAGAGCGGAATGAGGCGTATTACCAGAAATATCCGGAGGACGTGAAGAGAGTGAAGGATATCGTGAAGCTGCTGAGAAGGTTCGGGGATAGCACTGTGAGGCTTTCCGGCGAGGGAAGTTTATCAGCGAGGAGGTTCATGCAGCTGGGAATCAACTTTGGCTTCCACGGCGGATTCGACATGATCCATGGTAAGTTGCTTTTACACGGCGTATGAAGCCGATACTGACCAGTATTCGTAGACCTCGTCCTGCGCTGTTCCAACGACCTTTCCGTCTTCGGCCACCTCACTCGCCCCACCACCTCCCTCATCGAGCAGACCATGCCCTTCGATGATCACATCATCTACGCCATCCTCCACGAACCCATCTACTGCCAAGGGTAAGCAGGCCCCACCTTCACCTAGACGAGCCCTTCTCGCTAATCCACTACCCAACCACCAGCAAACCATCCAACTGGTCCGCACACCGTGTCCAACAAGGTCTACAGGAGTTCTCCCTCGACAAGACCGACGACTCGCCCCTCTTCTTCACCGGCGAGATGGTCTTCCCGTGGATGCTGACCGACTACACCGAGCTGCGCGCCCTGGCCAACGTCGGTGAGAAGCTCGCCGCCGAAACTGAGTGGCCGCCGCTGTACGACGAGCAACAGCTGGCCCGCAACGAGGTGCCGACCTATGCCGCCGTGTACATGGAGGACATGTACGTCGACTTCAACTTCAGCACCGAGACGGCGAAGAAGATCAAGGGCTGCAAGACGTTTGTGACGAATGTCATGTATCACGATGCGGTCAGGAGCAAGATGGATGATGTGTGGAAGAATATTTGGGCTTTGAGGGACGATGTCATTGATTAAGCGCGTGCCGTAGAGCGGTGGGATATAGGTAGATGTCTGGAGACTCTGAGGTTTTGTTTCTAAGATTGAGATGGGACAGACAGGCATGTGATGCGAGTGGCTGCTTAGATCGACTGGTATATATACCGTAAAGCAATCTACGTCTATTCACTAGTGCTACTATACCAAGCTCTTACGAAGATGTCTGTTCCATCACACTGTGCCGCCTTTGTGCAGTGTGCGTTACTTACAGCCAATCCAGCTCCTTCGATTCAACTAGGCATAGCAAGATGCATGTCACATTTTCAAGCGTAATACACTCTACCAGTGTTGAAAGTTAATAAAGTAGCCCATCAATGACCATGTGCAATCAGCATCATTTGTTAATACTGACACAACGCTATGCTGTACGTAGTCATGAATGTAAACTCACTCTTAATCCCGATGTTCTTTACTTTAAGCACATTTTATTGTTAGTATCCTATCTCTTGAATTATCTGCTCTATAATCGAACTTCATGAAAAGTACATACGCAACTGTTGTAGCTTATGTTCCGTGTTTAGACTTATTCAGCTTATTTACGTGCTAATCGCCTGGCGGTGGAATGGACGTATAAAACCCCATCTCCTCATTTTACAACGCCACTTCCCTTCACTAAATATGCTAAGTAATCTTACCAGGCGAGGCAAGAACTCGATACCACACTTTCTTGCCTGTCTTGTTTGGATGAGCTGCATGCCACTTTCGATTCTTCGCCAGAAGCTACACTGGCCGTTTCTTTTCTGAGCTAGCAGACAAGGATCTTCATGAACACAGTCGCTGAGAAGCAGCAAAATGTCTTGTTGCTGATGAGGTATAGTATTTTCTGATGTGTGGTAGGCGCAATTTGATATTCAGTACCGCTTTGTTGGTCCGTTTGGAGGGCATCCAGAATGGGGGCAAAAGAAAAGGAAAGGAAGACGGCAGCCAGTGTGGGTCCTTTGCAGGACACAGAGAGAGAGAGAGGATAAAAGTGGGCTTTACTCAAAGAAGAACGAGACCAGGTTGAAAATGTGTTTTAATGCGACCCATAGTCAGAGAAAGCTACAAGCGCACGAGATCTACCGCGGACTAAAACGGACGAAAAGTCTGACATGGCTTAATAACCGCCGCACAAAAAGGGCACTAGACTTTGATGATGTAACTAGGCATTCTAGCCTCGGATATAGATATATAGGCCACCATCCGCGGATCAGACCCTACATCCAGCGCTCGGAAGCTCCGCTAAAAGCGACAGAGCTCTGAATTGGTTTCGTTCCTCCACCATGGCCATACCCGACACATACCGCGCCTTCCGCCGCACCAAAGGCGACTATCCACTCTCCATCACACAAACCACCGAAAAGGTCCCACAATCTCTCGGTCCGCGCGATGTGCTCATCCGCATCCGTGCCGTGTCCCTCAATTTCCGCGATGTCGCAATGCTGCAGGAAGGGCGCTACCCCGCGCCCGTCGAACCAGAAGGTATACCTGCATCCGACTGCGCCGCAGAGGTTGTTGCGGTCGGGGAGCAGGTGACGAAATTTGCCGTTGGCGATCGCGTCGCGCCTACGTTCAACGTGGCGCATTTGGAGGACAATGACGACATTGGATTGGCAGCTTTGGGTGGCGATGTTGCAGGTGTTTTGAGGGAGTATGCGGTGTTTGAAGAAAAAGTATTGGTGAAGTTGCCGGCGCATCTATCCTGGGAGGAGGTAAGTGAAGTCTCGGTGGAATTGCCTGGCTATAAATCAGCTGATTGAGCATAAAGGCCGCGACAATCACATGTGCCGGTGTGACAGCTTGGACGGCGTTGAATTCGCTCAAGGGTGTGAGAGATGGCTCTAGCGCTTTGCTACAGGGTATGATCGCGACTACTTGATCCTCATATTGCTTTACTGACTACTGCAAATGAAGGCACTGGCGGCGTCAGTATGTTCGCGCTTCTGATCTGCGTTGCAGCCGGAATCAAACCCATCATCACTTCCTCTTCCGATGAGAAGCTCGAGGCCATTAAGAAGCTCAGCTCCAGTGTTGAAGGAATCAACTACAAGAAGCACACAGATGTAGCTGCTGAAGCGCTGCGCCTCACAGCGGACAAAGGGGTAGATTTTGTCATAAACAACACCGGTGCGGCTTCTTTGCCTTCCGACTTGGCAGCGCTGCGGAAAAGGCACGGCACCGTCTCCTGTGTCGGCTTCCTTGAAGGCTTGAATGCCGACTGGGACCCGAGTACTCTCCTTCTTGGCCTCATGTTCAAGGCCGCGAAGATTCAGTATGTTTAAGCCTTTGCAAACTCCTTTGTTCTTTTCTCTTCTTTCACAGGACCCACGCAGCAACTGACTTTGAGAATTTAGGGGTATCGCAGTAGGCTCCAGAAATGACTTCGAGGCACTTTGCACATTCCTGGAGCAAAGGGAAGTGAAGCTCACTTCTATCATTGACCGGGTTTTCACCTTTGACGAGTCCTCGGAGGCTTTTCAATACCTGTACTCCGGTAAACATGTTGGGAAGGTTGTCATCAAACTCTGAATACAGTCCATTTTGTACAAACATATGTAGAAGTAGCCCAAAATGGTACTCGCTTTCCGTGCATCCGATTGTTTCTCATCGCGTATTAAAGAATACGAGCCCAACTAAATAAATATGCTGCCAATGAATTCTCCTTAGAACAAGGCCAGAGCTAATGGAAAACTACTGCTCATGTGATCAGCCAGATGTCTCACCGGCCAGGGTAGGTTGTATAAAAACATAATCACGTTTAGCTCTGCACAATTGAAATCACTCAGGGTTGTCACTAGAACAAGAGTCATTATGCACCTAACCACCCAATAGTAATACTCCCGTTCGCTCTTGGAGAATATGCACCTCTCGCGGCTTTCAGATATGTTTAGGCATCAGATATCAAATAGAGGCCTTGCTTTGTCATCAACTTTGAATACTGCTCTGCATGATTCTCTTTTCATGACGTAGAGGAGCATTGACTGAGATAATAGAACTGTTAAGCCATTTGCGACAGTCTTGTCAGCTTCACGGCTCTTAAGCTCGTGCATAGAGGAGGCAAAGGCAGGGAAAATCAAGTGCCAGTATTGCTTCGAAGTTATCATTCCACTTGCAGGAGCGCTCTGTTGAGCCGAATCTTGCGCGGTGGTGTGTTCAACGAGGATGAATCGTTTGAAAAGATACATTAATATGTAGCTAATCTAGTGAACCTAGGATTCCAGATCTAAAATAAACCAGCTATGGTCTCGCGGCAGTGCTAACAGCTGACTTGCTACTAAGTGCCGCAGCTGAAACAGGATACGAGAAAGAAGTTGCCGCATGTATTTAACCACTCTTACATTGTGGGCACATTGGAAAACCTCTAGTCTGTTTATAACACAGCCTAGTACCAAGCTCACACAACGGATGGCGACCACTTTGCGCGTGCGTCCGCGTGGATAACATTCTTGTCTCGGCGCAGAACCGAACCTTGGAGCCTCATGACCAGTGGCCAAACCCAAGAACACTCATGATCATTTCCGCCTCATGCTGTGGAGCACTACTGACTCATAGAGCATCCTATCACCACCAATATCTCTACCAAACTCGGCAACTACCTCACTTAAGAAAGGGGCTTCTCCAAATCATTTTCAAGAGACGGGAGACTCCAAGCGGAGTATATCACTTGGTACAATGCCAGGATTCTCTTGCTGCCACGGCTATCTTGAGTTTCCTCGACGCACCGGCTCACAACGAACACCCATTTCCCCAGAACCAACCGGTTTTATAGATTCACACAAAGGCCCAGCACTGTATCCACCTGCCCATTTGCCAGCGGGTTAGCTGCTTCGGCCAACCACGAGCCATCTTTCCCAAGCCACGGGACCAAACTACCTCCTCCCGCACGAAGCCCCCCGCATCGGCATGAAAGCCTCGCTTCAACACCGCTCCACCCCTTTTCCTCGACAGCAGAGCTTCTACAGTGGTAAATGCAGCTATTCTTGGTGCTACTGTGGGAGTAACTGAGTAAATGCTAAAATCCACTGGCTTCCGCGGTGTCATATGCAACTCCGTATGCTTTACTGCTTTGTCCTTGCCGCCACGCCACCGAGCGGCGTTCGTCGAATCCACCGGCTTTACACGAAATGGAGCACATCAACTATCGCCGATGATGCAAAACAGCACGAACATTTGATGATGACCAGCGCGGGTTGCACGAAGCGCTAGGTGTCAACATTCCCCCACCTTCGATGAGGAGTCTATGGCATATGGAGAGGAGAGGAACGGAAGGAAGTTTAAACGGAAGGCAAAAAGAGCGGGCCAGCAAGTCAATCTTCGCTGGTTCTTTTCACAAGAAAAGGCTCAACGTTCGGTTGTTAAAGAGAAGCAGGGCAAACCGAGCCGCTCAAAGCTTTTAATAAGCGACAAGCTACATGCAAGGAGCACCACATGCATCCGATATCATCTGCCTGCCCATTCATGTCCATCAACACGTGTACAAAGTCCCTGCAGCAAAACAAAAAGCAGCGCGAATCACGGGATGACAATGCAAATCTTCCATGAATTCTAACACATGACATCAAAAGAGTACACAACCCGTTTCACTCCACTCCCTCTATCACATCAACCCTCCTTCTCCGAATCCGACCTAAAAGCTCCACCACCCCTCCCTCCCTGCTCTCTCAACCCTAGCCTATACAAATAACATCCACTCACACAATCCCCCCCTCATCAAACGCATCCACCACAACCGCGCCCTCCACCTCGGCCACATCCACCCACCCCATCCTATACGTCTCCTCAAACGCCAAGATACTCAGCTGGCCCAAAAACGGCCTGACAACCCTGAGCACGAACTCCATCTTCCCCATCGCCTTCGCATCCGCGCTGTCGCCAAACACGCCCGCTTCCTGCGCAGCACGCAGGACAGGTTGCAGTAGGGAGCGACGCTTATTGCCATCATCACCGCTATCCGCGAGCGCACCACCGCCAGACGCCCTACCCCCAACCGTCGTCGTCGGGCTGAGCAAGCTAGCGTCTTCCGAAGCGCCACCGGCAGAGGCAGGGTCATCAGAGGAGGAGGCTGCAGTCGCGGCAGCGGCGGCCTGGCGCTCCTGCAAGGCCTCTGCGACCTCGTCGACGAGGGCGACGGGCCGCCAGTCGAGGTCGGGGCGGTAGACGGCGTCGATAGTGTCGGTGAGGAAGAGCCACTCGTGCAGCTGGAAGTCGTCGTGGGAGATGGTGACGAGCGTGTCGAGCAGCTTGCAGGCCTGGAGGACCGACAGGTTGTTGTAGCGCTCGTGCTGCTCCTTGTCGTCTGGCAGGACCGAGGCGATGGCGTTGGTGAGCTCGGACGTGATGACGGGCCAGACGGGCGCGAGGTGGACTGGCGAGATGCGCAGGACGATGGCACGTAGGAGGAGGAAGATGTCGGCGCGTGTGGCCGATGAGGGGGACGACGCGGGCGTTGCAGTGAGTAGCTCAGTGAGCTTCTCCAGAATACTGCCCAAATTGGTTGTGTATGTGTCTTCGGGGTTGGCGAGGATGAGGATGGTCATCCTGCGCAGATTCAGTTGAGTCTTGCGGTCTGCCTCAAGTCTTGCGCTCGTTGCGCCCACACCGAACATGATTCCTGCTGTGGTCGGAGCACTGAGGCGGGAGAGCAGCTCAGGCATGCGGTCCTTGTCGTTCTGGCTCCACATACGGAGAACGGGCAGCCACTTCTCCAGTGCAAGCTTTGTTTCGGTGGCGAAGAACTTGCTGTCATTGAATGCAGCCTCGATATCACGTTTCCAAGCCTTGGTGGCAGCCGGAAGCGAAGAAGTGCGTGTCAACTCGTAAATGAGGTCCAGCAAGAGAGGCGAGACAGTCTCAGGGAAAGCCTTTGCCCGGAACGCCGGGCCAATGACATTGGTGCTGATGGACGTAGCCGCATTCGCAATCCTGTCGTTGTCCACGAGAATGAGAGGAAGCTTAGGAAGTATCGACACCAAAACGGTGACAATATCTGAGGACCTGGTAGCAGAGTTGCCATTCTCCTCAGGAATCTTGTCAATAGACGCTGAAGAAGTATCCTGGAAGTACCCCATTGGACGAGTTGTGAAGGTAGCCGTCAACAGACGCATGAACAGATCCTGGAACTTTGTCAGTATAAAAGCTATGCATATTGTTGATCAGACTTACCCCAAGGTCGCGGCGCATGCGACGCTGCTCGCCAAAGTTTGTGTTGTCGACCTTCTCCGCAAGTGTAGAAGTGAACTCCAGCAACGCGGGTAAAATTTGACGATGCGGCATAGGGTTGGCCAGAACGTCTCTCAGGAATGTCAAGCAGTCCGGCCAGATCTCGTCCATAGCATCGTCCTCGAGTGACTTTGTGTAGTCTACCAAGAACGCGACCAAATCGGTATCGGCAAGGTCTGAAGTCAAGGTCGACATTCGGTGCGGATCCAGAGCGTTGGGATTCGTTCTGCTGTAGACGGCATTGAATATCGCAGGAGTGGTGTGCTTGGGGCTTGATCCGTTGAGCACATTGAGAAGGCTCATGACGGCATTCGCTTCTTGACTTGCTGGAGGAGACCGGCACCAGACAACAGCCAACGTCTCCAAGCACTCTAACGTTTCCGCCGTGAACAAGTGCTCAAGGATACGTCGGGCTCTGTTTCTCATCCGGAGCGATGTATATCCGAACGATGCAAGAGATGTGTGATCATTCTTGGACTGGCCATAGCCTCCCCAGGACCAGATTCCGAAGCAGATACGCACAGTATCCTGGAAGCAAAGAAGGACAGTGAGCCTGCTGTTCGCGGTGACTGCTCTAGATTGGTTGGGTTCATTGGCGAAGACACCGGAAACCATGTTGCCAAAGAAGCCCTGAGGTTGCTCGGGCGTTTTCACTGTGGTGACCTTCATTTCCTGCAGAACGAGTCTCTGGTGAGCATTTGCCAAGATCTGCTCCAACCCGTTCATCAGTGCAATCAGCGTGGACTCCGGTGAGATCGAATTCGGGTGGATGGACTCGGTGAATGTTGACTTAAGCTGACCGAATGTCATTTGAATTTGCTTGCACAGACACTCGACCAAAGGAAGCAAGTTTTGGAAGATTGTGTCCGCAAAAAGCGGTAAGACTTCGATCAGAAACTTGACCCAGTCATCCAGAACCAGTCGGCTTGAGGGAGACGAGAACCCACTTCTGAGACACTCGACCAACTGAGGTGGCGGAGCGATGATAGGAGTAGTTTCTTCCTCCGCAACCCTCTCAACTGACTCCCGGATGCTTTCAGTACGGTCCCGGGACATCCTTTGTTCCACAGGGGATGTCGGTACCGCAGCGCGCAAACGGAGTTGAAGGGCAGCCAGCGTGGCTTCGAGCAGTAGTGACTGCAATGACGGGCTGGCAGATTGAAGGCGGGCCATGAGGAACGATTCCAGCTCAAGATCTTTGAGCGGCAGAGAATAAGGGTTTAGTAAGATAGCACGGATGGTTGTGATAGTTGTTCGGTACAGAGCATCAATATGCGGTTCTGATCCGGTGGATTTTGCCAAGCTTGAAACTGAAAGCGCGCGCATGCAGATGCGGACTAGCAGATTCTGCAACGTAACGTCCTGCTCTTCGTTCGCAGATGGATCTACGACTGGGACGTAGTCTTTGGAGAGGACGACCCAAGTATGGTCGGAGGACCACCGGAAGATGTTAAGCAGCTGCTGCATGTGATACAGACACTCTTTCGAGTCGTCTATCAAGACAGGTGGTCGAGCGGCTGACGCCTCCAGCTGATTCGTAGATTGGTATTTGATGCAGTGGAGGGTCTGAAGGTGAGACATTATTATATCGAAAACACGATTTAAGCTGGGGAGGTCCTGAAGCCAGGTCCGGACGTAGAAGAAGAGCTCGGTGCCTTCATCTGCCAGAGCGTCCAGGAGCAAGAAGAGCGGTCGAGTCAAAACTGATTGGTAGCCGCCTACCAGGGTATTGAGGCCGGTCAGAACGGGTAATCCGCTTACTCGTCTGGAAAGCCTGCTGGGTTTCTGTGCTTGTTGGTTCTGTTCGTGAATCGTGTGGGTCCAAAGTACTGCCAAGCGGCGACCAGCATCCGCCGCATCTGTTGAACCAGACTTGGTGGTACTTCTCGTTGCCTGAGTCATCAATGAAGTCACGGCAGCTTCAACGAGATGATCTGATGCAGTCATGGCCTGGAGCTGCCATAAGCACCTGACTGCCTCGACGTGGTACTTCGGTCGGAACGGGGATAGATAGTACCATATCGACACCACCAAGGAATTCACAAGATCTGGCATACGCTCTGCTGGGAAGAAGCCGGGTGAGACGTTGCTAGGTTGGAATGCCGTCATTATTGTTGTAACCGCAATGATGGAAGAGAAGGGTATAGAGGGCTCAGAACCACGGGGCTTTTCCACTTTGATAGACTCTTCAAATGCCGTCAACAGATCGATGCTGCTGACAACACTTGTATCAGAGACCTTTGTTAAGATGCCAGAGAGCAGCTTTGTGCTGGTTTCTTTCATGATGTCTGACTTGCTGGCGCGAAGAGAGTGGATGAAAAATGCTACCGTGTCTTGCAATAAAGAGTCCCTCAGCTGGACCGGCGAGCAAGGAGCACCGTTCGTTTCGAGATTGCCTTGTTGCTCGTTATAGAATGCTCGCACAAGTTCAGTGGTGGGCGTGCCCTTCGCCTCCGTCCCATTTGCAGAACCCTTGTCAGCGAGTGCGCGGTCAGGTATACTCTGGACCAGAATGTCCGCAATGTCCAGTTTTGTTGTCAAGATGGAATGTTCCGTCTCATTTTGACCGTTGGCTGAAGGTGGAGTGCCGTTGAGCATTTTGAGTGTAGCACACGCTACCAAAGGAATATGGTGAAGTAACATCTCTTCCTCCCGGATGTTGAAACGAGTGATGATGAATTTGGCGAGCTTCAACTTCTGCAAGATCTCGTCCTGAGACTTGGTACCTCCTGACATGGCTTCGTCCAGGAGCTCGAACAATTTGCCCCAGATGAGTCCACTCTCCACGCCATCGAAGAAGATACTGGCACTACGCAGGACTTCTTCGAAGTTGTCCTTGCTTGTGGATTCACCGTAGCGTCGAGCGCTTTCGAGCAATGGTAGGAACACAGACGGGACAAGGAGCCCGCCTACCTCCCAGCGATCCATGAGGGAAAGACAGACTCGGAAAGGCTTTGCACGTGCTGCAGGCGATTGGTCGCGACTGTTGATCATTGTCATGATACCGTTCGTGAGAGCCTGCAAGCCGTATCTTGCAAAGTAAGCGGCGTGATGTGAGTTGACGTCTACGACAGGGCTCTTGGGGTCTGCCGGTCCATCTGCTCCGTCTGCATCTGTACCAGGGTCAGGCCCAAGAAACCATGACCACAGTCTTCTGTTCAGACTCATATCCCTTCTTGTGACAACTCCGGCAGCGGCTGAGACTAATCTTTCTAGATCCTTGCCATCGATGCGTACTTGGAGGACCTCAGAATGCAAAGGCAATGAGTTAACCAGGAGATCCAAGTATCCTCTTTGAGTCAACAATTGACTGTCGGCAAGACCCGCAGCAAAGCACCTGATCAGCAATCCCGGCTCAGGTGCAATTGCAGCTTCCGCAGCCAGAGACAGTGCCTCGGCCGGCACATCATCTCCATCCACGGTGGCCACAGAGCCCCGCCTCTGTTTTGTTCCAAACTTCGGCAGTCTTCGAACCAGGTATGCGAGGGCTCCTTGGCGACGGGGAGCGTTGGTAATGGTAGCCAAGAAAAAGCATTGCCAGAAGTAGGAATCCTGGGCGTCGCCCGCACCGTCATTCTTGCGACCTTCATCTCCACTTATTGTAAACCTCAGCTTATCCACGATCTGCAGGATGCGCTCAAAGTCCTCGGCGGTCTCATCTTCCAAGCCGGGCAGAAGACACAGTATTATAGATTTGAGGGCCGGTCTTAGCGCCTGCGCGTCGACGGCGAGGACGTAGGTCTCGATGAGGGAGAGAAAGGCAGGTCGGACGGAGAGCGAGGCAAAGGATAGGACGGATGCGAGACCGGGGAAATAGACGTGGAGGTTTCGGGCAAGGGAAGGTTTCTAGAACTGTGAGCCAATGCTTCGCCAGGCAGCAGAGTAGTTGCTAACCTTGAGAATGGAGAAAATGTAGGCATAAACCTCGAGGGCCTTCTGGTGTACGCCGGAGGGTAACGAAGGATTCAGGCATTGGGCTAGGCGGGTTGCGATGGTGGCGCTGTGCGGAACGTAGGGCACATCTTGGGGGTGTGTTTGGATGGCCTGTAACATGTGAGCGGGCCGAGCAGCGCAGGCGGTGGCGTAGTCCTGCGTACCTTCAGCAGCCTCCCCAGAAAGGAAATGTAGTCAGCCCATTCTTGCTGTGGGGTGTCGAACAGAGCGAGGGCGCGCTCAACGTTGGACTCGTAGCGGCGGAAGGCCTTGTCCTTCTTGACGGGAGCTGCAGGCATGTGTGAGCGGGGTCTGAGAGCTTTCGCGAAGCTTGGTGGAGCTCCGGCGCGCGACGTACATACCGTCCTCGAGTGGGCGTCGAGGCGAGCGGACAGCGGGCGATTGGCGGCCGGAGCTGGAAGGCGAGGCAGCGCGGGCCTGCGACTGCGGATCAAGCGACATGGTTCACAGGTGGGTGCATCAGGGAGGGAGGAGCGATCATCTCATGGCTCAGCTCGGCGCATTGCGCAGTCGTCGCGGCCGCGGGCTTGTGAGAGCTCTATGGGAAAAGCCCACGCGTCAACTCCGACCGGCCTTGGCACCCGCCGCCAGGGTCCCGCCTGCCCGCTCGTCACTGCTGTCACCGCCCGCCCGCCTCCGCCCCTCAAACACGACACCCAACTCCAGCCATCCAGACTCGATCCAGACGTCGTCCAAAGGCCGTTTCCATTGCCGCGGATGCCTCCGGCTGTTATTCTGGTCACAATGCTACGACCGTCTTGAAACGCCAGACCCTGGAGGGACACGTTTTCTATTCCGCCTGAATGCGTCACTTTCATTCCGATTATCCGATTTCCATTTCTCAAACAGGCACAGGCAAACATGCGCGATTAACAATTATTCATTATTTGTCTCAAATCGCTATGCTTTCAATTTCATGTCCTCCAGCTTCCCCCATTATCATTCCAAAGAGTCGTTTAAGCAAGGGTGACGGTGATGTCGGAGACCTGGGTGCAGACGAAGTCGTTGGCGCCGTTGCCGCCAGCGTGGCAGTAAGGCTGGACATCGACGGTGCCCATGATACCGAAACTATTACAAATTTGTCAGCTAACTCGCCCTTCGCGTTGATGAAAAGGTCACTTACGCGGTGCCGAGCTCCTTGTAGACGGTCAACTTGTACTGGCTGTTGGCGCCGGTGAGGCCGAAGCGGTACTTGGTCTCGCCGCAGGCGGCAACACCGTCGCCCTTCAGCTCGGTGCCGTCGTCAGAGCACTCGACGTTGGCCTCGGCGAGCTTGAACGAGGCGCTCTGGATGCCCTCGTTGTCGCGGATGGAGAGGTCCTTGACCGTGACGGTCTCGGTGGTGGCGGCGGTGGCGGTGGCGACGGCGCCGAGGAAAGCAGCAACGGTGGTGAAACGCATTTTGATGGTTGAAAGAGGGTTGGTTTGGTTGGTGGAGCGAGTGTTGGTTTGGAGGATGTGCTGGAGAGTTGAGCTGTGGTGATGACTGGATTGCAACGGACGACTGCTGGTCTTTATACCCTCTGAGGCCCCCCTCAGAGCTCCCCCACGAGAGACTAGCGTGAGAATGCTCTCGGTGGTGTTGTGAGGCGGGGACGTCTGTGCCTGTCATCGACCCATTGCCGTTGGCCTCGCTGTACATGGTTGATGCGTGCGGCCACGACAAACGCAGGGGCCTACGTCAGCGCCTAAGCTCCAAGGCGGACAGCCCTCGTATACGAAGTATGGCCGAGAACTGCGGTGGCTTGGATCGCAGGAGCCAACCGTTTGCATGACGATCGACGATCTTGGCTTGAACGCCAATACGAGACAAGGCTGTAGGGTTCGTAGGGCTGACGGCTTCAACGACTGCGGGCGGCTAACGTTAAAACGGGCAAACGTCGCTACCAGACCCCGTCACATGGTCTGGGGAAATTACATCTAGCGTCCCTTCGCCAGATCCAAAGGCCCTTCAAAGTCTTTCACTCGTCCAGCCAGCAATGCACGTATCGTCTTGGCAGGTCCGCCTTTTACGAGCTTCTCCGGTACATTCCTTTGCAGACACGACACTTCTCAACAATCTGTAGCGCCATGGTCGTCTTGATGTCCATTGCATCGGCATCGCCACGTTATACCGGTTCCCCGTAATAGGGGTAACGGATCATGTCCGGCCATATGCTTTTCGGTCTGACCGAAGTACAGCTAAATTAGCCGCTCATATTTCCTATTCTGTCACCGCCCATGGTCAAAGCTCACCGCTGCTGCCCTATAGGTGGTCCCAGCTGCGGATTACCCCATCTCTCATTGGTTTGGCCTATAAGCTTGAGCCGCCTGTGAGCTTAAGCACTCGGAGGTTTACGTAGGACATCTTGAGACAGCAGTGTTCTTCACGATCAGTATTCTTTGTTCGACTCTTGGAAACTGGCATATGTGAGGAGCATATTTGTTCTCCGTCTCTTATTTACAGCCCAGCTGATGCAAAGCGGTGATAAAATTCTGAGAGCCTGTAGAAAATCAATTGAATGATTCGTTGGGAGGAGACGGAAGGAATACGAAAAAACCTCGCCACAAAGCTGCCGGGACGCCTTTCTGCCCCCTGCTACGCCTACGCAAGGGCGCCCGGGAATAATACATATACACGTACAATCCTCCTCCGTGACAACGTGGCAGCCCAACGTCGATAGATTGCTGTCTCTGGCTGTCGACAGCATCGAGAATCCTATTGCTCAGCAGAAGCCTCTGGAGTTACTTCAGGGGTCACAAATCAAACCTAATCTGGAACGTCAAGACAGAAGATGTGTCATTCTGGTGTGTCACGAACGTAACTCAACGGTGTTGCCTATTTGAAGCTGAAGTAGCGACATCGACTGAGAAAGAGTTGAGAAAGCGGTAGATGCAAGTCGGACTGATTAGTCAATCATCAAGTATGGCAGGCACCAGGCAGTTTGAACCGGAGCAAAAGCCCTATGGTTCCAAAGTAGAAGAACCAAAGTCGCCCGCCCAATTGGTTCAAAAGGCCGTGCGTTCACTCTTATAGCCCGAAATCACCGATTAAGCCATCTGATGCTATCAGGAAAGCGCACGCGAGCTTCACCAGAACCGATGGACGCTGTGACGCCGCTTACATACGTGGCATCCCAAGTTGTTGTTTGATGTCCCCGCAGTCTGGATTCACACTTACCTTCGGCCCCATCAATATTTGCTCCGACAACTCAGAGAGCAGGGAATCTATCTTACACCGGGTAATTTAGGATAGTGTCAGTCTTAGAAATCACTCGGAACTCTCCGTGAGCCTTACTACGATTGCGTGAGGCAATGCTGCTTACAGAGGCGTCTGACAACAGTGCATTTGGTTGAAGGATCATGATTGTTCATTCAGGAACATATATCTCGGTACATTTGGATATCTCATAAGTGCCGCCCGTATATGCTTTCCCTCGGCTTCCCACCGTGCGAAGATTAATACAATGTACGAAAGAGAACGACCTACTCCCAAGAAGCAACCGTGCTGAGCGGCGACGCGACTAGCATTTGAATCTCCTCCATACCCGGATACAGCTCCTTAATCTTCTCGAACTTCTGGTTCAAAATGCGTTTATGCTTAGGGTCGATGCGCGGGAAAGAGAAGAGGAACTTCTTCAAAAACAGAATATCGTCGACGCGCTGCAGCGTGTCTTCGGTCGGCGCTTGCGGCAGGTTGATGACGACGTCGAGGATGGAGTTCGTGATTTCAAAGAGCTTGTGCAGGATGCCGCTGCCGTGGATGCCGACGGCCTGGGGCGAGAGGTGCGTGATGCACAGGCGCAGCTCGCTTGACAGGCGCAGTGGCATCGTAAGCGACAAGTGACTGCTACCACCACCGCCATCGCCACCGCCTGCTTCGTTTTCGACGTCGGACTCGGCCGGGTCGATGCTCAGCAGCATGCTGGAGATGGCCATCTGCCACAGCATGGTGCGCAGCCACTGCCGCGTGATGAGGATGTCGGCCTGCTGCATGGCCGGCAGCAGGGCCAGCTCCGACCGCGGCCACTGCTCGTCGTCCAGCTGCCGGTGCTTGCTGTTGATCCACTCTGACGGGATCTGCGACCGGTCGCCGCGCCAGAAGTCGACGAATTTGCGGTCGATGAGGAGGAAGGTCTGGATGATGTAGTTCCAGCCATGCTGGATCGTCGGCGACATCAAGGGATCGTGCTCCGGGAGACTCGGCAGCGGATCCAGCATTACCGGCTCCCAGTCCGTCAGTGCGGAGAAGCGCTCATGGATGAAGCATTCCCAGTAGGCGCGTTGCCATTTGGCACGTTCAGGGGCGCTGAAGCTGCTCATGAGCTCGGCATCCTCGATGTGCATCATTTTGACCAGAGATTGGGCCTCGCGCAGGTGAAGGAGAGCGAGGTCCGTCTTCTGAAGGCCCATCAGACAGATCTCGATGAAGATGCTGGTCATGACCTGCAAAGGGGTCGGCTTGAGCGCGATGTTAAACCGCGGTCGGTGGTCGAAACATCGTTGGACGAGTGTTGCTATTTGTTCCCGGATACCAGGCATGCACTGGAGGAAGTCGACTCTTGCCAGGTTTATGGTGACAGCGGCGAATATATACAGGAAAGAAATGGCCTCATTGTCGGTGTGCATGCGTTGGACGCAGGCGTGAACATCGGCTTCGGTGATTACCGGACTCACCGGATAGACGTCGGAGAGGTATTCAGGAAGAAATTCCAGGAAGAATGAAGGATCTGGATGCCCTGTGGCAGATGTCCGAGAGATGGCGAGAGAAGTAGCTGAGGTCGGGCTCAAAGCAGACGTGGGTGGAGCAGCTGGAGCAGGGGCGACTTCGAGAGGCGTGTTCGGAGAATGAGACTTGCTGGTACTTTTTCTGTAGGCATGTATGACAGAGCCTCTCCCCTGAGCATGCTTCCTCGATGATCCCCGATTGGAGTTGGTGTAGATGCACCTCAGGTTCAGGTGCGAGCATTGCTGGCAGCGGGGTTGGCCGTTGCAGCGGACTTTGCGGCGGCGGCACGCATCGCAGGCCTGCTGGGAACGTCGTTGGCTGACAACCGCGGCGGCATCCATGATTGACACATGTGGGGCAGAGAGAACAGCGGGCCCGGGCGGTGGTGTTGAAGAGAAAAGCGTTTGGGGGGATGATTAAATAGCGCGCGTCATCCTTGGCATTCCTTCCCAGGGCTGCTCCCGCACTACGCTAACCCGCCATGGAAAGGCCTCGGCTGTGCCTTGCACAATTGGTGTTGACCTTTCTGCAGCTGGAAAACCTTTCGTCTCCTGACACTCGGTTCGAACGGTCTAGCACGCCTAGTCATGCGAAGTTTTCACATTTTCCCTACTCCCTGCAAGCCACATCGGGGCTGATCACCGAAAACCAGGCCGCACGGAATTAACGGTGCTGTCAGGACCGCATAACCCACTACTGCGGAGGGGGCTCCAAAGGATTCTTATTCTCCCAGACGCATTTCACGAGTCACCCCAGTCTTACTGCGGAGGTACGCACTTATAACCATCATGTGAAAGTGGATGTAAAGACACAGACACTTTCACATGTAGATTATAAAAAGTAGGATGGAGAGATGTGGAACTGTGGGACCCACTATGACTAGCACTATAGTAATATATATTATGGGGCGAAAAAGAAACAAGAAAAATGCAAAATGCCTCGGAACTTCATCAGATCATCGCTTCAGCTGACTCGTCGTAATCTCATCTCTCTCACTCGTGATCAACCCTCTCGACCTGCACCTTTAGCGTCTCCTTCTCCATCGATGAGCTGCTTGTAGACCTACCGGCAGCCACAAACTGATCCACGACGGTAGTCTTGAACTTACGCGCCGGCACCTTCTTCTCGAACAGCACGTCCAGCTCAGCGAACGTGCGGCCCTTGGGCTCCGGCAGGCGGAAGTACGTCCAGACGATGCAGATCAAGCTCGATCCCGCCCAGAAGAAGCCCGCCTTGGCGCCCCAGTTCCACGCCGAAGGGTTGAGCATGCGGGGGGTGATAATGTTGGTAATGAGGTTGGTCAGGTTGTAGAGGATGCGGGCAAGCACAACCGTCTTCGCGCGGAGGCGGTTGGAGCTCAACTCAGCGACGAGCGAGTAGCAAACGGGACCCACGGTGGCGTCGTAGATGAAGGTATACACCAAGAGGCAGCTGCCAATGGCCCATTGCGCGCCAGTATTGCTGCGGGAGATGATACCAAGGCAGCCGATGATGGTGAGCATGATGAACATGCCGATCTGGCCGCTGAAGTACAAGGTGCGGCGCCCACACCAGCCCATCAATGCCCACGAGAAGATGGTGCCAACGGCACCAAGAGCGTATTGGCCCATGGACATGGTAAAGCTGTTGTCGGTGCTCATGCCGGCCTGTTGGTAGAAGTAGGTGGAGAAGCCCATGAAGCTGCTGGCGCCGCAGAGCGTCTGAATGGCCCAGGTGCAGGCAACCACTTCAGTGCGCCTCAGATCCGTCTTTCTAAAGCAGTCCTTGTAGGAGGTGCCCACTGAGTTGGCCTTCTCGAGCTCATTGGTAAGCTCCATCATGGCAACCGTCTCGTCTGCGTTGAAATTGGGGTCCTTGTCGGACGAAGTAAGACGAATGAGTGCCTTCCTAGCATCATCGCGGCGGTCTCTGCGGATGAGCCACCATGGAGACTCAGGAGCGAAGCATAGGCCGATGATGATTGGGATGGGCCAGATCCACTGCAGGGCAAACGGAATCTTGTAACCCCACTTATCGCTCCGGGTGAGCATTCCACGGAGAACCGAAGAGGCGATCAACTGTCCGATTACCCAGCAAAGGTTGATGTAGGTGGTCAAGTAGGCGCGGAGGGCAACGGGACAGACTTCGGCAGCGTAAGTGGTAGTGATGGTCTGGAACACACCTAAGCTTGGTCAGTCTAAGCCAAGTGAAACACTAGCCACGGCGGAAACTCACCCCACGGGATTCCGCAAAGGATCTGACCAATAACGAGAGTGATGGCGTTCTCAGCGAAGAAAACAATGAAGATGAAGGCAATGACGGCAATCAAAGTTCCAATCATCGACTTCCTGTATCCGAATCTCTCTGCCACAATGCCATTGACCACGAGACCCATGATCTCGCCGATCAAGGAAGCAGTGCTGAGAGCTGTCTGCCATGCGGCAGTAAGCTGGTAGGTTCCGTCGGACAACTGGACACCAAAGGCCTTTTTGAAAGGCTCGTAGGCGAAAAGACTGTTGATCAGGACTTTGTCGAATCCTTCCATAATGATGCATGTCGACAAGAATATGGACCAGCCCACAGCGTATGGATAGGTCTTGAGACCTGTGGTGTCATCGTCAGACGATGGTGAAGTGTTTCATGGTGTGATGGTACCGACCTTGCCATAGGGTCATCTGTCGCTCGGCATGAGTGGCATTGGCGGCATCGCGAGCCAGATGCTCGAGATGATCATGGTTCACTGACATGCGTCGAACCTGGTCAGTGTCAATGGCCACGACCTTTGGCTCGGAAGCGTCCGTGTGGTTGGCAGTCTGCATGCTGACGGATCGAGTCCCGCTGCAGTGGGCAACAGATAGGAGGATTAGATAGCGCTCAACCAGAGTAGGGAGGTGGTAGTTGGCGGAGTGCAGGAATCAATGCAGTTCCAGAGGAATCCGGGGAACTATATAGCCGGGCGCGTGGTGTTTTAGCGACGTCTGCCGTGTTAGGGTAGCACAACCGAGTTCGAGCCCATATATGCGGCTCGCCACCGGACGACAAGGCTCTAGAAGGACGGGAGCGAGGCTAAAAACGCCTCCCTATTCTGGAGAAAGTAGCGCGGGCCGACATTGGGCGAATTGTGCAGCAAAGCAGCCCATATCCGGAGACTTGGCCGCTAAGCCTTGCAGAAGACGGGAGGACGCGGCACGCATCGAAAGAGCCGCCTGATCGTCTTGAATGTGCCGTGATCTTGGCGTGGAGTTACCCCAGATTTTCAGATTGAGCGTGGAGAAAGGGTGTTCCCCTCAGCGCGGTCCGACCTTGGGCGAATCGCAGCTGCCGTCGCCGAAAGCTCGGAGCCGAACCCATGTCGGGCCGACATTGCACCAATGACAGCGCGGCCAGCAACCCCGCTCCGCCCTGGATTTCCTCTGCAGCTTCCGGTTTGCGTAAATCAAACATGCGACGGTGGAGCGGTTGTGCATCTCTTGTGCGGAGCACCACGGTTTCCCAATTCCGGCCAGCAACAGCATTAGGCATAAAGAGGTGCTGCCACTCGACTCTGATCAGGATCAAGCCACCCTCCTCTTTTTGCCTTTGGTGCCTGCCGAGTCGCGCTTTCCATCACGCTTCCCGACCTGCCGGGTGCGTCACTACTGTCCACGCTTCCCCGGACGTCTTACCTGATCCTTCGTCCTTGCTTAGCCTCGCCGCGGCGCTCCGGCTGCTTCAGCTATAGCCCCGCGATATCTCGCCCTACCCCGGACCCCAGACTATCTCCCCCGCAAACTCTCCCGATTCGCGGACGCCACAAACGCCAACAGGAACGCAGCCAATCATGACCATCACCGAGCATCCCTGGTGGAAGAATGCCACCATCTACCAAATCTACCCGGCGAGTTTCAAAGACTCCAACGGAGACGGCCTGGGCGACCTTCCAGGCATCTTGTCCGAGATCGACTACATCAAGTCTCTTGGCGTTGACGCAATCTGGATCAGCCCCATGTACGACAGCCCTCAGTATGACATGGTAAGCAACAACCCTTTTCGCCCGTCTGACACGACCATGCTGACACGCTGCAGGGATACGACATTTCCGACTATGAGAAGGTCTATCCCCCATATGGCACGGTTGAGGACATGGAGCGCATCATCGAGGCCTCCCACGCACGCGGTATGCGTGTGCTGCTCGATCTTGTTGTGAACCACACCTCGCACGAGCACGCGTGGTTCAAGGAGGCGCGGTCGTCGAAGGAGAACCCCAAGCGCGACTGGTACGTCTGGAGGCCTGCCAAGTACGACGCGCAGGGCAACCGCAAGCCGCCGAACAACTGGCGCAGCAACTTCGGCGGCAGTGCCTGGGAGTGGGATGAAGCGACGCAGGAGTACTATCTGCACCTCTTTTGCCCGGAGCAGCCGGACTTGAACTGGGAGAACGCCGAGACCCGTGCCGCTATTTATGAGTCTGCAATGGAATTCTGGCTGCGGAAGGGAGTTGATGGCTTCCGTGTTGACACTGTGAATGTGGGTGCTTCTCCTTGGGACATTACCGTTTCCAACTTCCAACCCGCCCTGACCCGCTGCGTTATGCGGCTCTTGCACTCAAAGTTCCTTTGTTGTGTCTGAATTGCCATTGAAATCCGTCCAAACGATGGAACTGACCACGATGCAGATGTACAGCAAGCACCAAGACTTCGCCGACGCCGCCATCATCGACCCGCACACGCCGTGGCAACGCGCCTCGTCCATGTACTGCAACGGGCCGCGCATGCACGAGTTCCTGAGCGAGATGAACGACGTGCTGTCCAAGTACGGCGCCATGACGGTGGGCGAGCTGCCGCACACGCACGAGCGCGACCACGTGCTGCGCTACGTGTCGGCCTCCGCGCGGCAGCTGGACATGACCTTCATGTTCGATGTCGTCAACATCGGCTTCGGCTCCGACCAGCGCTTCGACACGGAGCCCCGCGCGTGGCGGCTGCGCGAACTCAAGGCCGCCGTGCTGCGCACCCAGGACATCATCGACGGCACCGACGCCTGGACCACCTCGTTCATCGAGAACCACGACCAGGCCCGCTCCATCTCCCGCTTCGGCTCCGACCGCTCCCCCCAGCTGCGTGACGTCAGCGGCAAGATGCTGGCCCTCTTGCTGTCGTCCCTGTCCGGCACCCTGTTCGTCTACCAGGGCCAGGAGATCGGCATGGTCAACGCCCCCGAGAGCTGGTCTATCGACGAGTACAAGGACGTCGATAGCAAGAACTTCTCCGCTTTCATGGAGGAGCGGTACAATGGCGAGGCGGCGCCCCGCGTCAAGGCTGCCCTGCAGCACCTTGCGCGCGACCATGCTCGCCTGCCTATGCAGTGGGATGCGTCGTACCAGGCTGGCTTCACAACCTCGGACAAGCCGTGGATGCGTGTGCACGACAACTACAAGGAAGTCAACGTGCAGACTGAGACGGCGAAGAAGGACTCCATCCTGGCTTTTTGGCGCCAGATGTTGCGCTTGCGGAAGGAGTTCGCGCCCAGCCTGGTGTTTGGAACGGTGCAGATCCACGATTTGGAGAATGAGAAGACTTTTGTGTTTGAGAAGAAGGGGAAGGGTCAGAGTGCTGTGGTGGCGCTGAACTTCACCGAAGAGGATGTCCCGGTCGAGGTACCTGGGAAGGCCGGAAAGAAGCTCGTGGCTAGTAATTATGAAGATGAGGTTGAGGGTCTGCTGAGGCCATTTGAGGGCAGGGTCTGGATTGGTTCGTGAGGAAGAGAAAGAAGGCAAGAAAGGAATGGCGTAGATGATGGCGTTGACAGAGCAGTACATCATGACTTATGACTTTTTCGTTTCTAGGTCTGGATACCTGGAGACCTCACTTGTTACATCCTGAGGAAGAGGGATTGAACAGAAATTGTTGAGGCAATTCTTCGAAGATAAGGCAAGGAGCTAGCATCCTGTTCAACAAATTGATCTTCTCTTTCATTAATTTTCCATCGTGTCTGCTAACAGTGTCCTCGAGTATCCATGAGAAGTATTTAACACTAAAACTGAGTCTCGAAGTTTGCTTCAACATCTCATGAAGCAAGAACGCAGACTTCTATTGGCATCTATAAACGGCTTTTTACTCTGTGATTCATAGAGTCTACACATCCCTTCATATGGAAGTGGAGCTGCTTTCCAAATGACAGCACTTTCGTACAGCCCTTGCAGGTATCCAGTCTCAGTACAAAACAATTGTAATGTGGTACCTATCTTAACCGTCTTTTTCCTCGATGTTTCCTTTGGCGATCCGACACTTTGACCCAATATTCGGCTCTAACGACTCTGCGCGGAGCATCAAGCCTAGTCCAAAACGTTCAATAGAAAATTTAGCTCTGGATCGTTGCTTCAATACATGTGTCAGACATTGCCTGTTGCTGTTCATGCAGTCTATTGAACAACATCACATGAGCAGACTTTAGAGGGTATATAGGTCGATAACCAACGCCTCTCTCTTTCACTAGTTGTACATGCTTCTCATCTTTTATTTTTATGAGAAGTCACCCACAGGTACTGAAGCAACTTGCGCTCTGGAAGGCGTACACTCCGAGAACGCGCAGGTGTATACAACCATGCGTATTGAAAGACACTCACTTCAATATGATGAGGCGCATCAAAAATGTCAAGCGTTTGTAGTCCTCATATTTTAATGATGCTGATAAATTACAGAATGTGATGATTATCATCAGCGAACTACAAGGGCCGGTGAAGTGTGATATCTATATCTTGCAGATATTTGGGGGCGACGGGCACGCAGTTTCTCATGTTTACTTCGTAGTCAATCTTGTAGACAAGATTGACTTGCTCTAGAAAGAAGTGTAAAGCAAACCTGAAGACAATATATATGCAAAAATAAGGACCATCTACACAAGCACGAGCCAACCCCAAACCATGCCAACTCTACGCCGCTATCGCCTGACTCTGCTTCTCATTCCGTTCCTTCTGCGCCACCCAACACGCGACCATCGCCTTAATCAGCTCCTCCGTAATTTCCGTCCCCTGCACCACATCCTCATCCTCCGGACACCCCGGCACATGCAAGAACAACACCGGCCGCTCCACCCCCTCCTGCTGCAGCACACCCTGCGCCTCCCTCTCGCACTCCCTCGCCCAAAACCACGCCAAACTCGTATAATAGCTAAACCCACAAAGATAACTCCCCACATTATCAAACGGCCTGATCGCCACCTTTCTCCTCCCCTTCCTCTCCCCACCACCACCACCCCCCCTCCTCCCCCTGGCCCCCTCACTCTCAACCCTCTCATCCCCCACCACCCCCTCCACCCTCTCACAACAACCCCCCCTCCACCCCTCCCACACCCCCGCGAAACCCAAGCCCGTCTCCAACCGCTCCGGGTAGCGCGGCCACGCGGCGTCGGACTCGGCGCTCGTCCAGCGGCGGCCGTCGACGTCGTCGTTGCGGGCGTAGCCGAGGCGGGCCGACGAGCGCTCGATGGCGAAAAAATCGCGGCCGGCGGCGAGGCCGATGTGGAGGACGAGGTCGGGGGCGTGGGTGGTGAGGAGTTCGGGCAGGATGGTGGCGGTGGGGTGGTAGGAGACGCGGAGAGGGGCCGGGGGAGTGATGATTTTGATTTTGGTGGGTGAAGGGGGTTTGGTGTTGGGAGCAGAGGGGGAGGAGGAGGGGATTGGTGGTTGGGGCGGCAGCGTGAGGTGCGAGGGGAGGCTGCGGGCGATTTCCCACGAGGGGTTTATGGGGAATTCGTCGAGGAAGGGCTGTGGGTTTTGTGGAAACCGGGTTGGTTACGAGGTTAGCTGTGTGGGTCGGGTTGGATTGGGTTGAGGAGTGAGTGGAAGGGTGTTGGTGGGGACGAAGGTTTTTGACTAGGGGGTGTTGATTTGATGTTGAGGAGGGGTGGGAGAGAGCGTAGTCGGCGCAGCAAGTATTGAAAGCGAGCGTGCGTTGATGCGAGAGTGGTAGGTATCAACGCCGATTTCCGGCCCGGACCGGCATCTCGCCCCACTTAAGCTACCGATGCGGTGTTTTGTGCAGTACTCGGGGAGAGGGGTCGTGGGTGCCAACAGATTTGAGCCATTGCGACGAGCATCCAGGCTCGTTCAATGGGTAGCTGAAGCAATTGTCCGGGCGTAAAGGTAGATTGAGAATCATACAAGAACGCCCAAACGATAGCTTCCACTTCTCACTCGACTCTTTCTTCTGGCACGCACGACGAAGGATTCAGGAGAGGAATGACGTATTGGAAATGATGAGAAATTGCAGTGGGAACGAGCGGGGAATAAGCAGACGCCGGAATCTGACCAATGCCAGCGCCGGGAGACACAAATTCAAGATCGGAGATACGAGACAAAGTATGTGAACTTACGCCAAATCCGGTGACGAGCACAGTGACCTCCCGCTCGGACGGTTCGGCACTTGGGACATCGGGGCGTGCGGCATCGGCATTCGAAGCTCGAATATCTCCCATGGTGGCGCAGGGTGGCGGAAGCAGGCGAGATGCAGTGAGCACTCAGGTGGGGAGGTTGGCTGATGCACACTCGTACGAAGGCAGCGATCTGCAATATCCGGAAGCTTCGACAAAGCTTGACGGGGATTTAGGGAGCGGGAAAGGCACAGAAGCTTCCTGGGGCCGTGGATGGGGCGTGGATGGGTTGTCGATAGGGCTTCGGGGCGAGTTCGGCAGAGTCTCGTGCGGTGTTGCGTGTGCAGGTGGCTCAGACCGAGTAATCCTGAATGACCGTGGGCTGCTCAGAGTAGCGACCGGATGAGAAGCTGAGGCTGAAGCTGAAGAAGGGTTGAGGAAGTTTGCTGGATGCACGGCGGACGATACCCCGCGTCATTAGCTGAGCGCGGCCATCATCCCACCGTTACGTCCGGGCGTCAGTCTGCCAATGAGAAGGCCTGATTCGGGGCGGCGGAGCTTGCTCCATGAGCAGCGGCACGATAGACTACCGGACTTCTCAACAATGATGCTTCGAGACAAGTTGCACGGTAGCGGGATAGGTTTCAGGCCGCCACAACGCCGCAATGTGGCTCTGAAAGACCATCACGTGCAGATCGGCGGGTTGGGTCACTGCGGCTCGCCGGAGCAGGTGCGGGATCCGACGCATCATCGCCCACACCCTAGCTATCATCGTGCACACCCCGACGACTGCAGCTTCGCACGACGCACTCCCCACTTGCCACTCCCGCGCAGAGCCGGCCTGCAGCTCACCCACATTCATTATGTGAATTTCTGCATGCGCGTCGCGACCGGCCGAGGTGGGCTTCGGGGAGCGAGCGCGCCCTCGACTCGGCGTCATAGTGCAGGGAGCTCGCCTCCGTACCCCATACCCGCGGCCCTCATCCGACGAAATCTACCAACCACAGCATTGGCAAAGGCACTGACCGGGCTTCATCCTTTTCGCTCCTCGTACGAAGCTTCTGTATATAACTTAGCATTGTCGCCTGGGAGCTCTCCTTTTCAACACCAGAGATACCCCGCATCTTCTCCATACCCCTCCCTTTTTCCCCTCAACTCCCGCGAACTTTCCCGCGCCTCTTCCGCTTCTCTCCTCTTTTTTCTTCCTTCCTGCCACTTCCGACACTCCAGAGCTTCGCCATGTCCACCGAACGCAATTTCAACATCGCCGTCGTCGGCGGCGGCATTGCCGGCGTCACCCTCACCATCGGCCTGGTGCGCCAAAACATCCCCGTCACCCTTTACGAATCCGCCCAAGCCTTTGGCGAGATAGGCGCAGGCGTTGCCATCGGCGCCAATGCTGCGCGCGCCATGTCGCTGATCGCCCCCGAGGTGCGGTCGGGCTTCGAGAAGGTCGCAACCTTCAACCTGTGGGACAGCAAGAAGCACATCTGGTTTGACTTCCGGCGCGGAATGGGCCACGGCGGCAGCGACGCCAACGCAAACCAGGGCGAGCTGATCTCCTCGGTGCCGGGGCCCTCGGGCCAGGCCGCCGTGCACCGCGCACACTTCCTCGACGCCATGGTCGACCTGGTGCCGGATAACGTCGCGAAGTTCGGAAAGAGGTTGGACCGTATCGAGACGCTGCCTGATGGCAACGTGAAGCTGCACTTCTTGGACGGCACCGAGGCCGTGCACAGCGCCGTCATTGGTTGCGACGGCATCAAGAGCCGCACCCGTCAGATCCTCCTCGGTGACGACCACCCCGCCGCAAAGGCCCGCTTCAGCGGCAAGTACGCCTACAGAGGCCTGATTCCCATGGAGAAGGCCGCCGAGCTGCTGGGCGACGAGCTGGCTCGCAACAGCCAAATGTACCTGGGTTACCACGGCCACGTGCTGACCTTCCCTATTGAGCACGGTGCCACCATGAACGGTATGTTTTTCCCCTGAAAAAAGATCAGCAATACATAGGAGACACAAGCATACTGACGATCAATCCTCGCAACAGTCGTCGCCTTCGCCAGCAGCAAAATCTGGGATGAGCCCAACTGGGTCGTGCCGACGACCAAGGAGGCGCTGCTCAACGACTTCGCCGGCTGGTCCAAGCACGTGCGCGACATCATGTCGCTGATGCAAAAGACGGACATCTGGGCCTTGTTCGAGCACCCGCCTGCGCCCTATTACACGCGCGACCGCATCTGCGTCATCGGCGACGCCGCCCACGCCACCACCCCGCACCAGGGCTCCGGCGCCGGCATGGCCGTCGAGGACGCCTGGCTCATGGCCGCCCTGCTGGCCGACGTGAAAGACGCCAAGGACGTCCAGGCGGCCTTTAACGCCTTCGAGAAGGTGCGCATCGACCGCACACACAGGCTCGTCACCACGAGCAACGAGGCCGGCCGCCTGTACGATTTCGAGCTGCCTGGCTGCGAGGACGATGTGAAGAAGATTGCCGCGAACTTGCAGTCGCGGATGAGCTGGATCTGGGAGGAGGATTTGGAGAGGGAGCTTGTGGATGCGAGGAAGGTCTTCAATGAGGAGGTTAGCAAGGCGAGTTTGTAGATGTTGTGCGATATCCTGTTTTATAAAAAAAATTTGGTAATGTTTGAATCATCGCTCTTTTGCGTTGGTGGTGAAAAGGAAAAACGGGGTGGATGGATAGGAAAGAAGAGTGCGAAGAGAACAGATGAAGAATAGATAAAGTGAGACAGAGCAAAGATCCAGGTGGAACGATATCGTGGCTCCGTGAGCGCATCTGGCGAATGAGGTTGAGGCTGGTGGATACGGTGCCTGACTCTGTGATACCCAGTTTTGTCATGATCCTACATATGCAGGGTACTCGTGTTCGGCACACTCCGAGATGTCCCTGCTCAAATTGGGCAGGTGGTAGTGTGATCTGAATAAAGCGCCTGTGACCTGGTTTGCTGGACGTTGGTTGGAGAGTCTTTATAAATAGTGTGCTTACTATGACTACATTATATTCCATCGTTGTGGTCCTGCTGGTCAATGGCAACGAACACAGAATCGATCACTTTTTGGCCGCCTTCTCTGCCTTCAGTTGCGGCAAAAGTGGGGCGAATCAGATTTAAGCCTTCCTCCATATTCAATGGGAATGTGAAGACTTTGTATGGTCTAATGCGACGTTTCTTCAGTATTCCATGATGAAGATGCGCAGCATTAGGGCCCGAAAGTACGCTTCGCACTCAAGACTTCTTGATCCCCCAGATGAGACGAACGCCGCTTCTCGAACGGCGTAGGGTCCACTTAGCAATTCCTCAAGCTGCAGCACAAGAAGAGAGTGGGGTGCTTTGTGATTGATTGTAGATAGACGGCGGAAGATCCTCGCTCGATCAGGGAATCGTCAGTTTAAGAAGCGCTTACGGGATTATATAGTGAGCTTTATCGCATATTCATGATCGACCATCACATGTACAGGCCGACACGTCCCGAGTTCGGATGCATGGCTGGGAAGTCATGCTTCCGTGCTCGACCCTACTTTAAATGCACCGCACGCTTCACATAAAGCTATTATTGTGTCATTCTACCAAGCAGTTCATTCACACAGAAGCTTTCATTCGAAGAGGAAACTCCAGACCGACTTTCGCGGCGGAGGCTGCTGCCTCGAACCTTTTCGACCTCCACGCGGGGATGTAATAATGCTACAGAGGGAGCGCTCAGCATCATTCATTGCTGACTGTCGTCAACATGATCAATTTTTGCAATGATAGACTGGAAGCACCACCGATTCCAATCTGCCATGGTGTACATGGTTAGATACTCTCATTAAACATCATCATTCTTCAACATAGATGAATTTATATAATGAGAGAAGATGAGATACTGCAGTGTCCGCTGATCTATCATGAAATATCTTCTCGAGAATTGAAAGTTGACAAAGTGGAGCCGAGAGCCCACAGAGTGATCAATCGGCCGCTGTAATTCAAACTGAATTTTTGAGTTACCAATTGCAGTGATATTCGTTCAACGGTAATTGCGTCCCGGGGGAAGACTTTTCAAGGTATCCGTCCACCCAATTACTGACTCATCGCACACGACATCCATTTTAACTTTGATACCACGTGCACAAAAGTCCGAGATCATCATACACACAGGCGTGAGGCCGTATACACCCTCGCTCTCGTGCTTAGTCGATCTTGATTCTTCAAACTCTAGTGATAGGCTAACACGCTCGTACTCGCCCAATAAGGTCTCCAAAATGACCCAAGAAACTTCTTCGTCCCGCCCAATAGTCTGCGTCAAGTTGAGCCCGAATTGTCCGCACACGAAAACGCCGAGCCTGCGAAATGAGGCATTAGCACTGTCTTTCCACTCTGAACTGCTTCCACGTCCATGGAATAGATGTTTTGACTTACCAATCGTCCCATCCGCATACGCATCAATGATCTGCTGCACAACGCCATACGTGCCTCCCACCAAAAAGAACAGACCCAGTATCACCAAAAACCAATGAAACCAATACCACGCCGCCTTCCTCACCCCTCCTGTTCTCCACTCCCCATGGTCAAACAACCACAACCACCCGGGCAAGGTAATCGCCAACGGCGCGAAGCAAATCGTCCCCGTCAGCGCCAACAGATAGTTAAAAATCGGAATACTCTGCGCGAGCACGAAGCTCAGCGCACCAAGCCCAAATACGCACGCCAACCACGTCGCCCAATGCACGAACGTATCCGCCTGAAGGTGCTTCGACCCACGCAGCAGGCGCACAAACACATACTTAGCCGCGACGTGCAAATACAAGCACGCCGACACGACCAAGCCCACCAACCCAACACCATACGCGACCTTCTTCACCGTCGGCCCCGCCGACCCCAACGACGGGCTAGCCACCCACATCCCACACCACCTATACACGACAAGCGAAAACGCCAAATACGACGCCGTGACAAACCCCATCGCCGCGTACAGCGCGCGCTTGAAATCGCGCGGCTCGCGCATCTCCGAGATGACCGGCAGGAACGCCGACGTGCCGGCCGACGACACGAAGATGGACGCCGACGCGACCATGCCGGCCGCGAAGCCCGGGTACATGACGGCGTGGTAGCCGAGCTCGTAGGGGCCCGTGGCGGGAGCGGCGGCGGGCCGTGAGCGCGTCGTCACGGCGATGACGATGATGAGGACGGCGGTGAAGATGGAGCCGAAGCCGGCCCAGGTTAGCCAGGCGATCTTTTCGAATTTGCGGACGGCGGCGGTGGCGCAGATGACGACGGTCGCGAGGAAGGCCCACCAGTTGGTGCAGGCGGCGTGCGTGGAGAGCGCGTTGATGCCGGTTGAGACGCCGATTATGCCCGAGCCGGCGCAGAGGATGTAGCTGGAGGGGGGGAATGTGTGAGCAGGTCGAGCTATTTGTTGGGGTGGTGGTGGGAGGGGCGAGAAATGGTCTGGCTTGTGCTTACGCGATGATGAAGAGAGCGCCGGTGATTTCCTTGCAGACGACGCCGCCGACGTGCTCAGCCATGTCGGCGATGGAATGGCAATGGGCATGTTTGTTCCTGAAGTTTCCCTGTATGACAGCTGTGTAGGTGTTTAAAGCGCCCCATCCGATGACTGAGAGTGCTCCGCCTACAGCGCCCAGACTATACATGGCCGTTGGGATGGACAAAACTCCGGTAGCAAAGATGATTTTGAGGAAGATGACGGTTGCTTTGACCTGTATCACTTTCTGTCAGATTCGTGCTATGAGAGCTTGGTTTGCGGGAACCTTACCCAGCCGACGGTTCTGAAATCAACGCCTTCGCCCTTTTTGAAGACTTCGAAATCATTTTCGACCTCTTTGTCATACGCAATCGCTTCTACATCTCCAACTCCACGGTCAGGTGGTGTTTGCGCAATATCAAGGCTTGATTTCTTCTCCGACATGGCGAAGAACGGGATGTTTTTCAAAAGAAAAGAAACTGGCCCAATTGCTTCAGGCACAAGGAAGAAAGATCAAAGAGAAGACGGAAAGCGGACGCAAGTTGATTCATGTAGTCACGGCATTGGGGATGTATGTAGTACTAAAGATCTTGTTATGGGCCGGAGATAGCAAATGATTGTCCCAGCCTGCAGATAACGGCCCACGGTGCCCAGTGGTCCATCCCACTTTTGGTACCTTGGCTTGGAGGATCAGCCATCAAGGTTGCAGGGCAGATGCAAGTTTCCCCTCCTTATCACTGCCAAGGCCCGATTTAATGATTCATGATGATTGGGTTTCACCAGCAATCATTGCTTTTTTCTGTACGCTGTTAGCTAATCAAGGGCGATCTGAAATCGGCCACAATTCCCGGGATAAATGTAGATTACCCCGCCCTGCATTGGCAGCCGTGAGTTGGCATTCGAGATTGTTGCGGGAAGTTTCCTCGCGAAGACCATTTTCCCATTACGCGACAAATTGTGGTGATGAAATCAGCTGGTCGTGCAAGATGGGGGGTACGGGATGCAGGAGGTTGAAATTGGGTTACGAGGGAAGCGGGAATCAGCCGCCACCCACTCTACGCGCCAATACTTTGAGGGCTGTGGCTGGACACCATAATTCGTCGGCACCACAGCACTTCCCTGCTCTCGGAGCCCTCGGAATCTAGGCTAGGTATCTGGTTATCTAGGTGTTCCCCTGCTCCAATGTCTGCCAGCGGATTTCCACAGCTCAATCGTTCTCGTGCACTTGGCTTGCCGGGTGACATTCCAGCGGGGATAGCGGTGCGGAAACAACGGCAACGTCAATCCCCACAAGCAGCAGTGAGTGCTCCACAGAAAGCCGGTTTCACTCAAGCGACTAACAGCGCTTTTCCCTAGACGTCCCGTGATGTGAAGAGTAATTATAGCCTTGGCCGCGGGGCACAGAGTCCCCGCTGATCGGAAGTATTGCCCGATGGTGCTGATAGGCGCCTCGGCCCGATGACTCTCGCGACAAAGTAACGAAGCCAGTCAAGAAGAAACAGCTTGCATAAATAAGCTGGGCTTGTTAGTCTGTGATTTTTTCTGAGTTTCTGACCGCTGTGTTCATAGTTGTAGGTCATGTCGAATCGAGTGACTTCACCGAGCCAGCTTCATAATCGAATCTTCCATCATTATCACATTTTCATGAGTTTGACTGACAATGAAGCGGAACAAGAGGCGCATACAAGTTCTCAATAACTACTTCGTTTCCTCGCTATATCTAGTCGTCATCTATCATTTGTACATACAAATGTCCTTAAGCATTTACGGGAAACGCTGATACCCATCAACATCAACACCCATTTCATCCTGCGTAAGGTTGTCCACAGTATAAACTCTGATAGACCGACACTGGAGGAAGTACGTCCGTTCTATGGAAGGGTACGGCGTTCATGGCCATGCAAAAAGTTAGAAGAGAAAGATCGTAAAATCTCCCATTGTTCATTGTTTTATAGAAGCCGTTTCGGTGGCATGCTGACTGCAGTCACGAGCAGGCGATGGTAGATACTTTCTATATTTTTAAATTCAGCAGGAATCGGCTCAGGGTCACCTGGGCGACTGAATACCGGTGGCTAACCCAACGATTGTGTATTAGCACCAGGCACTTTACATTGTCGTTCGACTAAGCCGCACAGCAACTACCTACCACAATGATCCACTCTCAGTTTCACTCCTACAACGATGTCGGTAATCTCGCCATATTCCACAGACCGGGCTGGGAGACCTTCGTCCCTGGAAAAGATCATCAATAAACCCGACAGCTCGGAACGGCCGAATCCAAGTGTGGAGACTGCCGAGCGTATTTGACAGGCACAGCACGGGATCTTCTCCAGACTTGTCATCCGCACTTCGGAACGCCGCTCGGATCAGGAATCACCGGGACGATTGTAAATTGCAAAAGGAAGCAAACGCCCCGCGCTCACTTCACTGTGGCGGGATTAGCCGTTTCACTGTAGGCACATACATACATAGCAAGCATGCCCCGCTTTCGGTCCTACAGTCTCTTGCTGTCTTCTCCGCTGTCGTAATACGCTCCTTGGCTCCGAAATTTCAAAGCTCGAAGATGTCGACAGACGCTCTCGCAGTGGATCCGCACGCCGATACCGCCGGCGTTGAAGATGACGACGATCTTGCCAGCGAGACAACCAGCGTGCAATCCAGCATCTACAAGTACCGCTACGAGAACGGACGTCGCTATCACGCCAGCAACAATGATGTCGGCAGCGGATACTGGGGACCCAACGACGAGAAAGCCAGCGAGCACCTCGACATCGCGCACAACCTGTGGCTGAAGACGCTGGACGACAAGCTCACGCTCGCGCCCCTGCCAGAAAAGATCGAGAAGGTCTTGGACGTCGGGTGCGGGACGGGCACATGGGCGATGTACGTTCTAATCCGTGCTCTCTCTTCCTTTCGCTCAATCGCCCTGCACAACCACAACCACCCACCCTCTTCTCCATCCGCATGATCTTCTTCTAACCCACGCCTCCCCTCCCCAGAGACTTCGCCGAGTCCCACCCCACCACCACCGTCCTCGGCACCGACATCTCCCCCGCCCAAGCACCCTCCTGGGCTCCCCCCAACTGCTCCTTCGAGATCAGCGACGCCAACGCCTACCCGTGGCCCTTCGCCGCCGGCACCTTCGACCTCGTGCACGTGCGGTCGCTCTTCGGCTGCGTCAGCGACTGGCCCGCCTTCTACCGCGAGTGCCTGCGCATTCTTAAACCCGGCGGTTACGTCGAGCACGTCGAGATGGGCCGGCTGTTCAAGTCGCCCGACAACTCACTACCGGCCGACGCGGCGCTGGTGCAGCTGGACGACTTCGGCAGGCGGGCGTGCGAGGCGATTGGGAAGCCGGGGGATGTGGTGTATCGGATGCGCGGGTGGTTGGAGGAGGGCGGGTGGAGCGATGTGGTGCAGAGGGAGTATGCGTGGCCGACGGGGCCGTGGCCGAGGGATCCGTGGATGAAGGAGGTTGGTAGGTGGAGTCGGCTGCATCTGGTTGAGGGCGTGGAGAATTGGTGCTTGGCGATGCTGACGAGGGTGCTGGGGTTTTCGTATGAGGGGGCGATGGAGTGGATTGAGAGGGTGAAGAGGGAGGTGAGGGATCCGAGGATTCATGCGTATCATGACATGTTTGTTTGTTATGCGCGGAAGCCGGTGGCGGCGGTCTGAGTGAGTGAGGGAAGGGAAGGGAAGGTGGGTGGGTGGTGAAAGAAAAAAAAAAGAATGACTGTCGATGGAAAGGGCAAAACTGAACCCCGCTACATGCGGGTTAAGCTCAGAAAGACTCCTTGGGACCGTCTTTTTTGTCTTCCCTAGCTCGTTTTCGAACCTTCGACCTCTTTATATTACCCACAGAGGACGGGTGGAGACTTGGGGTACCCTACATAAACCTTCAGGCTCTCATTTAACCAAGCTCCAACCTCTTCGAGCGTCACTAGCATATCAGAAGGGCTTGACTTACTGGCTTATATACTGCAATATCCTGCGAATAATCTAGGAACAGCTTCTCTTCCCGGGCGTCCACCGCCTGTTTTCCCTTTAAGGGTCTATTCCCAGTTAGCCGGAACTGACGCTGCTCAAGACCGGCGACCGTGTGGTCCATTTCTCACCGTAGGCATGGGGATAGGGCCAGGCTCTGGATCGTGCAATGGTATCCACCACTCGAACTTGCTCAACTGTGCTCCAACGTCATGTTGAGGTCATCGTGGACGTAGGGACGTGGAGTCAACCGCACTAAGATTTTTGGACATTGCTTAGATTTGATCTTCTCAAGCTGGTCCCGAGCAGACCGTAGAATCACCAGTAAGAAAATAGCCAAAAACTCAGTAATAAAAGAGGTCATTTTTTCCACCCTATCATGAAATGTTTGCGTACTTACCCCATCATTCCCAACTTCCCGTCGTTCAAGTGTACCACGTAACCTCCGGAATCTCATCCAACAACACCCACCTCCCCAACTCCCTGTTCTTATACGCCACCGGATCGTGCAGGGTATGCGTCCTGATATCCCTCCAAAACCGATCCAAGCCGACCTTCGCACTGGTCGCCTTGCTCCCCGTAACCTCAAACACACCACTCGTAACCTTCAAGCCCGTATCCGTCGTCACAACCTTGACGCTCGCAACCAGCTCCGCGAACTCGCCGCGCTGGCGGGCGGACAGCTCGGTGCGGTTGTCGCGGTGGCCGTGGGCCGGGTTGTGGTGGTTGAAGGTGGCGTAGAGCTTGGAGGCGGCGTGGCCGGCGCGGTCGGCCAGGGCGTCGGCGGCGGCCAGGTGCGCGTGGAAGTTGCCGTAGCGCTCGAGGATGTAGAACTCGTCGAGCGCTGACTCCTTGTTGTCGCCGCCAAACGGCCACGCGCGCGTGTTCTTGCGCGTGTAGGCCGCCGCGTGGTCGAGCGCGCCCTGCGCGATGCCGAGGTAGAAGTTGGAGAAGACGAGTTGGATGCTGTTGCGTCGTTTGTTAGCTTTGTTAACCAAAACTGAGAAGGGGATATACGTACGTCGGCAGTAGCAACGAGGAAAATGGAGTTCCCAAAACCTTCGGATCAGGCTTCCTCGTGGTGCTATCCCACCCCAGCACGTCTGTCCACGGCACCACGACGTTGTCGATTTTGACGCTACCGGACTCGGTCAAGCGCAGACCAACGTTGTCCCAGTTGTACGCGAACTGAATACCCGGCTGCTCCGTGCGAACAACGGTGAACATATGGTCATTAGTGCCCTCCAACACACCCTCCAGCACCGTCAGGTCAGAGATGACGCCACCGGTGTTGAAATTCTTGAAGCCATTGAAGATCAAGTTGTCGCCCGAGGGCGTAGCCTTCAGGTCGTTGTCGCGCGGGTTGACGGCGCCGCCCAGGAACAGGTTGTTGCCGACGATGTACTCTTGCAGCGCCTCGGCCTGCTCGGCGGAGCCGACGACGTTGGCGGTGGTGCTCCATAGAAGGTGGTAGCCTAGAAGCATGCCGATCGAGCTGTGAGACAATCGCCCCACCCGTCAGCAAGCGTGTCCCTCTCCAATTCGCGTGTGCCTTGCGCTTCCACCGCGGCGGTCCACGTCATTGGGGATCACTCACCCATCGCCCTTGGCGACCTCCCTAATGGCCCGGTAGCCGACCGCCCATGGCTGACCTCCGCCGCCATACTTCACGGGTCCGAGGAGCTTCAGCAGGCCCGAGTGCTTGAGAAGAGCGACTTCAGCGCGCGGCGTCTTGTTCTCGCGGTCGCGCTTCACGGCGTCCACGGCGAGAACGTCCTTGACCTCTGCCGCACGTTCGATCCATTCTTCAGCGGTGGTGGGGAGCTTCGACCACTTGAAGCGGTATTCTTCGTAGATGGCGGGGTCGGTAGCAGGGGGCGGGATGCCATCTATGTGACCATTGGCAGCCATTGTGAGGATATCGCGCTAGATGAGACGGGTACGAAAGAAAACAGCTGAGATGAGACGAGATGAAAGCTCAATTGGCAACCAATTGAGGGCCAACGGGGAGGGAAAACACAGACAATTGATGAGAGATGATGAGAGAGAAAATGTCAAGAAGAAACGCAAGTTCAAGACGCAGACATGGCAGCTATAACTATTCAAGACTGCGGGTCCGGAAGACGCGCTGCAGCGGAGCTGCGCGCAATGTCGCGATTCCACCCAAGCATCGCGAAGCGGGGGTCGTCGATGGTCTGAGCGATCTGCAGGGGTCAGCGTCGAGTGGCACTGCAGCTTCGTCCTGACTCCCGAGCTTGCTGTGATAAGCACCGTCGATAGGAGGGGCAGAGCGGGGGAAACGCGTCCGGATCACGGTTGGGGTTTACGCGCGCTGCATGTCGCAATCTTAGTCGTCCCTGACATCATAGCAGTCGTGCTTGGCACGTGATTTTCTCATCTAGCGATAGTAGGTATCACCAAAACTTGAGCCTCACAGGCTCGCGGTGCTACCCCGCTGAGCATTGGCAGGTCAGACTATTGATACCCATCTCGCTATTGCTCTTCCTCCAGTTTTCCGATCGATGAACCTCCAATCTTGCGGATACTCACGACGCAACCATGCTTAAAACAACAGACTTTGCTGGAAAGTTCAAACTTTCGCCATATCCTACCAGTTTTGCCAATGAATGGGTAAGCTTATTCTGCCGGCTGGGAAGCGAGTCAGACAGCTCTGTGCAACCATTGATCAACAAAATGAGCTACCGGATATCTGAACGGTAACTTCTCAGGCTCTTGATTGATCGCACGACGCCATTGATCAAACCCCAAAGGACAATTTACAATAAATTCGCTCAATTGTATCATCAACTATCCAGGCGAATTTTATACAATGAAAGCCGAAAGCAGAAAGGCAATGAAGCCGATGGTATCCTACGTCGCCTAAGAAACTTCAAATGTATCCTGTCCACAACGCCTTGGATCCGGGATTGGACTTGCTTCTACTATCCAATCATCCTAGCGCCGATTATGCATCCCTCAAAACCATGCAGCTGAAAATTATTATCCTCCTCCTCCTCTCGTCGCTAATTATGCATTCTTCATAGTTGGGTCTAAGCTTTCCCTCGGTTATCGTTTAACCGATAAACCACAGCTCAACTCCCATGACGTCGAACTTCTCGCCTTCGTCGCTGAGAGGCTCGTTGCCGAATGTAGGGCAGGAGCTGGAGATGCCGTTCTCGAGGTTGTCGTCTAACCAGAGGCCATAATGACCGTCACTGGTTGGAACAGGTCAGCATTACCGTTTCCACATAGGGCGGCAAGAACACTTACCCTCCGCCTACACTCAGAAACCCTGTCTCACAGAACATCATGTAATCGTTTACGCCGCTGTACGGGAATGCTTTGAATCTAATTCTCTCGGGTGTGCTAGCACCGCTGCCACCATTGCTCGGGGCATTCGAGTTGGGCGGGCTTAGGTGGTGTTTCGGCTGTGCTATTGTCGTCATGCGCTGGGCGTTTGTGGTATCGGCCGAGGGTGGCGGCGGGAGCGAGGCGAGGCTAGGCAGGCCAGGCAGGACGTGAGCCCGCCACAGGAAGCACTCGCCAGTGCCGAAGAAATGCGGGTTCGGGTGCGGAGCGTCAGTCAGGTATGCGCCAAATACCTAATCGATGTTAGCATTGCTGATTTCCTCGATGTGCTGAATTGGTGGGGGGGTTCGACTTACCCCGCCATCGCCGTCTCTAACAACCAAGACGTAGCCCCCACGCTTCCCTCTGAGCTCCTCGCAATTTTTGTACAGCGTCGCTAAGCTGACGCCGTCCTGTTCCAAGCTGTACGCGAGCTTCCACGTTTCCACCAGCTGCAGGCGCGGCGGGATCAGCAGCCGGATCTCCTCGGCGAGTTGGCGCGACAGCAGCTTCGAGCGGTCGCTCGTGCCCTCCTTCCAGCCCTCCAGATTCAAGGGCGACAGCGGCGGCGGCTGGAACGGCGAGGCCTGGCGCCGCGGCGGCGTGTAGACGCCAGGCACACGGCTGGTGTTCGGTTTCAGGCCGCCCATGGAGGCCGACGACAAGTCGTTCGACGACGAGGGCTCGGTCGAGATGCGCCGCAGCAGGCCGGAGACGGTGCGCGAGACGGGGTAGGTGAAGAAGGAGCCGGCCGAGTAGCGGTTGGTGTTGTTGGACGAGCTGGAGCGGCCCGCCTGCTGGCGGGAGGGGCGCTGTGGCTCACCACCAACGTCCGACGACGAGATCGGGGCGTAGGCCGACATGTGCTGCTGCGGGGGAGGATGCGGGTGCTTGCGGCGAGGATTGGCCAATCGGTTGTGGGTGGGTGTCGCGTGCTGGTGGCTCCTTCGTGACCGGCCGGGAACGAGCGTGGAGAAGTTGGCGTAGGCAAACAGAGGGTGAGCTGATGTGCTTGTTGCGACCAAGTTTCATAGGCCAAGCCGGCCGACCCCAGAATGTGGCCTGAGCTCCCAGCCACCAAAGACGTAGGGCTGAGTCTGGCCGCGGGCATTCCTTCGCTGCGTGTCGATATTAGTTCCTTTTTTGTTTTCAGCGACCGCCGCAACTAGCCGCGCCGCGCTTGTGTCTCCTACCTCGACCCCGAACTCCCACCGTCTTTATACCTCGCGCAAAGCCAGAGCCAAGCCTCAAGAATTGCCTTTTCCGGACACCTGCACTACGTTACGTAAAGAATCGTGCAGTAGGCTGAGTATTTTGCTGGGCATTACAAACCTCCGATGCCAAGACTCCAGACATGCTTCTCTTCTCAAGTAAAAATCCCGATGAGTTGGCCATTGAAGCTGGGCATTACTAACTTTCCCGCCGTTGGATGGTTTACACGAATCGTTACATAAGCGCATCACTGCGCTCCACTCTGTTATATCATGGGCAAGCTTCTAGGTCACTGTTCCCGGCTGATTTTTGCCTTTCGTCTCTCAAACTCGGTGGCACGGGGAAGCTTGGCGGATAGGCCTCTCGCCAGAAGTTGCGAACATAGATGTTGTGTCCTGATCTCCACGGTCCTATTTCTTAAAATGCCACGAAAGCAACACATCCTTATACCATGTGTACTTGAAGCTATCGTCCGGGCGTGAATGTATAATTAATTAGGACAAGGGATAATTTCTTTTCACCTTGGATATGTTGTGAACCAATAATACTAGAATTAGCTACGGCAGCTACTTGTCTGTTGTAAACCCCTCCATAGAAATGAGTGAATCAGTCACTAGTCCGCCCAAAGCACGAGGCAGCATTCTTTAACAACGGCTCCTACACAATCTAGCCAACAAAATGACAGCCGTATTGCCTCCCCCGTTCTCTCTACTAGAACATCCATTGTATCCTTGCATTTTTCCCACTTATCCCTCAATTTCTCCCGCGTGGCCCTCAGTGCCTCCCTGCACCTCTCCGGCATGGCTCTCAGTGTCTCTTTGCACTTCTCACACCTGGCCGTCAGTGTCTCTCTGCACCTCTCCCGCGTGGCCCTCAGTCTCTCCTTGCACCTCTCCCACTTGGCTTTTAGTTTCTCTCTCCGAGATAGCGGCTGGTCATCATCCGAAGACGTTTCTGACCAGAACGACTGATATGCGGCCGCTCCGTCAGTAATGGGTACCATAGTCTCAGGGCTGCTTGTTGGCTCTGCAGTGTTGCGGATCTCTGGTGGAGGATTGTTTCCTGCTGATTCGGAGTTGTTCGGTGGTTGGCTCCCTAGGGATGTGCGATGCGGGTCGTTTTCTGCGGGCCCAGAGTTGCTCGGCGGTTGAGACCTTTCATCGTTGCCGCCTTCTGGTGGCATCCTGGTTTCTGTTTCTTCAGGGTTGCTTTCACCCGGCGTTTGAGCCTCCGTGTTGTTGCCTTCCTGTGTTGGTGTATCATGTTTTCTTTCTTGAGGATCACTGTCCAGCTTTCGAGGCTCCTCATCCGTGTCGTCCTCCGGTGTGCTGTCATCTACCCCTTCAGGGTCTTTGTTCACTACTCGGAGCTCCGTGTGTCCGGGGATATATTCCGATCGAATATACTCTGGTTCTATGGAGTCGGTCGTCGCTGTCTCGTAACTGTTCCTTGGTGGCTGGTATCCTTCTATTGCCTCAGGTTTTCTCTCTTGCAGCTGAAAGTCTTTGCCATTATCGTCACTCGGGGTTGGATTGCCGAGACGGGGGTCTGGGTCCTCTTGTACTGAATTCTCTTGTGCTTGATTATCTTGTACTGAGTCCTTTTGTACTGGATCTTCCGGCACCGGTATTTCTGGTAGTGAATGTTCTGGCGTCTGCTGTTCTGGTGGAGGCTGCCCGGGAAAGTGTTGTTCGGGAGCGAGCTGTCTGCTTACGGGCTTTATGGGCATTGGATGTTGGAGCTCTGGCTGTTTCGACATTGGTAAGGATGATCCTGGGTATTCTGTTTCTCGATATTTTGGCACTGTGACTTTTGCTGTTGGAATAATAATGACTGGCCGTTATTATCCTGGACGTTGATCTGGTGGTCGTGAACCGGGACTCTTGGAACCGCTGGCACCACGACCCCGAGGCCAACGAACGCGGCAGCAACGAGCGGGCAGTGATATACCGCCTCGCACCCGCCATATTGCATAGCGAAGGCAAGTAGGAGCGCCTGGGCTTCGAGTTCAAGCTGAGCAACTGCATGCTTTCGCCAACCTGCTCGCCGCATACCTAGAGGCCAATGCCATCGTGAACGAACGCCTCGTGGATGCATGGTACGACATCGACGCGCTCTATAGTTTCCATAATCCGCGCCATAATGGAGAGCATCTGCGCAGTTTTTAAGATTCGTAAGTTCTGGTACCACCGCGCCTTCTAGCACGATATTTGGCCCCCTTTATGACGACAGCTTCGAGCTCAACACAAAAGACCGAATACGCCAAGCATTATGAGAGGGTACGCCATCTCATGCCTGCTGACCACCATCCCTTGCCGGCGGACCGCCGTCTCGAGTAGATGGTGACCAATGGCTGGAGTGACGTCGCTCGTGATCATCATCAGCGTGATCCGTGATTGGCGAAACTGAAGAAAGTGTCGGTCGATAGCTGCCGGATTGCGCAGTGCTATGGAAAGAATGGAAACGACATCGCTGTGGTTGTGGCTTATCGAATCAAGAAGTCCTTATGGAGAGAGGTGCGAAGCGCCCGAACCCTCCTTCCTGCTATAGGCGGGGAATTGCTGTCCTTTCGAATCTGTAGCCCGCCCAAGGTAGAAGCGGTTACCTGCACCGAGAGCCAGACGGAGGCTATTAGTCCAGCTGGCCATGCGGCGAGTAGGAGTAGAAGGATTTCCGAAGCAAGAGGCAATGATGACGATCATTACTACGTAGCATTTCCTTGAAAAAACAGAGTGGAAGAGAGACCTTCAATTGACAATGGTATCGTTGTTGATTGATAAAGGCCCTAGGATGAAGGGCCTCGATAGTTTCGAAGTAGCATTTAAGTTGTGCCAACTTCGTTGTCCAAGAACTCGAAAGTTTGGCTTCTAGCGGCTATGGTTTGGTGTATAGCCTAAACACAGCGTCGCGCGTGTGATTGCGTGCCCCATTCTTCTACCAACACATATTTTTGGCATCTATCCCACTTTCACAGGGACAATATTTCAGTGGCGCCATCGTTGGATGTGGACTGCGATAATCAAGAGCCACCTCATGCGGCGGCAGGCTGCTGCAGCTGCTGCATCTCAGTTTGCAGAGTGATGATCTGTGAAATGTCAGCACCCCTTTCAAGGCTCGAAAATGGGGGCAAGCCAACCTCAATCTTCTTCTTCTCGCTGCGCTCCTGTATCTCGCTGATCTGTCCCTCGATGCGCTTGCTACAGTCGTTGTTAGTCTGGACATTTCCAAACTACGTGATATTGCAACGAATGCTTACATCTCTTTCTCAATAAACTCCAAGCGCCCGCTCACAGCCAAAACGGCCTCGGATTTGTCCTGCTTCAGCAACACGGGGCCCACGAGCTTGTAGATGTTGGCATCGTCGGCGATCTTCTCGAACTCCTAGTAGCGTGGGTGAGCGAAAGGTCGGCATGGCGATTTCGAGGGCGCGAACCTGCTGAACGCCCTTGTTCTCTTGTTGTTGCGACTCGAGTTTCTGGCGACCATCGACAACGCTCTGCAGTTCTGCGAAAGCATTAGCAAGGGCGGTAGCAAACGAAGCGGGGGGACAACGCACCACTCTGGAGCTTCTGGAACTCGTCAGTGAGGTCCTGCAGCTTCTTCTGCTGCTCCGCCATCTCCGCAAGTGGTGTCGAAGCCGATTGAAGGAATGGGTGCGGTGGGAGGGGTTTCGCGGGCGGTGGTGGACGGAGAGAGCCTGGTGCCTTGGCATTCGCGGGGCGGCAGTGACATCGGCCCTGCTGCGTGCCTCTGCGTCCGCTCGCCGCTCCAGCTCAAAGCGCAACAACTCTGCCTTGCTCACCCCATCCGTGCTGTTACGCTTCTCGTCGGTAAATTTTCGCTTCGTTCCCCACTTGGGCCATGACTGACATTCTCAGGCGCGCACTTCTCCCTATCTGCGCTCCAGCTCGCGCCCCAAACGCTGCCCTAGCAACCGCCCGCTGATCGCTCTATAAACGCCGACATCTGCTGCATCACCGCGCAGGCGCCAGAGCCTCGACGACAGCGAACCCTGCACAGCTACTCTGCCAAACCTGGTCACATTTCGTGCCCCCGAGTCTGCGACATCGAAAACGTAGCGCACTTGTAGACGCGTAGCCAACTTTACCAGCTCACAATGAGCGGCACCGACTTCCTCGGCCGCGCTATCGACGTGGTCAAGAAGGCAATCGAGAAGGATACCAATGGCGACTATGAAACTGCCTACCAGCTGTACTACCAGGCTCTCGAGCTGTTCATGCTGGCTCTGAAGTGGGAGAAAAATCCAAAGTCCAAAGAGATGATCCGCGCCAAGGTTGGCGAGTACATGGAACGCGCCGAAAAGCTCAAGAACCACCTCGCTGAGAACGACACCAATAATCGAAAGAAACCTGGTGCGATAGGCGCGAACGGCAAGGTCGCCGGTGGCAGTGGGAAGGGTCAGGGTGGTGGTGACGACGAGGAAGACGCCGATTCCAAGAAGCTGCGCGGTGCGCTCGCCGGCGCCATCCTGTCGGAGAAGCCGAATGTTAGGTGGGAAGATGTTGCTGGCTTGGATCAGGCGAAGGAGGCGCTGAAGGAGGCCGTTATATTACCCATCAAGTTCCCCCACCTGTTTACGGGCAAGAGACAGCCGTGGAAAGGTATCCTGATGTACGGCCCGCCCGGTACCGGTAAGAGTTACTTGGCCAAGGCGGTCGCCACAGAGGCAAACAGCACTTTCTTCAGCGTCAGCAGTAGTGACCTGGTTTCGAAGTGGATGGGAGAGAGTGAACGGTAGGTCCCAATTTTCCCCCCTCGCTTTCAATTCTAACTAGTGCATAGTCTCGTCAAGCAATTGTTCAACATGGCAAGGGAGAACAAGCCCTCGATTATCTTCATTGACGAAATCGACGCTCTGTGTGGTCCTCGTGGAGAGGGTGAATCGGAGGCATCAAGACGTATCAAGACGGAACTTCTGGTGCAAATGGACGGTGTTGGCAAGGATTCCAAGGGTGTTCTGATTCTTGGCGCAACAAACATCCCATGGCAGCTCGATGCCGCCATTAGGAGACGTTTCCAGAGGCGTGTCCATATCAGCTTGCCCGATCTTCCTGCAAGAATGAAGATGTTCGAGCTTGCAGTTGGCACTACGCCATGCCACCTGAAGCCCGAGGACTACAGAGAACTTGGCCGACTAAGCGAGGGATACTCGGGTAGCGATATCAGCATCGCTGTGCAGGATGCGCTGATGCAGCCGGTGCGAAAGATCCAAACGGCAACGCACTACAAGAAGGTATGGGCATGAATTCTTGTTTGCGAGTTTTTCTTACTAATCTATTTGTCAGGTCATGGTGGAGGGTGAGGAGAAGCTCACCCCTTGCTCGCCGGGCGACGCTGGAGCAATGGAGATGCAATGGACGGAGGTAGAATCTGACCAGCTTCTGGAGCCTCCGCTCATGCTGAAGGACTTCGTCAAGGCCATCAAGAGCTCGAGGCCTACGGTCAGCGGAGAAGATCTCACAAGAAACGCAGAATGGACCAAGGAGTTCGGTAGCGAGGGTAACTAAGAAGGCGGCAGTAAGAATGGTTTTTGTTTTGCGTACATAGCGGCTGGGTGGATGGGCGTTTTACTGTAGCTACGGAGAGCATCATATACCAAGTGCACGGGGCAGCACGAGTCAGGACGTGGACCCTTGCTTGCTGGCATCCTCCTCCGCCGCATCCTCCGCATCCTGTCCCCTTCTGACCCTCACCTGATCGTCTGTTGTTTACTTGCGGTCGCGCTGTGGGCTGCTGTGGAATGTTCATCTGCAAACTCCGAGGCTTCCCAGATTGATCCTTCGATAGTCCGTCTTCTTGAGCACAAACGCACGTCAGCTTCCTTTGAGCTCCGCGTCAACCCCGGAAGCTAGCTCCAAAAGCAACAACACCATGTTGTGCAACCTAGCATTGGCAGCTGCCTGCCTGTTCGCCCACCAAGCAAGCTGCCATGATGCAAGCAGCCATTCTTCCGCAGCCGGCGCTCCCGCAAAAAGGGTCGCCGTCATAGGTACGCACACAGCAGCCTAGCTCCGCCCGTCAAGCTCCCCCCGTTACCGTCGAACTACGCATCGAATGACGGGGTTGACGGCTGACACCACACCTGCCCGTAGGCGCCGGCGCCGGTGGCTCGTCCGCCGCCTACCATCTGTCCGAGTTTGCCTCGTGGGCCGGCATCCCAACCAACATCACCGTCTTCGAGCGGGCGCCCTACATCGGCGGGCGCTCGACGACCGTCCACGCGTACGATGCGCCCTCCATCCCCGTCGAGCTCGGCGCGACCATCTTCGTCCAGGTCAATACGATCCTGATGGATGCGGTGGCGCGCTTCAACTTGTCGTCGGATGGCTTCGGCACCGCCATTGTCGACGACGACGAGGAGGACGATAAAGAGCGGGATTTCCTGGGCGTCTGGGACGGGCATAAATTTGTCTTGACCACCCCTGAGGATATGGGATGGTGGGATAAGGCGCGGATGCTGTGGAAATACGGGCTTGCGCCGATACGCACCATGCAGCTGATGAAGAAGACGGTGGGCGCATTCCTGGAGATGTATCAGGAGCCGCATTTCCCGTGGACTTCATTGTCGGAAAAGGCACATGAGCTGGGACTAGTGGAGGCGTCTGCGGCGACAGGAACGGAGTTCCTGAGAAAGAATGGGATTGGGGAAGCTTTTGCACATGATGTGGTGCAGGCAAGGTATTCAATCACGTCAACTTGATATACAAGACAACAGCTAACTAAAGTCTACAGCACCCGCGTCAATTACGCTCAAAACTTACCCCTCGTCAATGGACTCATCTCCATGGTCTGCATGGCCACCGATGGCGCCATGAGCGTCGACGGCGGCAATTGGCAGATCTTCTCCAACATGGCCACCGTCGCGACCAAGGACATCCGGCTCAACACTTCCGTCTCCGCCATAGCCAAGCAGTCTGACGGCACGTACAAGCTCACACCGAAGGATGCATCCACCAACGAGCTGCAAGCGTCGGAAGACTTCGACGCCGTCATCCTCGCGGCGCCCTACCAGTTCGCCGACATCGACTTTACGCCGCAGCCCCAGCACGTGCCGGACACCATCCCCTACGTCCAGCTGCACGTCACGCTCTTCACCTCGCCGCACCGCCTCGCGGCGTCAGCCTTCAACCTGCCGCCGGGCTCGCCGGTCCCGCAAGTCATCCTGACGACGCTCGCGCCGGGCGACGTGCCCAACGACGACAGGGACGCAGACCTGCCCAACAAGTCGCACGTCGGCAGCGCCGGCTTCTTCAGCATCAGCACGCTGCGCGCGGTGCGCAACCCCGCCACCGGTCGCCGCGAGTTCCTGTACAAGGTCTTCTCGCCCGCGCCCGTCACCGGCGCCTTCCTGGCCAAGATCCTCGGCGTGCGCACCGACTTTGACGACGGCGAGAGCGACCTCGGCGAGGACGTCGTCGGCCGCCAGGGCGACGTGACGTGGGTTCACCGCAAGGTGTGGCACAGCTACCCTTACGAATTCCCGCGCGTCACGTTTGAGGAGTTGAAGCTGGATGAGGGGCTGTGGTACACGAGCGCGATTGAGGGCTTCATCAGCACGATGGAGACGAGTGCGCTGGCTGGGAAGAATGTAGCGAAGCTGGTGGTTGATGGGTGGGTTGGTGGTGATGAGAAGGGTGCGGATGGCGCGGAGGGTGATGAGGGTGATGAGGAGGGCGTGAAGGAGCTCTGAGAAGCTTTGGAGAACCCCCCTGAAGGAACGGTTTAGCCTCTGAAGGGGTGATGATCATGTTGGGATTAGAGAAGGGGTCTTGACTAGAGCAGAGAATAGGGGATTCGCGAATCGGCTTATTTCATGAGATGGATGCAGGTTGGAGATTTGGAAGGGCGGAGAGTAAGCCGGGTTTGTTGATCAATCGCTACGTTACGAATTCTAGAAACACTGGTTCTTCCTTCGCAAGGCGGCCATCATACATGTTCCCTTCCATCTTGCCGATCTGTCAGAGAAACATTACCAACCCCTCCTCCAGCATCAGCCCTACCCCATATTAAAACCAACACCGCTGACTCGTCTACCGAGATGCGCACAGAAGAACATCGAACCAGTTCCCTTCGTATTCGGCAAGCTAAGAACTGCCGACCCTTCTGACAACGACGATTACAACAACTGTTGTGTCACCTTTCTGGCTGCCTCGCCTCCGCTCCACCACATCATGAATGACTCGTCTGGACGCGTCGGCGTCGCGGCTGTGTGCATTTTATCTCTAACAGAGCCGACTTGCGGGTTTTTTTGCGATTTAATATGAGCATAGATTGTTGTTCTCCACATCGTCTGCGACGACGGCGGCTTTGCGTTGGGCATGAAGTCTACCTTGAAGGTTTGGGCCGGAGAGGAGAGCCGAAGGTCGAGGAATGGAGGTGGATCGTGCGGCTTAGCTAAGACGGGACAGGGAGGAAGGTAGAATCATGGGCACACGATGGATTGCATAATGTTTTGTACTTCCTATGAACGATGCTGCACTCCTCACTGATGGGTAGTCAAAGCAAAACGGCGAGAAGTAGATGTTTCGCATCTGTTCAGATGCAACTGGGTCCTTGGATTCAACTACCCACGCCAGCAGGGTGCAATATCTTTAGCAAGGTAGGAGTTGCAATGCTAACTTTTTCTGCGCGTCGCCGAGGGTAGAGGGGAGTAGAGCAAAGAGGAGGAAATGATTGCTCAGGACAATGAGAGAGCAGTTTTCTTGCTCTATTCTCTCCACTCCCCTTTTGCATACGCGTTGCTTCCTCATCCAAATGAACTATTGAGTCAAGTAGCATATTGACCAACTCCTCGTCTGCTTCTTCTTCGGCCGCAACATGAGGTGGAGAGTAATACCAAGCCAAGCTAAACCAAGCCACAAGCGTTCCACGGATCTTTCCTTCAAGCAGGCGAACCGTGGCTGCACGATGCATCTAGATCAAACACGTGGCTGTCAGTCCGATCATTATGGCTGAGCCACATAGCCCTCATTCTAGTCCACCTCCCGAAAAAAGTGCGCGTTGCGCGAAGAATCGAGTCAGAAAGGCAAAGGTGGAAGAGGCTGAGGGGGCGGGAACATTCTACGGAGAAATAGCGAAACGACGGCATTTTCCATGAGAGGATGAGGAATCTCCCGAAAAGGAAGGCATTTTGGCGCAAGGCCGGGAAATCATCACAGACTACTGATTTCTCTTCTCGTTCTGAGAGTCGATGAAATGGCGTTGAAAATAGCAGCAAGGAAATAATGGGCGAAAGATGAGTGAGTGGAGAGGGAAAACGGTGTTTTGATGCTCCTGTCGCACCTAGAATTACTAATGCCAGACGGCGTCAATCGTCGGCCGTCGGCAATTGATCCGCTTCGGCAACATCGGCCGGTTTGTGGGCACTTCGCCTTTGGACCGTTGTGAAAAGAAAAGACTTGGCCTACTGTGGAAAGGTAAAACCTTAAAAATTTCCCCGCGGAAAGGAGATAATGGTGTGATGTTTGCCGGTGTCGGACCGTAAAGATGGATGGTGAAGTGGAGACTGGAGAAGGAGAGGAAGAAAATGATGATTTTTGATGTGTTAGTGCGTACAGTAATACTTACGCGTCGTCCTTCCCGCGGGCCGGTCGTTGCAGGCGCGGTTGGATGCGCGCGATTTACCGCACGTGGGATGGTTCGCGCAAGCCACCCCGCCGACTTGGCCCGGCGCGTTGCAACTAGTGTCCTAGCAGAATTGAGAGGATGCTTCTTCGTATTGTGCTTCTGTTGTTCGGTCGAAGTGGCTGTACAGATCAGTGATGTACGGAACCAGTACTCCTAAGTAGCGTCGCGACCTGGGTATTGCTTTTTCTGGTACATGTTGCGCCGCAGGGCGGATAATTTGCTCACCTGTGCGGCAAAGCACCTCGATTCTAGAAGCTTGTGTTCGCGCGGGTGGCTTCGGCCAATGATCCGTAATCTAATCAGTCATACGGAGTATTCCACGGGATCCGTTCGGAGAGGCGTTCCGAATTTTGGAGAACGGGAATCGATGAAAGGTAACGGACCATTTGAGTACCTGTGAGCTTGGAGTATTTTGAGTGCTGGATGAAATGGTGCAGAAGGTGGTTCGACATGCGGTAGGATTCGATAAGGAACTTGGCAGGTTCCAGGGGCGTCATTGGCGGCCGTCAAATTCCAGGCAGAAAAAGACAAGATGAAGTAGTGCGATGTAGATTGTGGCTGCGGCAGATTGAAGGATGCGGCAGGTGTTTTGCTGCGGAGACATGTGCCGTGTCTTGCATGATGCAGGACCGTTGGTTGCTGTACCGCCAAAGGGGGGCTTGCCAGTGCTGAGATCTGTGGACGACAAAGTCTGCCGCTGCAGAAGAGTCTCTATTTGGAAGCTGCTTTGCATATCTCAGTACGAAATGGACCGATCGGATCTCGCAAGCTGGGAACCGAAGCACCTGGCCGTCGTCACACAGGAGCCCCATCTTTCTTGTCATCACACCCCATAGATCTGCAGGAGCTACCTCTCCTACGGTGATATTCCGCTGTGGGGGAGGGGGCCAAAGAAACAGCCGACTCCCAGAGCGACGGCGCGGCCGCTCGGGACAGCAGTTGAACACCACGGCGACGGCCAACCAACCATGGGACGACGAGCAACAAGTACGGCCGAGGACGAGCGAAGATGGTCCGCTCGGATGGGGCCCCTTTTGGATCGGGTGAAGTCTGTCTCGACACAAGCCGAGAAGGCGTTGAACGAAGGGACCGACCTGGTGGTAAACGTGGCGCCCTCGCTGGCCAGACCAGCGACGGAAGATAGCGGAGCGTAGATTTGATGCAAGTCCTAGCGCGAGGGAAGCGGGCCGGGGCTGGCGTTGATTGGGGCAGGAGCCGCGTCAGAAGGAAGAATTGCAGCTGAAGCCGCTGCGTGCGGCTGAGGGGTGGCGCGCATTCGTCTCCGGCGCCGGAGTTTGTATTTTGTCAAGTGCCGCTCTTTCGATCGGCAGCGCTGCCGTGACCGTCAGCCGGTAGCAAGGCGGTTGGCCCTGCTGATCGCTGTGCTACTCGTGACAGCCACGCAGGCAGTGGACTGGGTTGCAGTGGTGTTGGAATGGTGCCGGAGGCAGTCTGCCGCCGGGCTCGGGGAATGACTCGCTTAGGGCAGGCGCAAATCAGTGATTCGCCTCGCCTGCCACGTTCTGTTGCTGCAACCGGCAAAGTGTCGGCCTCAACGTCTTCATTGCGTCTGCGCGCCATCGCCCAGGACCCACCCATGCCTACGCCTCATCACCGCAGGGCTCACCAGCTCGCGCGCCGCCCGCCTGATAGGGCAGGCCCCAAAATGGCGACGCGCTCTCCACAGGCCAATGACGCCTCCGCCAGGGACCATCCGAGCCAGGCCAGCGGTACGCCCGGCCAGGGACCCGCCCCGGAAGCAGCCCTTTAAGCTGCTGTGTCGCTTGGAAATGCTTGCATCGCCTCTCTGTCTTTACGTCCTCGTTCCGTTGGTTGACTCCCGTCTGGCCAAGGGAGTCATGCCGTGAACACAGGCAACAGCTGCCCCTCGCGTTCCACAACCTCATCTCACCACCGTCGTTGCATCAGCATAAACTTTCAGCCCGAGTCAGCTTCATTCACCGCGTCTTGTCTCCAGCCCTCGTCATTCTGTGAGTATGTGCACCGTGGATCCCTATAGACAACACATCTTTTCCACTTCCGGCACAGCGCCCCAAACTCTCTGCCCAATCCTGTCCTTGCACCGCGCCCGAATATTGATTTTCGTCCTGCGACACCTTTCTGGCCACTGCAAAAAGACCCACACCAATCATCGTCACTGCCCGAAGAGAAGCACGAACTCACGCCGCACAAGCTGCAGTCATCCGGACTTCCCGTGCCCTCTTGTGTCCTCCGCTCTCTCCGCTCTTTGCTCCAGACCTCAGCTCAATACACGCCCCGCTGCGAATTTATCTTCGGGCCTCCCGCTCCCGTTCCCGCCCTTCGCGCCGCCCAGTCAAAGCTTCCCGACCTGAATGCGGAGGTAGACCCGGGGGCTCCGCTTAGTCCCGCCCTTGAACTCATTCGACCAAGCCGTTCCGACTCGGCAAACTTCATCTCACCATGGCCAAGGGAGACCCCAGCCATGCCGAAGTGCTCGTGGAGAGCATTTGCTTTTACGTCTTCGCTCTTGTCTTCTTCATTGGCAGGCTGTAAGTCAATTGGCTTCAAACGCTTGGTCGTTGTCTGACTGGTCCTAGTTGGTCGAGAGCAATTACTACAGGATCCATCAGGAGACTTGCTTGTGGGTCCCTCTCAAGTCCCAAGACAGCCACCACATGCTGACCAAGTCACAGCCGATGACTATGTTATGATCGTGACGTTCCTTTTTTACACTGCACTGATAGTGCTTCTGAATTTCAACATCCGCTTCGCTAGCAACCTCATGCACCCTTCGGAGTTAGAAGCAGTTCTTGCCGATCCCGAGGAAGTCAAAAGCCGAATCTTTGGCAGCAAAATCACACTCGCCGTAGAACAGTGCATGATCCACGCGCAATGGGGCACCAAGGCCAGCCTTCTCATCCTCTACCACCGAATGACCCAAGGACTACGCGAGAACCTCTTCAACAAAATCGTCGCCGGTTACGTACTTCTCGGTTATATCGTCATCCAGATCACATTCTTCGGCGTCTGGTGCCGTCCCTTCAGCGAATACTGGTCGATCAATCCATCCAATGAGCAGTGCTCCAATTACGGCAACTACTGCATCATGATTCTCGTCTTCAACACCTCGTCGGACCTACTACTCATGTTCGTACCCATCCCACTTATCTGGAAGGCACAGATGAAGCGCAAGAAGAAGATCATGTTGTGTGCCGTCTTCTCGCTCGGTCTCTTCAACATTGTTGCTGCAGTTCTCAACAAGACGTACAACTGGATCCTGCCCGGCTCCCACGTCTACATGATCTGGTATGTCCGCGAAAGCAGTACAGGCATCTACGTCGCCAACGCGACTTGCTGCTGGCCGCTGTTCCGCAAGATCGTCGCCGCCACCGGCCTCAGCGGATCATGGACCAACTCCGCCTCCGGACCCCAGGGCCCCAGCAAATACATGTACGACGAGTACGGCAACAAGACGGCCTTGAACGATGGCACGGGCGCCAAGTCGTCGACGAATCGAAAGAGCACCCTCCGCGGCTCCCAGCACTTCAGCAAACTCCGCTCCGTCCGCGACCGCACCATGCACAGCCTGCATTCGACCAGCACACACACCGGCGGAATCCTGACCGCGCACGGCGGCACAATCCGCCGCGGAAGCCAGGAGGGACGCGATGCCAACGGCAGTCAGGAGGCCATCAACAGCAGCTACGGCGAGCACAGTTCCAGCATGCCCCTCGAGATTTGGCGGCAAGTCGACTACGACATCGAGGCTGGCCAGCTCCGCACACCGAGCATGTACGAGGACAAATACAATACCGAAGGGAAGAACGATATCGTCATGGGGTTGAGGAGTGATGTCGTAACGACGACCGTGACGGAGGTGAGAGGTGGTCAAGCGGCGAGAGAGAGTGGGCACAGAAGGAAGGAGAGTATGTTTGGTGAAGGAAGTTCGAGCGGAAGCAGTGGTGGGAGGAGTGAGAGTGCGAGTCGTGCGTCTAGTAGATGAGCATGAGCACGGGTTAAAGAATTCTCTTTTGTTTAATTTCTATCTTTGGTCGAAGCGACATGGACATTTAAGGTGGAAAAATCGGCGTGCTCAGAAAAGGATGGAGAAGGATATTACTTACGATACCCAGGACTTAGAAAACTATTTCCATTTCATTGCAATTCTGGCTTTAACTTACAAGAATGTGAAGATGGCAGTTGATGCTCCCGGGCTGCTCAGGCCCTTCAAGGTCCTCTCCCATCCCAAAGGCGCAAGAGGGAACGATCGCCACTCCACCCTGCAGGTACTCGATAGCCCTGCAAACACACGTACTTACCCTTGCTGTAGCTGGGCCTGACCCAAGCACTCGGATCTCGCCTTCGTATCGCATTTTGTCTACCCCTGTTGCAGATCAGACTGTGCTGGGTCTCATCCGCATCTCACCGCTTTGCCTACAGCAAATACACGCAGGAACAACGTTAATTTTTCTTTTCCCCCACTTTGATCTCTCTGTCTATATCAGCAATGTGTTTGCCTAATGGCTGATCTCTTTGGCCGTCGACTTCGAACCGAGCGGAAGCATTGCGCTGTATTCAGGGGTGGCGTGAGATGATTGGACTGCCGTTCTTGTTGACGGACTGAGCTTGATCTAACCTGCCCTTCACCGTCGGCTTTGCTCACAGCGATATGGATTCCTAAAGGGTTATCTTGTGAGGTAGGGGTGGCGTGGGTAAGTGATGGTATTGAACAAGGGATGTATTGACCGTTTGTACAGTGGGATTCGTGGGATTAATAGTATTGGCTCTCATATTTGCACAAAACTTTTTTTTCGTTTTGCTTGATCTCATGGAATATTCTCCGCTCATACAACTGGGTCCATGGTGTTGAATAAGTGATTTCGTTATCCTATTCTTTCGGCGCCAGGAATTTCTACACAAGATACCTCCCACGTCCTGATTGCCTTCATGATTTCTTCTCTTCTCTCATATGTCACGATAAACTAGAAAATTCACAGCTCATGCGGCCGTCGTCTGCTCCTGCCAAATTTCTTTGTATCGTCGAGCACATGCGTGCCCTATGGCCCGACCTCTTCACATGTCAGACCTCAAGCATGTGCTTGACACATATCAAGCAGGCGCCCGCTGCAAATACACCTGCCTCTCAATTGTCATATGCCCCATGTGGACTAGCAAGGTGGTCACAGTGCGTTCTTCCTGCTCTCTCTGCATTCACATGTGACTTCTCTGTACATTCACGGGCGGCCATGAAGAATCACACGCCGCCAGGTGGCTTCCCTTCTCAACACCATGACCCTGAGACTGCCCAACCGGGACGGCACATGCCGACGGATGACTGCCACCCTGACCACCCTGCGTCAAAGGGTCTTTCACATGCGTGCAAATTCTGCCGGCCACCCACCCAAATGGTCACGGTCGCCCAGGAGCTCCTACCTCGTTTCGTCGTCACCCTGGTGGCGGAGCTCGTGCCTCTGTCCAGACCACCCTCCTCCTACCTATATAAACCCCCCCATGGTACGGCCCAAACGCCTCTTTTTCTCTCCAGCTCTCTTTGCCTTTTGGCTTAGATCAAGTGTAGTATCTGTTCTTTTTAGTTTAATCTCTAGAACGCCCCTACGGGGGTATTTCTTTTGATTAAACTAGTTTTTGGAACCCGGCCAAGTGGCCGCTGGGCTCCGCCTAACGTCACTGACCACAGTGTCGCTCGTATTGCACTGTCTCGGGCTGACGCGAACCCTCTTTTCGTTGTGTTTCCTTCACCTTGAGTGGAGGCACGAGGAAGAAAGGCTACATCCTCATGAAGAAGACGGATGGTCTGAACCTGGCTCACCGTGATGTCTAAAGCCGAGTCGCCGTGATGTCTGAAGCCGGCTTGCCGTGATAGCGTTAACTGAACAGACTGGCATGGGCATTGATGGTCGAAAGGACATGCGAAACTCATCAGTCTTCAGTCATGGGCAAACAAACATTGAAATAAGCTCCACATCTTGGGGCGCGAAGCATAGCAACGGTGCCGAGCACGCAGGACCCACAGGTCAAGTCATAGGCACCACTATCTGACGTTCAGGAATCTTTCTGATTCAGTTTGCCTTCACTCAAGGGCAATTCTTGTCCGGCGGGTCTATTCTACCCACCCGGATATGTACACCCACCACGTAGTCTACCTCCCTCAATCCGCCCAATTCGACCCCGCCCCATCAACCAAGCAAGAAAAGAAGCCTCCACCCTAGTTGGACTCCCTGGGCGTAGCAGCGAAGTACGGCCTCACGAACCTATCACGCAAGCAAGTCAGCATTTCTCCCCGATTCTTAACCAAGCCCTTCCCCGCCGCAATTCCATCGCCCTCCAATTCAGTAACCACGCACCTGTCGCTGTTGAAGACCTTGGTCTCGGCACCGAGCAGCTCCTTCTCGCGGGCCTGGTTGGCGAGATGTCTCCGGACCTGGTCCCTGTCCTCCTCGGCCTGCAGCAGCGGGATCAGGTGGATGCGGCTCCACATCTTCTCGCGGGCGAGCTCACTATACACCACACAGAACAACGCCAAAAAGTCAGCCAAATGTATCCTCATCCACAAATCCACCAATTCCCTCCACAACCCCGAATTCCGTCGTCCTTCGTCCATTGGGTGCGTGCGTGCGTTGCGCGGGGGAGGGGAACAAATTCGGGGATGGACGCGGCGTACTTGTGCTCCCGGATGCCCTGGCCAATGCGCCAGAAGCCGTAGGTCATGATGCCGCCCATGATGGCGAGGTAGGCGGCCGGGCGGAAGCCGCGGGCGGGCAGGTTGCGCTTGTACTGGACGGGCTCGTAGCCGCCAACGGGCGGCATGTCCTGAGGCATTGTGGCGGGCTGGGTCGATCGCGTGTGGCGACGGTTTCGGGAGAGCGGTCGTGCGGCTTCGTCGCCTTTTGGGTCGTTGCGGTGGTGGCGGGTGTTGGTGGTTGTTGTATGATGAGGGTGGTGGTTTGGCCCGTAATGCGGATTGCCTGCGCCGTGAGAGGTTGGCCGAAGCTTGCAGCGTGCCTTTGTCGGGAGAACGTCGGCGGAAATTTGGCTTGCTGGAGCATGGACCCGATTCCGTTGCACTTTTTTGGCCTGGACGTCACACACCACCCCGCCGTACAAAACACATTTTCTTCGGACGGACAGGAAACTTTTCAATTGCGACGACAAACATGGCCGACGACGAGAGACCTGCCAAGATGCAGAAGAGGGAGCACAGCCCGCAGACCGAGGAGGCTGCCTTCGCGCAAACCGCTCAGCCTGCCGCCGCCAATGGCTCAGAAGACAACACCACCACAGCCGCCGCCCAGCCCGACTCTGTGCAGACTGGCGCCGCGAACGATAATGACGATGCCATGAGCGTGGACGACAATGCAGGCGACAATGCCGAAGCCTCGACCACCGCCGCCGCTTCCTCCGACCAACCCGCCAAACCAGGCCCGCCGCCCGGCATGACCAAGTCAGCATGGAAGAAGATGAAGCGACAGCAAGAATGGGAGGCCGGGCGCGACGCCCGCAAAGCGCAGCGCAAGGAAAAGAACAAGGCGCGCAAGGAGCGCAAGCGCCAGGCGCACGCCAATGGCGAGGACAACAACGGAGGGGCTCTCGACCACCCGCACAAGGACCAGCGCGAGGCGCAGCAGAAGCTTCGCAACCAGAAGGCTGTGCAGCTGCCTATCACATTCATATTCGATTGCAGCTTCGACGAGCTCATGATGGATAAGGAGATGAAGAGTTTGGGGCAGCAGATTACGAGGAGTTACTCGGATAACAGGAATGCGCCGTACCGCGCGCACCTGTGTATCTCGAGCTTTGGTGGGACCTTGAAGGAGAGGTTCGACGGGCTGTTGAACCAGCATTACAAGTCGTGGAAAGGTTTCAGGGTATTTGAGGAGGATTTCGTCGAGGTTGCAGAGAAGGCGAAGGATTGGATGAAGGATTTGAAGGAGGGTGGTCGTCTGGCTGGGACGCTGGCTGAGATCGCCGCTCGCGAGAAGAAGAATGCTGCGGAAGCGGGCGAGAGTGCGGAGGTGACACCGAACAATGATAAGGAGGGAGAAATTGTGTATCTGTCGTCCGAGGGCACCGAGACTCTCAACGAGCTGAAGCCATACAGCACCTACATCATCGGCGGCCTAGTGGACAAAAACAGATACAAGGGTATCTGCCACAAACGTGCCACCGAGCGAGGCATCAAGACTGCGAAGCTGCCCATTGGCGAATTCCTGCAGATGAACAGCCGCAGCGTATTGGCGACGAATCACGTCAACGAAATCATGCTGCAGTGGCTCGCTTGCGGTGATTGGGGCGAGGCCTTCATGAAGGTTATCCCGAAGAGGAAAGGAGGCCAGTTGAGGAGTACGGGCGAAGAAGATGACGAAGAGAATGACCAGGAGAATGCGGAAGCCGAGATTGGTGAAGCTGCAACTGCGGAGGAGGCGATAGACAATACCCACGCTGAGGCAGGTTCTAGCACAACAGCAGCTGAGACAGCAGCCAACCAAGCCTCGGAGGCCGCAGAAGCCAAGGCTGAATGATTGCGAACCTAGTAAGCGATCCTGTAATATCATTTCGTCGACAGGCATTATGCATGTTCTGTTCAGCTCACTGCCTTCTTCATGCATGCGAGAACACGTGGAAATCTTCGATGAGGCCAATGAATGATGAGACACCGCCAGGCTGAAATGCGCCTTGAGACTGCCTCGAGTAGATGTGTTGAGCGTGTGACGCGACCTGGGCGTGTATATGAGCTTTACCCCGCGCTGACAGTCCCCAGCCTTGTTTTGCTCACACCTGGCTTTTTCCAACATGAACACCTGCGCCATTGCTTTTGCGCTCTGGAAGCATGGCGGAGATTGTCGGTATCATCGCGGGAGCCGTGCAATTTGTGGATGTAGGCTCCCGCGTCCTCATCAGCTTGTCACGCTTCTGTTCAGACCTCCAGCATGTCCCTCGCAAGATCAAGCGAGTTCGTCGACAACTTGAGCAAACTCTTCAGCTCGTGGAGTCGATAAAGTCCGATATCGAAACCCCGAATACCGGTCCTGGCACGACACTTTCAGGAACTATATCACAGCCGCAGGTTGACTTTGCAAAAGGTCTCCTCAAAGATGCAGTAGTACAAGTGATGGAGCTACAAATCTTGTTGAACAAGATCGCGCCTACAGGCAATGGATTCGTCGAGAAGACATGGAGAGCTGTGGTTGCAATGAAAAAAGAGGAAGAGATTCTAGGCAAATGCGGTGACATTGAAACAACGGCTGACCTACTTCAAGCTTGGATGCAACACCAAAGTCTCAGGCTCATCAGAGATGACATGTAAGTAAGCCATAGAAGGACGACTTGTTTTGATAATACTGACAACGGTCAGACTAGTCGATAAAGACAATGCCACAAAGATATCCGTCGTCGATCAAACACTAAGCACTGTACAACAGAGCCTCGGCAACATGCCCAAGGTGGTCGAGAGTATTGTTCATACCTCGCAAGGTGCGGTCCTCCGAGAAATTGGTACAAATAGATATCATCTCGATGCACATACACGACAGCTCGAGCAGAACATCAACGTTGTCAGACATGACATCCTCCAGGGATTCACAACAGCGGAGACAAGCATGCACGGGTTGTTGCAATCGCTGAAAGGAGATATCGTTGATGAGATAGTGTTAGACCGAACAAGCCGGTCCTTTGAGAGTCAGAGCTTGCACTCCCAATTGGCTTCAATGCAACAAATGATGAACCAGATACTGGTATGTTAAAACAGATACAAAATTCCCAGTCTCTCAAATTAACAGAGTACAAGATCCAAAACACAAGCCAGCGTCTGTTGTCTAAGCCCTCCTATTTGAAAGACATTGAAGTCAGCACAAGGAACGCCTCGTCTCGGTTATCATACTCTGGGAACTCGCTTATTCGAAGTCTCTCAGGAAATAGTACCCTCTGTAGGTGTAAAGCCCGGAGAAGCCAATCTCGCAAAACCTGGAGGAATTTTCGATTTCGATACGATCCGACTCTGGCGCATGACGCCAATTGCCTACTCCATCCTAGATCGAACACTTCTTGGACTATTGGTGTCCGTGCCGCCCTGCCCGCTCTGTGGTCCTACTGCATTGACATAGCACTTCAAATTGATTTCGGTGCTGGTGGTTTGGCAGTGCGTCCCAGCATTCGACGAGCAGCGAGAATCGTCGAAGGACAGACATCTCCAGTGTTTCGAGCATTGGATAATCTCAATTCGTATGCCATGGTATCAAGACTTTTTGGGTTGCGAAATCCCAATTTGGAGTCTCAGTGGCGGAAGGTCTTTGAAAAATTCAGGACCAATCTTTGTCAGGCATTTCACGATGGTAGCGCTACTGCAGTTGACCAGAATGAACGAGGAAACACTGCTCTGGCTGTAAGTGTTAATAAATGGTATTGGCTTCGCTCTTAACTAACATCTGTACAGGAATTCCTTGACATAGTCCAACACAACAAACCATTTCTTAACAATTTGCATTTGTACGATCTAATCATTTCGATTATCGACCTCTTTTTTGAAAGCGGAGCTGAGGGTAATCCAAACGGGTGGGCCACAGTCTCCACTTGCCATAATGGTCTTTGTACGCTAACCTTCAAGCAACAGGCTTTTTCGACGTCATTCAACGAACATACTGCCGCATAATGACTTTTACTACTCGAGTATGCTCAGCCATCACGACTGTGACCTGGATATGAGCGATTACGGCATATGTAACGGCAATCGACTATTAGAAATATGGCAAGACGTCGATATATTGACTGGTCAGTGCACTGGTTTATTTTGTTTTGAGTTGTTCGCAGTCTTTCTTATGATTTGTACATGCAGAACTCCACTTGCCGCCAAGATATGCTGCAACCGTTCAGAAATCCCTACCTCTGCTGGAGGAGAGCATCGAAAGCAACACCTTTGAAAAAGAGCACGGAAATCTTCCGTCTGTGTTGACTTTTGCGCTACATTGGCCGGAAGGGAGAAGACTTCTTCTTGCAGCCGGTGCAAACCCTTGTGAAAGCATAAGATTTGCTTTGCAGCTTGGCTATTCGGATGCATTGATGGACCTGCTTCACAAGGATCTCCCATTTTTCTTCCCCAAAGACTCGCCATACATCCACCTGCTAAGCATGTTGCCGATCGAGACCAACCTGCTAAGTCTGTGGGCGACGTACCGGCCAGAATCTTCCGGATCCGCACCCAATGCCTCGTTCGACTTAATCATCAACCATCTCGTACAACTTCGCAAACGACTTTTGGGTCTTGCTCGAAGATACCTCCCATCAGTGGTACAAAAAGATCTTTGCATCGGCATTGGCAACTTTCAGGAAGATGTTCTTGATTGCACTTTGTTACTACGAGTTTACCGAATGCTGATCTCCAAGGGTGTCAACACACCATCATTCCTGTACCCGGGCTGTCGACCATCAGTTTACCACCTGCCTTTCGTCGAGACCTCTGTAGCAGAGCGGTTGTATCGCGTGGGATTCCATCAGCTTGATTCTAAGGACGAAAATGGCGTCCGCCCTGTCGAAGTAGCCTGCACAAAAGGAGATTCGAACCTAGCTCTCTGGTACCTTCAGCACGGAGCTGCGTCAGATGAGAAACTCATATGGGCTCTTGCTGCATCATTTAAAAGTTCACTTTGGTATCCAGACGACTCTATCAAGAAAATCATCTCCATATGCGGCTACCCGGAGAGCGATGACTGTCAATGTCATTGCAGTTCTAGAGGATGTCTTCCCTCGATGATCCCGCAGAAGCAGTGGTCACACGTTGATTCTCAATGGTGGATTCAGTGCATCCCAAAAAGAAGTCAGCATGAAGCATACAGGGAGGCCTGCAGACTCGAAATATTCGAAAGATTGGGAATGTCACACACATGCTGCAGATTCATCAAACAACTGTATGCCTGTTCACCCTACTACGTGAGGCAGAAAATGCCGATAGAGGATGGACGCGATATAAGAGAAGAGGAGCAAGACTTTGCCGTAATCCTTGACCGGTATCTTGATCTTTTCGATCGGCTATGGTTGGAGTTTACCGGTGATTTCAAAACGTACTGGGACGCATGGTGGTCGGCGATCGCCATGATGCTGACTTATCCAGACGATTCAATACCAATGCGCGGCCATGTGCCAAGTATTCCTGTGGATGAATACTGGCGCCGCCATTGCGACGCTCAAGCAGGCTTTGACTTCAACGAGTATAGTCCCCACGAAAGATTGATCCGGTGTTTAGTCGGCCAGTACCCGAATGTTGAAAGCTCATTGGCAAGATTTTGCCAATTGTCTGAGCCCTGGCATGTTCTGAGGTCCTGGATATCATACTGCGTCAGTGTTGGGATTGATCCTCCCTATTCAAGTACAGATCACGACCGGATGATTCATCTTCCCGAAGATTTCAATATGGACTTTTCCCCGGAGGATCTCATTACTCGTTCCAGCAACACTGAGATTCCTACTTTTCTTTACCTTAGCCCAGAACAAAGAGTTGGGAAAGCAAGAAGGTTCATTCTTGAAGAACTTTTGCCTATCATGGTTCCAGTCCTGATACTGGAAATTGTTTTCGGAAGAAGTATCCCAGAGGACCTACAACGACATTTCGAGGAGGAGGGATTGCTACAAGACGGCGTATTGGTGCGGCCTGCGTTTAAAGAGCACCCCGAGTCTGTCTTCGAAGATTGTTCTAACGCGCTTTTTGATTCATCACCATTCTGAGGCAAGACTCTTTCTACCGCGGATTTGAATCAGTATCACATTGCATGGAATCCTTCCACATCCGGGAATGTTGAAAGTCATTTCAGTTGGCTCCATCTCCGTGTATCATGAGGCCTGATTCAGCAGCAAATGACTTGCGCCTCTCATGGAGTATCCCACCCTCGAGCATCTCATGTGCGTTTTTATCTTTACAGGATGGTTAATTCCATCTTTCCTTTGTTTTACTTATATTTCGGACAATGGATATCTTTTTTCAGATTATACCAACTACATTGCTCTACTGTCATGTTTCTTTTGGAATTCTGCAACTATGTATTCATGTCGACTGGAAAATCCATTTCCATTGCCGTCTGGCTTCTAGACTACGTTGAGTTGGGGTTAATATCCGAATTAGCCACCAGAGTACGGCTATCAACTCGGATTCTGGATCTTCAAGTTGTTGAATCACCGCAACATGTGATATCCCGCTTAAGAAAAGAAAAAAGATGCCATAAATGCTACCTACTCCAAACAGAAAACAAAATCAATCTACCAAACTCCAAATCTATGCACTCTTCCACGCCTCATTCAAGAAATACCCCACAATCTTCTCCAACAGCTCCTTCCCGGGCTTCTCCACCGTCGCAATCGCATTCGACCATTTCCTAACCCTATCCGTCTCCCACGTCACCTCCGGCTTCCTCACCTCGCCCACATCCTGCTGCTTCTTCTTCCCATACTTCCCCTCCCAAAACGTCAACAACTTAACCGGCGGATTCCTCTCGGGATCCTGCTCGGACCGCCTCAACCTCTCCAACCACTCCTCGACCTCCACCTCCTCAAACCGCAACCCCGCCTCCCTCAACACAGGCAACAGCTCCCTCGTCCAATGCAGCGTCTGCGGATTAACCACGTTGTACACCTCCGCCGGCGCATCTTCGCCCAGCCCGACCTCAACGCACGCCCGCGCGACGACGTCGACGGGCAACCACCTGACGCTCTCGTCGAGCCTTGGCAGTGCGCCGAGCGTGACGGCGGACCTTAGCATCAGCGGCACCGCCTCCGTCGCATTCCACACGCCACGCCGCTCATCACCCACGATCTGCCCCACACGCAGGACACGCGCGCGCAACCCCTCCCGCGCGGCCGCAGCGCGCCGACACAGCGTCTCGGCGACGAGCTTGCTCTGCGCGTATCCCATGTCCTGGGCGCAGCGCAGACTCGGGGGCAGCGCCTCATCAATCTGCACGCTGGCCAACGCCTCATCCGACGTGGATTGCAAGTACGACGCCGTATTATACACCGTCGACACCGAACTACAAAAATTAAACGCCGCGGGCCGCGGCGCGCGGACGGAGAGACAGAGGTCCAACAGATTCGCGACGCCGCCGACGCAGTCGCGCGCGAAGCTGCGCAGCTGCAGGTTGAAGTTGACGGCCCAGGCGCAGTGGATGACGGCGGACAGCTGCGTGCGGAGGGCGTCGAGCTGGGGCGCGTCGAGGCCGAGGTCCGGAAGGGAGAGGTCGGCGGGGAGGGCGGACAGTTTGCTGCGAGACGATTCGGGGAGGGTGGACCACAGGTGGCGGGCTTCGAGGGAGCGGATGACGCGGTCCGTGGCGGCGGTGGAAGAGGGGGCGCGGACGAGGCAGTAGACGCGCTGCACGGTGGGGAGGGAGGCGAGCTGGGCGGCGACGTGAGCGCCGAGGGAGCCAGTTGCGCCGGTAACGATCTGTGGGGGAGAGGTGGTGGGTTAGTGGCAAAGTGTTGGAGGGAGGGAAAGGGGAGAGGGGGGTGTGGGGAAGATGTCACTTACCACGTACTCGCCCTCGACCTGGCGGGTCTGGGGGATGTGCTCCCTGAAGGTGGAGTACTGCTCGATCAAGGCCTGCATCTCCTCCTCCTTCGAGATCTGCCGGGAATCCTCGCCGGTCCTCAGCGCGTACAGGTGACGCGCCAGGGCCGACACTGACGGATAGTCGAAGACGCAGTTCAAGCCCAGCTGCTTGCCGCCCAGATCCAGCTTCTTCACGAACGCGGTCCGCAACCTCGTCGTCTGCAGCGAATCCATGCCTAGGCCGAAGAAGTCCTGCTCGTCGGACAGCTGCTGCTGGTCGTCTTGCAGGCCCAGCACTTGGGCGACCTCGGCGCGGATGAAGTCCCGGAGCTGGGGCTCGTCGAGGGCGAGGGCGTCGTCGGAGACCTTCTCCTCGTACATGGCCTCGATCTCGGCGGCGAACTGCTTGTAGAAGGCCTGGCGGATGACGGTGCCCTTGTCGGTGACGCGGTAGCTGGTGCCGGCGGGCAGCACGAGCACCATGTCGCGGTCGATCTTGGCGTAGGCGGGCAGCGTGTCGTGGGCGGGCTTGATGGTGTCGAACATGGCGTCGATGACCTGCTGCCCGGGCAGCGCGGCGCCCTCGTCGGACAGCACCAGGGCGAGGCCCAGACGGGCCTTGCCGGCGCCGAACATGACGGCCTCCTCGACGAGGGTGCACTCGCGGGCGGCGCCCTCGAGCTGCAGCGGGTTGGCCTTCTCGCCGTTGTTCAGCGTCAGCGTGTCGTCGAGGCGGCAGTAGTACTTCCAGGCGTCGGGGATGGTGGGGTGGCGGGTGAAGCAGTCCTTGGTGGCGTAGGCGCCGTCCGGGCGGTTGGTGGCGACCTTGGAGGGCCAGCCCGGCAGGCACACGCACTCGTACAGGCCGCCGCCGCGGTCCTCAAAGCGCAGGAACGGCTTGACGTTGTCGGCGGGCCGCAGGTAGTCCCAGCCCAGGTCGTCGCGCGGGCGGAACGACGTCATCAGCTGGCCCGTCTCGGTGGAGCCGTAGTGGGAGACCAGGTAGACGCCGCGTTGCGTCAGCTTGTGGCCCAGCGAGTCCGGGCACGACGAGCCGCCGAACATGACGATCTTGAAGCGCGCCAGCAGCTCGAGGCCCTCGTCATCCTCGGCCAGCAGGTTCAGCACGTAGGGCACGCCGTAGAAGATCTCGAAGTCGTGCGTCTTGATGATGTCGATCAGGTACTGCTTGGCCAGCGGCAGCGCCGCGTTGTACAGGTGGATCTGCTTGCGCGAGTCGACGGCCCGGAACAGCGACCCGATGCCGTGCGCGTGGAACAGCGGCAGCGTGATGAAGCCGCGCATGTTCATGTTGGTCGCGTAGTTCTTGAGCGCCGCCCGCTGCGTCTGGAAAATGGGCTTCGGCAGCCCCGTCGACCCCGACGAGTGGATGATCCACGCCACGTGGTTCTGCTCTTTCTCCACGTCGAGCTTGTGGTCCATCCGCGTGTCGAGGCGGTGGTCCGCCTCCGAGATGGCGTGGCTGTAGACCTCGGGCCCGGCAATCGGGATGACGCTGAGGTCGGGGATGTTGTCCCGCTTGAGTGCCGCCGCCATGTCGGCAAACGACGGGTCGATGACCATGTGTCTGGAGTTGGTGGTGTTCAGCAGCGAGGCGTGTGCCTCCTGCGAGATCCTTGTCGACTGGAACATGACCGTGTGGCCGAGTTTGGTAAGTGCCAGCATGGTGATGAGGTACTCGAGATTCGACGGCCCGAGCAGGCCGATGACCGCCGGCTTTTCATTCGAGCTCGTCCTCTGCGGTATCAATCCTTTGTAAACCTGTGCGACTCTGTACGCGAATATGTCGAGCTGGCGCGCCGTGTAGTCGACATATTGAATGCCTGACGACGGGTATGAGATGAGCGGAAGATCCGGATCGGTCCGAGACCGGCTGCGCATCAACTCATCAACGCTTCTGGGTTCCGCCGGTACCGTCTCTGGCTCCGAGTCCGTGTCCACCGCGTTGACTTGGGCCTCGTAGCTGTGCTTGGAGGCGACATGCGGCGCCTCGGCTGCCGAAGGAGGAATCACTGAAAGCATGTTGGGAAAAGTTGGGTATCGATGTTGCGTTGCTCCTGGGGAGTGGAGAGGAAAGGTAAGAAGCTAATGAACGGCGCAGCGCGGTTCAAATAACGGGATAATCAGAGGTTGAACGACGTCTTGCGATGCGCGACGCAGTGCGCACATTCCGGAGCCCCGAAACTACGTTTCCGATGCGCGTAAATACTGCCCCGCAATCGTCCTTTGCCGGTTTCCCGCGCTATCGCAGCCAGTGACGTGCGAGAATGAGGGCGGAAAAGCACGTGGCGGATTCTTATCCGCCCTCCGCCCTCGGTTCCGCTCCTTTTTCGCCACCATCCGCCAATGAAATGCCTGCGAGCACTCCCATGGAGCAATGCGGGGGGCGGCCCGCAAGTGCATCCGATGCATGCATCTCAAGCTACCTTATACCCGTATGAATATCCACATGCTTTAAAGACCTTATAACACTGGTATGCGTCTGAAATGAATGATAGCACTTTGACGTGTGCAGTAAACCTCGGCTGCAGCAATTCCACGATAGTAAATATGAAAAGGTATTACATGGTAGTTCATGACAGAGGAAACCCTTTTGTCAACACTAGATAAAGTTGCCCCACTCCTTCGCATCATCTCGATAGGAACAGGAACATCCTCCGAAGTCGTACAGGCTCGATTCGAGGCTCTGAGAGACCCATGACTAACAGTCGGCGTCGCTTACAAGAATATATATTCTAGTTCTCTACGTGAATGTAGACCCCTAACCCCGGCTGACACTTGATCAATGTCCCATGAAAATGCAGAGATACAATGAGCTCTGGAAAACTTTCGATCTTGCGCGTGGCAACAATTGACCGCTTAAGGAATTGGAATTCATGGGCCGCAGACCCGGTGAGTGCTACAAATAGCATTGCAGATGGTATTCCGGGATTTGGTAGTGGCATAAAGCCGGTTAATAGGAAATGCAAGCTCTGTAGTCTACGAAAATAATATTTAGTGAAGCTGACTTCACACCACGACTGACTCCAGGCCCTCCCAAAAATCAGTCTCAATTTCGACTCTGATCAGAAATATTGCATGCCGTCTCAGACTCATTTCTGCAAGTTACAAAATGCTCTAAATAGTTTCACAATATAATTTAGCATGCACCAAGAAAAGCCTAGAGCAGCAAAACAAAACCAATATCCAGTGTCTTAGCTGTAAGTGGTTGGGTTTACGAAACATTGCAATTTTCTATGGTTCTTAGCGGTTCATTGGCAAATTTTGCCCCGAAATTTTGATCCAACTGAACTATCTCCTCCGCCCTGCAGATCTATTCCTACCTCTATAGGTTCTTACCGACGCTTATCCATTGGTCGAGAAATTCAACACCATGAGTGGTTTGTTGTTGGCGAGAATTGAAATTCAGCATATTTCTGAACTAGGAAAGAGTTAAGCCGAGTGGAGGTTGGTGTGGAGGTGGTAGGGGATCTGCAGGGCGGGGGAGATACATGTAATTTGTAGAAACTGAGGTCTGGGACAGTACAATTTAAACGGGCAATTGAAGGCCGCATCTGGATGGACGTATGTAGTTGGCTGCCCAAATCTACGTCTGGGTACTTATTGAGATTGTCTATGGAGGGAGCCTAGTATATCTTAAGTGTTATGGAAGGACACAATTTTCTACGATATACGATTCCGTCAGAAATAATGACAGCAGCTAATTCACACTCTTTTAGATAAGCACAATTGAAGAGCCTCACAACTACCAGGACACGAGCTGTGTAATACACAACTGCGTTCGAATTAGCTCATGGGACAGTGAACATACCTAACCGTATTAGGTATGTACTACATCTGACAAGTCCAGCGCATCTGCCACCGCTTGAGCAGAAGAGAAAGCCATCAGCATCAAGATCATGGACCTTCCACCATCTGCTGTCACATGCCCAGCGCCGCAAAATTAAAAGAAAGAAAAAAGGAGCAACACCAAAAAGAACCGGCAATGCATTGACACAGCGCGCGCACATACACACCTCCCATGACCTTCGAATAAAGTTTAGTACATAAGGTCCAAGCCGCAAGCGTCCCAGGGAATAACGCAACGTCATTCCGCAAAAGCTGGTGAAGTTCCGTGCGCAAGTAAAATGAAAGGGAAGTGCCAGGAGAAGTGAGGCTGAAGGATTCCACCACAAAAACGGTGTAGATGCCGCACGTGCATTTCGCCGAGATAGCATGACCCTAGCAACACCCGTGCTTTCACATCGTCCACGATTGCGCGCACGCACCGTACACCATGATGATTGCTGGCATTGTTGAGATGCATGATAGGAAACCACTGCGTGTTTCACGCTTTTTTTTTTTCGCCCTTCCCAACAGCCTCATTCCACGGACGACGACGGGCCCTGAGCGGGTGATCTTCGCACACGAACCAATGTGCGGTTTTCGTACCGTACCTCGCATGGTGCTCCGCAGCCTTGAATGCAAGGCAACCGAAGCCCTGCGGAGTCGTGATACCGCGCCTCAGCAGTAGCTCGATGGTCCACGGCGGCGGACTCGGCGGACAGCGGAGAGTCACCACCTCCGCCCCTCTCCTCCTCGCCGCTCGAAAAGCCCGTCTCCGTTCCACTTCGCAGGAAAAAGAGTGGAGAACGTCCGCCGCGAGCAGGTGCTCAGCCAAGAGGAGCCGTGACAAGGAAGATAGATCGGGATAAGATCGTAAGCCGAAAAAACCAGGGCGCGAGGTCTAGACTCCCATGCCCACTCTTCAAACGTGCCAAAATCGTGCCATTTTTCAAAAGCCACCAAGAACGCCCAAAACACCGCACACTGCTCGGCTCTGAAGAACTGCCGTCCAACCCATGTCCGTCCGCGGCCCACATGCATCCATGTAGGAAAAGAAAGGCCGTTTCGGTATACTTGCCCTCCGTGCCCTCAGCTCTTCTGACGCCACCTACACCAACATCCCTCCCCCCAACCCCACAAAGTGTGTGTACAACACATCACACATCTCCCCTAGCCGCAAACCCAACGAGGGGAGACCCCTCCCGTCGACTTTCTTGAAGCCCAATCCCAAGCCACACGCCCGCATACCCACCTTTTTCCTTTCCCCTGCAGCCGAAAGTGACCATCCCCCGGTGTGCCGCACGCATGTTCCCAGCACCACCACTCCACCACCATCTCAGGTCTCTTCTCCGAGGGGACAGCGGCCCACCCCGTGGATCCTTCGTCTCCAGAACTAACGCGTAAGTATCGATCTCTTACATGGATTCGTCACGGTCCAGACGCGTCTCCCTTCCCCAGCCTGAAGCGGGGCCGATCCATGCACATGTCTTTGATGAACCAGGGGTACCGCCGACAGTTTGAACAGTCCGTGGATGGCAAACTGCAAATCCCATCGTATCACGTTCGCCTCACGCGGGGAGAGAGAGAGAGTGGAGGTGGACTGAGCGTGACAATGCCAGATGGACAGGGTCCAGAATCACCGGGAAAGGACAGGGATACCCATCTGTCGATTGATGATGATGTTGTTTGTTGCATCTCTCCCCCGCCTCCCCGAGTAATGCCCGGAAAAGGAAAGGCCGCGCGAGCGGAAACAGGCCAACGGGAGGACAGCAGATCCAAAGAATACAATGGTGCTGTCATAGTACTTCTGCCAACGACGCCTTGCACCTTTAGTCAAAGCGCCTAGTGAACGCTACAACGTCCCTTCACGGGCCGTCCTGGAAGATACCGGCGTAGTCCGTCCATTTGCTCGGACGGAATACCTTTAGTCAAGGACCGCCAGAAAATGGTACAAGCGCTGCTGCCGACGGATTGTACCATCAGAAAAATGGCACGATGGAGGATGGATGATGGTCATGGGGGGAGGAAAATGACGCACGACGGCGGGATAAGCGGGAATAAGCCACGAGCAATCGTCCGGAGCTAGAAGCACCATGGAAAAGTTAAAATCGCATTTGAGGCTTGTGTTCCTTCAAGAATGAGTTGTCCGGTTTGCTGGGCGCTGAGCGGCGGCGGCGGCGGCCATGGCGGCGCTACTCGGACTTGTGCTCCACAACGCCGCCAAACTGCGGCGGTTAGCCACGGATGGTTTAGTGCCAAAGTCCGCTGTCGGAGGGCATGAGCACAAGCTCAAAGCTCCAGGGTAGGCGGTGAACCGACGGTAGAGGCAGAATAGCCTAGACGGTTACGAACGAGGCAGAAACTAGAGAGGTACGTGTCGGGCCGCCAGGCAGCTGAACAGCCAAACCAACACCATGGCAACGCACGGGAGTCGTTTGATGTGGCGGTGTGGAGTACGTACATACGTCGAGGCAAGTGGTAAATAATGGGCTGGAAAAACAAAAAAGGGTCTGCGCTAGCACGGCAGACGGCGCATCCTTGTGGACATCGCATTCTCAAAGTGCCATTGGGCTCATCAACCGGTGCACTTCCTAAACTCGCCCAGCCCGTGCCCACACGCGCGCATATGCGCATGCGCGCTTCTAACAACACGCACATGGTCGTCATAGTTGTCGCTACTCTCGAGGACCCCATCGCAAGTAGGGCAGCAAGGCAGCTAGGCGTGCCAATAAAGACCCCACATCTCGTTCCGTTCAACCGCAACATGTGGGGACCGATTGGCTGGCTGAGTCCCCTCAAAGGCCTAGAAACGGCCTCGTCGACGCCTGCGTGAATCCCCCGGTCCGAAGGAAGAAAGTCGATGGGCATGAACGCACCTGTTCGCTGTTGGTTTGTGGGATAATTACCGTGTTTGTGGGACGATGCTCATGGAGCTTTGCCGGTGGATCAGGCACACCTGCAGCTTAAGCTTGCGCAAGCCAAGCCCAAATTGTGGCGCATTCGTCTGCAGAGAGTTGCTGCTCTGCACATACAGCTCAGCCGCTGTCCCGCGCACGCGCGCAAATCTTCACGCCCAGACAGCAAGCCCAACCGTCTGCGTGAGGCAGGGAAGGCGAAGCCGGCTCAGACTGGTCTGGCCGGCTGTCCCTTTACTCGTGCCGCGAGATGCGATCGAAGATCAGAGATGATCGAGGCGA